TTTATTAGCTTATAGATATAATTATAAGCCTAATTAGATATAACTAAATAAGACCCTTCTAAGTATAAAAAGGGACTTTAATTAGATATTATTATAGAAAAAAAGCATTAATATCTTATAATAAAGTAAAGAGATAAGCTTAATATCTTTAGATAAGTACTTAAATAAATATAAATAAATTTATTACTTTAATATTAAGATAAGATATGTAATAAGTAATTATTATTTTGTTTCTTTAGGCTTAACTAGACCTCTAAGGTCTAAGAGAATATTCTTCTCCTTAAGAGATTATAATATATATATATATATTACTTAGTAATAAAAGTAAATCTAAATAGACTATAAGATATAAAGGATACACTTTTTTTAGTTTGCTTATAGCCTTGATTAGGCTAAAGAGGACCTAGAAAAAGTAGTATCTTACGGTCTAGGCGTTAAGGTAATCACCTAGGGTAATTAGTCACTCTAGGTGTACTTATAACGATACTAGGACCTTGGTGTTTAGTGTGGTTTATATGTTAACTACCTACTTACTAGCTTCCCTTATTCTACGCAGTTTTAATAATAATCTTATTTTTAATTACTTTAGTTAAATAATTAACTTCTTTAAATTTTAATATGTTTTTATTTACTATAGCTTAGTCTTTAATAGTTATTATTATTCTAATCTCTTAATCTAAGATATCTCTTAGTTTAAGTAAAAGTTTAAAAGTTAATAGTTACCTTTTTTATTAAATATAGTTTATTTTATAGTTATTTTTTTATTTTATTTAAAAACACTATTCTTAGTATAGAAGTAGGTAATAAGAGCTATTATAAAAGATATTTTTTTTATAGAATTAAAGTAATATTAGTCTTTTTTATAATACTTAAAACATAAAATTCTAAATTATAAGTTATATTTAAGTATTATATATTATTTATAATTACTTATATTTCCTTAACTAAGATTATTACTTTTATATTATCTTTTTTATAAAATTAACTTTTATTAAATATTATATTCTACATAATTATAATTTATTAAAATAAAAAGATTTATATTTAATATAAGTTATAAGTATTCTAAATATAACTTATTAAGTATTTAATATAGCCTTTTAGTTTTACCTTAAAGCATTATTTTCCTATATTTCTTTCTTAGTCTCTTTAAATAAAGTATACTTAGTAGCTATATATATAAAGCTATTCCTATTATAAATATAAGTTTTAACTAAAAGTTACTTAGTATTAAAGTTACTATTAATAAAAATATTATTTAAACTATTTTTCTTTTTTTTTAATTAAGTAAAACTAAGCGTTATACTAAAAAAAACTAATATTATAAAAGTATATATTAACTATTATTACTTTAACTTATAGTTTATATAAAAAGGTTTACTTTAAAAAGTAGTTTAATACCTTTAGTTATTACTTCCTAGCTAGTCCTTTTAGCTTTACTATTTAGCTCCTTTATATATAAAAAAGTAGTCTTAACCTTAATCTCCTTTTTTTTTACTTATTATTAAAACTCTATATTACTAGTAATTACTATAATAAAGTAATCTATATTTTACCTTATCTTATATAAAATAAAACTATATTACTTTACTACTTATTACTTAAAAATATATAGAACTTTAAACATATTCTTATAAGTTTTTAATACTCTTAGAAATCTAAAAAGTTAACTAATATATTTATTTTTAATTACTATAAGCTATAAGTTCTTATTATACCCTTTAAAGTAATTAAAAAGGTCTTAAATAATTTTATAGTATAAGCAAAATAACCTTTATTTTAATCTTTATTTTAAAACTATTTTTTTTATATAGGCTATTTAACAATAAAAGTATTCTAATCTCTTATAGGCCTTAATCTTTACCCCCTAAGCATTTAAGACTAATTACTTAAGTACCTAGGGTCCTAGGTAATCGCCTTATAAATACTAAAGCTAAACAAAGTCTAAGTAAATACTCTTTTTGTAGTATAAAAGTTATATAAGAGTATTATAATAAAGTAGCCTTATTATATTAATATTAACTATAAATATATTACTTATTAGAATTTATATATAAAAAAAGTAATTAAAAAAAGGCTTATGTTTAAAAAAAAGTAATATTTATTTTTTATATAAGTTATTTAATTATAAAACTATTTAAATACCCTTTATATTAAAAGGTATAATCTAGCTCTAAGTACTAAATACTTATTATATAAAATAAAGCTTTTAATATAATATTTATATAAAAGTTCTTTATATATATTATATTTTTAAGTATAAGGTCTTAGTTTACTTTATTTTAATTTCTAAAAATCCTTTTAATTATACGTTTATTTTTTATATAAATAAGGTATAAAGTAATATCTAAATTAACCTATTAATTACTCTCTTTAACTACTTAGACTATACTTAGCTTTAGGAGAAATATATTATTTACTAGGTAAGTAGCTCTATAGTTATCTAATATAATACTACATAAAAAAATATATAGGTTAAAGTATAGAGTAATAAAAACGCTATAAATTTCTTTTTTTTAAATAGCTTTATTTAGGTTTAGTTAAAGTAAAGTAAAATTAATAATATATATAATAACTTTTAATAATAAGTTATTACTAGGTCTATTATTATTATCTTTATTATTATTAACCTTATTATTATATCTCTTAAGATCTTTTTTTTAAAATAAAAGAATTACTTAAAGCTATTTTTTCTAAGCAAATTTAGCTTAGAGGTTTATATTTTAAAGGTTATTAATTTAATTATAGATTTATTATATATTATTATTAGTAATTAAAGCTAATCTAAATAAGTAGCTAATAAAGGCTTTTTTTATATAAGTATATTTAAATAAAAGCTAATAGTATAAATAACTATAAATATATATTTTATTTAAGTTTTTTAGTATAAAATAATATATATTATTTTTAGTTAATATAATAAAATAATTTACTAAAGTTATATAAATACTAGGCCTTTTCTTATAGTACTTTACTACTAATAAGTCTTTTTATAAAACACTAATTAAAATTATTATATAATTATTTAGGTTTTTAATTAAAAGGCTTATTATTTTATTTTAAATAATTTCTATAAGTTTATAAGTTACTTAAAATAAAATAATTTTATATAATACTACTCTTAAAAAGATTTTTAAAATAAAAATACTTTAAACTTTTAATAAGTCTAAGACTTTTATATAAAAGTAAAAGTTTTATTATTTTATTAATTAAATAAATAAATTAATACTTAAAGCTATTTAATTTAATAAAACTAAATATTTTTTTAAATAATAGTTTAATTAAATAAATTACTTAGTATATATTATTACTTAAAAATCTTAAGTATTAAATAAAATATTATTTAGTTTTATATTAAAGCTTTTATTTAAGTTAACTTAAAAAGTAATTTAATAATTAATATTTTTATTTATATATTAATTATATTAAATACTTTTTTTTATTATTATTAAATAACTTTTTTTATATTAATATTTAAGATATATATTTAGTATATAATTTTAATATTTAAATTAGTTATTATTAAAAAAAGTTTATTATTAGTTTATTTAAGATTTATATTAATAATAAATTTATTAAAAATAAAAATTTTTAAAGTATTTAAGATTTTATTAAAATATTTAAGTTTATTTTTATTTATTTATTTAAGTCTATTTAAGTTAATAAATTCTTAGATATACTTTAATTTTACTTTAAACTAAAAAGTTATATATTATAAAAGCTAATTACTTTATATCTTAAGCTTTTTTAAAGCTTTAATAAAAATAAATATATTAAAAATATTAGTTTAAAAAAATAAAGATAATTTATTTAAAAGAGATTTTTTAGCTTATAGTATACTCTAGATATAGTAGTTTAAAGGTATAATATAAGCTAAGCTTATAACAATTATAAAGTCACTACTTAGGGTAAAAAAAATATAAAGAAAACTACTTAGGTTTCTATATATAGGATTATTTTGTCTAAAACGAATAAATATGTATCCTGTGTGGTGGATCTGTATAAAGGGACTGGACTAATAGTTAATCCGGGCCTGGCGCAAATCTCACAAGGCTGCGCGATGCGCGTGAGGGCATCGCGACACATTGCTTAATGTAGCGGGAAGCATAAGGCCTGGCAGCGAATTCAGCCCGACATGACGATACCCCTTTTCAATGACAATTTTCATCTCGGTTCAAAATCTAGACTAGAGATGACGTTACGGTTGTGTATTGGCAGAATTGAGGAATGGAGACTGTTAACATGCGACCCAGGCCATCGGCGCTTGAGCGAGATGGCTGTGTTATCCAAACGAGCAAGAACCTATGAGAGACAGCGTATGAGGAGATGAAAGATTCTCACTAGTGGTACGTTCCCAGAAAACCAATGGTAACCATGAGCAGGACAGAAAGGAGCGCGACAGCCGTTCGACCGTGAATGATGCAATGCCGTCTTTCTCCAACCGGGTCTCTTACAAGATGCGAGGCCGCGAGACGCGAGAGGGTATCCTTCGCAGCACGCCCGAGGCAAGACATCTGGACTTCTTCAACGATCTAGGGACGGGGCTCGGAACACAAAGGCTGGCTTATGAGTTTCTGCATGGTTATCGGGATAATTATTAAATTCCCGGGCTACGATAGCTATGAAGTTTCTACAGTTGAAATCCCTACCTCGGAGTTTCTTTTCGTCGTAAGTGTACCAATATGCAAGAGTGACAAAATAGTGAGGTGCCTGGTGAGATTGAGGTAGGTTGATTCTTGCCTACTATCCTCCCAATTGAGCGGTGAATCTCTGAGACTGGCTGATCATGGTAACTCTGGCTTCTATTCGGATATATGACATAGAACTTCGCGTTCGCACTTAGTATTGGTAAAGCAACGTAGCTCTTCCGTGTTCGAGCTTCATTTCTGCATCATAAACTGTGGTGCGCCAACCAGTAAAATAGCAAGCCACCCATCCCGATAAAACCAAACAAGACCAAACATCGATACAGCTCCTGATTGTGGCGCCGCAATCCACGATCACCTCCCTGAGGTATACGACTGAAAGATCCTGATGAGTTTTGTTGACGTCTCAACCCAGTGTGCAAGAAGCATCGGCGTGAGATAGACGATAAGAGTAACGAAGATGATCCGGCGAACCCAGGCGGGGGGCACGACCAGAGCAGCCATCTTTTCGAATTGTGTTGCAGGCTGGTCATTTGCGGCCTGTTGATGTGTCGCCGCGGTGTTATCGTTGCCAGCCTTTGCCGGCGAGGCGACGGGCGCTGTCTTTTGCTTGGCCATTGCGATAACGAGCTGGTAAGGGGATTAGCGATGCGTCGACCAGAAGTATGAGCCGAATCAGGGTCCCTACAGAAATACTCTCTTTGATTGGTCTATGTTGTATAAACAACCGTGAGTCTCGAGGCTGATGCAAGGCGCTGAGGTGTGATGACGGATGAAGACAGCGATGAAGCCACGAGGCCTCAAAATGCGGCTGACCACCTACAACTTGCCAAGGCGCTTGGCTTCTTTGGCGTTCGCCATTTCTTCAACCAACGCGCAGCTTCCTCTTTCGGATTTAGTCTTTTATGCAAGTTGGATTGTGCAACGGCTTAGGGCGGCGACTTGTTGGACAGAATTGGTTGTTCCCCGCAGGAGATATGTACCCGTCTTGCAGGCCCCTGCTGTTATCACTCCACAGATCCCTGTATCGGTCTTGAGTGCGCCGGTTGCGCAGACGATCTTCCAGGGTTTCCCGGTGTCAATGATGACCAAAGATATGATGGTAACTTGGTTAGGGACTGGACGGTCGGTTTGAATTCATCATGGCGAAAAGCTCTCGGGGCAAAGGCTCAAGTCCATGTTCTCCGGAGTTTACAAGACTTGACCCTAGTTCTTTAAGTATTTGTCGAAGAAATTCCCCTAGGAAACCTTTGATTAAAAGTACCCAGTCGATACTTGGTCTCCATGCCGAAAGTGGTGGGGTCCAAAGAAAGGAACAACCCGAGATAAGACCATTGAAGGCATCCGTCTAATTGCCGATGGTCGGATGTCCCCCGATAGGCGTGATCCACAGCGTTCCTACAGAGAGCGTCTAGTTAATAAAGGACTCGAGGTTCCCAGAATCTCGGGACCAAATACCTGCTTGATGGTCGCGCAAGTGAGAAGTCTCCCCCGGACCCAATAGCCCGGAATCTGTTTAACATTGGCCCAGTCTCTGTTGGCTTATTGCAAAATGGCATCCACCGAAGCCCCGGGTTCAGATCCGGAGAAGCGGATCCCCTCGGACATCAACGCCGTCTCCGGCTCCATTCCTGCTGAGGATGACCCAGTCTCGAAACACCACATCACCGACGAGACCGGCGCGCTCGCCGCTTCGGCTCTCAACTCGGCGCCCCTGGATGAGGCACAGTCTCGCTCGATTCTGAAGAAGCTGGACAGACGGATCCTTCCTTTCTTGTGCATTACCTACGCCCTTCAATTCATCGACAAAACCTCGTTGGGTTACAGCTCCGTATATGGCATCATCCCTGACAACAAACTCGTGGGTCAGCAGTACAGCTGGGCGAGCAGTATCTTCTACTTTGGCTACCTCGTCGCGGAGTACCCTGGTGTTGCCGTCCTGCAACGCTTTCCCGTTGCCAAGTTCCTCGGCGTTAACATCATTCTCTGGGGGATGATTCTCATGACGACCGCGGCTTGTAGCTCTTTTGCAGGACTGGCATCAGTTCGTTTTCTTCTCGGCGCTACGGAGGCGACCATTTCGCCCGGTTTTGTGGCTGTCACGGGTATGTGGTGGACACGCCAAGAACAGGCAGGCCGCTCGGCGCTCTGGGTTTCGTTCTTGGGCGTCGGCAGCTTCATCGGTACATTGCTGGCTTACGGAATTGGTCATATCACGAGTTCCCTGTCTCCTTGGAAGTACATCTTCCTCATCCTCGGCGCCATCACGGTTCTCTGGGGTGTTGTCTTCACCCTATTCGTGCCCGATAGCCCCGCCAGTGTGAAGTGGCTGACGGAGCATGAGAAGGTTGTTGCCGTCCAAAGAGTTGCAGAAAACAATACTGGGACTGGCCGGAGCAAAACCTTCGTCATGGCGCAGGTTGTGGAGGCAGCAAAAGACCCGGCGGTCATCATTCTTGGACTCATCTCTTTCGTGAATGCTATTGCGTCAGGAGGACTAGCTTTTGGGTCGTTGATCATCCAAGGCTTCGGGTTCAACCCTTTGCAGACAACACTAATGAACCTGCCGCTTTCTACGGTACAGGTCGTTACGCAGCTTGGTGCTGGGTTCTTAACGAGCAAGATCTCTAGCTCGAGGTTGCACATTGGCACGGTTGCCATGATCCCACCGGTATGAAGCTTTTGTCCGAGAACTATTTCATGATGCTGATTATTGGTACAGATTGTTGGTACACTGCTCATTAACCAGCTTCACTTGGACAACAAATGGGGCCGTCTTGTTGGTGTATGGCTCTTGGGATCGTACCCTGTTGGCTTCATGGTTATTCTCGGCCTTCTCTCAACCAACATCGCCGGTGGCACGAAGAGATCGGTTGCTTCCGGCTGGGTATTCGTATGCTACTGCGTTGGGCAAATTGCAGGCCCCCAGTTCTTCAAAAGCACAGAGGCCCCCGCTTATCACAACGGCATCGTGGCTATGCTTTGTGGCTTCATTTTGAACCTGGTTCTTAACCAGATCCTTAGGCTCATTTACGTTCTGGAGAACAAGAAACGGGATAAGCTGCTTGAGGGCAAGTCTGAACACGAGATTGCGGAGATGCAAAGGGAGGGTGAGGTGCTGGGATTCGAAGATGTGACTGACAAGGCTAACGTAAGTGTTCTTTGCCCCATGCCTCAATTGTGTTTCGATACAAGCTAACGATCCTGTAGCCGATGTTCCGGTACGTTCTTTAATGCAGAACTTCGATCATGGAGTTTTCAAATGGTATGTACAGAGTAAATAAAGAGCTCAGCATAGCCTGAAAGAGCATTGGAGTGTGCCGTTGTGCAGTAGTTTTACACATCTCGGATACGCACGAAAAGGGGTGCTTAATAGAGAGAATCTCCCCCTATGCCACCTCATCCCAGCGTTTATGACTTTGAACCACAGAATCAGTCATGTCATAGTCTCCGGCCTTAGGATAGTTGTCGTCATCGAAGGAATCATGCGAACGTACTAGACCCTTCATGTCGAGAGTCGCTACGTAGAGGATCCGACATAAGACTTGACCTGGGACTCGTTCAACAGCTGGGTCTGGGCTATCCTCGAGGTTATCTCGCCATCATCTGCTGTTGCGTCCTGACACTTCGTCGCCTAGTTACCAGTGGAAAAGAGAAGTTAAAACCAGTCCATAGACCGGTGTTCGCCATTGGATTTTGGGAAACGAAGAAGAAGAGAGCGACGGAGATTGCAGGTGGATGATGAAATGGAAGAGCTTGGGCTTACTATATTTGAGTGACGGGTACATGTACGAACGAAGCATCGGTCACGAGAATGGTTGTAGTGCATTAAAACCTGAACATAGAAAATAAGATTGCGTTCACGTTTGTATGTCGACAAATCACGTCAAGGAACAATGCCAAACAAAAATCAGCTACGGTTTCCTTCGAGACGCTTCTTAGTTTCTCTGCCCCTTCTTGGAAACCTTTCTCTACTTCCGTAGAATATATGAAAATGATTCTTGATAAATTGCATCAGTTTCCACACTTGGATGAACTACTCAGCTCATAAACGCCAATTTCATACTGCAATTAATTTGTCAGACATTCTTCGACAACGGCACAAGAAAGAGAGTAGCTCTTACCACTTCCCAAGCAAAAGAATGATTAATCCAGCTCAACATGGCCAGTAACCCATATCTTAGGTTTTGGTTGCCATCCAAACATATTGTGGACAAGTGACTGAAGCTCGATCGTTGAATCTGCGGACTCCGGGCAACCAGTGAGGCTGACACATTCCAGTCTCTCAAAGCGCCCTTCCTTCACTGCCTTCGCAAGGTTCGGTAAGCTTGTTTCAACCAGCTCCTGGAGGCAGCCCCCCACTCTTGTCATCTCTAGATTCTCGAGACTGTCTGGGAGCAGGTTTTCCAAACTGTGAATCGTCATGCTATGCTGCTCCTGACCTTTGTAAATGATGCTGTTGGTGTCGATGCTCAGATTCCGCAACTCCAAAAAATGTTGTAAATTTTGGATAGTATCTTCATTCCTCCAGGTCATCATACCCTCGTAAATAGGAAAGTCAATTATCAGAGTTCGCAGCTGAAGATGGAGGTCAGGCAGCGTGGCCTTGACTAATTGTCCTTGGTTGTTCAGTGGAGGCGGCAGTGTGAGTTCATACTGATTGCTTAAAAGATGACACAACATCTGTGGCGTCAGAGTTGGTTGCTTATTGACGATCAGACGGTTGACTGAATGTTGGTACTCGAAGTGAGTAATGTTGGGGGCAGCCTGGAGGGTGGCCTTCATAGTGCCTCGGTCCATCGAACTCTTCACGAACTTGATATTTCGCAGAGCCTCGAGGCGACAATTTTGTGGAGGCCTGTAGGAAACTGTATCATATATCTCTAATGTTGATAGAAACGGCGCGTTGTTAATGATCACCCTAAGGCAGTTGAAGCTTCGAGCTTGTAAAGACCGCAGATGTAATTTCAGATATCTGAGGTTTCTAAAAAGGCTTGCGTGTTCGGTTTGCTCCCCAGCAATCCATTCTTCAAGCATGCTGAATGTCCAGTTGAAGACGAGAGTTATTTCAAGGGTGGTCAGGTTGGAAAGATATCGCAATAGAAGCTGGTTGATGTGCTCCGCGGCATGATCCCGTGGCTCTCTCTCACCTACCAGGGAATGATTGTTCCAGCCTTCCGTAAAGAGCATTCCGATTCTAGATGCCATTTCTACGATCCATTTGCCATCGCTTATCCCTGCTTGCTTTTTCGTCCACGGGATGTCGGAGAGGATCCGGCGGTCCATGTTGTTATGGACGTCAACATGTCGGACGAGCTGGCGCCGAGTGTCATCAGGAGAGAGGTGCCTGGCATATGGGCCATTGTAATATGACTCATGGCTGTGAGGATCGAGTGCTTTGAGAAATTGGTATGCGTCGGAAGGGTGCCAAATCTGGTAGTATCCTGAGTAAAGCATGCAGCCTGCCACATCGTGCAAGTTGCGACAAGTTCTCATCAAGCGCGCGAGAGTTGCCCGACATGTAAGGGCACCGTCGGTTTGTGGCTTCATGCTGGGACCATGACCGTGAAGTTTGCGCTGCATTGGGAGGATGAGGCAGCGGCAAATCTCTACGAGGATCTCCGCAGGTAGACTATCAAGTCTATACCTGGCCATTTGTAACTCAACCACCCTGCTTCCCACGCAACCCCGCATACCACGCAGCCCAACAACGCGTCACCATAAAACCTACTCCTCTTTTCTAACTATCACAACATCTTCTATTTTACCCTAAACAACGCCATTTTTTGAGGATATCTTTTTTACTATAAGATGAAGCAGTATAGTGAATATGAGCTATAGTGGGCACTTTGGGATATTGTTGATGGGCTTAGTATCTGCAGGGCAGGTCGCAAATAGGGCATCCCAGAGGCGACTATACGACAACGTCTCTATGGTACCTAGTCTAAAAATACTGCCTTTGGTAGACTATAGCAGTTATCTTAGAACCAGGAAGGTCTACTTGCTAAGTAGATATCTAAGTAGGCTGCCCTAGGCTCTGCGTTTTGCTATTAGCAAGTTAAAGGGCTGGCTGAGCGCATGCTGGGCGATGGGCAGCGACCACTTGGGAGGAAGTGGATATAGCGATTTCTTTGCAGAAACCTATTTATCAGAACTTAGCGATACAGGGCAATTAACGCTAAGCGAATTAATGGGGCAACTGCTAACATTATCCAAGAATGGTTTCATTACCTTGATTTACTAGCAATCCTGCCCATCAAGCTAGCTAATAGATGGAACATGGATGAGACTAGTATCCTTGAGGGCAAAGGAAGCAATGGGCTAGTACTAGGATCCTCAGAGACCAAGTATATCCAGAAAAAACAGCCTAGATCGCGGGCATGGGTATCTCTGATCAAGTATGTCTCTGCCAGAGGACGCGCACTTCTGCCTCTTGTTATATATAAGGGCAAGTTAGTCTAGCAATAGTAGTTTCCTCTAGATCTTTAACCCTATGCTAGCTGGAAATTCATAGCAATAGAGAACGGCTAGACAACTGATCAGAATGCCCTAGAATGGCTAGAAAAGGTCTTTATCTTTTAGACTATCCCAGAGGACCCTTCAGATACTAGACTACTAGTTCTAGACGCCCATCACAGCCATACAACAACAGACTTTCTATGGCGATGCTTCTAGAACCACATACACCTCCTGTTTCTGCCGCCGCACACATCACACGTCCTCCAGCCTCTAGATCAGTCAGTATTCTGACCTCTTAAGGTAGCCTATAGGAAGTATCTAGGGTACCTAGATATACAAAGCGATTCAACTGTAACAGGTAAGAGGAACTTTATAGACTATTATAGAAGGGTACGTCTAGACGCCTTGACTATCTAGGTTATTAAAAGCGGCTAGAAACACACTGGGTTATGGCCAGTTGATGTAGCGCAACCTCTATCTAGCCCTTTCGTGTCTAAGGCATCAGCCAGCCAGCCAGCCAGACAGCTAGACGGCCAGACAACTGGGCAGTCAGGAAGTCAGCAGTGGGATGAAGCTGTATCTATAATCCCATGGTCAACCCCGCGTAAGTCTGCTGATCTTCAGCGTCAGCTGCACCTATTCAACCAGCTTACACAAAATACCCGAGAAATCTACACCCAACGCCACCTATTTAGAAAGGTCCAAAAAGGCTAGGACCAACAGGCCTATAGACTGACAGTCCTAGAGCGTCAGGCCCAGGCATTCCAGGCCCAGACGGATAGTCAGCAACAAGGCAGGAGAAAAAGGGTCCAGACGGACCCTAACACGACGTTCGCTAATATCGAGGATATCCGACGGGCGCAAATTGCTGCTGGCGAAGCAGAGAGTAGCACAAGTGAATCCAGTGGATCTGAATTATCTAGTGAAGCAGAAAGTTGCATCTGGGTAGGTGGTAGGGATGAGGAATAATGGATGTTGTTGATGGGTATGGTGATATTGATGGGGGTTTGGGGCTGCGTGGTATGCGGGGTTGCGTGGGAAGCAGGGTGGTTGAGTTACTTCCGGAATTATTGTAGACGATAGCACTTGAAGGTTATGGCTAGGAAAGATTGCCGATAGAAGGTTGCTTTTGCAAAGGAAGGGATATACTGGTTTCAGTGAAGATGTTTTTCAAGTTCAATTATCGGACGCGGATATCAAATTTAAAACACCAACTTTCCACAAAGAGAAGCTCAGGTTGAATGTTGCTTTTCTTGGTGTAAGGGCTTGGTGTAGCTCTCGACAACAGGTCCAGGACCAAAGCACGGCTAGCAAAGCTCCGACAATCTTACGAGTCCACAGCTGACGAAGACCTTTGCTTTGGTATCAATGCAGGGATGAGCTGCATTTGCACGATCCGACGACAACAGGAACAATGGAATGGACCTTAGAACTCCGGAATACATGAATAGCGTAGTGTATGCCGTCCAAAGAACGAAAAGTTACAGATCCGAACAAACCTTGCTTAAGCATAAGTATTTTTAAGTTGTTTGTTCGAGGTGCAGAAGCTTTTAGCCGCTTTAAACACAAAGTTGTGGATGGTAACCATTTAACGACTGGTCGCCACGCAAGTGGCGTATTGCCAAGTTCGAAATTCGAAGAAAATAACACTAAGCTGAAGCAAAAAAATCGCACCCTGAGGATAAAGGACGGGAAAAAGAAACCCGTAAGAATGACTTGGTCAATCGCGGTGAGGATTTGAGCCTCACGCGGGGGTCGAACCCGCAACCTTGAGATTAAGAGTCTCACGCTCTACCGATTGAGCTAGCAAGGCGGGTCTTGTTCTTGTTGTCCAAACTGACATTATCAACTGCTTATATAGGCTACATGGATACAACGCTGCATCAATGTCTTCTTAGTAACAGAACAATGTCAAACTTCTCGTCAAAACCCGAGTTTTCCGAGGATCGGTGTCTGTCATCGGCGTTTGCTTTATTTTCGAACCAAGGTCGCGGACGCTCGTCGGCGACCTCCGGGTGTCTTGATTACCCTTCATAGTGACATTACCACGTTTATAAGTGAGCTCTTTCAGTGTTGTTGACTTTGTTCCTTGCAACGAAATCTGGATCTCGCCTTGATTTTCTTTGCTTCCTCTTGTTGACCCGGCTTTAGACTTGTGGAGGGCTGGGCATCGTTTTGCCGCAATGCTGAGCCACTTTATCAATATTCTGCCCATCCGCCTGCCTGGGCAGATTAAACGAGCCGGGATCAAGTTAGTAGGCCTCGGCTCACGCGATAATCGAACATAATTCCAATTTTTGGCATTAGAGTGTGAAAGCACTGCCAATTCCTCGAGTCTTGTATTGAATCAAAAATCGTTCTCGGTTCACAAAGCAAATCATCACGTGCTTTTGCCACTCATATAAGAATAAACTCAACACCTGGGAGAGAACGCACCGAGAACCCTTGTCTGTTACAAGCTACATACCACAGTATATGCGAACGATCGTGATGGAACGCATTGGATGCATTGATTGGATTGAAACAACCAAATGCTGATCCACCTTTTCTTAGTCTGTCCTATGCTCTTGATTGTACATAGTCCTTGCTACCGATACGTACCGAGCCGAAGAGCCCGTTTAGCTGTCTTTCAAGGGAGGACGCTCAGTCATCTGCCGATGACCCGTTTCTCTTGGCGGACCCATGAAGTGCTGGAAAGCATGTCTTCGCAAAATAGTTCGCTGACAGGGTTCAAGATGCGAGGCATTGTCTGCGTTCATCTCCCTTCCATTGTCTCACTCTGCGCGATGCCATTGGTCAAGCGTCACTGTAGCTGAACTGACCGTGACAGGGCCTAGAATCCAGACGAATCCAGACGCTAACTGTCATTGTCATTATCCGGGCCCTAATATTTTAGCTCGTGACGATGGAAATGATCTGGTTTGGTGAGTTTACCATGACCGCGGGAGAGTATAGGCTCTGTACATGCATTTTTCGAGTGAACATAGACAGAGGAATCATAACGAACAGCTTTTTACATAATCGATTCTGTGTGTAAGAAGTCGTAAAAGACAGCAATCTTTTACCCGCTGTACCGCTGCTCGTTTACACAGCCCCCCGGTCTCGTCGCCAAGTCTAACTAGGTTACCAAATTAGCGCCATGTTGGATCGCCAGAGAGCAAGGTCCTCAGGTGACAACTGCAGGGGAGCAGAAATCATTTGGTACAGAAGCGCCGCCGTTTGGTGGGTAGTCACGGCGGCCCCCAAATTGAGGAGGGGACTGACGCAGGGAGGCGGGAAGTGACAACCCGCGCCGCCCACCCGTGCATAGACTGGACTAATTCGAGAAAAGCCCATCCCACAGCCTCGGCCGCCGCCGTTTGTCTGCCTCATCGGCGCGGCTGATTTTCTGCCCCTCCGAAACTTGAAACACACCTGCTTTTTCTTTCCTAGAATCCAGTCACAGAACCTCCCTCGGCAGGTTCGCATTTCTTGGTCCTTTCGCAACACAGTCCGCAGCTCTGCAGCTGCCTTGTGTACCTTGCTTGGAGGTACTTTGGGCGGTTGATTTTGGTTTAGTTGGGAAGCTCTTGCCGGGCCGGAGCGAGCATAATGACACGGAAGGGCCAGCCGAAGGTTCGGACCGGATGCCTGACGTGCAAGTGAGTGATTGACCACAGCTCTTCCCCTCTTCCTGTTGATGTCATGTTGCGTTCCTCGGCTCGACTTAAACACTGATGAATCGTCCCGCGAGGTCGAAGGGCACTGTGCCGAACCGGCAGCATGCCGAGACGAGACCGGACGAATCCGAGAGGCTGTGTGACCAAGCGGCCACCGAGCCTCCGTCCCCATCCCCGTTCCCACATCCCTCCGAAGGACCCATTCCTAACTAATTGCCTCCTACTCCAGGTCGCGCAAGGTGAAATGCGATGAAGCAAAACCAGCCTGCGCGAGGTGCACCGGCACAGGACGCAGATGCGAGGGTTACGCCGTTGTGGTTCCCAGCAATCGGGCCATCGCCCGGGCTCGGTCACGGACAACACGGCTCAAGGACGCCCTTGCGCAGGCCCGGGCCGGATGGGAGGGGGGTTCGGAGAAGGCGACCTTGGAGTACTTCACCCGTGACGTTGCGCCAAAGCTTCCGCAGAACCTCGAAAACCAATTTTGGACCGTAGCCGTGCCGCGTATGAGTAAGTCGGAGCCCGCCATTCGGCACGCCATGGCTGCCATCGGCAGTCTCTTCCCGCAACGATCGTCGAATAACCCGAGCGAAGGCGGTAACCCTCAAGCCGACGCGCACTACAGCGAAGCCCTCCGACTCATGGCTAGGAAAGTGGCACCAGAAAAAGACGACGAGGACGGTCAAAGCTCGAATAATAAAGCCAATGCCGACAGCAAAACCATCAACCTCTCCGCCTCCGTAGGCTCCCTCAGCAACCGATCTTCCCCGAGTCCTTCTTCTGTCGGGTTATCTTCCACTATTCAGTCTCCGGCTTCTCTCACGCCGGGGGTGTCCAACATACCGGAAGTGGCTGAAACAGATCGCTCGGATAGCCGGGGTTCGACAAATCCTTTTGCGTCTCCTCAGAGTCAGGAAGAGGAAGGCGACGATGAACCTACCCAGTACAACGATGTAGACGTGGTTCTATCATGCTGTATACTCTTCATTGCCACGGAATTTTTGCGCGGCAGTCTAGAGCAAGCGATGCAGCACCTTGCCAATGGCATCAACATTCTGAATAATGTGGATTACGACGAGCTGGATCAGACAACCTTGGACGAGATTGTCCCGAAATTTCATCGTTTGAGCATCATTCAGTTATGCTTCCACGATAAGCCGGGCTTTCCATCGCTCAACCTCCAGCATGGACTCGGTTCCAGATATAACCTAGGGCCCTTTGATAAGAGCAGCAGCATATACTTACCCAAGCGTGCCGTCGACCCGATCATACTTGACGCCATACGATATATCCGATCGGCAGACCCAGGCTCGCAAACCGACTCACGGCTTGCCTCAAAGGGCCCTGTTATGTCGGAAGAACAGAAGAGCATTTGCGCATCCTTTGACAGGTGGCATGCTGCCTTCCTAGCCTTTGTCGAGTTTCCCCGGAAGAATACCGACCAGCCGTTACCAAAGCATCAAGGGATTATCTGCGCGGAGACGGAAATGAAGTATCAGACAGCCAAAATCTGTATCAGTGTCTGCCGTTCGCACGACGAGTCTGTATACGATTATTTCAAAGACTTATTCGGGCGGATCGTCACGCTCGCAAAGTTAATTCTAGACAGCTGCCCCGACATCACGCCTGAACCCACCGATTTTAAGTTCGACTTCATGACCAGCTACCTGCCTCTCCTAGAGTTTGTTATCGCCAAATGCCGTTGGCTCGACATACGGTATGAAGCCTGGCTCATCGCCTGGAAGCTTGCCACCGGGCGGACAGAGCCGGTGACCCGCAACAGCCTCCACCTCGTCGCGCAACGAATGATAGAGAGAGAGCACAATGTCAAGATCGAAGAAGTAACACGGGAAAACGCCGGACTCTTCTCCTTGCCCGCTGAGGAGATGCGGGTCAAAGATTATACAGCCGACGCGCGGTTTGCGGACTTGGTCACCATCCCGGATGTCGATATGGAAGGGCCCGCCAAGGTGCAAGTCCCATATACTCAGCGACTGCTTCTCCGATGCGGCAGCTGTGAGCTCGACGATCTTGCTGGGTGGATGGAAAACAAACATTCTTCTTCATAAAACCACTTTTTTCCAGCGAGGATCGGAGGTATGACTCATGAGCAAGCATGCATTTGACTGCACGCGGCATACAGCCGCTATCTTGTATTTTCTTACAAATCGCATCGACTACACGCCCTTAGATCGAGACAAAATCACAGCATGTTAGCGCTAGACTCTCGAATATTCCTCGCTCTTGAAACCTCTAACAGGTTTCCTGTCGTAGACTATTTTGTTTACACTTTGACATTGCCTGTTTCCCTCCGTTCCTCCATAAAAGTTTAATTCACACTGAGGTGAGGCTCAAGGTACGGCCTGTCACTAACGGCTACCAAATAACGGCAACCTATTTGGTTGCCGTTCTGTTTATCCCTTCTTTCTTTGTGTCACCATCACGAACTACTCCATCCAGGCCTCAACAGGCCTGAGAGATCGGCTGGCGGACCTTCTACCCCCCACTATACTATTATTCCTCAGCAGGTCGCATTCAGGGCAAAAAATCATCAAAATTGAAAGGGACGAGACTCGAACTCGCGCGGGTTGCCCCACCAGGAAACAGATGTTAAGCTGACCTTAACCTGGCGCCATAACCAACTCGGCCACCCTTCCTAGTTGATGTATTGGTTTTCGTGTCTCTCCACTGCCTTGTCTCCAGGCTCTCGGATGTTGGCCGACAATCCCGGTCAGCGTCCCGAGTTGTCGGAACGCCTCATGACTCGAGCTAGCCCCGGCTTTGCCCAGCATTCGTTCCCTCGACCTTTGATTGTCAGATTTCAATACCTACACCAAGGGTACTAAAGTGAACGGCGCATCTCATAACAAAAGCTTGTGTATTGCTCTTCTGGTATGGAAACAGACTCAGGCGTGAGTCCTGCGATACAATATACAATAGCATATCCGACCAAGAGAAGACAGTAAAAAGCTCAACGATACTCCATCATGCCTCGCAAGTTACAAGATAAGATGTCTAAATAAGGTTTGGGTATATGTACTCTGCATCATCAATTACCGTTGCCTTGGCAGGCCAGGCCGGGCTCATTCATCCCACATTCAGCTATCTGAGCCGATTTGATTGGATTGCCGATCTTCGTCGCAATGATTTCGCCTTGCGGAGCCAAACTGATCAGAATATTGATATACCCTGCAATATTGCTCAAATGGGGGTGGGGGTTCCGGATTTCCGGATTTGCGGAACGCCTCTGCCGTGGCTTGGTAGCCTTAGATACGTCAGACGCGCACAATCACTGAACAACTGCAACAGCAGCTTCGCTACTTGGAGCGGGTTGCGACGCAGATTCAGATTCATGTATGGCTTTGACTAGACATGACCTTGGGCTTCCGGGAATGCTTTCCACAGAGGTGGTGATCTCTGGGAGAACGCTTATAACAGAAGGTAGCGTTGCCGTCAACTGTCAGAGGCGCGTACTTTCCTATTACACGGCAGTACTCAAGACCTCGGGGCATCCAATCCTTGATATGTCTTTGAAGCTCGCAACGTGAAAGCCCGCACATTCGACACCAGAAGAGTCCACGCGAGGAAGAAAAGCTTGACACGGTGTCGAGTTTGCCGTTGGACTCCCTTTTTGAATTACTGGGATTTGGTTGACGATAAATGAGTTGTTCAGCTGAGCGCCAAGCCCACTCCTGGACGTTTAGACCTTGACGGACTGTAGACAGTAGTACGGAACCATGCCGGCGTCGATGGAGTTTGTAAAAGTAACGATTTACCAGACTGAGGCATGTGCTATCGATAGCGTCGAGGAAGTCCATTATTATGTGGTGTACTTCTGGAGGCATATCGAGCATAGTCAGCTCCGAGATCGTTGGTGCCTTTGGATCTTTTTGGACGTCATGATCTGGGGTTCGGCGACGGGTCGAAACATTTATATTACGCGGTCGAAGGGTATAACAGGAAGGCAGATGGTTTCGTCGCTCTCGGTAACGGACGGAGGTGTTGAGACTTCGCAGCGAGGGGCACGAATGCGACTTCGGTAGCAAGCCCCGTATCGTTGATCTTTCGTATACCCCTTCCACGAAGCGTGGAAGGTGATTCTTCGAGACCATCACGGCGATAACCTGGGCGTTTTCGTACGACATTGTTGACAGAATTTCTGGGCAATGACAGTAGCCGAGTTCCAAAGGAAACGGATTCCTATCGTCCTGAAATCGAAGCAAGATTTGGGAGCTTTGTAGCTTTACATGTGAACACTTCTAAGACAACACTGCCCCGCACCATGGCATCTTCCCACAGAGTTTGGGCGAACGCGATACAGCGAGGCAATCGCACCGCGGCTTAGTTACAGCGTATGTCACGATTCAAAACCTGAAAGTAAGCCTTCTGGCGCAGCCGATAAGGATCGCCGCCGAGCATAAAAGGGTCAAGTTTGCATCGTGACCTGCCGGGGTAGAAGCCTGAATCTATCACAGAGGCGATGGCTCCGTGCAAGGCATTTTCGACATCGTGAGCCACCGTCATTCCATATGTACGGACATGACGGAGGTGGAGAGAGCTTTGGTGGAAGAAGACGCACAGAGCAGGTTAAGCTTTGTTCAGACATTGGCCCATGACCTAGTCTGAGGTAAGTTTTTGGTGGTATGCCCAATCATCGTGTATGTGGCCCTTGAGTTTCCCACACTGGCGATGCAACGTGCATTGTCGGAGGCTGTGCCAGTTCACCAAGACGCGTGCTCTCCTGTGAGACATTGGTTCTCCGGACGTGGTTAGCGGGGATGATCGATGGTGTCCGACTTCGTGTGACCGAAAGAGGTCGATGAAAGTCAACTGTGGAAACAATACTTGGGCGTTCCGAGAAGAAAGGGTTTCGTGTAACTAACCGCCTCATTTTGGGAAAATCGAATCACCGAAGAAAGCATCTTCCTTTCATCCGACTGATGGGGCTTGACAGGAAATAGGCGTGAGCTCGTTCTCGCACATTAGCCAAACCTCTGGTTTTACTAATCTATCAGTATCATCATGCCAGTGTCCAACTTCTGACCTGAGAAATTGCTTGGTCAAAATTGAGTTTGCGTTTCCGGAAATCTGAGCTCAAGCGTGCATCCACACAGTGATCTTTATAACAATGTCGACAATCCCCTTGAAATTTGATTGGAAACTGTACTCAACAAAATTGCCATAATGAACACCAATTGATTCTAGTGAGTTGAGGTGGATCAACGTGTTTACCTGTACCTCATTGGACATTTACTGCCTTCAATCCAAGGAAGTTGTGAAATAGGTTGCATAGGCCATTACCTGAGATGGGACGAATATCTCGCTTGAACGTCAAATTAGTTGGGTATACTAAGAAATGTTGTACATTAAGCTGAACAGTAAAAGTTCAGAGAAGGGAGAAAATATCCTCATAAACCCAGCCCAGACTTTTTCATGATAACTGCAATGCACCTCTGATTCACGGCTCATCTGGGTGCAGAACGCTCCAGATCTTGTTGACAATCTCATTCAGGTCGTCTTCATCCGTGATCTCAAGGGCCTTTAGCTCCTTCTGCGCCAGCTCCTTTCCAAGCTTATCCTCGCCGGTTGCCGGCGTTTCGAGGCACGATTCGAAAGGGTTGTGGGTTTCCCCATCCCCAACAGGCGTCTGGGTAATGTACTCGACAATCTCGGCGAACTTGACAGCCTTATCTTGTTCTTCCCGCTCATTACTGCTCTTGATGAACGGCTGTAGGAGACTCACCCAGCTGGCCTCGACGGCGCAGCGCTGGTGGTACTCCCTGATCTGCTGTCTCTTGTGACACTGGAGGTAGGTGGCGCGGCTGATGCCGATGAGCTGTTCGTGAGACCCCCTGTCTGCAGCAGATTGGCCTCGGCTCTTTGTCCAGAAGAGAGACTTGAGTTTTTTGTAGAGGGATGACATACAGTAGGAGCCCCATGCGGTGGTGGTTCGCGCGCTGGCGTCTGGCTTGGAGCCCATGGTGAAGCTTGGGGACTCGGGGCATGGCATTTTGTAGACGGCTTTGTCGACGAGGATGAAGGTGACGGCGATTAACGCGCTGCCTCGGATGAAAGAGGTTAAAATAGTTGTCTGAATGTGTACAATTGCTGGGCTGAGCTCAGGTCAGCCAGGGCACGTTGTGGGATGTGTGAGACACCGCGTAGAAGGCTTGAAGCAGTGGTTGAGTGAACATAAAGATGGTATATCATGATTTAGCTCCGCTGTGCATCCTACTTCGGGTTTCCATCATGTATGATGGCAGGCTGAGAACGGAGATAAGTGGTAGAAGGATCCGTAAATTCTTTACCCACGGTTGCAACAAACCTTGCCAGACGAGTTGTGAACGATGGAGGTAGTGCACACCAAGCAGCCCGTTGGTTTCATTCAGTACGATGAGGCGCGATGTTGGAACTTCTAAAGGGTATTTTCATTCTTCATCAAACATCTACACATTACATGCCAGAGTAGGCGTTCAGCGCCAACTGGCCGCCCAAGTGGGCATACAGGACATTGCTTCCCGCCGGAATCTCGCCGTTCTTGATCAGCTGCATCATACCCGCCAGACTCTTGCCCTCGTAGACCGGGTCGGTGATGAAGCCCTCGGTGCTGGCGCCGAACTTGATGGCGTCAATGGTGACCTGGTCCGGCACGCCGTAGATGCCGCCGTGGAAGCGGTCGTCCAGAATGATGTCCTCCTCGGTGATGTCGCCCTCCTCGAGGCCGATCTTGACGCCCGTGTTCTTGGCGATGCGCAGGATTTGGTCAAACGTCTGCTTGACGGTGGCCGAGGCGTCGATGCCAATGACCTTGCGCTTCGGGGAGCCGTTCTTCTGGGCGAGCTTGAAGCCGGCGACCATGCCGGCCATTGTCGAGCCGGTGACGGCGCAGACGATGATGGTGTCGAAGAAGACGCCGAGCTCCTTCTCCTGGGCCTCGACCTCAAAGGCCCAGCGGGCGAAGCCCAGACCGCCGAGGGGGTGGTCGGAGGCGCCGGCGGGGATGTAGTAGGGCTTGCGGCCGGCGGCGAGCAGCTCCTCCTTGAGGTTGGCGACGGTGTTCTTATGCTCGATGCCGAACTTTGAGGGGTCGAGGCGCACGTCGGCGCCCATGAGGCGCGACAGCTGGAGGTTGCCGACCTTGTCGTAGACGGGGTCCTCCCAGTCGACCCACTTCTCCTGGACGAGGGCGGCCTTGAGGCCGAGCTTGGCGGCGACGGCGGTGACCTGGCGCGTGTGGTTGGACTGTACGCCGCCGATGGAGACGAGTGTGTCGCAGCCCTGGGCGAGGGCGTCGGAGGCGAGGTACCTGGTTGGTGTTAGTGACTGATATCCCTAGGGCCATGGGAAGAGGGTTTCTTACTCGAGTTTCCTGGTCTTGTTGCCGCCGTATGCCAGGCCGGAGTTGCAGTCCTCGCGCTTCGCGTAGACGTTGACCTTGCCGCCTAGGGCAGCGGATATGCGGGGGAGGGGCTCGATGGGGGACGGGCCGAAGAGGAAGCTCTCACGAGGGATGCTCGCGAAGGGCTCGGGGAGGAGAGACATGACGGGCGGGGTTGTGTAAGGGCGTCTTTGGAAAAAAAGGGGTATCAAGTGAAGAAGAAAACAGTCTTAAAGTGAGAGGCAACAAGACGAAGTAGAACAAGACAGTGAACGGGAGGCTCTTTAATAAGGAGTTGGCGATGCCTCGATGAGAGCGACGTCGGATGGTCGAAGCCAAGACTCGGGGCCCTAGGCTTCCTGACTCGAGGGGGTAAACGCGGGCGGGTGGGTAAGATAGAACGGGACGATCCACCGTTATCTGCAACGAGATCGCGGGGCGGTTGTTGATAGGAGTTGATCTAGGCTGTTTTCTTTCTGGTTATCATGTTTGTTCTCTGTTTTGAATCTGTAAGACGAGTCTGCGATGGGTTGCGCATGCGTGGTTCTCGGTCTTGTCACGAGAGTCAGTACTATGATGCTACGATGCTGTGATGGCGGCTGTTGATGAACCTGAGATGAACCTTAGTCGTCTTACAACGCGCCGTGACAGTCCAGTCGCTGTCGATGCCCCTCCACCAGCGCCATTCAGGGGACCTCTCCCCCTGCGTGCAAGACGAAGTGCCCCGCGTTGCGCATTCTCCGGCGGGGTCATTTCACTTATAGCTGGCCCAGACAGTGGACGACCCCGCGATGACGCGAGTGGAAAATGAAGGGAGGGAAATGAAGGGAGACCCGGAAAAGTCAATTCCCCGCGGGAAACTTCGCCAAACTTCGGCGAACTCACCGCAGTCGCTCATTTCCCACTCATTTCCCGCATCTCTCAGTCTCTCAGTCGCTCAGTGCTAAGTACAGCAGCAGCAGCAGCAGCAGCAGCAGCAGCAGCAATTTTCGCGCCACTTTACCGTGGTATGGCGGGGTTACGGAAAACACATGATTTTCAGGGATCTCCGGTTATCCCATTAATCTTAGAGCGGCCCGCGAGTAACACATCACGCTGCGATGAAGACCCCATTGGCTGTTCAAATTTTTACTTTTTTGATTCATGTGGCGCATATCTGGCTCACTTTTTTGGACAATATACATGTCGTTTCCCTCCTAGCCCTCTACTATGTCACCCGTCTCAGTACATGGCCTGCATCTGTTGCTTCGTCCTCAGTTACGCTTCAATACGATGTCCAAATGCTGACGAAATCTCTAGATCCCCCACCTCTCATAACAACCCCTACTCGGCATCCAATGGCGCGCGGGGAGGGTTGTTGTTGACCTGGATACCGCCACGCTTCAGCTCCTTGCTGTCGGGGAACGGCAGCGCCCATCCGCCCTCAGTCTCGGGCGTCGACAGCCAGAGGCGGAGGAGGTGACGGCGAGGCGCCGGGGGAGGGTAGTCTGGTTCGCACGTCAGCAACTTGTCTCATTCATCTCGCAACTTCATGACGGAACTCACCCTTGTACGCAGTCCTGGCATGCAGCAAGTGCGCATTGCTCAGGAACTGGATGTCGCCGACCTCCAGGATCATGTGCAGCGCCAGCTTCTGGCACGTGTCCTCGAGCGTCTTGAGCGCGTGCAGCTGCTCCTCGCTCAGCGGCGGGATGACGCCCTTGTCCGAGAAGCGCGTCAGGGAGCGCACGTAGTACGGATCCCACTTGCAGTACACTCTCTGCTTGCCGCCGTTTTCAATATAAAAGACGGGCTGGCGGGTCCACTCCTCCTGGCCCTCCGACACCTCGCCCTTGCGGTCAAAGTACCAGATGGGCTTCGTCAGGGTCTCGGCAACGTCCGGGTGGGACCGCTGCAGCTCGTTCCAGACGGCGTGGATGCTGACGAGGTCGCTCTCGCCGCCCTCGGCCGCGCGGTGGACGCAGAGCAGGCCGACGAGGTCGCCGTCGTCGGCGTGGAAGAACTGGCGCGCCGTCGTGCGGTAGATGCGCACCTTGTCAATCTGCGTCGGGTCGTCGCCCACGTCCTTGACGTGGCCCAGCACGTGGCCGCGCCCGTTCTGCGAGACAAAGTAGCCCAGATACGTGCCGAGGCCCATGTAGCCGACGGCCGTCTTGTGGGGTCCCCATTCCTGCGCGGGGAAGCCCTTGAAGAGGATGAAGCCCTTGCCGTTGATGAGGTCCCCACGGAGGTCGACGAGGCGCTTGCCCAGTGTGGGGAGGGGGAAGTTGTCCTGCGGGCGCGGTGTTAGTTGATCCAGTGGGATACAACAAGAGACGATTTCATTGGGACATACCTTGGAGATACCCGTCAAGGGGGTGTTGCTGGCGATGAAAGCGTCGGATGTGCGGCCGAGCTCCTCAACCTCTTCAGGTGTGAAGCGGTGCGTCCACTTCTCGGGGTGCTGTTCAAACTCCTCCTTGTGCCAGACGGTCGGGCCTGAGATCTCCTTGGGGAAGTCCTCATACGGCCTCAATGCCTCGTAGATGGGGTTGTGCTGGCCCGAAGTGCGGATGCCATCGGGGAAGATATTTCTGGGAGCGTCGTTGTTCTTACCCTTCCAGGGGCCCTGGGCAGGCTGAACGGGCTCGTCAATGAGGGCTCCCGGCGCCATGATTGTGTGTTTGTGTGTGTGTTCTTGGGGGTATCGATTGGGCGGTTTGAGGTATCACGATGAGGGGAAGAAAAAGAACCAAGACGACCGGGTGTTGCTAACTGTCTTGGAAGATGAAATTTGGAGCAGGCAAATAGTCTTGAAAAGGATTTGATCTACCCCTCATTATACGCTCAAACTCTCTGACGGTCGGCCAGGGGCCCTGCGCCCCTTTATCACCGGGCGACCGGTTCATTGGGATTTGGGGGCTTTGTGTTGCTGTCGAGCTCGATGCATCAGATGGCGTGCTCAGGGACCCATATCGCGATGGTCGTCCGATGACGCGAGACAATATGGGTGTGGGGTTCGCCGATCGGGGGGGATTTCACTTGTGAAGTTGGTTGTGAGGGCCCCGCACCGCACCGCCGGCGCCACCAGTTTCCTATGGAAACGCTCCGGAATTCTAGTCTTGTTGCCCTTGAACCGGGGGTTCGGTATTAACTTTTTCACTGCCTGTTTAACCGCTCACCCTTCCCAAGCCGTGCGGTTGTGCAATTGCGTCTTTTTCCCCTGCTCGTCCAATGTCCCGGATGCTCCCGTACGAGCCGGCAACGGCGTGGCTGGCTCAGTTCCGATACTGCCTTGCCATGGCGCGGTGTCAGAGCTCCGACGACTTGGAGATGACCCCAACACACCACCACTCGCTGTTAGTCGCGGTTGCGTAATCGCACCCTGGTAAGAAGTACTACTGTTTGACGTCTGGAACCCCTGTCGATTCTTCAACGGTTGCGCGAGCTGTCTTCCCACTTGGGGTTGCTACACGTGTAGCCTCGCTCACGGCGTGCGACGTCCAAAGGTAGCGTGTGCATAACCGAGCTCGGCCTCTCGCGGCTACACATGGCAGTTGGGGCCTTTGTCTTTTGATCTGCTTCAAAGCGAGCCTACTGCTAAGCGATGTCTAAGCTTGCAGGGTGCCCTGCGGCTGGTGACTAGTGAGTATACATTGCATCGGCGGGTGCATGGCTGCCAAGGACGACAATGGAAGATGCAAACCCGAAAGCTCCGATGATGCGGTCCAGACCGCGGCGGCGATGGGCCTGAAGGGACCAGTCAGCAAGTCAAAGCTTGGGATGGGTAAGAACTGAATGTGAAAAACATTATACACTGGAGAATGCCAGGCATTAGATACATAATGTACTACTCTCTTTAATTATACCCCAAACTCCTCGATGACGCTTCTGGGCTTCTTGAATGTCCCGAGCGGCACATATTCCAGATCATCCATGCCGAATCCTTTCGGCCCGCCAATCTCAATGCCCCGCGCCGTCGAGGTCCACTTCTCCGATGCCGTGATGCCGAGCACAATAACAAGAAGGCCGTACCGGTACTCTTGCGTGCCAATGGCTTCGCCATTTTGTGCGTCAATAACGCAGACGAGATCCGGCACAATTGTTAGAATCTTTCAAACAAGTGTTAGCTGGTGACCATGTTCAAGTCGACTGCGGTTGCTCTCACCTCCTCCTTTCCATCACCATGAATCTTCTTCGCAAGAATATTCTCATTCTTGAACGGGATTTTCAACCTCTCAACCGTCTTTTCGCGGCCGTTTTCCCTGTCAGACGACGTGCTATTCTCGATGATGACTTCGCCATAGGCGTGTCCCATCCTCGTAACTCTTTCGACGCCCACAATTTTACCCCTGAACAACACCCTCGCCGACCCCGCCCCGCCAACTTCGTCAACGATGGCTTCGGCAACAGAGTCGATGGTATTCGTGCACCGCGACAGCGCTACTGCACGGCCAATGCGCCAGGAAAGAGATACCGTGTTCTCGACGACCCAGGACTTGGTATCGCGGCCGCTGACGGGGCCCTTTGCGCAGCCGACGTGGGAGCCCATTTGCGAGAGGGCGGCGCGGAAAGCCCGTTCTGCGTCGAGCTCTGTGCGGGCTTTTGTCATGAGCTGTTTGATCAATTGTCAGTAACCATGTCTCACTGCACTGGGCCACTCGGGGAAGTTGGCGGTTGGGGAAGAAAGCACACCATAATTCTGCCATTGCCGTCGGAGATGCATGATGGGATCATTGTCGCCTTCTTTTCGAATACCACCGGCGTGGTCTGATGAGATATGGGGTATGCTCTGCCCATCCAGTCTCCATCGATAGCGGGTATGTCGAGGTTTGTGCTTGCGCCGAGGATTAACCCTTGAAGGCCATTACCGCCTCCGATCTCGAGGGAGATGACGGCGGTAGGTTTCGTTCCAAGATACTTGTAGAGTTCTCTCTGCGACTCCATAATTCTATCAAGCAGTCTTTGTGTCAGACAATGCAAACGGGCCATGTTTCTTGGAGGCAGAAGGGAACCCACTCGTCGCCATATGGCTTCTCAATCGACACCTGCGGAGAACCCTTTCCGCCACCACAAGCCACGATATCATCGTCTCTTAGGTCAAAGGGCGAGATGATCCGAACGGTCGCTCCGGCGCGCATCATCTCTCGAAGTCTAAGCATATGCTGGTACGGAGACCCACCACCACCCGTGCCGAGGATGTAGCAGCCTATCGTGATCCAATCGAGGTCGGTTTCCGAGAGATGCCACTGGCGATCAATGACCTTGGGTCTGTAGGTGTCTATATACTCCTTTGAGTAAGTCATGGCTTGGGATGCCAACTTGGTATCGTCGCTACCGCCTTTGGCTTGTCTGTCGTCAGCGGGGCCATTCCCATCCGTGTACTCGTCAACCGCGTCGAGAATCTGAGTTGCGTCTGCGGATCCGGTCCTAGAAAAGTCAAAGTCGCCCACGGCCTTGATGATTATGCGCGCCTTGTTGGCGATGTACTGAGAGTCTGTGTCAACTGCATGTTTCCGATGACCTGATCAAATCACTTACCTGGAGTGGTAAGCTCTCAATCTCCGCAACGGTGACGGTTTCCCTCGTAGCCCCGTTCTCGACTGCCTTATCGACGGCTCTTTGCGACAGCTCCTTAATGACCTCCGCCGAACTTTTCGTCTCCGTACTCTCAATCGAGTCGATTACACCACTGACTCTAGCCGTCGCGGCGCCAATGGCGTTAGCCACACCAGACCATTCTGGCTTGATAACCCTGCTTGCGCCGGCCAGCGTATCCGGCGCTATCACTGCGCCTCCCCCGACAAGCACGACGGGGATGTCTTCCGGGGACGTTTTCATTGTATCAATGATCCGTTCCAGCATCTCCTTGACCTTGGCCTTGAACTCGGGGAGGTCTTCTCGAAGACTGGAGGTCTCCACCACAGACCGGTCTCCGATATCTATTTTGGGGTCTGCCAGGACAGTGTAATCTGTCGTGGTCGCGATGTTGCCCCCAAATACCAATGCCTTCTGCCGGATCTGGTATCCCACACTCTGGGGCCCGACCACCAAGCCGCCATTCTCCCTCCGGACGATGGAACCCCCTCCGAGCCCGATGCTCTTCACATCAGGGTACGAGAAGTTCGTTCTCACCCCTGAAATCTCACTATACGCTGCAGCCTGCCTCGGAAACCCATTTTCTAACAGCAGACCCACATCTGTTGTCGTCCCGCCGATGTCCACGACCATCATTGCCTCCTTTTCGAGATTCTTCGTCAAGAACGCTGCGCCGCGCATGCTATTCGTCGGGCCACTCGAGAACGTCCTGATTGGTAGTTTTGCTGCTGCGCTAGCAGGCAGGATCGTTCCGTCGTTCTGGGTGACAAAGACGGGGCACTTCAGGCCGAGGCGAGTGACAGCGTCCTGGAAAGAGTGAATGGTACGGCGGGCGAAGGGGAGGATTGAAGCGTTCAGGATCGCCGCGTTTTCACGCTCGAGGAAACCCATGTTGGCCACATCCTTGGACATGACGACATCGGCGGACGGGTAGATTTCGTGGATGATCTCGGCCGCCCTCTCTTCTTGTCTGTATACGACGTCGATGGGGCTAAAGATGCCCACGACGACAATGCTTCGGATGCCCTTGGCTTTGATCGTCTTGGCTTCCCGTCGCACACCGTCTTCGTCCAGCTCAGAAATGAGACTTCCGTCAATCTCAAGCCCACCATCGACCAACCCGCGATGAGCACAGATGATTTCTCTTAAGTGTGGAGGCCAATCGACTCCAACAGGAATACTCGACGAAAAGGGGCCGCAAAGACGTACAACAGCCACACGCGCAAGGCGAGAGGCGTCCATCTCGACCACGGCATTGATAAAATGTGTCGTTCCAATGGTAACGCTCGCGACGCTTGCGGGGTTGACAGAGGAGTCTTGGAACATTTGAGAGATGACTGTGTTGATGCCATCGCTGGGATTAGCGGTTGTACTGGCCTTGTGGGAGGCAAGGATGCCGCGTTTCGGGGATGAAGAGGCTGTTGGGTCGAGGATGACGCCGTCCGTATTTGTCCTTTGCGAGCCGTGAGCACGATTGCAATGAGCGCTCTTCACCTGAGGGGCCAGAACCTACCCGCCGACGTCAACTCCAATCTTCAGAATGGGAGAAACCATTTTGTCTCTTGTGGAAGCTGCTCTATCTCAGAGACCTTTACTACGTCAGCTGTTTCTGGGCTTCTAGAACTGAAAGAGGGATCACGACTTCGAAATCAGTGAGATGCGGCCTAAAGAAGTAAGCATTGTGATGATGGGATCATGCTGGCGAATCAGATGAGGTATGCATGATGTATCGGATGTTTTCCGACACGGCGCCGGCATCGGGCACTGGCCGAAATCCGACCCTGACTCCGGAGAAAAGAATCAATCAGCACCGGCCTTGTTCCTATCGGGGGATGACCAGATCAAAGGGAAACAAACCTGTCGTTGATTCGCTACGAACGAGTCTTGCTTGTCATTAATAGCAGGTTCAATTGAAGGTAGCCCTTCATCAGTCTTATCATCGGCGTGTCAGCGGCGGAACGGGATCCACTCGTCCGCATCCACACCCTTATCATCGGCGTCGGGAGCGTGTTAACCGGGATGTCAGGTTACATCAGGTCTTTTGAGAGGCAAAGACACGACAAGGGGATCCGATGCTCGGGGGTTCACTGGCTCTTCGGTTCGCTTACACACCGCCAAGCTGGCAAACAGCGACTGATTCCCCGGAGAACTACTACCGAAAGGCAACCTGCCCTTTCAGATAAGCGCTTGCTGGGGCTACATTTCAGAATCGAGAACAAGTACCGTAGAAGAGAGGAGGATTTACAGGGAGTTATGGCAAATGTAACATTCGAAGATAAGATGAAATTGTTCTATATCAGATGCACAATACCCTCTTGCAGATTCGATGCACTTGGTTCTCACTTGGCCCTCTCCGTCGACCACCCGGCTGTTAAGCTTATTCCGCGACAATGGCGCAAAAACCCATTCGCAGGATCAAAGAGGCCGTGATACTCAAGTCTGATGAGTCTCGCCACGAGGAAGTCAGCGCTTGGTCAAATCGCGACCTCATTCCACTGCCGCCATCTCGGCGCACTTGGGGTTGGTTCAACTTCTTTGGTTCCTGGTCACTGTGAGTCTTCAATGACACAATGTGTGAAATGTGTGAACCAGGCAGCTTATTCTGTAAAATAGGTCTTCCCTGAACGTCGCAACATGGCAAACACCCAATACCTTCCTGACTCAGGGACTTTCGGTCGGTCAGGCTATGGCCGTCATTGTCATCTCTCGAGCTCTGTGCTGCATCTTTGCGGTCCTCGTTGCTTGGTGCGGCCTGACATGGCACATTGGCTTTACCGTCCAAAACAGATACACATGGGGCTTCCGTGCTAGTTACATCCCGTTGCTGCAGCGAATCCTACTGAACTTTATTTGGACTGCTCTCCAGTGTGAGTCTCTCCCGCTTCCTGCAGATGGATGGCGTTTCATATTGATTATTTGAACAGGCTGGAATGGAGGCAAGCTAGTAACGTATGTATATCTTCTCATTTGACTAGGCTTGGCGTCGCTGACCATGCCATCAGGGTATGCATCACAGCGATCTGGCCATCTTTCGCCAAAATCCCGAACACTCTTAGCGCCAGCACTCCGACAACAACATATGAGATGATTGGGTTCATCGTCTTCTGGGTCATCTCTATCCCGTTCCTTTTCATACGCCCCGAGAGATTCAAGAAGCCCTTTTTCATATCCTCCGTTGCATGCGGCCTGGGCATGATCGCTCTCCTCATCTGGTCTCTGGTGGTCGCAGGAGGTGTTGGCCCGGTCTTCTACCAGGGCGAAAGCGTGTCTTCCAGCTCGCGATGGAGCGCCTCATGGCTCATGATGGCGGGAATCAACCAAGCCATCGGGCAGAAGGCGGCAGGCATGACGAACAGCAGTGACTTTTCACGGTACGCCAAGAACAAAAAGGACTACGTCATCGGCACGGTGACGGTCTACTGGATCACCGGAGTCCTTGTTTGCTTGGGAGGCCTGGTAACCACTGCAGCTTGCCAGAAGATTTATGGAAAAATCTGGTGGAACCCTCCGGACCTGCTGATGGTCATGATGGATCGTAAGATTCCCCCCCTTTGCGCAGGTGACTGCTGAGACTTACACAAATTTGGGTAGATGGCGAAGGTTCTTCAGCATCTCGTGCGGCGGTATTTTTCCTTGCTTTTGCATTCGCCTTTACCTCCATGTTTGAGAACGTCTGCTCGAATGCTGTCGCCGGTGGCATCGACCTCGCCGGTCTCTTTCCGCGCTACATTGACATCCGCCGCGGTGCACTCATCACATTTTTTGCTGCATGGATCATCCAGCCCTGGCAGTTGATCAACCAAGCCGCAACCTTTGTTGCCGTTCTGAATTCATTCGCAGTCTTTTTGGCACCCATCATGGGAGTCATGGTTTGTGACTACTTCATTCTTCGTCAAAGGAAGGTAAAATTGTCACACCTCTTCCACCCAGAGGGCTCGGACTACTGGTATTGGCATGGCATCAACTGGAGGGTGGTTCCTTGCTGGATAGCAGGATGGGCACCCACTATCGGCGGCTTGATCGCGAGCGTAAGGAAAGACAACAACGCCCCCGATGCGATTTACGAGCTTTACTACATCGCTTTCTTTATCGGATTTCTCATCTCGTTCACTCTCTTCTACCTAGCCAACCTTGCGTTCCCAGTTGCGCACCTTGGTGAGATGGACGAGGACGACAAGTATGGCACATTCACAGCAAGCGAGGCGTCCAAATTGGGAGTGTTGCCAAATGATGCAGCTATTTCTTCGGCTTTCGGCAAAGAGGAAGGAATCGGCACCCAGGTGAACGAAATTTCAGAGTCTTCGTCGAGCAAAAACCAAAGATGGAGGAACTTTAGGCAGCGATGAACGAGCGCGAGCATCGGTGTATGTGAGATAGACGACAACAATGGCAGCCAAAGTCAAGCTCGGCTATGCCTGCTCTAGGAAGCAAGACTACATCTCTAAACCACTTCATACTCTCCACCTTCTCATCAGTGTTTTCAGTGTTGTCATATGCCTACTTGGTGGTGCTGAGTGAGCGGTGGCAGCTGTTTACAGTGGATAGATGAACTTGAGATCCTGCTGATCCATGAGATCGCGATCCTCGTTGTGAATCTGAATTACTTCGTCACCCGTGTCCAAAACCTCATTGTCGTCGCCAAAACTTCCAGAGACCCACCACAGAAGTTGAACCCAAGGACTCTTTTTCGGAGGGAAGAAGGCTTGGTGGAGGATTGTGGTGCTTGAGACGATCTGAGACTCAGTCTATTCGCAAACGTCAGCGAGGCCGGAATAGCAGAGACAGAGACGAATGATGAAAAAGCATACCATTCCCAGACTAAACCTCAAAGCAATTAACTGACCTCCAGTTCTCGCAAGTGGGTGCATACCGAGTAAGCGCGCCCAAAGTAACAAAGAACCGACGATGAACTGCTTTTGTCCAGTGCGCTAGGACAACCACGCACTAGGCCAGAGAGCAATAAGATACCCTGTGTAAAAAACGAAAAGGTCGTTGTATTTCTTCTCCGTCATTTCGGCATCCTTGAAAATGCCCATCGCGCTGGCCTGATACAGTGTCGATTTGTCCAGGTGGATGAGGAAGGCAATCCACCACGTCTGACCCAACAGGAGCCAGAAGCATTTGCGAACAGCTTCTTTTCAACTTCGGGCGTCAAAGAGACTACCTTGTCCTTGTTGAGGTTGTAGAAGATGGAGGTGTCGTCGACTTCGGCTTTAGTGACGGTATGTTCATGAGGAGCTTGCGATCCTGTGGACGTTGGGGCCTCGTTGGCTTTCACTGGATACATAGTCTTCTCTCCTATAGGATCCCTTTCGTAGTTGGTCTCGATTGCCATGATTGTCTTGTTCAATGTATAGCTGAGATACTAGAGGCTAGATACCTCGTTGAACAAACTGGTTTCGGACGATGCAAGCTATCGTATTTCCATCTTCAGTGGTCGACGTAGGAAGTCCGATAGGTGAAGGTATCTGGGTGATCATCGGATGGCACAACACACCTTGTTGATATGCAAAAATGAACGCAATAGCTAGACGGTGTCAAATCTGTCTAGTAACCTTCTCCCTGAGAAAAGAAACGACTGGTTCCATTCCATGCCACCAATGAAGGGTACAGTATTTCGTATTCTGCGAGTGGCGTTTTTTAGTCAAACAGGCCCCAGTCATTTCGTCCATATAAAGCTATGAAGCTCTTATTCCTGGTCTTTGTCATGTGAACAAACGAGAAATGATTCCGTGAGCAATTGTGATTCTAAACTCGTCTTAGGCCTATGCCTTGGTTCCTCCAATGTTCCTCGGCCCATCGGGCCCCTCTTCAAGGCCGTTGCCTCTTTTAGCACCCTCCCGCCAACGCCAATGCGGCCGCATAAAAGAGGTGCTCTGGTCTCCATACTGTAAAATATCGGCTGCATGCTGTAAGAAGTGTCAAAATGCCATGACGATCTAGGCTTTTGATCCTACCTCGCCAAGGACAGGGAGAAACTTGGCACCGTGACCGCTACCTCCTGTCGCTACAAAAACGCTTTCGTCGGCAAAGGTGGGCACATAGTCGATCTACAAGGGTCGAATGTCAACGCCAAGGAGTGGAGAGGTTTCTGAGATCAACATACAACGAAGGAATTATCAAGTGAGTCAGTATACCAACACAGCTTAGTCGAATTAAAGTCCGTGCCAGCGAACTCTGGAAGGAATATCGAGGCAAACTTCTTGATGGCTTCCTTGGCTGGTTCAGGGACTACGTGGCAGTCCGCGGGTGGCAGAGGAATCGACCACTTTCCGTCTTGCTTGAAGTCTGCCTCAGAAGGGGCAGGTTTGAAGTTGGTAAACTGGGGACTGTGATCAGCTGACGCATTGATATGAAAACAGCACGATGTACCTTGATGCCACGGAACCCGATTTTGATGAGGCCATCATCGGTTCGAGGGAGGACATAAACGCTGCCTGTGTCTTTTCCGATAGGATTACGTGGGGCGCTTCTCCAAGCAATGACCGGGAAGCGCTCAGGAGAGTACTTGTCCCAAAGAGCCGAATCGTTCTTGTCAACTTTGAAGGTAATCACGCTGCCTGCTGAAGACTCCAGATGATAGGATAATTCAGGCAAAAGCTGTGTCGAAAATGACCCAGCTAGGGATTGTTAGCATCACGAAACCTGAAGAATTTTCAATCTGGGTTCCTGCTTACCAGCAATTACAACAATATCGGCTTTGTGAGAATATCCGTCTTTCGTCCTTACCCCAACCGCTTTTTTCAGGCCTGGTACTGACTGGTTTTCCTCGATAATACTATCAAAGGCACCTTTTTCGGGACCAAAGTAAAATTTGACACCTTGACGGAGGGCCAGCTTGTAATAGTAGGCGCACGCCTCACTGCATTTCGTGAACCCTGCAAGAGAGTCAAGCACAGCTTCATAGGTCTGCACCGGCGAGACCTGTGGAATCTCGAAGTCAAGAAGCTTGGCATTCCAACCACGCTCAGCAGCACGTTTACGGTCAGTAGAGTCACTCTTGACAAATTGGGTGTATCTCAGACAATCTCGCTCAAGGTTGCTCAAGGTCTCGCGCTCAAGCGGATCAAGATAGGCGGTGGGTTGAACGCGGAGCATACCACATCCATTGAAGAGACTTGACTGGTCATTCTCATCTTGTTCCTGGTGGCGTTGCTCATTGATCTTCTCCCAAGCAGCCCGGCTTTCCATTGCGAGGCGCTGGTAATGAAGCTTGGTTCCATACGAAGCTCGGAACTGTGTACGTCATAAGCTACTTGCCAAACGTCGATTTCATATCGAGGAGGCTCACGATCTTGTTATGATCGACGGAAGCAGCCTGCGTAGTACCGTCTAAATCAGGAGCATATTTGGTTTCATCGTAGCGGTATCTGTCAAACACCGTCACGCGATACTCTAAATGATCTTTTTTAGTATAACTTTATGTCCACGTTGATGATAATTACTTACGGCGTTTCCTGAGAGCAACAGCTATGGACAAGCCGAAAATGCCCGCTAACTAGACGATTAGCCTTTTGAAGATGATGGAAGCCGGGGTAATCCACGCACCACCAACGATAGCGACCGATTTCGGTTCTGACATGATGCGTTACTTTACAGACGCTTCTCAGTCCTGAATCGATTAGACAAAGATAGAATAAAATGGTCGCAAGTTGTTGAAAGCGGGGAGAAACATGCCTCTGAGAGCGCTTATCAATACCTATCAAGGTGTGGAGATGAACGGTTGGGGCTGCGCACGCTACTGAACATGGGATGACATGCTGAGGATCGGCTCCACTGAGTCTTACCGGCCCAGATGATAGACGAGTCAGATGTACCCTGGTGCACAAACAAAAGACTAGACCTAGTCACCGAGAGGCTCGGCAATTTGAAAGAACCCAAACCCAAATCAACGTGCCAGGTTTGCTGAACGTGGGTGTCTGTCGAGGAGGGCATATTGGACAATCAGATAACTAAAAGACACGATTATGGCAATTCAAATCGTCGCATTCATTTGTTCATTATTTAGGGTCTAATTGAATTACCCTAATTAAGTAAAATTGGTTGAAATAAACTAGTTTAATTCTTGCCATGAATCCATCTTCCCATCCATTTCTCGTTGAGCTGCTTAGCCTTATCAACCAACCCTAGCTCCAACAACAACTGCACAGAGCCTCTCACAGACGAATACAGCGAAGAACTAATCCAAGCATGAGTTGGAGCTGTATGCTCTCCAATGAAAACGGTGTTGTGCTCCGTGCGGTGGTAAGCGGGGATGTACAGCTTGTGTTGCTGAACATCAGGTCGGCACCATGATGGGGCAGTATACTCATCCTCAAGCCAGCAGAGACGTGCGTAATCGCCAGTATAGAGATCACGTACATTTTCGCCATGGAGGTTGGTTATCGCATCCAACACCAGACCTACATGTTCTTCTTCGGTGAAGCTGACAAATCTATCACTCCAATCTCCTCCTCGATAATGGGTGATCAGACCAGGACGAGATTCGTTCAAGCCGTATACGGGATAGTAAAGGGCTCCAACGGCCTCGTCATCCGGTTTAGAATAGCCGCCAAAAATAGGTCTTTCGCCCTTCTCCCAGAATCTTTCGGAGAACAAGAGTGAAACCTTGCAAGCCGACTTGAAGCGCAAACCGGCCTCGCTGATAGCGCGGTTAAGAACCGACGAAAATTGAGGCAAGTCCATGAAGCGAGTCATCGTGAATGGTACGGCCATGATGGTGTAATCATACTCCTTGGACTCAAATCTCCTATTCTTTGTACTCGGGTACCACGAAAGACGAGTGCGTGCGCGCCCGTCACTTTCTTGAACCGACTCAAGCTTTTGGACCTTCCTGTTTAAAACGAGTCTGTTGGACACATGAGGGATGAACGCATCTGACATGCGGTTAAAACTCTTGTCAACGCACTTCCACTCACTTTCTCCTAGAGAGTCCTTAGAGCCATCGAGGCCAAGGTTGGAGTTGTGCACCATCTCATCCCAGAAGACGTCATAGTCTGTAGAAGTCCAGATGGCATCGGTGTCAGCGTGTAAGCGATTACGAAGGAAGGATTACTCGCTCCATTTGTCGTAACCATCGTCCATCACTCGCTTGTGCACCTTCCAGACGTCACTCTGAATCTCTCTGAGAAGTGTCTCATTCTTGAAAATTGTGTTCATCTTGCTTTTGATGTTGTTGTACTCCGTGGAACTCATCACTGGAGCAGCACCGAGGCTAGGGTTTTCCGCAATCTTAGAGCGAGTCGGGACCCTTCCGTCGGGATGTCTGCTAGTTCCCAATGCGAGGAGCTCATTTGGATGATGCTGGATCCAAGGAATGAAATCGATCTTGAGGTCGGGTTCATTTTTGTTCATCTCATTGAGAAGCTCGGCCAACTGGAACGTCATCCGGTGATCTGTTTACTCGTGCGTTGAGTTGTCGCTCTTGTATGTGACCTTATATGGTAGCCTCATCGGGCCCATTTCTGCGTATTCGTCCGTGTCACCGACGAAAATGGTTCGAAATCGGCCGCCCACACAGTCGCTCGCCTCGATGATCTCCCAATTGTGGATGCCCACGCTGTCTAACATTAACCCGGTGACAAGACCAGAAATGCCTGCTCCGACTATGGCGATTGAGACATTGGTGCTTTTGCTGGACACCGAACTTTCGTTGAGAGTAGCTATTTGCTCGAACCAGACGCCGTTGGAGTCGAAGTCTTGTAAGCGCGGCTGGTTTCCAAACGTTCTTTTTTGTTGCTGGTGATCCGGATTCAGCACTCGTCCAAAAGACCGTTGTCCAAGGGCAAGTAGCAACAGCACTAAAGCGCAACTTGGACTCGTCAACACAACCATCTTGAATGAAGATTAAGGGAAGGGACAATAGCGTTTATTTTGAGTGAGGAATAAAGGGGTTAACAGGCCTGTGGCCCTCACAAATTGCATGAACGTCATTGTTGGTGTACTCCACTCTATTTATTCATCGTTGCCAAGGCTGTTGCCTTTGATGCGGCTTAAGCTTAGCTACGAGCGAGCTCGGAATAACCAACAACCTTGACAGCTTTGAGGTATATGATTTTTGCGCTTCTGTCGTCTTATACAAGATTTTACGTGATATGGTAATTCATCTGCAAAGTTGATCATAATATGGGATGACATTGATGCATTGTAGATCCCAATACCAATGTCAATGTTGACAAAGTTATTGGCAAGCACTCAAGAACTTTAACGGGCAATTAGCCATGTACTGCTGTAATGCCGACCATCAAGGTCCTAAACTTCCAAGGATGTACTTAGTCCCAGACTCAACATGACGTACCAAACATCAGTGGAACTTCGATCAATCGATTGACGAGACAACGCATAATTTATAATGACCATAGTGGGACAACTCAATGAGAGGACTGATTACTTGACCTTGCTAACAGTCTGCGTAAACATATGGCCAGCTTGGTTAATGATATGGGATAAAACTGCACACCGCCCTACCCGGCCAAAATTCTTACTATTGGGTTCCAAGGGAATGCAACTCCAGAGTTTGATGTCATCCTTCAACAATTTCTCACGAACCTTGCCGAGTTCCTCTCCGCCAATGCCACGTGGTTCGAAGTTGCAGAGTCCTGGGCTACAATGAATCTAGACCAACCGATTCTGTAATCCTTCATCAATAACACTTACGAGATTATATCTGCCAAGGAACAGGCAAAGCTCGTCCGAGATCCATTCTACGCCGATTGTGCGGCTTCAAAAGGCGGGCGGCTCTCACATGTCAATCCTGCTCCGCTGCAACGGGGGGCGCTTGCCGATACCTCATCATCAACCGTTGAGGAGGCTCTCATGAACAATACCCGGTTTATGGTTTATGGACTGGTTCAATGAAGAGATTCTCTACCGAGATCCGCAGCACAGTTCGAGCAGTCTGCCTCTCTGTGTTCCACCCACACAGAAAGAGACGTCTCGAGACACTTATCTGACCGCACCGCAAACGCCAAAGGCCTTTTCAATAAGTCGTATCTCGGTTATGAGTGGAGTTCCAAAAATTGTGGTACCTATTGGACAACTGTCCTACCTCTCCTCTGTTACAAATCATACGGAATACCTGCCGGTAACTGTTGATTCAATGGCAGCGAAAGGATGTGACGGAATGCTCTTCTCGTTAATTGAAGATTTGCACAAGGCAGGCCTCATCAAGGGAATCCAGCCAGGCCGAAGCGCTTTTAACGGCAGAGACATCTTGTTATGAACACAGACGGCATGCGTTTAACTTGCAGAAGGCGAAAATATCATGAAGAAAAACAAAGAAACAACCCAGTCAAGTACCTGATAGATGTCGGTAGAGAAACCTATGGGATCGAGGTTGAGGGCAGGCACAGTACAACACTGCTGCCCAGAGCTTTGGGAATATAGTGCACACTGTGTTTCCTCATTCGAGCCGATCATTGAGGAATCGTGGAAATGTATATCATAATCATAACAACAGGCTGTCCAGCTCAGACTAAGGACCACAACAGAGAGCTGTACATCTCCATGCCGCTTTTAAAATTTACAGCTCGTTATCTATAATAAACGAAAAGATAGCTCAGTGCGATGATAATTATACATTTCTGAATAATTAGTGGGAAAATACAAACGTGGAATCTGTAGGTAGGTTCGCAAGCTGTTTAGAATTGAAGAATCTGGTTTTTGTTGGTAATGAACTGTCTTGATGTTGGATAGTTTTATGAAATAATTGAAAACAGGAAAGTTACGATGAGATGTGATAGTCATGGTCTTGGACTCATCTTTGTTGACATAAGCTTCTTCGCCAGTGAGTGCTTTTGAGATCAACATGCATGTTGAGAAGCATGAGAAAGCCATTCTTTGATAGTCTGAGACTTAAACGGGAAGCTTGAAGCCGGTCTTGCGTAGTTTTTGAAAAACGCTGGTGGGGTCATACTCCCTAGCAACGGACTTAAGGAACTTAATGGTCTCCTCGCCGTGAGTCGAGATCGGGTCCTGATCTCCCCAGGCATAGTTGAGATACTTCCAGTCTTTGTAGAGCCCAAGCGACTTTGCATACTCGTCAATAGCGTTGCGATATTCGAGGGCTAAAGGAAGAATGATCTCCTGGTTCTCGGGGGTGTCGACGGTCAAGGCAATGAGCCACATAATGGTAGGTCCGTCGGCAACAACATCTTCCAGTCCAAGCGAATTACCGCCGTTGTCTCGGCTGTGGCTGACGATGGACTGGGTGACAGGTTGGAACTGAAGAAGAACGTTGAAGTCAGAGCCAGGGGCAGCGGCGGCCATCTTAAGAGAGTATTCCTTATGCTTCTTGTCAATGAAATCCATGATGCGGAAATCATTGGCTGTCTGGCCGACCATCCAATTGGCGCTAAGTATAATGATAAGCACCCTGATTACGAAAGAAACCTGCAAACCAGTCTACTTACTAGAGCCCCAAAGGAGTAGGTCCGGTAAATTCTGGGACAAGCTCCGCAACTGATCCAACTCGAAGGGTATTGGAGATACTAGGAATAGGGTAAAACTCGTTGAAAGCGGTAGCATTGGGCTTAGCTTGAACATTGGTCAAGATGGACCTTAGACTGAATCCCGTCTTGTCATAATACAATGCCACAATGGTCTGACTGTAAGGGTCCCTGTCCATGTTGTCGGCAAAGTTAAGGTAGGCGTTGAAAAGCGCATCTCGTTCGCTCTGGTTGTAGCTTACGAAGCCACCCCACATTTGGGTTCCTTCAACCGTGCCTGAGTGTCTACATTTAGCATCAAGCGTATCTGAAATTCTTTTCTTAACCCGGTGAAATGAATAGTGAGACTCACGCTGATCGATTCTGGTAACGAAACCAAAGTTTCCGGAGCCTCCCTTAAGTGCCTTCCAGAGGTCCGCATTCTCGTTTTCATTTGCATCCACAACGGAACCATCCGGAAGAACAACCTCAAAGTTAGCTACCATATCACAAGCAAACCCAACAGAGTTAGTGTGGAAAGAATACTATTGAGATATAGTTAGCGATTGAATGTTTGGGTCTCCTCGCAGGCAACGAGGCGCTGGGATACTTCACATAAAGTGAGTAGTTTAACTAATCATGCAGCAAATAGGCGGATAAAGAAGGCCGAAAAAAAGGAGATGTTCCATAAACTTACGCCGCCACCAGTTGTGAACCCGCCAACACCGACGACGGACGCTCTGCCGCCAACGGCAGCGACACCGTAAGGGTCGAGAGCGGTGTAGACCCTACCCCAGTTTGAACCAGGCCCTATGGATGCTATCTTTGTGTCTTCATCGTATGTGGTAGCATTAATGTAACCTGTAAATAATCATTGGGTTGGTGAATGTTTCTCGAAGCTGGTCAGTTCGTCAATAGGGATTTCGTACCAAAGTCAACAGTGACACCATCTTTGACGCCATTGGATCCTTTGAACGCTGAGTGAGCACCGCTGCGGATTCCGAAGGGGCATTGGTTTCTGTGAAGAATCTTTGCGATCTTCGACACATCTGAAGTAGTCTCTGGAAGCACCATACACCAGGGGGCCTGGGCAGCATTGGCAGAATAGTAGGCCTTGAGCCGTTCATCGTAGAAGGAATTGTCGTGTGAAAAGACTTTGCCTTCAAGATCTTTTTCCTTGGCCAAAGCAGAGCACTTAGTAGAAAATTAGCAACAATTGTCACCAGCAATAAATAAGAATTTTGACGAACGCAAACGCAATGGGGGTTGCGGCCCCTTGCAATGACTGTTGAGGCACTTGAAAGGACCAAGGCCAAGATCGACAAGCTTGAGAAGAATTTCATGGCTACACAGTAGTTTGACTTTGTGTGCACGAGCTCCCTTGTCGCTCCGGGCGGGGATCTGATGGGAAATCCGACTTTGGCACGTGTAGTCAAGGTGAGACGGCAACAGCGATCAAGATATTTAGGAGGTATTCTAGCAGATATCTATGTGGTTGTGATCGGCAGTAAACGTTCAAATCTCTCACGCTGATGTTTACCCACTTTTGAGTTCAGACCATTCTCCCTTCGCTGCAAACTAATGTACCGTTCTTGGGAATGTTCCAAGGATCAGCATGTATCGGTGTAATTGCCCCAATGTAACTAGCGGGAATTGGTTTCCCACAAACCGCAGGTCGCGCATGGAATGCTGAATATTAACGCAAATCTTGTACTTCGGTTGACCGCAGTTCGGGTGGAAATGACCCTCTTGAACAAGTTTACCTATGTGATACGGGCAAAGAGATTATTGTTCACGTTGTCTAACAGATGCAGTCACCTTGCCAACTCCTTATCGACGTGGAACTTGAGTTTCTACCACCCGCAGCACGGGAAATTATGTTGAACCGGCTTGGTGTAGCCAAGGATATCTATCCCATTGAACTACGTAGAGTTTCTCGGTCACCTCGCCGCGATCCTATTTCGCAAACAGTTAGAAAGCCAAGGCTCATGCAAACTGTGAGACCTTGTCGCGCTCTTAGCGTTAGTAGATTTTGCGCCATCCAACCAGAGATTGTTGAGGCAGCCGTATCCGGTTTGTAGCTGAGAACGGTGCAGACGAAAATCAAGCTTTCTAAATAGAGTGTTTTTCCTCCACTAGCTAAGGTCTAAAATGCAGATGAGCTTGGAATTCGATGTCGATTCCCTATTTCGCCAATACTTGGGATAGCTTGTGACCATATGATGCAAGCCCATCTACCTAATGACAGTTTTTGAGAAGAGTGTTGATTCATCATGTACATTACCCAACACTTCCGATCAATAAGACACTGCTCGACTGATCATCAATACGATGACACCGAGGCGAACCAACTGCAAGACAATGTCTGTTCTTCTCGCGCACCGAAGGCATGCCCTGTTTAGTCAAAGGCAACCAAGCGCTTTCTTACATCCTACCTGTTCTTCCTCTTGTCATAACCAATTCTGAGAACTCCTCCCCCCGATTTTTTAAAGGCCACTTCTGAAGTCATTCATCCAGAACATATGAGGGCGAGTCATGTCAACAAAATGTCATGTGTTTCGCCTAGGTATCCTTGGAGGTTGCGAATAGCGCCAACTGTCTTAAACTGCCTAATTTACATAGACTGCGTTTAAATCGTACCATGGACTTGTGTGACAAAGCATACACACTGTCACCTCTACCATATCTCGTTTGGAATGGAAAAGGGGTCAACAAGATCCTGACGAGCTCATTGTCCCACTAAGGGACATCCCCGCTCAGGTGGTCCAGATGAATATTATGTCGCATGAGGTACAATGTGTGTGTGAGGAGTCGGTTAACTTCTCGCCGCTGCGTGGTTTTGCCCTGCTGCACGCGCTTGGGGGATCGATGTCTTTTTCGCCTTTGGCTCAAGATGATCCGGAACAGGCGGAGTCATGTGTGTCCGCCTTTGCAATGGGCTGCGACCAGTGCCGCCGATCACCGAGGTCAGTCTAACCCTGGTGTCGAACAAGCATGACACGTCGGTAGACCCAGATATCAACGGCAGCCTAATTCAAGGATGTGGCGTCCTGAAAACCTTTGTATCTATCCAGGCGAGGGGTCCATGGTTTGCTTTGCCAAGGGCACAGGGCTCTCCTGGCCCCCAGGTCCCCGTCTTCTAAGAAATTCTTCCTTGTGGCTGATCAAGTGGCCACTCCGTCTTACGCCGAAAGACTACCGGGAGTGCGGACCAGCCACCCCAGTTGAAAAATCAACTTCCAATAGCCAAACCTTAACGGGGGTTCGGACCAGAAATGTCAAATAGGATGTCTACCAGGGAAAAAACACTATGCACCTAACCAAAGACTCAAAGTCGTATTCCACGAATTGAAAGCCGCTTGTTTCTGAATGACCGGGGCAAAGTAAAGCCGGTATTTTGTGCTCAAGGGTTGGGCACAGTACAACTCATGGAGACAGATATCGTTTTGATGAGGAGAAGGTCGAGTACGCGTGAGATCAAATTTGGTACCAGGAACACGGGTCGCATTGAACAGTTCGGTATCGGGGGATCGGGGGTTCTTGGAACGTTCCGGATTAATCCATGCACACCATATAACGGATCAATCCAGAGTTCATCCCGTCATAAGCGGTAAAAGCTGCCTCAAGCATGCAATCTTGTCGAGGGGTAATAAATTTCTGCTTTGAACCCTGGTTTTCTATGGCTCGGGAGAGCCGAACGCATCCACCAAGAGAGTTAAGGAGAAGCTGATCAGAAGACAAATGGCAATGTATATACCCTTAAGTATTTCTTTTCTGTTGTTCAATCCACCGCTTTGATCATTCACGAGCCCGATCTTTACCATCATGTCTGAGACGTCTATAATTCCCGCGCCACCGGGCGTTGACGTCAACTTTGACCATCCTCGGCAGCAGAAGGTTTTGGAGCACTACCTTATCTTCGGCATTGGCGGGACTATCGCCTTTATCGCCTTATGCCAGAGGTTTTATACCAAAATATTTCTATCGAAAGGTTTACAGATTGATGATGGTATGTGAATTAGCTTTGCTTGAACGATGTCTTTAGATTGAGCTTACCAAGTGCTACAGCGTTCATGTTGCTCGGATGGGTAAGTTTTCATGCTTTTGTTCAAATGCTGTTAGCTTCTTGGTCATTGAGTCTTTAGCTGATCTGAAGCAACCCAGGCTGCATCTATGGTTACGCAAGGAATGCTGGTTGGTTTGTGATACCCAGTGTGCGTACTGCGAGTCACCGAAGCTGATCTGATTGTTTCAGCGTCTATAATCGATGGTGGTATGTGTGCCCATGCTTGGGAGATGCCGCTGTCTAGATTCGAGCGCTATTCTGTTGTCAGTCTTTCTCGCATCTGGAGACCATCGTGAGACTAACCTGATCAAGACCACTTATGTGACAGCACCAGTATTCATGCTTTGCAACGGATTTACGAAACTGTCTCTCTTGACATTCTACCTTCACCTTTCACCACAAAAGTGGTTCCGAATAGCAGTATGGGTAGGCATTGTGGTCGTGTCTCTCTATACGGGCTGCATCACTATCCTTATGCTCTTCCATTGCAGTCCCGTCAGAAAAGCTTTCGACTTCGCAATTACGGGAGGAAAATGCTTAGATGTTGGAATTCTCTACATGGCTACGGCAGTATCGAACATTATTACTGATGTCATGCTGTTTGTCTTCCCCATGCCCATGATCTTTAACCTTCGTATGAAAATGGCACAGAAGATCGGCGCCGTGTTTATCTTCGCGATCGGCTCAGTGTGAGTTACGGACTGTAGAGCTTTTTGCCGTAACCGACATGCTTACATATCTTACAGAACCGTCGCAACATCCGTTGTCCGATTGACCTATCTCCCTCCTCTATTGACGAGCCTTGACCCATCGTGGGATGCCGCTCCTGCGAATGTTTGGACGTAAGTTACCCACTACGGAGTGAGTTACTTCGCGGTCGATCTAACCTTGACATTATACAGGTTCATCGAAGCGAATCTGTTTGTCATCTGTGGTTCGATGCCAACTCTACGGAAATTCTTCAAGCACTTTGCACCGAGAATCATGGGTTCCTCGACAAATCCATCATCGTATGGCTACAACAACAACCACCACGCTTCAGCGTATGCGAACCAGCGATCGAACACCATCAAGAGTCGGCATAGAAAACAATACGAGCAGTTTCCGGAAGACAACGAGATGCGTACATTCAATTCAAATCGCCGGAGAGAAAGAGATCCCGCGTTCACGTCAGTGATTGTCGCCGTCGGGGGGAGGGATAGTGCAGACGACATGAGCGATAAGGCGATATTACAAACAAAGACAGTTACGATCCAGCATGATTAAACAATATACAGTTTCCATCATGATAAAATTGCTCATATCACGTTACGTGTTCTGTGGCGCACGACTTTCTGCGACGGACTGATGCTGCGACGCAGATCCAGCCCCCAACTTTGAACCTACGCTTGATTGGTGAACAACTATCTTCAAAGTATGGCCTAGTGGTCGGTGAGCCTTAGAAGATGCCCTGGACTCATTGAGACTGGGTACTGAAGGGGGCCCCCAACCACACAGGCCCGGTTAAAAGTAGAAATCGAGAGCTTACGTCCTGGTTTCCTCCCCCTCTCTAGCTATTGGCCGGTTCCGGATTTCGTAATCAACGTGGAGCCACAAGCGAGAGCTTAATCTTTCTGTAATTTCCATATCATCGACGTGATTTTGGGAGTAACTAAGGAAAGGCTAACTTAGACACACTGCGATTACGTTCCAGGTATCCGACTGCCTGGGAATGATCTGGCCATACCTGGAGACTGCTGCAATTCCACTTTCAGATTCGTACGTGCGTCTCAAATCCTGACAGCAAAGTCCTCCGTCCCGTCCCTGTAAGTATCTATCTCTGTGCCGCCGCTCGAACAATCATGGAATGGTTTCTAGATGACCTGGTCCAGCCATAACACGATTCAAAAGTCACTCGTCTTTTATCTGCATATAGTCATCCTGGCGATTCAGCGAGTTTCCAAATAACTATCAAACTCTTCTTACCAATCTTCAGGTCGACCATGGTTCGCGGTCTCCCTAAATGCCGGAGCCAGGTGCGAGTATGTGGACGTTAGTCAGTAAGGATTAGTCCCAGCTTAAGTTGACTGTTGCCGCGACGTGCTGCACAGTGCATCTATTAAGGTTTGATGAGTACCCGCAGCCGAGGTGTAAATCAAACAGGGTGCTCCTAGGGAATTGCATCAATCTAGGTAATGCTGAGACCAAATAACGCGCATTTCCGCGCGGGGTTTGACACGGAAGGCCCCGTAAGCCAGGGACGTTCCTTGCACCCCGGAAGAGACCGATCAAATCTCTTTGCCGGCCGGAAACCCTGTACCCGCCAACGGGGCGGCGGGTCTGGACCGAGTCACCCAGAGGATGCAGGCAACACTCGAGCCACAAACCGTTGGTCAAGGATCACCTGAACATCTTATCACGTGCCCTTACAAGATCTTGATATTGTGGCGGAGACGAGGTCCATCCAATGTCTAATTTTGGAAGCAGGCGTGGCAAGGTCTGGCTTGTAAATTCAACATCACTCTTTCGCTTTCGGTTGAGTCGTACTTCGCCCAGCCGTAAACGCTTTTCTTGCAGCATCAACTTTTGGTGGATAAGATGCGCAACTACCTCGTCTTCTCGAATTACAATTACACAGCAACGAAGTTTCTTCGTCTCAATGGGAGGGAGCTCGAGGCGTGGTTCGATGTCCCGTCCTCGCTGGCGCGATGTTTTCAATGACGGTAACAGTGTGACCTATGATTACCATTACTTACTCACATGGCAATTGGTATCGCGGCAACCTCTGTGTGCTAAACAACATTGTTACTCTCCCTCGTTTGTAACCGAAAAGCTGTGGAAAACTGAAAGGAATCATCCTTATCAATGCGCTTCGGGTTATTGATCAGCAATCAATGGCCTGCATGTGCAGTATGTTGAGGGTAGGTTTGTTTCTTTCTTGCGTTGCTTCGTCCATCGCATCACAGTTCAAGTCATCGTCCCCTAAAAAGCTTCGGGTCCTCCTGAAAAACATTACGAACGAGCCCGAAAATCCACAGTTCAAGTCCTCGTCCCCTAAAAAGCTTCGGGTCTTCCTGAAAAACATTACGAACGAGCCCGAAAATCCACAGTTCAAGTCGTGGTGATGTCTTAGGCCGGCTTCCAACATCAACGATTCTGGGTAAGATATTGCAAGGCACTAGTCGAGCGATATAAATGTTCCCATAAACCGCAATCACGTTGCGTCGAAAAAAGTTCTATAACCTTCTGGTTGCAGAACTTCCGAAGGGTGTGGACGAGCACATATATCTCATCCTCGAAGCTTTGGGCGGGCTATTGGGTTCCATGTCTTGGCTCTCATGTTTGAGAATCGTCTTCCCGATCCCGGACTCGTAGCGAGCGACATGGCGACAGGTGAGAAGAAGACAAAGAAACCCATTCACAACTTGTTATTAGTATCCACCTTGGCTTTTGACGAGAATTACTCTGTAAACGGCCTCCCATCCTGAGAGGACCAACTAGGCTAGGATACATGGATTAACCATTCCGAATCCAACCAACTCCATGCTGTGATGCAACCTTTTCTGTACAAATGAGAATCCGCTTGCAGCAAGCTTACAAAAGAAAGAAAGTAAGGAACATATTCCATACAAACCCGACACACATACCAACCAGTGCCCTATACCCCACAGGCACCAGCGCAAAGTTGAAAAGGGCCACCAGCGGCCAGAACTTCCACGCCGCCTTAATCAAGTCAAATATCCTCTCACTCCAAATCTGATAGACCAAAGGCGAGAACCCTAGACGCAGTGCAGAGGTAATTATGAGAAAAGCCGAGTTCATCATGAAAAGCCCAATGGTCTGGTCGACCAGGATCTTGCGGGCGACATTGAAGTAGTTCTTTGATAGCGGCTTCTCCGGCTTCTCCGGCTTCTCGACCTTGGGCTCGACAATGGATGCCTTTCTGCTCCGGCCTTTGGCCGAGTTGGGGAACTGGTCTTCAAGGAAGTGCTGCCACCAGTAATTGATGTGGCCCTGTATGAAGCCAAAGGTTGCGAACTCAAGCACGCGGCGCACGTCGAGCGGGGGCCCGCCGGCGGCCTGCCTGTGCTGGTTGACGATCTGCGCCGTGAAGTTTGCGGTGCCCTTAAGTAGTGATGACTGGATCGCCGTGGCGAGGATGGAGGGCATTATGGCGTCGTTGAAGGGTGCTGGGGTCGGTCGGGTTTTTGATGGTGCATTGAGGCTCAACTGTGAGGTGGCTCGTCTGGCGCGTTTGAGAGTTGCGGTGTGTTTTAATTGGGACCACGTTGTACATAGCGCAGAGAAGCTCGAGCGCTCTGTGTCTCGGTCGGTTCAAGTCAACGCCGATATCGTGCCTAATCTCGGTACGTCTTGCCGCTCCACATGTGAAACAGGAAAGAATAGCCCACCCATGCGGAAGGATTCCAAAAGTCTTATTGTTGACTTTTGAAAACCAAAAACCTTGCAAGACCGCAGACGTGGTTTTAATGTCTCTCAAAGGTAGTTATTGGAGTAATCAAGTGCGACAATGAGCTGCAAGTGACTAGAGTTAAAGTTAACCACTGGATGGCGACCGAAAAATTGCATGGGGTTTAGACTAGCGAATAGCCTAAAAGGAGCAGCGACCTTCACAAGGGTCTGAGTCTAGTTGTCCCCATGTGTAAATATAGGCAGGAAAAAATAGAAGAAAGGCAACGGTGTGACCCAGAACACTTGTGTAAATGGCCGTACATGAGAATCTATTTTCAAGAGACACGCAGTGAAAACCACCCTCTTTCTGCCTTGCTCTTGCTGTGATTGGTTATCTCCGCAAATTGGACAAACTCGATCGGGAAAACCACCACTATTCTTTTTCACCCACCGTTCAAAGATGCATATATACCATCCCCGGTCTCCTATTCAGGGAACAAGAGAGCCAACCCTTGAGCATCGGCAGTAGAAGACACGAAGTAAACAAGTACACTATTACTAGGAAGTCAACGTAGGAGGGAGGCATGCTTTTGCATTTCTTAATGATATGCTGAACTACTTTGGGCTACAGCAATCCCCACTTGGCCCTTTCCGTGGAAAGCCTCGCTTCCTACAAGAGCAACGCACTTCAAAGCGTAACGCTCGGTAGACTATTGCTGGCCTAGGATGAACCTGAGCAACATCAATGATCTCGGGAGGTAGAAGTATGTGACATTGGCCTGCTGGGACCAGAAGAAAGAATAATGTACTGATGAAAAGAAATACAGGCTGCGTTCAGTTTAATACCACCCACGACACCGGTTAGATTCCACGCTTAGCAGATGTTGCGAGCGCCATTTCCGGACAGGTTCCACTTGATGTTGGTACCACAAGGGGACTCGCGGACGGTGGTGCCATCGACTCTAGCAGTGATGGAGATGTCACGGGTGTTGGGGAACTCGGTGCGGGCGGAGATGCGGACCTCGCCGCCACCGTTGACGGTGCCGCCCTTGATGGTGACACCGTAGCAGTTCTCGATGAGGATGGCGTTGTTGCCGTTGTTGGCAAGGTCGATGCTGCCGATCTCGGCACCACCAGACTGGGAGACGCAGAAAATGCCACGGCCACCGCCGCGGGAGACAACTTTGGTGATGAAGACGTTGGTGGTGTAAGCTCCGTTGGACAGCTGGCCGTTGTTGTTGGCGAAGCGGAGGGTTCCGTAGCCAGTGCCAGCGCCGACGTTGTTGCCGTCAACGAGCCCGACGCGGGCGTTGGTGGTCTTCTGGAGCAGCAGTCCAGACTCACCGCAGTTCTTGGCGATGACTTGGTCGATGGTGAGTCCGTCGATGTTCCAGGTCTCGACGGCGTGACTGCCGGCGCCGTTGACGGTAATGGTGCCCATCTTGACGTTCGAGTTGGCGGCCTGGTCGCGGTCGAAACGGATACCGAGGCCGCCGCTGAGGTTCATGTTGATGGCGCCAAGGGTGAGGTCCTTGGTGCCGTAGAAGCGCAGACCGAAGTATGGGTTGCCGGTCATGGAGAGGTAGGGGATTTTGACTCCCGAGGCGTTGGTGACCTCAATGGCGCCACGGCCAGATCGAAGAGCGACATTGATAGTTCCGCAACCCTCGAAGGTCTTGCCGCTGCCAATGGTTATGGTGCTCGCACCGATGGAGCCAGAGGCAATGACCGAGACGCGTTGGCCACTTGAAATGGAGTCGATGGCGGCCTGGATGGCGGCACGGTAGTCAGAGCCGGCGTAAACCTGGCTGGATCCCTTGGTCGCTACGAAAGAGCTTCCAGAGCCGGTGACTCTGGCGTCAGGTGTGCCCGCACCGCACTGGCCAGCGACGGAGGAGGCGAGTGCCAGCACTGCCGTAAGAAGGGAGAACTTGGCCATGATTACGGTACCTGGTTGAATGCCAGGAAATATGGGAGTGCAGGTGAGGTTACAAGTCTAGAAATCTTCAAGGAAACAATCTGGCACGGCGACGTGTTTATATCCAAAAGTTTGATGATTCACATCAAGGTGGAGACGGCGATGCGTCAGATGCGCACCACTCCGGCAGATGCTCGTCTTGGACGGCCACGTTCGTTGGAGGACGAAATTGGGCCGCTCGTAGATGTGCACCGACGGGGAACGCAACCTCCGCATTCATTTACTGTGAGCTTAAACGCGGCTCGGCATGGCCACGGGGTGGCTCCAGAAGGGCTGGGGGATCGTTGCTTGTAGGAGAGAGATTGACCAAGTGACTACCAAGTCGGTCGATTGCTATACGAATGGAACCCTTACAAGCATAAGTAGAGAGTAGCTTGCTTACTCTGGACCCTCGGCCTCCCCAATTCATGCCTTTGAAACTTCCGTGCCTTGGCTTACATCTTGGGCCTTGGCACCACGCTGGCTCGTCTTGGCAGCGCCGAATTAGATGATCAGGCGAGATTCGAAGCAAACGCTTGGAACAAACAATCGATGAGTCTTAGTAAAGGAAAGAAACTTTTTAAACGTAACTCAAAGGTGGCCGGTAATGTAGAGTCGTTTTCTGACATTATTCTCGATTTTTTGAGCTCGTGTTCCTTCACAAGTTGGTTGTTACTTGGCAAAGACTAAACTCTAGTCTAGACGCGCACCACTATAATCCACGAGATGTCAAGTCTTGGCAGTACAGCATACACGCTGGTTTCAGGGGCAACGTCTCATATTGACAATACTTTTTTGCATCGGGTCTCGGCCACTTTGCGGTGGGAGCTCAACCGTCTCACGAACTCCAGGTCCCGTCTTCGATTTACCAAGAGGGAAGAATCGTCATCTGAAAATGCTCTCAGGCTTCTCCAAGATCTCAGTGATAATGTCCCATTTGTGTATGAGTCGGATATTTCGGTCGGCTTTTTCGGCTCGCACTCAGACATCCCGGGGAACGCAATCCAATTCGACCAGCCGCGTGGGCTATTGGGCCGGTCGGTAGACTCTATTTTGTGGGCATCTGCACGATCCTATTTCCCCCGCCTTTTTGAATTGCGCTTTCTCCGGCAATTTACAGGATCCCAAGCTCCAGCTCGCCCCGGAAGCATGCAACGGTCAGACTTCCCCGTTGTTCTACGACTACCGACATCTCCGGCGTTAATCCAAACGTCTCTGCACCCATTGGAAGTACAACTGTGGAGAGAGCTGGTCCTGACAAGAGATCGGTTGGAATTAGTCCGCCTTGGCGCGCTATACCCTTTCAACCGGCAAATACGAGTTCGATCTGCGACCAATGCTGGCGCCTTCAAATAAATAGTTCCGACATAAATGTGCCAAGTGCTGGCGGAGATTGGGTTAGGGGCAGAGAGGTAGGCCTAAGCTGATAACGGTCTAGTCACAATCCATAATCCCGGACTGATTTTCTAGAAGGACCAGCTGACCAGAGCTATTCGGCGTGTCGGTGAAAACAAGGCCGAGTTAAAACGCTCAGTAGCACAAGACAACCTCCTAAATAACAACCAGATTGTTGACACATTGTGTCTGTCATTCCTAAAGAGGCAGTGATCGGATGCTAGGCTCCATGGTCCTTATGGAGCTAACACGGGGAAATGTGGTTTGTAAGGAGAATGCCATTGGTACTCTTTCCCGATACCCGATCGTAACTGACTGGACCTTGTATTTTTGGCCCCCCTCTCTGGTTGACCACGGTAGTGTCAATATTTTCTGTGCAGCTCAGATGAACCGTTTTACTGTCAACCCACATAGCATTGGGACTCTCAATGCCTAGATTCTAATTGTACGCCACGATGCTGCTCGATATCGAATCTATTAGTTATGAAAATGACTGTTGCTCTGTCGGACCGCTTCCTGGAGATAGTTACAATCCGCTCGAAACTAATCCCGCCGACGAACTGAAGGTTGATGTAGCTTCTTGTTTCCAGAGAACCGTGTATCTCTACGCCACAGGAATCCATGGGTTAACGGGTCCGTCATGACATCGCTTGCTGCCCCTTACTAAATGATTGAGATCCTAAGCACACGAGTGTTGACCCAAGGCCTAGACAGATGTCTTGGCAAAGGACATTCTGCAAACCCAGCCAAGCATGTTCCCACGAATCAAAGCTGCATAGATCAGTATTAATCGCATTACACTCGATTGTTCGAATGCAGTCGCTTCACCCATTTGCCTATCTTAAAATGGCTGCTAAGGGTCAGAATCCGCTCAAATCCTGCCTGATAGGCGGGTCTAATATTGTTGAAAGTACCCACCGGGTAATTCTTCATATGTTCCATTTCCTCAACAAAGTGGTAAGGCAGGGACTGACAAAAGCCGTGAGTTGGCTAGAGTGTTTGAACCTTTGGGGTTATCTGTCTGTGTTTGTGACACCTCAGGTTCAGATTTCTCAAATGAACATCAAGTCCATGGACATTTCTCACTTGAACGAAAAGATGATGATCAAAGAATACGGATACACAACTACATATATATTTGAGAACCTGGTATCTTGATGACTAGACTATTCGAACTTTGTCCTTGAAGCGCTTATGACATCTTTTTCACCCCGAGAGTTTTCGATGTAGATATTGCATCGCTAAGTGCATGCACCGGGCATAGTATTATAAAATCCAGTTGAATTAGGCCTCAGAACTGGCCTCATCGCGCTTGGATCTCGCCCCATTGTCGTAGAAGATGCTGTACGTAGCATCAGCATCATCAGAGGCTCGTATGGTACGATAAATCTGCTTCTTGGCTGGTTGGTTGGTTTTCTAAGAGCCTCGAAGCACCAGATACTTGCTCTTGAGCATAGCTTTATCACGCATGATTACGACTGTCTTTCTTGTCAGAACCTCTGGGGTATGTGCATCAAAGACGCAAATTGAGTAAGAACGATACGGGGGTGAGAAGACCAATCGTCGTGTGATCTCAGCTTTTGTTACCTGTTTTCTTCGGGTTGACCCGATGAGTAATGTCCGAAAAAGCTGAAAAGCCTTGCATTTCTGAAAGAGGCGCGTAGTGTGCATTTTCATTTGCCATCCCCCATTGTTAGGTAGATTGCGGTCCCTTCTTTCTGCTCATCAGACTTTGATCAGCTTCCAACTGTTTCACTCATTCCGCGGTGCAATCTGGTATGTTCTCCAGAATATTACATGACAAATATCGATCTCTGTCCTCATCTGACCCAGAGCTGTCCAGCTTGGACATAGGATCAGAGGACAGCCTTCGTGTGATGTCTCCTACTACACTGCGCTGGAAAAGATTTGGTCACTGGTTAGGCATGTTGCTCATTTTCAATATTTCATTTTTTTGCTATCTTCACATTGGGTCGCCATCTGGGCTACAAAGACGCAAGCAATCTTCATCACCACTTGCAGCAGCAATATTGTAACCTTCTCGGCGGTGCCCTCAAGCTCGAGTCCTCCTCCAGATTGGAAATCAAACTCCCCAAGGCCCTCTCAACAGGGTCGCTGCTCAAATCCATACTTCAGAAACGAGTGGAGAATGCTCTCCAAGAAAGAGAAGCTGGACTACATCCAAGCCGCCAAATGCCCCGCCCGTACGCCTTCCATCATCAGACAAAATGGAAGCTGTCCACGATGATTTTGCTTTTGTGTTAAACAAGCACGCTCACAGCAGTAAGTTAAGTCAGGTTCCGAGAAATTTAGCAAGTAACACAGACTGGCAGCACATGGGAAAGCAGCCTTCTTTTCACGGCACAGAAGATTCATTGCCTCGTACGAGAAGTATTGGAAGCGTGCAGGGTGATCAAGTCTAGAGTTAAAAATCCCCAACCCACGGGGGCCCATGGGGACCCAGATGAATGGGTTGGGTGAATGGGTCAACTCATGAAATGGATTTTTTGGGTTTTGGGTATTTGGGTATAATTTTTTTGGGTATGGGTATGAAAAATCCCCACACCCAAATGATAATATAAGAATGGTTTTATGGGCTGAGAATATTTGCTGTGTTTTCTGCTTATTACGTGACGGATACCCATAATACCCATATCCAGAAAACAGAAATCCCCATTTGGGTGTACCCCAAAAACCCATACCCATAATCTTGAAAAAAACCCATAACCCATTTCAACCCATAACCCATATGGGCCCCAAAAGAATCCCCATTGGTCAAATGGGTACCCATGGGGATTTTTAACCCTAATCAAGTCTATAATGAGCGGTGCGGTGCGGTAGACAACCACAACCACCCCCTATAGCTATGCAAGATGCCTTTACCCAGCAGCGAATCAGCTGTCCTGATCAGGTCGAATATGCCCTGATCAGTCTTGGCTGGAACGCGATGGATAAAGTAGAGACTCCCAAAGTTCTTGTTTAGAGGTGATCGGGGTGTTGGTCATCACGAAAGACAGAAAGGATGCTCCCTTGAGCGTGCAAAAGTCCGATGAGTGTGTGTTGATTGTGTATTTCTCCATCTAAGTCCTGTGTTCTCGAGGTTTCTATACCCCTGATCAAACCTTGCTTAGTTAAGAAATTAAAAAACTGAACGCAAAGACCACCTCAATGGGAGCAGGAAACCCTGCCCCCTTCCAGTATCTCCGTGATAAGTGTCCATATACCGGAGCACTACCTTAAGTTGCTAATTTGTAAAGATTCTTGTAAATGCCCGTTCACTGACTTGCGTATTCATTGGTAGGTATTGGGACTGGACGCTTGAATGGGAGAATCTCCCAGAGTCGCCAGTATTCTCAAGCACTACTGGTTTTGGCGATAACGGAAACCGAAGCGCACCGCAAAGTGTGGGCGAAGGGCACTGAGCCACGCAAGGTCCAAGCGCGGTTATTGCAATTCTCTAAACTGGTGCGTCCTGCATTATACTCAACGCAATTCGTACGGCTAGATGCTGACGTTAAGAAACCAATTAGAGTGCGATCGCGAATTACGCGTTTTTACAACTGGCGACTCTTGTTCTCTGGATTCTCTTCGACAAGAGTCATCTTGCGGTGGCAGCTGCAGCTGTAGCTGTCCTCGACGCGTGCTTATTCTGTCCACTCTCCTGGCTCGAGCATTACCGATCTCGTCAACCATCTGCAATCCTACTCCTATACTTCAGTTTGTCCTTACTATTCGATGTTTTTCAGCTGCGGACCCTATGGTTAAGAGATCATCACCCGCCGATTCTGGGAACTGCCGTTGCATGTGCTTGCATGAAGCTGTCAATCTTGGCGTTGGAGTCTTTTGAGAAGCACAGGTTCTCTCATATCAGCTGAAACCCCTACAATCCTGAGGAATGGAGCGGACTGTGGAATCTAGGCTTTTGCTGCTGGCTCAACCGTCTCCTTTTGAGTGGTACCAAGGTTGTGTCTCGTTGGCTTCAACCTTAGTCAGTCTTTGCTGATCAAAGCTATCTTGAAGTACCTACAAGAATCAAGAATTGAGAACAGGCCTTCTGGAGCGGACAACTTTACGATAGTTGCTACCGTTCTTGTTCATTTGGGCATTGCATTGTCTGGAAGTATCTATTGGCAAATTCACCTGAGGAGCCTGACAAAGATCCGAGGCATCCTTATCGGCGCTATCTATCAAAAGTTAAAGGCAACCTGTTAGCTCAAGTTGATAATGCTGCTGTCACTTTGATGAGCGCCGATGTAGAAAGCGTGACACAAGGTTTACGTGTGATTCATGAAGCTTGGGCAAACGTTATCGAAGTTGTCATAGCTGTTTGTTTATTACAGCGAGAACTCCATATTGGCTCGATTGCACCAATTGTGGTCGCCATCGTTAAGTTCAAGATTGGTACTTACGATAGACCTAGGGAATAATGGTTGCTTACTAGTCATAGCTTGCTTTCTGGCTACCCTTGGTGTCAACAAGTTTACAATGTCTCGCCAAAACCGATGGATGGGAGCTCTTCAATCAAGACTGAGTAAGTGCTCATATGGACTTACACAATTACAATTGCCTCGACCGTTTGCCAAGACTTCTGTAGACATTACGATATCTCTGCTTTCACAAACAAAAGGTATCAGAATGTCGGGTTTGACCGAATGGTCCACTCAAGTATTACGAGCCCTTCGCCTCAAAGAGCTGAAATATGCCAATGGATTTAGAATGATCATGGTCTTGTCATTTTTCATAGGTTAGTTCATGACGGAAAACTTAGTCTTCATTCAAATTACTGATTTACTTCCCAGCTTTTGCTCCCATCTTTACTACACCGGTCGTCTGCTTCGGCAGTTCTGGTGCTCCTGGTACGGATTTAGAAAAACCCGCCTCGTCCACAGGCATGTTTCAGGGTGCCCACGACGTGGCAGATTGGGTTGTCCACGATGGGGCCTTTGGGTGGGAGAAAGGCCGATGGGAACTCAGCGACGTCAACATTAACATCCCCAGGTCTCAGCTCACTCTTATCGACGGCCCAGTGGCCAGTGGAAAGTCGACACTTTGCAAAGCACTACTTGGCGAAGTGCCTTACGTCCAAGGTTCATCAAATTCTTTTCTGGTGCGGACGTTGGCTACGGTGGCCAAACACCGTACCTGACTAATACCACCGTCCACAACAACGTCATCGGGCATAGTGTAGTCGACGATGCCTGGTACAAGACCGTGATCAAGGCAGTTGACCTGGATACCGATTTGGATAAGCTTCCGCATGGGGACGGCACACTCGTTGGGAGCAACGGCGATGCACTGAGCACGGGACAAAAACAACGTATCGTCCTGGCCCGCGCCGTGTATGCACAGAAACCACTCCTCTTATTGGATGATGTGTTTAGTGGTATGGACATCACCAAAGCCCGCATTTATACCCGACTATTGAACCATGGGGGTCTTTTACGCGGTTTGCAGAGAACAATCGTATTGGCCTGCCCTGACCAATATCCAAATCTAGTTGCAGACCACATCGTTACTCTCAGTCCTGGCAAGCCTCCTATTTCTGGCCCTCTAACACAGCGAGGATCTTACCACTCTCACACTGAACAACGAGAGCCGGTTCCCGACGGCTCAAGGGCTGCTGAAACTGTCGATACCTCTAGAATCAAGGAGGAAAGAGATGGTTCAAGTGCCGATCAGCCAAACAAGGTACCCAAAACGCCAAGTGATTGGCACACTTATGTGTACTTTGCTAAAACTATGGGATCACCGAACACTACTGCAATGTTAGTCCTTGGGGCAATTTTCGGACTACTCTACACTTTTCCTTCGGTATGGGTGAACTGGTGGGCCGCAGATCTTGCAGCCAAAGACAGTTTCTACCTTGGAACCTACGCTTTACTGCAGGCTTCGGGCCTTTTCTGTTGGCTCCTTTTCACCCGACATTGCCTGACAACAATAGTGTCAAGGTCAGGGGTCAAGCTACACAACAGTCTTCTGTCAACCGTTGTTTCAGCATCATTTCCATACCTCAGCATCAAAGACTCAGGGTCTGTTATTAATCTGTTTTCTCAGGACCTTCAACTAGTCGATGGGGAGCTACCGGCTGCTTTACTCAACACAGTAGCAACAGCGTTTATTGCTATAGCGCAAGTAGGACTGGTTGCAACGGCTAGCCAGTGGCTAATAATCTCATACCCGTTCCTCATACTGGCTTTGTATTGCATTCAGAACTTCTACCTACGAACGTCACAGCAGCTTCGACCTGTTGATCTTGAACTGAAGAGCCCGCTATAGTAAGTTTCCTTTCGTCTTTACAATGGCTAGTTTCAATCCCATTTAATCAAAGATCGACATGGATATCTGTTGTAACTACTCTTGAAACAGACAAGGTTGAACCCTACCCGTCGTATTTACACATATAGGAGAAACCCTTACTAACCCTGAATCATTACAGTACACATTTCCTTGATACTTTACGTGGTATTAGTACGATTTGAGCTTTTGGATGGCCTCAACACTACATTGAACGAAACCATCAGCTTCTTGACGCATCTCAACGTCCAAATTACCTACTTCTCATGATTCAACAATGGCTATCACTAGTTCTCAATTGTCGTTCTGGTTATAGTCACATTACTTGTGACTCTCACGCTTAAGCTCCATTCCACCTTAGGGTTTACTGCAGTTGCTCTTGTTAATCTTATGTCCCTTAGTCAGATGTTAATGTCCGTTGTGATCGGTTGGACACTGAGGGAGACATCTATTACTGCAGTGACGCGAATCAATGAGTTCGAACAGAAAACTCCCCAAGAACAGGACCTAGGTCCTGAAGTGAATCCTCCTGAAGGACCAGGGGTAGGGAGAATTGAATTTGAAAACTTGACGGTGCCCTATGGGTAAGTGAAACCCATATCAAAAATCACCATCTAAGTATTGACTTGCTGGTTCAGTCGGGGTGAGGAGAATGTTGCATTTAAAAATGTGAGCTTGGTTATTGAAGCGGGAACAAAATTTGGGATATGCGGTCGCATTGGAGGGTAAGTGAAATCAAGCTGGGATGTACGTCGTCAAACCTAGACCAAATTAACAGCACTGCAGTGGAAAATCGTCTCTTGTTGTGTCCCTTTTCCGCATGCTAGATATTCGTGAAGGGACAATATTCATTGATTCAACCAACATTAACGACTACCCCTTATCTGCGCTCCGGTCAAGCATTAATGCCATCCCGCAAGACCCTTTCTTTACGGCCAGTACTTTCCGAGAGAATCTTGACCCTTACAGAGCATCATCGGACATCGCAATTGAAGAATCCTTGCGTAAAGTGCAGCTTTGGGATTATATCCAAGGTCAAGGAGGTTTAGGCGGAGACATGAAGCCAGAGTCAATCAGTCAAGGACAGAAGCAGTTGTTTTCACTTGCGAGAGCCATTTTACGACGTTGTAAAATTGTTATTCTCGATGAAGTCACCAGCAAGTACGTGCCTTGCTGGAAACGGCATACACAGCTCTTTCATGGAAACAATCGCAGCGGATATTGAGCTAATTCATCACGCAACTTACGTTTAGATCTTCAAACAGAGAAGCTCCTCTGGGATGTTTCGCAACAATCGTTCAGAGGCTGCACCATCATTGCAATTGCGCACAGGCTGGAAACCATTGTGGGCTTCGATCATGTTGCTGTGATGGATGAGGGGAGGATTATCGGATACGATGATCCTTGTGCCTTATTGCAGATGGGAATTCAGCATTTTCTAAGCTGCGAGAAGTTGGTTCGACAGGGCAATGAAACAGGATGAAGACTTGGGCATTTCAAAGCATGGGACATGCCAATCCTCAGACGCAAGAGGGGCCATGTAAGCAATGAGGGCTATGCTTGTAGATTGAATCGGCCTCCGTGTCAAATTATAGCTATGTTTCATCTTTCGGATCTTTCTGTATCGTCATTCTTGAGATTCCGTCGTAGTCAATACGGAACTTAGCTGTAAAAACTTGCCCTATTCGTAATATTCCATGTGAGCAACAGTCAATCACTTTTCGAATCTTTTCGCTGTCGGGGAATCGTCATCTCAAACATGCGGTGCACAAGGGGGCAAAAATGCTCACCTGGATGAGAAAGGTATCATATTCGGCAACGAGAAAAACGAGACTCATGTGATAGCAAATGAACTGTGCCGTTCGAGAAGCTCAGAGCAGTAACATAAGTCGTGTAGTGCTCTGTCCTTCTCTAGGCTGGCCTCTGTCACTCACTTTGGGACGTTGTGCTTAGGCTAGTTGTGCTGATTCAGTAGGTCTTCTGCTTTTTATGCCCACTCTATAAGCAGCACGATTCAAGTTAGGGTGGCAGCTCGGGTGACAGTAAGGTGAAGTGTGTCATTGATCAACAAGGGTGTTTTGTTACATCTGCAGGCAACTGAATAAATAAGTACCAGCAACGCATGATTATTGCAGTCTTGTTAAACATGTATTCTCCCGCCAATCACTTGTTTCCCTCAGCCGTTTAATTCCGCCACCAGCGTTGATCCCGCACGCGATAGATATGAAAGAAAAGCTCGGGACATACTCTCTTCGTCACATTTCCCCTTCAAATCAGTCTAATGTCCCAGCACAAGATGACCCTCGGCCGGACGGTTTTCGACTTCTATGTTACAGTTCGCAACACTTGGAAGGATATAAGGTCCTTAAGGTGCCATCAAAATGCTGTGGCTGAGCTCACGAGAGTCATCAGCAACACGCTCAAGACTTAGGAGTGCTTGGTCATGGGACTGTTGGCCTTTGACCTCGCCATAACCCTCTACAGCATATGGGCTAAGATCCCTGGCACCGTCCTACCAATCTATAATGAGGCTTTCCTTGTTGCCTTCACCGAGCTGATTGTTCTCATTCAGCCCATGCAGATCTTACTTTCTGTGTATCCTGCCGAAGAGTTTGCAATATGCAACATACCCCAGAACATCTCTGACCGGAGCGTCTGCAAGTGGGCTGCGGGCCTCTTTGGACTGCAAGAAACAGACTTTCCCAGCCTCTAATCAAACGTCAACGAAAACAATCTTAATACCTTTGACGTCTTTCTCAAGCCAGTTCTTGCTGCTGTTATGTGAAAATTGCAAAGAGCTTATTGGCGTCAGAGGGAGATCAGGGCAGAAGAGCAAGCGGCTCTGGCTGTGCGTGTTGTCGGTGTTTGGGATACTTGGGGATTCAATGGCTAGTTAACTTTTAGATCTTGTCCAGATCTAAGAAAACGATTGCAACGACCATGTATAGATCATAGACACTTCATTGCGGGGTCTACTAAACAGTGATCTGGATAAACATTTCCACTTCCTGGAGAAGCCGACAATGAAAATAGTTGACGCTTTGGGGACAAGAAAGGATCCAAGTTTTGTAATTTGAGGATGAAAATATAATTTTTTGCTGAGTGGACACTATCAACGACACAACAAACTGGTTATATCCTCAAAAACTTGGGACTATTGAACCAAAAGGCTTCTATGCCGCTTAGTTAAAACAGAATACCATTCGTTTTTACCTACGTAGCGTCGGTATTTCGGCCGTAGGACTTGATATTTGAACCGACCAGCGGCACAATTTTTCAACTGGCGGCCTTTTCAGCGATCTCTCAATTGTCGACCTGTATTTCTAGTCCCCTTTCTTGAGGGCACAGGCAGATTCAGCCATGAGAAACCTAACGGTTTAGATGCAATTACCCTCTTCATTCACTGCTTTTCTGTAGTTCTTTCAGCGAATAGTAGTCGCACTTTCCTTTTCGAGACCGGCAGGAGCCTTTTGTTTTCCAATTACACCTCTTAACTTTTAGTACTCTTCACTTCACTCACTGGGCCAACCCAGTGAATTTCACCTTCACCTCAACACTTAACTGGTAAATATTTGATCATACTTTCCCCAAAGGCTTCTCAATCGCACCTTCTCTCATGGTTGGTTTTCCTCCTAATTTTATCATCTTCTTTTTTACAGCCTAGCAAAGAATCTTCTTCTCCCACCAACACCACAACTTAATTCTCAGGACAAAGGCGCTCTTACACAAACCCGTGCACACACAAAATAACAGAAAACAATTGGACTGCTGAACCATTCATCATGGCCGACATTGTGCTGAGCGCTTTTTGGTGAGTTACCGAATCTATGATTGCGGGACGTGAATAAAGCTCACTTCTACGCGTTCAGGGCCTGGTACACCTACGATGAGGCTCTCACCAAGGACCTCGCGAAGAAGTTGAAGCCCATCCCGCTCCCGGAGAACCCTTCTTACAAGAGCACCGACGTCAGCATTATTGTTGCGACTATTGACACCCCCGACTCGTTCACCGACTGCCTTCGCCTGTGGCTCGCCAACCACCCGAAGGAGATCATCATCGTCACCATCGATCGTGACCTCCAGCGAGTCCATGATCTTGTCAAGCCCGTCATTACTGACGGCGATGACCGAATCAGTGTCATGACTGCTGAATATGCCAGCAAGCGCTACCAAATGGTTGTCGGAATCAAGGAGGCCAAGGGCAAGATTTTTGCCTTTGTCGACGACGATGCCTTCTGGGGCACTCTGAAAGTGCTCCCCTACCTCCTTGCCCCCTTGGAGGATCCCAATGTCGGCGGCACCACCGGAAAGCAAAGGTGACCTTAAATGCTTCTCAAAGTTACCCTCATTTCATTGACTGTCGACTGACTCTTGTAACTAGTGCTCTTATCGTTCCGGGGCGCCGCAACCCGGCCGTCATCACTCCTTGGGAGGTCGCATCCCTTCGCTCTCTGGACAATCAAAACTACATTCAGTCTGTCCGCTCCGCCGCCGACGGCGGCTGCTTCTGCATGGTCGGCCGTACCATGATCGTCCGCGCTGAGATCGTGATGGACCCTCGCTTCATCCACGCTATCACTACTGACACCTGGTGCGGCAAGCTCCTGAACACAGGTGACGACGTCTTCCTTACCCGTTGGCTCCAGAACGAGGGTTGGGACATCGCCATCCAGAACGCTCCCGAGGCCGAGATCAAGACCCTCGTTTTCGACAACTCCAATTTCTTGAGTCAGCTGGTCCGCTGGCAGCGCAGCGCTATTCAGTCGTTCCTCACGACTATCTTCTATGAGCCTGGTATTGGCAAAATCGTCAAGTGGGTTACTTGCACACGACATGAGAAATGACTTGAGTAGCTGACTACCATAGGAAACACCCCTACATGGCTCGAAAGCTCATTGAGCGTCTCCTTCGACCCATTTTGGCTTGGATTCACATCTTCGCCTTCATCAATGGCTTCCGCAACAACTCTAACTTCGCGTGAGTGCTTTGCTGATCTCTTTCTTCAATATGGCTTCAGTATACTGACTTCACTTCCACAGATACTTTGTTGCCTTCTGGTACATCTGGGGCTGGATCAGCACTTATAGCAGCTTCATCCGTCGCTTTCCTTATGTTGCGCGTCACATCTGGGCTTGCTTTCTGCTCGACAATGCTCATCCCATTCTCGATCTCTACGCTTGGCTGACCCTGTCGACTGAGGCCTGGGGCACTCGCAATGAGAATGCCTAAAGGGAAGACAAAGCACTTACTATGTTCAACGCGGCACAAAATTGATGATGCTCGACTTGTGGAATGCCATCTGCAATGAAGCATTCACGGAAAGACTGGCTATCACGGGAAGGAATGAATTCTACAAATGAATGGAGAATTCAATAAGTTGATTAGCTCTTCAAAAGTGATTTCCAAAAGACTTCGGTATCTGCTTTAGCAGTAAACTTCCGCAACCCCCACGCGTGACTCTGCAATGCATACGACTACTTCCAACAAAGAAGAGGCGTCTTCTCAGACGTGACTCACTTGACCGAAAGAGTGGTGAGTAAACTTTTTCATTCGATCAATGCTCAGATTCTAAAAGAGACTCTGCTTGCACCCTTTGCCGGGTTTCTGAACGACACGGAAACACCGCCTGCATGTTAGCCTCTATCAGGCTCTTGATGCCCAATCAAAATAAATTGATTTGAGCTAGGTGAACAAACCAATATGGCCATACATCTACGAACTACCCAATCAAGTATATACCGCCGTCCATCTGCACGAGCACCAAGAATGACACCAGCTGGCTAATGCAGTGAGACCAGTCGAATGTAGTTAAAAGACTCCCAGGTTGGTGGCCCGAAGTCTCCGTCTTCTTCTTTCAAGACGTAAAGACACCGGGTACCGACCATTAGGCTGAAAGGGTAGTTCTACATCTAGATATCAGACTGTGGTCTTGGCTTCAGCCTCTGTCGAGGACTTCCATTGCCTGAAATCCCATGCATGCTCTTCCATCTTTCCCCTCCGAACCGCAATACGGAAAACTCATGATAACTTGAATTTGATCGAAACTTCGTCCTGGAAGCGATATCGCAAGTCTCCGAGTCCTAGTATTCTCTCGCCCTCTGGCTTCCTAGATCGCCGCTCTGGGTGGTTTCATTCACTTCAAAGACTGATACAGCACCAGGGGACCCATCTTCGCTAACATCTCCAGGACAATCTGCAGTGAAACCCTCGCCGCCTACGTTGCCAACTACCGCAACACCTACACCGATACGTGCAACCTCCACCTTGATTGCATCCTCGACGCCACCTCCGAGAGCCTTAAAGCCAAGATGGCCTTTGCCGCGATCCTCTCGGCATCCTTCCTACGACGCTCTCTGTGATAGGGCTCTCCATCACTCAGCATGTCCTCCTCTCCGCTCGACGGTCTATCTTGTCCTTTCTCGTTATTCTCGGCAGCACAGGGTTTTACCTCGACCGTCTCTTTCGCCTAGAGAGTCCTGATGAGACTCTCTCGGTTGTTCTGGACGAGAGTTTTATGCCGAGAATGCGCAGTTCGGGGTGGGTGCTTGTTGTGATAGTTGTGGAGTACCTCGTCGTCGCGGCCGCTGCGCTCAACGTCATCAATCCTGCACTGCGGCTCGGGGACCGGGCCATCATGAGTTTTCGATGCAACATGTGGTTCCTACCTCTCATTTTGATCTTCTCTGTAACCTTGATTTCCCTCGTCGTCGCGATTCCCTTCTAGTTTTCTACGATCGTGAGGCATATCCGGAAATGTGCCGGGGCTGACGAAGGGAGCAGAACCGTCGACGCGGGCCCGAGGAACCCGAGCACACACAATAGACTCCGCTGCCTCGAAACAAATGGCCCTCCTTTACAACCACCAAATCCGTGAGGCAGAACAGCGCATTTCTCCAGATTTGTATTGCGCGAGAGGACGCCCAGCATGGAGCATCCATTATTGCGAACGCACGAGATCCCCAACTACGAGCCCTGACTGACCGTGCTTCTCAGTGTGGATTAAATCTTGGCAGCCGTTCACTTTATCATCGGCACGTGCTGGTTTTCTTCGATCCTTTTCCTCTCGCCGACGGGCGCCATCGGTGTCATCATGAGATTCCTTGCGTCGTCGGCGGCGGCGTACGTACTGGTTGTCATGGTGGAGTTGGCGAGCATTAAGTCTCGGGAGATGTTGCAGGGGGAGAAGTGACTTATTGGTCATTTTGGATTGCTTGTCGAAAGGTAATTAGGTTCAACAAAGTTCTCGAAATAGAATAGAGTTCACTCTGGTGAATCCCTCTGAGTATGAAACTGTGTTATAACACATGATTTTCTAAGACCCATAACTGTTCCTTGGTATTGTGTAGAGAGACATTCATGCGGCAGGTGTCAATCCAAACTTAAAATGGCCTAAGGCTGTAGCTGAGCCTCAATTCCCTATCTGCTCTCACCGCCGAAGCAGGAAGCCATATTCAAAGTGATGGTGTCGAAATAATTAGAAGGATAAATTTACTGAATTGTTTTTCGTCCTACTTCCTCTTGTTACTATTTCTCTATTTCCTGGGAGCACCAACAGCGCGTATATATGTATAGAGTGGCTCCAACGATCTCAGCTACGGTTTCATTGAGTCAGGAACCCCGGCCATTCATGGTTCTCTCGCGACAACTCGGCACCCACTTCTGGACAGCTGAAAAGACCCGAAATGTTGGTAACTCAGCCTTACCAGTCAGCTAAAACGTGGGGTTTCGCTCGCATCCATAATAAGACGAACATGTAACTTAAAAGACCCACTTCTTCGTTCTGGAAGTCGTCTCTCGCCCTCCTCTCGAAACCGTCTCAACTCGGCACGTACTTTGGGAGAGGTTGCCGCTCTTATGCTGCGACGGCTGGGCGCACATTAAGTCCGCCGAGTGCCGTCAGTTACAACGGCAATGCGATGATGTCGGAATATTCGGCCTGAAGGGGTCTGAAACCTACCAGTTGGTCGTAGTGTTGACTTCTGACAATCGATTCAGGCGCTGGTCGTCTCGTACTGCCATATGGGACATCCATATAGCATGGAAGTCGTGACAAACGATATAAAAACCCTCTGCCTCGCTCGCTCTTGATTATGCTCAGAAGACTATCATTCAGCAATCTACTCTTTGGACAATCGAAAATATTAATTACAACAAACGTCTCTACAAGATTTTGATAACCCGTCTCCCCCAACAGTCACCATGCAGTTCCAGCAATCTCTATTTGTAGTCCTTGCAGGTCTCCTGTCTCTCACAGGTAAGCCGACGCTGAACACATGAGCCGTTGCCATCGTAGCTAAAATCTTATTTCCAAGTGGCCTGTAACGATGCCCAAGGCAACAAGGGGCAGTGCGAGCCCCCCAACTTCTGCTGCGCGTCGGATGGTACACAATGCGTCTTCGATGACAGTTGCAGCAGTTGAAAAGCGTGACGACTCTAAGTGCGCCAACGACATATTGGTATGACTTCGACAGGGTATCATGTTCTATTTAATAAAAGAATTGTGGTTTCCCACCCATTCGTCTTTTCTAGGTCCCTGGTTCCCCAATGGGACTGATGTAATATGCTGGAGTTGTCTGACGAATGATTGTGTCATCGCCAGCTCTTTGTCTATCGTGCGCAAGCTTCCACCTTGAGAGTGGAGTATTGTTGCTTCTGGGCGACCCCTTTAGCCCGCATGGCCTATGCCGCCCCTTCTTCACTGCGCCTTCTTTGCGGCACCCGTTTGATCGTCGGAAGTCAGCTCCCTAATCAGCCTCATGTACCAACTCGCGCCAAAAGCAGTAAAAATATGCCACCACCCGTGCAACTCCAACAACCACGCAAGCGGCAGTCCGAGATCCTTCCTCAAGGCTCTCAGCTCGGCGCAGTATTCCAGGTCGATGTGCCACAACGTGAAGCCCAGGATCAGAATGGCACAAGCCTTTGCAAACTGCCACATCAGCCGCTTCTGCTCCTGCTTGGACCAGCGTCCGGTACCGTAGACGATGAACAGCGTCCGGGGCCACACAAAGGTCAGCAGAGCCGTAAAGGTCATGACGTGGATGAAGATGTCGCCGGAGCGGACGTAGATGGCAGCCATCGTGCCGATGCCGAGCCACAGGGTGGCCGCGACGACGTTGCCGACGGCGCGCGACTGGCGGAAGACGTAGAGCGGCTGCACTAGCGAGCCGGCGAGCACGAGCATGGAGAGATCGTCGAGGAGCTGGGTCTCCTGGTGCATGGTGCCATGGAAGACGCCGGAGAAGATGCCTACCATGAGGAGGCCGACAGACTGAATGTCGAGGGTCTTGTACCACGGGACCGCCGCCTTGGGGTTGGCGCGGGGGTACTTGAGCGCGAGGTAGACTGTGGGACGGGTCAGCACGCAATGCTCTGGGTGGGTCCGGAAGAGTGACACTCACTGTAGGTAGCATTAGAGAGGCAGTTGATAAACTCTGCGATGTAGCGCGTGAAGAGGTAGTCTTCCTCGCAGAAGCTAAGATGAAAGAGACAGACCCCATGTCAGCGGTGTCCTCCGATGGGGAAGGGGGCCGGGAGGGAATGCTGCTTACTTTGCCTTGCTAGTCGGGTAGCCCCAGATACCATCGCCGGCGGTTGCGTCGCTCGCAAAGCGAAGGGTTTGATGCTTGTGACTCATAATGCCGGTGGTTCTCAGTCCCAGACGGTGTTCGGACGACTCTTTTGATGTTGATTGCGGCGCAGAAAACGCGTGGCGTGGATTTGACGCGACTGAGATTTTCTCGGATTGATCGTCGGAGGGCGGGACCAATCGGGGATCTGGAGCCGATGCACGGCGTCCAAGGGGGGCCTTGAGTCGTGTGCAGGTGTGGCGTTGTCTCAAACGACTTTGGTCTACGCAGATGGCCTGGCTTCCTCGTTCGTCCGGTCTGCCCCCTTTAAACCTGACGGGAGATGACAGCAATGTCAATCACGTAGCGAGAGAAAAAAAAAAACCCCGAAAATAACGGGGCCTCGGTAGGAAAGGGGTAGATAACGTAACATGCAGGGCGCCGAAGGGATCCACTACAGGGGCTCGGTCCGCATCCCCGCGGAGGCCGGAGCCGGGACGGACACGGTCCTTGGATCCACCGGTCGTGGTTGGGCCGAGGTTTCTCTATGGGCCGGGGCTCACTTGCGCAGACATTTCACGGTTCGATCCGGAGTTGGGCTCCGTGTAGTGATGCACTAAGATGGTGGTCCACGGACAATATCGGAACTCAATTCAAGGTAATCACCGGTTGCGTGGGGGCATGCTATCGACACGAGGATACAACTTCTCGGATGTCAGTAACGCCTTGCCTCGGCCTATGCATCTTTCCACTTACCTCCACCAGAGAGCGACTCAGCCTCAGCCCTATCTATGGGTTTCAAAGGCTTCGCCAACCTTCACCATCCGCAGCTTCTCCCCGTCCAAAAATTGTGCAGTATCTTTCCTCAACCTCTGCTGTGTCTCTCCGGCATTCGTCGCAGCAAAGAAGGCTTGCGCCGCCTCTTCATCCTTGAACGCAATCTCTACCACGGCGTCACACTCTTGTCCCGACTTGTCCCCGATCAAGACATTGGGTTGCCCTTCGGACGACCGCTCAATGTAGCGCCTCGAGTGGATGGATGGGAAGAGAGAGCCGGTGAGCTCCCTTGTGAGGGGTACGTGGATGTACTCTTAGTGGTCTCTGAACTCGGCATGCGTGATGCCCTCCTTGCGGTAGAGGAAGAGAACGAGGCGGTAGTCCATGGTCACTGGTGTTGCGACACAACTAACTGGGTCGACAAGTGGTCTTTTGGGGTGGAACGACAGGAGGCTGATATAACAAATCACACCGACAACACGGCGGGGTGTCTGATGGTTTAGTATGAGGGTGAAAGCTTAAACTCGTATCAATGCCACACAGTCCCGGCAATGAACGGTCCCGTTGGTCTCGGTCTGAGCGTTCACGACTCGGTGGCCTGGAGTTCTACGTACAGACTTTTTTGTCCTCGGTGCCCCGAGTCAGTGGTCAAGCCCTGCCATGTATTCGCATTTGATCGCATTGGTTGCATTTGAGACATACGCTTTAACGTAAATACTGTTGGTATTGAATTATATGACAGTTGGACCCGTCTTCTTAAACATGACGACGCTTACATATACAATCAGGTCGAGTCGCATCTAGGCCCCATAAAACTACAAATATTATATATCGTGCCGCTGAGGACACCACTACCCAAACCCTGACAAAGCCATCCGTCTCACGAATCTTTTAGTTGCGGTTGTTGACGGGAGGCACCTCAACAGAGGCGGGGTCACCCTTGGCGATATCATCCGCGACCTTCTTGGCGGCGCCCTTGTTGCCGACGCTGTTGAGCCACTTGTCGAGCTTGAATTGGTCGAGAGCGCGGAAGCCCTTGACTGCCGGGGGGAGAACTTTGGTGCACTCAACCAGCTGGTTGATGTTGTTGACGCCCAAGAGCGAGAGGCGGATGTATTCACGGGCGTAGTCCTGAAAGATCCTTTGTCAGTATTCTGGCCATCGTTCATTAGACTCGAAGCTCCAAAGGCTTACCTCGTTCCAGTGGTTCTGGCCACCTGGTCCGGCAAAGTCCTTGAACTCCTTGGCGGTTTCGGGGTGCTGCGAAATGGCAATGTCGCTGGGGAACTTGAACACTCTGGGAGGGGAGTTGGTGCTGAGAGTCTCTTTGTAGTAGAGAACGTCCCACACACCCGGGGTGCTGTCCTGAGGGTCGCCGGCACGGCTCGTGTTGACAAAGTTCTGCTGGCTGGTTGTGTGAGCGCCGAGCAGGGCGACGAGGCCGTGAGGGCCGATGGTCTTGTCGCGGAACATCTGGATCAGCTGGTCGGCCGGCTGGAAGGGGCTGGGGAGGAGGCCGGTGACCGCCGGGGTGGTGCTGTCCTTGCGGCCGACGTAGGTCTTGATACGCGGGCCGAGGGGGCAGACAACGGCGGCAACGTTGGCACCCATCTTGATAATTCGTTAGCAAGTTGAACACGGTTATGCGTCATGTTGTCGCGTCACATACCTGGATGAAGTCACCCATGCCAATGTTCCAGCCCATGGACTTGTATTTGCCGTGGAGCTCAATGAACTTGGCGGCAACCTCTTGCAGCCCGCGGTTCTCGAAGCGGTCGATTTCACCCGGCGCGAGCAGGATACTGCCATCGGCACCGCCGCCTTGGGAGGCGGTGGCCTTGGACCAGGCTCCGGCATCGTGGAAGCCGAGGCGCACGGCGCCGCGCGCCAGGCTCGTGCAGCGGCCCGACTTTCCAGCCATGAACTGGTACATGTCGTCGGCGACATAGCGCCAGACGCAGCAGGTGTCCTTCTTGCACTTGTCCGAAGTCAAATCAGGAACCTTGCCGATGTAGCGATCGTCAGACTGCGGGTTGCCCTTGCCCTGGAGGAGCCTCTTAACATCCTTTCCGACGTCAGTAAGATCACGGTCCTTGAGGGTGACGAGGTCGCCGAGGAGCTCTGTCGAGTCGCCCGAGTTGCCTGCGCGGGCCTTGATTTCCTCGATCTGCTGGCCCATGCCAGGGTAGGCCATGGCTCCTGGAACGGAGGCCAGGGCCAGCGAGGTCGTGAGGAGAGATGTGAGATGCATTGTGACGATGCGAGTGGATTAGAAGTGAATGTGTAGAAAGAAGCGAAGTACGAGAAAACTCCAAACAGCGAGTGAAGAGGACACAGATGGTCGTAGGAGAGAAGGGAAAGGGAGAAGGTGACCCGATGAAGAAGAGACCCAGCCCAGAACCAGGAGATGGAAAACGGCTCCTTATATCATGTCTCGGGAATCTTGGCTACTAGCCGTCTATCACGACCTGATCTTCGGGACCAGGACTTTCCCAAGTCCTCCTCAACTCTCGGACGTTCAACCAACGCAAAAAGGCTCGCCATCGTAGCGTACATGGCTCCTGCGGGACGAGTTTCTCGTGCCTGGGTCTAACCCGACACCGACAAATTCTAGTCAGATCTCACGACACGGCTAGTAGAGGCGTTCCAGTCCCGAGGCTCCACGCCTGCGGTGGCAGCTTTGGCCTGCGGCTTATGCCTCGGCGGTTCCAGGAGGAGCGGGAGGAGAACCAAGTGAGAGGGGCATAACATGCCACCCCGGACTTTGGGATGCCAGGGAAAGGAGCAAGAAGCATAGCAACTAGTTTGTGTCAGTCTAAGCCATAGACCCAGGGGGCACTTTACCGCCGAACTAGCTAAAAAAGGATCAGCAGGTATTCTTCGACGGTCACTCACCGAAGCGGCTGATCTGACAGTGCAGGACAGAGAACCAGAAGTCTGGACAGAAACACCCATGCACCGGAGCTGCAATGCAGGCTAAGCCGGGTCTAACATTAGCCTCACCTGCATAGAGCAGCCATACATGGACATGCTTTATGCAATGTACGGCGCCCCGACAACAGGAACCGTGGGCGTGATTCCGCGCCCGGCCGTGTCACGGTGCGCACACTTGTGAGCGACAGGGGTAGAGGGAAGAAGGAGAGGCGAGCTCTCGTATCGCGCACCACTAGGCACATTAGCAGACGCCACGCCAAGGGCCTCCGCTGGGGATTGGATGATGAGCGTTTAAGCTTCTTGTGTTGGTGTGCGGCGCCACAAGGGTCCAGTGCAAAAGGGGTAACAAACCGTCTTGGTGGACAGGTGAGAAGGTGAGGGTAAATGTGGGCTGAGGTGTAAGAAGGCTGTTGCGGTCCGCCGTCAGACTGCTCAACCGGTAAGCCCAAGGAAGCCCCGTCAGACAGTCAGACAGATCTGAGTGGCCGTTGCCTGGGCTGCCATCGGCGGTGCGTCCGTCGAAGCTCGTGTGGCGTCACGTTGACCAAGATGGTCAGTTTGTTTGACTTCTTTTTGCCCGCACCGCCCGGTGTGACTTCTCGCTGGCCACCCGCCTGACGCTATTGAGCGCCGCAATGCGTTGGCAGGCAGTTTCGCTTCCTTACCAATGACTGCCGCCTGATAGGATCGAGGAATAGGTAGATAAGCATCGGATGTCGGTCAATGAGCCGGCGTGCCTCACAACATGCTGGTTGGTGCTCGGATGAAAATGTCAGTCCCGTACATATACGAGCGCCTGCACATGGCTATCGTTGAACGTGCTTTGCAGTGTCTCGCTCACGCGTGTCGCTGGTTGCGGGGAGCACAGGGCAGCGACAAGGACAGCCACCTAAAATGAGTCTGTGTCTCTACCCTGTGCTTTTTTGCTGTTTTGGTGCTACCATTGCTTGCGATACAACAAGGGAATTCAGCCACTCGGCTGAGCTTCTGTGCGGCCACTCTTTTGCTCCTCTACCATGTCCGCGAAGGAACAGTTTTGACATCGGACGAAGGCCTCTCGTGGGATCCTCAAGACGCAGGTGCCGCTACTGGTGGACGATGCGCGCCGACTAGCCTGTTTTGAGAGGGTGTTGGTTCCTCTGACGACCCGGTCTCGACTTTGTTTTTGCGGGGATCAAGTCCTTGAGCTTTGTTCGTCTGAAAGGATCAACACGAGAGGAGATCTCCGGCTGCAGCACCGAGAGCGGGATTCGATTGTCATGCGAGCACGGAGTTTGCATTGTTCGGATGGATGATTCGTCAAACTTCGTCAATGAAAAAGCAAGAATGGTTGTCAGCAAAGCCAGTAGAAAGGCAGGAAACTCTTGCGCATGAGGCGAAGAGCAACATGAGTCTCAACTTGGCAAGGACCTATTTTCAGCTGTGGCGCATGACAGTTGGCCGTACCGCTGCTTACCTGGTCTCTCATTCTTAGGTCATCACATCACATTTATCCTTTTCTTTTTTCTTACTGCTTATTGAACAATGGGAAGACCAAGTAAGCCTTATTTAATGGGGTTTTGTTCTCCAATGCCGAAGGCTGCATTAACTATTGCATCTGCAGTGGGAGCGTAGGCTGCCCGGTTTTTACATGCATGGGTATGACTGCAGGACCTCAGCGCGCATGTGGAATCGCCAGACGAAGAAGACATGGCTAGGCGAGCAAATCGACCCCCTTTCGATGCCAAGCAACACCGTCTCTTCATCTCATTTGCGAATTTGAGTTCGACCCGCCGGAAGTTTCGGTGACAGACAGTTGACACTTGGCCGTCGTAGACAAAAGTTCGTCCCGGACCGTATGGATTATGAGGTGATACGAAGCAGTCGAGTTCTCCTTTGGCCGCGCTGACCGGTAATGCTCCGAAATGAAAAGACAATCTCAATCCTGGCGTCGATCTCGGGGAATCGCATGAGTTTTCGTCCTTCACCCAACCCATGACGCTAAACTCAATGTGGCGACGCAGGTGAGTTACAGGTGAAGGTAGAGTCAGCTCCACGAGCCAGCCGTGTCAGTGTTCATTGGTTTCTCGCAGTTGCAGGAAATACTCGTATTATCCCATTCAAACTTGTTATTGACACATAAAACAAAATATATCTTCTCTCGGTCTAGCCCGAGGACAAAGGGGGGAGACCGATGAGCTCTGGCATCCCCATGCAAATTTTCATTACCTCCCAGAAACTTTTCCTTTTTTGTTGATGACTCCCGAAATCTTACTCCTCATCATCCTCTTCAGCGGCTGCGCCCTTCTTGGCCTTGGCCGCTGCAACCCACTCTTGAGCCTTGGCCATCACCTTGTCCCGGCCCTTCGGGCTCAGCTTCTGCTCCCAGTCGGCCCACCGCTTGAACCACTTCATCGCCTTCTTGGGCTTGAGACCCTTGGCCTTGGTGCCCCTCTCAAAGACATCCCTAATCGCCGTGGTATCCGGCTCGGCAGCCGAGATCTCGAGGTCAGCCAGCTGGTTCCACAGGTCGAATCTCTTCGGCCATGTGGCGAGAATTGTTTCGAACGTCGTGCGGCCACGCTCGGCGTCGCCGTTGGGAGACTTGAACTCCAGAGCGCCGAAGCTGGCCATCAGCTGGGCGGTGTGACGCTCCTCCAATGCCTGAGTTGCACGGGGCAGAAGAGCGCGCGCCCTGTCGGGCTCGTTCATCGTCACGTGCAGGAAGTGGGCATAGTTCTCCCAGACCTTGGGTGACTTTGACTTGAACTTGGCCACAAGTGATTGGAAGACATCATCCGCTTGCTGTTGGGGGTGTTAGTCAGGTTCAGTTGATAAAACATGGTGAAGCTGCTTACCTTGAGCTTTCCGGATTGGATGTAAATGCTGGCTAGACGCTCGTGAACTTCTTGTTCATCGTTGTACTGGCAAGCACGCTTGAAAACCTCCTCGGTCGACGCCTTGGTGCCGTATGCGACCTCCAAGTTGAGGTACGCAATCCAGACGTTGAGCTTCTCGGTTTGTTCGCGGATGTTGATAGTCTTGATGGCGCGCTCGGCAATCTCGCGTGCCTTGGCCAGCTCGCTGACCTTCATCTGCAGAGCCATGTACTGAATCCACAGTTGAGACGAGTCAGGCTCTCCTAACAGAAGACGCTCGTAGTCGGTCGCGGTCTGGGGTCCGTGGGCGTCAAGGTCAGCGGTACGATCGACCTGGATTCCGCTCTTCTTCTTCTCCTTCTTCTCGGTCGCCTTCGACTTCTTCGACTTGCCCGTTGATTCGTTGTCTGATTCATCGAATGCGTCGCCTGTCCAGTCGTACTTGCCGGCACTTAAGCCCTTGCCAGCATTTGCTTCGTCATCCATCTCGACATCACTGTCATCTTCATCCTCCTCTTCCTCGTCATCCTCTTCGTCCGAGTCGTCGAAGTTGTCTGTTCCGCTGATAGTAAGCTGGACACCGCCGTCTCCCATCTCGACGTCAGAGTCCTCGTCGCTGTCGAGCTCGGCACCTCCCTCAACATCCTCCATGTCGCTGTCCTCGTCGAAATGGCTGGGCTTGAGACTAAACGTAATTCGTCTCTTCTCATCATCCACAGAGAGGATTTTGGCCTTCACCACGTCGCCCTCGCTGTAAAGCTTGCGAGCGTCCTCCACGGGCTTCTCGGCCATCTCGCTGCGATGGCACAGACCACTAACATTAAGGGAGTTATCGACAACGATGAAGGCACCAAACTCCTCAACCTTGCGGACCTTGCCGGTAACGATCTGACCCTCCTTGATGTCCTTGTACGTCACAGGGGGTGTGTAATCGTTCTCGACGACGGAAGCCTTGAGACTAAGTTCGACCTGGTTGATCGCGCTGTCGACGTTGATAACACGGCCCTTGACTAATTGATCGACCTGGAAGTTGCCCTTCCAGTCCTTGATGTAGCGGTCTGAGAGGTTGCCGATCTTGACCAGAGCGGAGACGGTACCTCCGAGCTGCACAAAGACGCCCTTATCAGTGACGTTCTTTACGAAGCCTCTGATAATGTCGCCAGAGGAGACCTGGGACAGCTTGGTGATTTCGCGATCGGCAACAGGAGAGGTAGAGCTGAGAATGCGAGACGGGCGGGTAGAGAGTCTGAGTCTCTTGTTGCTCTTGTCAACCTCGACCACTGAGACGCGGATAATCTCACCCTTGGTGTACTTCAGAGTGTTTGCTTCGTCGTAATTGTCGCAGAGATCGACCAGATGGACAGGACCAGACACGGAGTCGCTGAGCTTGACCATGACCGAACGATCGTTCACCTTGGTGACCCTACCAGGGAGGGCTACGTTCTTCTTCAAAGAGTCCCAGGTAACCTCAGTAGAGCCTGTGGAAGAACGAGAAGAGAGGTCCAGATGTCCCTTTTCAGCATCGACAGACAAGACGCGGACCTTGAGAGCAGATCCGACAGGGAAGTACTTCTCAAGGTTTCCGGCGTGAGACAAATCATCCGAAACGTCCATGATGCCAATCCTGCCACGGACAGTAGGTGACAGGTTGACCCACAAGCAGTTCTTGCCGTGGTTGTTGACGAAAGCGATGTGGGAAGAGCCGACTTCAATCTTGTCGTATGAAAGCAACTCGACTTCCTTTGCCTCGAGGTCGCTCTTCTTGGCGGTGAACTCGATCAAAGAGTGTGTAGAACGATGAGAGAAAGGCAAGAAGCGGTAGTTCTTGGAGTCGTGAATGCCGATGGCGCGGACGCGGATAATTTCGTTTGCCTTTACTTTCTGCAGAGGATTCTTGCGGTTCGCAATGTCATCCCACTTGTCGTAAAATTGCGAAACATCGATGCGGCCTTGGATGTTGTCTGCAACCTTGACGTTCAACTGCGTGTTCTTGACAGAGATGACCTGGGCGTTCAGTGTTGTGCCGAGAGCAACATCGTTGATGTTCTTGATGCTGTCGTCGACAGAGTTCACGGCAGACTCGGCCGCGAGTGGCTCGGGCTCACCGGTAGAGGCAGGGGCAACGATGATGCGGTTTTGCTCGGGGTTGGAGGACACAATCTTGACCTCAATGCTTTGGTGCTTGCGCATGCCAAACGCATCCTTGTCCTGCACATCCTTGGGCAACTTGGTCTTGGGCAAGATTGCAGTGAGGTTGCCACCAAACTGAACGTAGACGGCGTGAGGACCAATCTCGCGGACGTAGGCCGGGGCAACAGTGCCAACAGTAGCATTCTCAGCATTGGACAGAAGCTTGCCGTTCTTGGCCGCCTCGACGAAGCTCGGCTTCTGGGAGAGAATGATGGCACGCCGGCGCTCATTCTTGTCAAGCACCACTAGTTCGGCTAGGGTGTTTCCAACGTTGATGCGCTTCCAGGCAGCTTGAGTCTTGCTAGCAGACTTGTCTGACAGATGGCCGGTGCGGATAATGGCCTTAAGGCCGCTCTCCTCGAGGTCAACGAAGACTTCATCCTCTGTCTTTTGGCTGACCTTGGCAGACACAATATCACCAACCTTCAGAGCCTTCAGCGCAGCTTGCTTATCCAGGCCAAAGGCCGACGGATCCTTGCAAGAAACAACCATCCGGCGTTCCTCGGGGTTCACGTCAAGCACGTGGACACTGACGACCTGACCAGTCCGGAAATGCTCTCTGGGATCCTTAATGTAGGCTTCGCTCATTTGGGACACTGGCAAGAAGCCCCTTACTTCTCCGAAGAACTCGAGTTGAGCGCCGGCTGCAGTAAAACCAGTGATAGTTCCGGGAGTCTGCATGCCCACTTCAACCTCGTCGTAGTTTTTGACAATGGGAGCATCAGAGTTGACCAGGGTCTTCTTGAGCGTCAGACGAAGCTGGCGCTTGCGAGGGCGTACCGAGAGGACTCTCGCCTTGACTGTGATTCCCTCTCTGAACTTCTTCTCTGGGTGCTGAAGCTTAACGTCGGCAAGATGCGACTCGTGAACGTAGCCACTGATGCCCTCGGCCAACTTAACGATGAGTCCGCTGACACCGTTCTCGCCAACAATGACCTTTTCGACCTTGCCAGAAACAACTTCTCCGATAGGCACATCCTCGAGGCGAATGAAAGGCTGGTCGAGAACATGCTGCTCGAATGACAGCAGGAACATGCCATCCAGAGAGCTGTAACCGACGACTCTGCCGCGATGCGTAGAGCCGACTTTGTGCGGGCCACTGGTTTCGTAGAGCGCATCGACCTTGCCGTCCTTGACACGAGAAATGTGCACGAAACCAGCAATGCCGGGAACGCCAGTGTCGACGTAGAGACCAATCTCAGGCTCAACTTTACGGACTGTGCACTTCTCGACAAACGAAGCAATGGGGAGCAGATCAAGAGGGGCCTTGGCTCTGCTACCCTTGCCTGATGACTTTGGCTGCATGTTGACAATGTGGGGCAGCAGGGAGATACCGAGCTTGGGCTCTCTTGCGGCTGGGAAGTTGCAAATGATTCTCGCCTTGACTCTGCTGCCTACGGTGTACTTGGCCTCGAGGTCGACACCGTCAGGGCCAACACCGGAGTGAATAAGGTCGGCAGTGACAGGCAGGTGACCAAGGAGCTTGCCCTGCAGACCTCTCGAGGTGACTTCAGTCAGAAGAACATCAGCCAGAGATCCAGGCAAGAAAGAGTTGATCGTGGGGGCAGTCGAAGCAACAAGCGATGTGTTGCCAAGCTTGAGGGGATCAGTCGACAGCTGAACGACGATGCCAGTCACGCTCTTCACAACACAAAGGCAGACGGCACCTGGCCGCAGGCTAGCCTCGTCCATGTCCGGACCGACTTCTTTCTTGGCAAGGAAACCCTTCAGATCTCCCTCGATGCCCAAGTCCATTTCGTAACCGTGGTCCTGAACACTGGCGATCGAAGCCATGAGCGTGGTGTATGCGACGACGTCATCGCCAGTGATTCCAGCGTTGGCTTCGTTAGGTCGAAGCGAAAGTTCGATACGGCGCTTGGCCTTGCCAGAGCCTGAATCGTCTGCGGTCGACAAAACGTATGCGCGAACGTACTGGCCGATCTTGAACATGGATTTCAGGTCGATGCCCTCGTCGTCCTCTTCCTCCTCGTCGTTGTCACTCTCCTCGTCGGCGGCATTCAGATCCTTCTCGAGTTTCGAATTGATTGTTTCCGAAATCGAGGTGATTGACACATGCCCAGTGAGGTTGTTGGGCAGGGCAATCGTAAGCTGAACAGGGTCGATATGGGTGATTTGGCCAAGGACCAGTGAGCCCTTTACCAGTCGCTTTTCGTTTTGTCAGTAGCGGTTCTCTCGGACAACAAGCCAGGTTTGTCTCACCTTGAAGTTGAGACCTTCAATCTTGACGGCGTCTTCGTCTCTTGCGGGCTTCAAGTCCTTGGTATCCTTCGCTTTCCGCCTCTTCTCCTTCTTTGCCTTACTCTTCACGTTGGGGTCGAAAAGCTCAGCCTCCTCCTTGGCAGCATCGGCCTTGGCCTCCATTGTGATCTGTTTCTGCTCAAGAGGCGTAAGGACGCTTCCGCCACCACGAGGGAACAGTGGCTCTTCATCTTTGAGCAGGGCTGAGACGGCAGGGGCCTTCGGCGCGGGAGCATCTGCTGTCGCCTCCTTCTTGTCCTTGGTGGGAGTGTCGCGCTTCGAGGGCCGGGACACCTTCGAAGCCTTTGCTGCTTTTGATGGAGGAGTGCCCCCGGGGGCATCCTTTCGCTTGAGTGAGCTCATGTTTGTTGTTGCGCCCAAAAACCAGGTCGCAATTTCTTGCAACAGTTCCGGACTCGATGTTATGGAGGAGCAGGTTCAGAAAAAAAGACCCAAGGGACCTTTTTGCGACTGCTCCACCGAAACATTTTTTTTCAGAGTCGGGCGGGATGCAGGTCGATAACAGATAACGATAAGCCATTGCTTATCGGCAGCCGAGGGTGGGGCCAGAGTCACATTGCCCAGGACCCCGAATGCCGCCTCCAGCGCCGGCTTATTAGTGCTCGTGCTCCACGTTCCAACGCAACGTCCTCAGCGCCTTATCTAATCAGCAGTGCCAAATGATGCATGTGGGCGGCGCTTCCCATCGGAGGGGTTGGCCGCCTGCGTGCACCCACTACCAGGTTGCGCTTGCACTCAGATCCTAGGCCCTTTGGTGTGGGCGCCACCATCCTAGGCAACCTACTCTTCCTCGTCTCAACAACAACGGCCACCTCCCATTATTTCTTGCCAGCCTCTATAATGTCAGACTCTTAAAACGAACATGCGGCAAATTGACTTCCGACCTGCTGGCCTGACTTTCGTCCACGACTGAGGATTCTTTCTCCGCCATGTCTCCTCGCAAGCGCCAGCGCACCATTCCGTCGGATCCAAGCTCATCGAGCCCACCTGCGGCAATTGCCCCTGCGATAGCAACATCGGCTACGTCACAGGTCACGGCCGTCTCAGAACCCAGGAACCGCCCAACGCAAGAGATGCCTCTGATGAGGGATAGAAGCGGCAGCGAAACAAAGAACACTCCTCAAAGTTCACAGAAACAGGTACTGCGGCTCCTTTGGCGTCTTGTTTCCCACGGCTCGAGGTGCTAACTCAGAGATGCAGGTCCGCAAGGCACGAAGTTGGTACGGCTCTTGGCCACGCGTCCCGAAGTCATCCGCGTCGACCCAGCTTGCACGAGAAACGATATTCGGAGGCACACTGAAGCCCTCGAGTACACCCGATTTTCGACGGTTCGACACCAAGAAGAGCATAGACTCGGCGAGTTTCGACGGCCCGGCCGATTCATCAACGTCCTTACCACAAATACCAGAGAACGGCGTCGAGACGCCGGGGGATAGCACAGTAGATACGAAGAAAAAGAACGATACAGCAGCGGTTCAAGGGCCGGACAGGAATACACCACCTGCAAATACACCACCTGCGACATTGCAAACACTAGCAAACACCGACGACACTGCTAAGTCGAACGGGGACCAACAGACCCCGCAGGAACCTCCACCAACGTCAGGCTGGTTCGGCTGGCTAGCACGAGCGCCAGTAACGGAGACGCAGACGTTCACGACGGTTGAAGAGCAACCGAAAGAGGTAGAAGCTACAAAAGAGCCAGAAAGCCGGGCCGAGGCCCAGACTGCACCAGTTGCCGAACCATCAGTACCGGACACCACAGCAGAACAACCTGACCCAAACCCGCCAGCATCAACAAATTCGTGGTTCGGTTTCTGGTACTCCAGCGCTCCTGCGACAGAAACCCCTCCGAACGACGGCACAGCGAAGGCAACGAGCACCGCCGAAGTTGCCATTCCTACGGAACAACCTGCAAAGGAACCCGAGGACGTAGTTATGGACGACGCACCTCCGCCTCCAAAGCCAGAACCTACCAAACAACCAACGGCGGGGTCCACTTGGGCTTTTTGGTCGAGGGACACTCGCCCAAAGGACGGGGAGACGAAGTCTTCAACAACACAGCCTGAATCTGGGGAGCTGGCGGTGATTGGACAGGGGTCAGAGGCTCGTCCTGAGCACACCGGCTTGAATGTTGACCCAAATCATTCTGACAGCAGTACAAAGGACGCAAAGAATCCCAAAGCATCGAAGAGCGCAACGTCATCTAAAAGCACCAAATCAGGCATTGCATCTGCACCGTCGACGTTTGGGAGAAAGACTAAGAGAAATCGACCCCAATCGATGGATTTAGAAGCACCGTCGAGACCTGGAACCCCCAATCGGCCAGAGTCGGTAGCTTCATCAAAAGCCTCGATTACAGAGACAACGCCAAGAGAACCACCCCTCAAACCAGGGACACCAAAAAACAGTAGTAGTCAAGAAACGCCCAGCAAGACAACGCCGCCGAACCTGTTGCTGCCCTCGTTTGGGAGTACTTACCGGATGAAAGACAACCCATCCATCATCAAACAAATTACATCATTGCTACTTAGAACTAAACAGCCTCCCGCGAACCATCTGTATAGAGTAAAAGAGACTCCCAAGATTAAGAAGGCCATTGCGATTGGAGTTCATGGCCTTTTCCCAGCCATGTATCTACGACCCATGGTTGGACAACCCACTGGTACTTCATTACGATTTGCAAACTTGGGCGCCGAAGCGGTCAGGAGGTGGACAGACGCCCATGATTGCCCTGATTGCGAGATAGAAAAAGTCGCATTGGAAGGCGATGGAAAGATTGCCGACAGGGTGGATAACCTGTGGAAGCTGCTTCTCAACTGGATTGAGCAGATCCGCAATGCAGATCTGATCCTGGTAGCATGCCATTCGCAGGGCGTTCCAGTGGGAATCATGTTGTTGGCAAAGCTGATCGACCTCGGCATCATCACCAATGCCAAAATCGGCGTGTGCGCCATGGGTAAGTTGCCTATCAACCTTAATCTTAACTGGGCTTTGAGGGCTCGGCTGACATGCATAGCTGGTGTGTCGTTGGGGCCATTTCCTGACTACAAGTCGAGCATGGGTATTCTCATGGGAGCCGCTAACGAGCTGTGGGAATTCTCGAACCCAGACAGCGACATCTCGAAGAGATATGAGCACTCACTGAAAGAAGTGCTTCAGTACGGCGCCAGAATTACATACATCGGAAGCATCGACGATCAGCTCGTGCCGATGGAATCGGCCATCTACTCCCCCGCATCCCACCCTTACATTTACCGCGCTGTTTTCATTGACGGCCGCATCCATGCACCAGACTTGTGAGCTCCCCTCCATGTACCTCTTCTTGTGTTCCGGTCTAATCTGCTGGCAGCATCGCCCACCTCGTCGGCTTCGCTCTGAAACTTCGCAATCTAGGCGTCTCCGACCACGGGCTGCTGAGAGAACTCTCCACGCCGCTCGCGGGCAGCCTTTACTCGGGCGAGGGTCACTCGCGCCTCTACTACGACAACCAGGTCTACGACCTCGCTCTCGCTCATACCTTGGAAACCTCAGACATTCGTCCTAACGTGCCCGCCACCGTTACCCACCGTCGCGACGCTAACTCCTCTCTCGCGAACCCAAACCCATACCATTTGCCCTGGATCATGCGTGGCCTGCTTGAGGAAGATTTTGTTCGCACTGAGCTTTCATCCGAGACGGAAGAGCTACTGCAGCAGTTTGACGACTGGAAGCCGGTCACCAAGGCGCTCAAGGACGTCAAGTACCGGCTTGAGGCCATACGATCCAAGCTTTAGATGAGCGCTATAGACCAAGCATAGGCGTCAGAGGAAGGCCTATTTTAGAAGATGGGAATGTCGGCAGCGATGCCACTCTGGTCAAGTACAGTCAAGGTGGCCTCTGAAATGACAAGCAAGCCTGCCTTTGGCAAACTACGTATACCTCACACCTTAGGATGGTGATTTTTCTATGTTACATGCACCTTATCAAAGGGCTTATTTTTAGCGAGCAATACCACCAATGAGATACTAATCTACTTTGAGAGCCGTGCCTGTAGAAGTCTTTCGTAATGAACACAGATTGGCAACTCTCCAGCCAGCCAATCCTGTATCCAACCAGCACCAGTACCCGGCACAACTTGCGGGCATCATGGACAACAAAGAAACTAGCCTCGCGAGATCACAATCCCACGTTATTCTACAACGCCTTCCCAGATACCCTCGCCCGACCTCGCCGACTCTGGTGGCGGCAGCGCCACAGCGGCGTCTCGGGCCCTCTCTGAAGAGGTGTCTCGTTCTGCGGGCCGCTCAACCGAGGATGGGCACGATTTTGAAGGCTGTGTAGGTCCCCAAAACCTTTCCAACTCGTGCGCCCGGGCACATTGACCAACTAGGTAAGCTAGACTAAGAGACAAGAACCTCTTCGTATTATTACACCTGTAATTGATACGGGAGCACCTCTTTCATCGTCTGATGGTTGGCCGCACGAGTCAGAAGCCAAGCAAAGGGATAGATACAACGCTGGCATCCATCTTAACGGTCATACTGATCAAGACAACGTGGTTGAACCAAACCAAGTCTAAGCCTCTTCCCACTTGGTCACGCACTTACCCACCGCTTTTGATACAACGAGGGTCTATTTAGAGAGTCACAAGTATTAATAAAGTAAATGTGGTGAGGATGGATATGCTTTGGATTTCCCAAGATATAGTTCTACAAATCTGATGTCGCGTGACGGGATGACCGCCTGCCTACTGACTCCCTACGGAAATTTTCAAGCCAGCAGGCTCCTTCTTTTTTCTTCAACAATGCCAGCCATTACTTTTACAACACGCCCTTGGGTTTCTATGGTACAAACGTGGCCCCGCGCCTCGCCCTCTCTCTTGTTCTTTGCTCCCCTCACCACCGCACGCCACCCCCCGCCCATTCATCTATCAAGACAAAAACACATCTACAGCGGGAAGAGGGCAGGTGGTGGACCGCAACAAACGCAACGGGATTTCCTTCCCCCCGTCCGCTCACCTCCGGCCCAGCTGCCAGTCGTAAATCGTGTTCTGGACGGCCTCCCACTCGAGGGTGTGCGTGCTGACGCCGTGGGCCTGGGCCTCCTGCAGGACGACGGTGGGCGCGCCGCTGCCGCGGCCCGGGTTCTCGACGAGGCCGCCGGCGACGATGCGCGCGACGCGGCGCAGGTCCTCGACGGTCAGCGCCTCGATCTTGTGGCACATGTCGGTGACGGGGATCTTGCGGCCGTGGACCTGGACCTGGCGGCCGAGGTCCTCGAGCTCGACCATGCGGCTTTCGAGGTTCATGAGCAGCGAGGAGCGGAGCTGGTTCTTGGCGCGGTTGACCTCGCCCGCCTTGAGGGCCGAGAAGCCCGTGTCGAGTGTGAGGGCGCGCAGCTCGCGGCACATGACGTCGAGCATGCTGGCCGTGCGGCCGGGGATGCAGCTCGCCGAGATGCCAAAGAGGCCCGAGTCAGTGTACGAGTGGTTAAAGGCCACGCACGACTCGACCCAGCCGTGCTGGTTGAGGACGTTGGTGTACAGGCGCGAGTACATGCCCTTGCCGGGGCCGCCGGCGGAGAAGGAGCCGCCGCCGCCGAGCAGGGTCTGCAGCGTCGCGAGGGCGTAGATGTCTTCCGAGGAGATGGGGAGGCCCTCGAAGGCGAGGTGGATGTGGGTGAAGGTCGGCAGGTTGGGGTTCAGAGACGGCGGCTGAGGGGGCAGGGAGAGGAAGCCGCCGGTGTAGTGGGCGGGGGCGTTGATGTTGTGAGACAGCGACGACGCGGAGAGGACGGAGGCGCTGTTGGGCGCCGAGGTGGAGAGGTTCTTGAAGAAGGGGACTTTGGAGAGGAGCTTAGACGGCTGCTGGACGGGGGAGGCGGAGGATGCGGAGGATGATGCGTCGGTGGACTCGGACCCCTGGGAGCCGAGGGACGTCTCCGATCCCGTCCTCGGGAGCGTCGGCTCCTGGTAGGAGCCCTTCATGTCGCCAAAGTACTGCTCCGCAAGCTTCACGGCCTCGCTGTGCTCGACGCCCGCAAAGGCGACAACGATACGCTCCGGACGGTAGAACAGGTCCCGGTATCGCTGGATGGTCGCCCTCGAGATGCTGCCGAGGCGCTCCTCCGGCACAGCAGGGGGTTGCCCAGGGTGTTGTCCTTGAAGGCGGCCGTGTGCACGAGCTCCGGCAGGATGAGCTCCGGCTTGCTCCAAATCTCCTTGATCTCGTACTCGGCCGTGCCGAGCTGCTCCAAGACCTCCTCCTCGGTGAGCTTCGGGTCACGGATCGTCTCGGCCAGGAGCCCAATCGTCGTCGGCACGGCGCCGTTGAACGTTGCCGCCTGGTACATCATGCTCTCCCGGGAGCTGGCGCACTGGATGTTGCCGCCGAGCGCCTCGACCTGCTCGAGCATCGAGTCGGCGCTGCGGCTCCCCGTCGACTTGAAGGCCAACCGGTCCATGATGTGACTAACTCCTCGCAGGCCCGCGTCCTCGTACCGGGAGCCGGCATCGACGTACACGCCGACGCCGGAAAAGGACCCCGGCAGCGCTTCCGAGGCAACGCGCAGGCCGTTGGGGAGCGTCGTGATGGCGTCGAGTTCTGTCGGCTCTTTGGGGATGGCGTCGATGGTTGTCGCGAGCGCACGGCGGGACGAGGGGACGGTAGAGGGGCGGAGCGTCGTTGCAAGGCGAGAAGTCGTGGCGGCCGCGCGCCGCGGGAGGCGCGTCGCTAATGATCGAAGCATCGTGTGTTCTGTGCCGTGTGTGATGGATCACCGACCAGGTTGTCTGTGGTTGTCTGTGGTCCTGGCGGTGGGTGGTCAAGGGTGTCGCGATGGCGAGGCTTTGGAAAAGTTCGCTGTTCTTGGGATGTTGACGCACCCAGTTGCCCCCAATTCTTTGGATAGTCTTATCGCCTTATCGCCTCGGAATTATCGCGGACCTGACCCGCCCTCGTCGTCCAATCAGACGACAGACGATGCATCAAGCACAGAGGCGTCATCCTCGTACAACGCCGCTCGTATTCCGTCCATTGCATAGCGCCGCTCGGTGGTTAAGACATTTTCGCTGAATTATTCACCTACAGCAGGCAGTCATCGTAGTGATATGAATATGTACGGCCATGGAAGTTGCCCCGGCACAGAATATTCGATTATTGCCACCAGTTTAATTCATGGGAAAATTCCCTTTTTTTCCTTCTTTTGGGGGGGGGGGGGGGGGAGCAAAGAGTCGTGACAATGGGGCGTATGGTCACAATGCATCATGGATCTGCCCCCGAGTTCACGGATGCCAAGTCCAGTCCGGTGCATTCCAGCAGTAAGACAAGGCTCTGTGATTCACCCAGTATGTATTAGTTTATGCTATAGTTTCGACTCCTTTGGATGCGAGTTCTCCATTGTCCTCTCTAAGTTGCTGTCGTAGCTGAAATCGACAATGCTGAACCACCCAGCAAGTCCGCTTCCGTTAAACCAGTCGTTGAGTATCAACATAGCTCTGTTCCGCTGTGGTAAGCATAAAGCGCTCCACAATGCATTCAAACGCCTGACACCACTACCCCACGCATCGCTCATGCAGCCCAACCACTCTTTCTCCATGCTCCCCCGAGAAATGACAGTATCGCATCCGACCGCGGCAAGGTGATAAAAGTAGCCGTACAAATCTCTGCTGCTTTCGTCACGCCCCCGTCCTTGACCCACTTCAAGCAAGATAAAGGGAAGAGTGAGATGCCAGTAGGGGTTAAACATGCAAGACGGCAAGCCAAGGAAGATAACCCCGAGCGAGGCTATAATGCTGTTCTGCCGTTCCAATCGTCCGCCAGTGTCTTTTACTCTATCCCGACGACATGACCCTTGGCCTCCGCTCGAGACACAAAGGTGATGATCGTTGCTTCCGACGATTCTGGATTTGCCTCAACCGGCTCTACCGGTCGACTTCCATTTCGGTAGCCGCGTCGAGACTCCTCATACCATTGGATGCCTCCGCAGCACGCCGGCCGGCGCTTCCGTCAAACACCCATGGCCCAGCGTCGTTACGCGGGGTAATCGGGCCTTCATGGGCAGTCACCAAGTGATTGCCAATAGGTGAAGGCGTGCGGGTGTCCCGACCGGTGCGCGATACTGCAGCCTGAGCGGCTGCAACGGCCGGGATTGGAACAGGTGGAATCGACGTGTGAGGGGCGACTGTCCGGGGCGCTACCTCGAGCGGTTCCGCCATTGTTTGCGCCCGGTCGAGAGCAACCGTAAAGTCCATAGCATCGTCGTCTTGATCGATCTCGGGCAGTTGGGGCCTCGAGCTCCCAACAACGGCTGGGGCTGGGATGGGCTCAGCCGGAACTGCCACCTTGTCTGGGACCTCCTGCTTCTGCTGCTTCTGTTCTGGTTCCTCATCCTCGTCCATTTGCTCCCAGTCCTCTTCAGGGTCCTCAATATCAGCCTCCAGGTCAGCAGCCATGCGGCAGTTGGGGCAGACAAAGATTGGATATTGTGGCGAGTTCAGTAGCGAACGAATGCACTTGAAATGCCAAGTATGCGAGCACGGCGCTACGAACAAGCATTGACACGGCTGGCGGGTTGTTAGCTTGCCTGCTGGCACGCGATGTGGGGAATTGGGTGCATAGCGGTTACATACCGCGATGGAGTTGAGACAAATGGAACAATCCTGCGTCGAAGAATTCGCCGAGTTCGCCGCTGTCATGTTGCGCAGCCGCTTGTGCGTCGCCATGCTGAGTTTCGTAAGCACACACACACATCGCAAAAGAAAACAGCAATACTTACTTGAAAGTGTTGAGCTTGTTCTGCCAGCCTCGATTGAGCTCCAGCCGCATCTTGACGCAGCGGAAAATCATCTCCTCACCTCCCTTGAAGTCAATGCCCAGCTGCACAATGTCGCCGTCATTTACGGGGAAAGGTTTCGACTCGGTACCGGGCGGGCTCAGGCGGATGTGATTGAGGAACGTGCCGGAGGAACTCTTGACGTCCTTGATGTACCACTTGCCGTCATCGTACCAAAACTCGCAGTGACGGCGACTGACGACCTTGCTCTTAAAGCCCACGGGGGCAGCCGAAGGGGTGTTGTTGGGGATGTTGGGCTGGTTGTCCCGTTCCGAGTAACGGCCGACCCTGATGATCTCGCCGCCCGAAGGCAGTGTCCGTGAAACGGGAGGGAAAGTCAGACTGGGACGTGTCGCGCGGGGATCGTAGTAGGCCGAGAAACGGATCGAGGGCAGATTTTCGGGTGCAGGGGATGCGGCGGCCGGGGAGTCGCCCGTCGTCGAGGCGCGTGCTCTCGTCATGGTCGCGGTTTCGGTGTCGGTCGCTGACTGGTGCTGCTGTGGTGTTTGACTGCTGCCGCTCGCGATGGCGTCGTCGAGGATTGAGGGGAGCGCATCCACGGGGGACGCTCGACGGCGGGTGAGGAAGGCGTGGTGGAGGCCTTGTTCGCAGACGACGCTGACGAAGGAGGCTCCTGCAATGATGCAACGAGGGACAAAGGGTTCAGGCTGGCGTCGGTGTCGGAGCGACGAGGGGTGGAGGAAGTAGGTGAGTAGCTGAGAGAGCGTTGCAGACTTGGTGTCGGGCGAGCAGAGGCAGAGACGGACCGGTTGGCGTGGTTTTGGTTTTGAGTTTGAGTTTGGGTCTGAGGGTGCGGGTTGGTGCCGGCGTTGTGATGAAAATGGGAGTGGGAGTGCGAGTTGGAGGTTGGCGAGCCGGAGCCCTGGCTGCTGCTGTGCTCGCGGGACAAAATGTGGTTTTGGGTGTAGCTGCGGAGATAACTGAGGCCTCGCAGGCGACTGGATCGCGTTGAGGGAGAAGCGGGATTGGTGACAGACGTCGGCACGGGGCCCACGGTCGGTGGCGATGAGACTGGTTGTGTAAACATTTGAGTTGCGCCTCGAAGGGGAGGGAGAAGTCGGGTTGGCTGTCTTGCGGGTTGGTGGTGGTGCAATAAGCAGTAGCGGCCGCCGCAGGAGTGCCCGTGTCGTTAGCAGGCAAGCAAGGCAGGCGGTAGTGTCGCAATGGTGCCAATTCTCGACTCGTGGGTTTCGGTTGGCTTTGCTGGCGGACTGGCTGACTAGCTGGCTGAATCACTTGGCCGGCAGACCAGGCTGAGTGTGACCTCTGTTTTTTGCTCTCGTGCTTTCCCTTCCTTGCTTGAAGATCGAACCGCGAACTGACCCAAGGGTCCTTTTTCGGTATGCGGGTGGAGAGTTCAGGGTATCAGAAAAGCAAGGGCAAGAACGTAACAAAAGGGGTGAGTGAGAGAGGGGGAGTGGGAGAATGAACAGAGGCAGGCCAGGCGGGTTGCTTGGAATGTCGCGGGGTGTCTCTCTGTATAGCCTGGGTCGAGGAGTAGGTACGGTTCTTTTTGGTCTGGTCGGGGAGGGGATGAGATAATCCAAGTACAGAGCGGCGAGAGAGCGAGGCGAGGCGAGGCGAGGCGAGGCGAGGCGAGGTTGGACGAAGAGACGAAGGAGGAATCGTCAAAGATGAGAGGGATGGAGGGAGATCCGAGAGAGAGACAGCGGGATGGATGGATGATATGATGGACCAAGAAAAAGCAGACTGCGTCCGGGAAAGGTCCTTAGGGGGGGGAGAAAAGACGGATTTGTTAGTCTAGTGTATGTAGAGGAACCGCTGCAGGCCGTACAAAGTTGAACCTGGCAAGACAGTTGCAAGTGAAAGGGTTGTTGGACGTCCGTCTGTGGTGTCGGCTGGATTGGGGAATGGGCCAGGCCAGCATTTCGGCGGTGGCCAAGAGAGTGGGCGTCCAGGCCTCTTTTTTCTCGTCCTCCGGTCCCTCTCGTTGTCGTCAGTGTCAGTCCATGTTGGGCCAAGTGCGTAGGGAAGAGCCCGGACAGCCTGGCGCACTGGGCGTGCAGCGGTGCGCCCTGGCCGTGGACGGTGAGGTTGGACAAAGGTGCGAAGTAGTGTGCGAGAGTATCCGTAGGGGACTTCAGCAAGGCAAAGGTACTTCGGGATGCCCTGAATGCATGTACCTTGGCAGGACAAAGTCAGAGAGGCAGAGAGGAGGCGGGCGTGGGCGGGCGTGGGCGGGCGGCAGGAAACACTGGTTGGTCACTGGGGGACGGGGGAGACAGACATGTTGCTGTCGATGAAGCAAGGCCACAGGGACAGGGCAGGTGAGTAGGACTGCTGCATGGGGGAGGGGGTCGATACCTCGCATCAGGTACATTTTAGACCGTACATACATATTACAGTTCGTAGGGGAGCAGTACATCACACATTCATTCGTGTACCTAGGTACAGTGCAGCAGGTCGCAAAAGTCGGGGTCCAGCCCAGTCGGTCAGGTTTCCTCTGGCGCGCGTGCCACTGTATTTTGCCCACTGGTGACTTATACTAGTTGCGGGAAGAGGGGGCATTTACTGTGTATGTACTGCGTATGGGGACAATGACGACGTCTAGGACGCAAAGCAAGAGACGCACTACACTACGAGGGCGAGGGCCCCGTATGGGGTGAGCCAGTGCCGTTGCTTGTTGCTTGCGTAGGGGTCGATTCTCGCGCCGGGTACGGCAGGGGAGGAGGACGAGGTTAGGTCGCCTTTGGTTTAGGCTCGGACGCTGGGACTGGCTGGACATGGGCCAGGGGTGGGAAACGATGCGCCTGGATCATGGATTGCCTGCTGCGTGGGCGAGACGTGGGCTGTGGAGCTGGGATGCGCAGTGGATGCGGCCGGTGACAGTGGGGGGGAGAACGGATGGGCTGGTGGCCTGGTGGTGGTGGTATTGTTGTCACAACCGGTGAGAACTGGCAATGCCGTGACCGATAGCGACGATGATGTTGTTGTTGCTGTTGTCCGGTGTACTAGGTAGCTGATGTCGTCGACGACGCCGACGAACATCGCACCTGTTTCTGTCCAGCTATCGGAGAATTGGGCGTTGAGGGTGTATCGAAAAATACCCATGCATGCGCCGTGGATGACGGACGTGGTGAAGGATTCGCGGCTGCCATGTACAGATATTGGAAGAAGCAACGGGAGCGGCAGAGCGCAGGGCATGCCTACGGCATCCCGCCAAGTCATATGCGTCGAGGGTCTCAGTGTGAGGGAGGCCCGGCTCCAGTAAGCTGGATCAGAAAAGAAGGAAGCAAATAGACAGGCGGACGGAATGCACCGGATGCGTCCACGAGGGCCTCTCGCCCAAGCTTGAGTAAGTAGGTAGGTTGGGGAACACAGCAGAAGAGGGTTTCGATGGGTGAGGTGAGTTGGGGCTCGGAGATGGCGGGTGGACGAGGATGAGAAGGACTTCCATCGCAACCACACCGGGGCCATCGATTGGTGAGAAAGGTGACGGACAGATCTGAGATGGCGAAGGAAGGCGCCCAAGGCGTCTTCCCACAGTAAGCATGCAAGCACGCATGCATACATACATGCAACAGCTACCAACCCAACCAACAACAAACAACAAAAAAGCAACAACAACAACAATCATCACTCCGGAAGCACGTCCTTCGTCCCAAGGACGAGAGAGAGCGTCTCTTGGCTTTCGATGCACTGCGCCAACTCAAATGTCGTTGCCCCTTTCGCTCCTGCCTGCCAGTCACCCAAACAAGCTAGTCCCTGGGTTTCCATGGAAAGCACAGGACTGCGCGCAGTTCGCGACACGAGACGGACGAGAATCATCGACCTGCATCTGCGAGGTGGCCTATGCATCGTCGTCTCCCGGGCCGTACGCGCGCAAGGCACGATTCGATGGGCTGGATAAGGGAAACGACCGAGCAGGGCAGGGCAGAGCATGGCAGAGTGCACGGGTTGGCACCAGCCACGCATGTATCATAATCTGCAATCTTGCGGCTCTTTTCGGTTCCATCAGGCCCTGCCAGATCTTCTCAGGTTGATCGCTTGGGAGATACATACAGATGTACACTACTATGTACAGAGTACAACGCGATAATTGGATAGGTAGGTACGGGCGGGAGTCCGCAAATTCTGAAGGCACCTTGTATCCCTTAGAAGCAGGAGAGTCAGCAAGGCGCCTTCCTCGAATAGATACTCCCGCCCGATGTGGAATCGCGTACGAGGTGGTGCCTTGCCTGCACACGAGACCAAGAGATCTTCTTTCCACGCCAGATTGGTGTAACATGCAAAGAACAAACAACATGAAAATAGACAGAGAGAGAAAAAACGGGTTGTAGAAGAAATCCTGGCCGTTATTTCCGGCCCTTCCGTCGTCGCTCGTCACCACTCCACCAGAGAGCCATGCTTCGGTCTGCGCATCAGGCACCATTGCCATCGCCAACCTCCTAACCCGATAAACTGGAGATGCCGTTGTCAGCTCACCCACTCACTTACTCACTCGCTCACCGTGCAACTCACCTCGCTCCGCTCTGGGAGCCAGGGTGGTAGGGACCTCATCGGTGCCCACCACCGCTGAGCCCACTTCTTCGCCCCCGCTCGCTGCATCGCCGCACCGCTGTCACGGACGGGAATGATTTGACATGCAGCCGACCAGCATATCAACGGCCAATTCGCTGGGTCTCTCTGCAGCTGCATCTTGCGAGACTCGAGTGACCTCCCCAGAGAGGCCAAGTCCAGTCCAGTCCAGTGACCCCGACGGCAAAGACACCATGTGAGGGGGGGAAGGATTGAGGCCCTTCTCCACCCGACCCGAGCAAGCATTCGTGCATGAAGCACTCACGCGAGACTTGAAAGACAAGTTACGAACCATTTCTTCACGGGGGTGTTCGCGCTAACGCAATCACCAGATTAGCGCCCTTCCACCGCCCTAGCTCCCTGAACAAACCCCCTCGACCATGGTCAATACGCCGTCTGCCCAGCTCGCATCAACGATCAGGCTCGTCCACACACGTCCGACGCTCCACCATCTCCGATCCCCTCCACTCTCGCTCTCGCCGCGTCCTTCACCTGGTGGCCATCGCCATTGGTCATTGGAGAGCTTCTCCCCCGCCGGAAGTCCTGCAGAAGGCTGGGAATCCAACCTGAACTGCCCCGGCCCCTCATCGACCAGAATACCGTTGCATCGTGCATCACTTTCGCTGCATCGCGCCGGTCTTCAGTTTTCCCTCCGCCAGAGCATTTTCTCGCCAGGCTTGATCCGTCTCTGCGAGGTAGTGAGTACGACGAGTCCGGTCTCACACCCGCCGTCCCCAGGAATTCGAGTCCTCCTTCGCTCCCGCCTATGACTCGCCCGGCCCGCCCTCCGCCCTCCCGAGCCTTATCCGGTGCTGGGTACGCAAACAATAGCAAACTCTGGGACACGTCCGTCCCCTCTTGTCTCCTCATTGGCATCCAAAATTATATGCCCGACGAAACCGAACCATATTGAGGAAAAGTCTGGAAGGCACGCGGCACATTAGAAACGCACATCCGAACCCGACTCTTCCTAGGGAATGTTGGGACCCCGCCTCGCCTTGCCTCGCCACCTCGACTTCTAGACGTTCTCGCCACCGGCTGACATTTGCCAAGGTCTTCTTCCATTGGTACCCACCTCATGCGCCCTCCGATGCTTCTCCGGTGCCGAGGCCGCGATGGACCCTACACGTCCGTCTGGTACCGGTACCCACACCCATCTCCTTTGTGAGGATACTGTTCCGGACCGCTTCTAAAGGCCGCTGTTTCCACTTCAAATTCTCCCATTGTTCTCATCTCACCTTACCCAATGCGTGTTCCTATGCTCCCATACTCCCGTACGCTCGGAAGTGCAGATCCAGATACCAGAGCCCCGGTTAAAGTTGGCAGCGTCTATCCTTTCGATGAGACGCCACAGCCGATCGTTTCTTGCTTTGGAGATGTACGATGCACCTGATCACGGGTACTGCGAGCTGTTTCCAACGACCTGCACCACGATTGGTCTGTCCTCCCAAGGCCTGTTACTAGGGCGTCACAGAACCAAACTCAACTTCTGTCAGCCATCCGCAAGCATCTACGTAAACCATATCTGCGAAAAGACGAACTCGCTCCCTCCCTCTCTCTCTCTCCCTAGAAACACGCTCGGAAAGCTACTGCACATATCCAGGGACATCAGACCGTCTTCATGCCTCAGTTTCCGCCGGGGGCATCCCTTATCACAGAACCTACCTGATTCATGAAGACCATGTCCCGCCAGTTCCGCTCCGGGTGCAACCCAGCATGCCGTTCTACAAACCCCCATCTGAGACTACAGCACTCCGCCGTTTTTCGCCTCACCCTATGTGCTACGTACATAGTATGCTACAGCAACAAGTAAAAGGGGGTAAGGGGATGTTTAGTCCCGGGCGATGACCCCTATTCGTGTGTGCATGCACTGTACTGCATTATACTGCCTACAGCAAACTCGATCGAACGACCCACCACGCCAGGTTGCTCATCCAGGAGCCCCGACTCCGAGCCCACGGCGGCGCGGCGGTGCGGCAGCGTGCCTCGCTCCCGTGGCTCGCCCACGTGTCGATCCCTCACGCGACCCTTCGAGACTTTTTTTTGTACACTGACTACCTAGTGGGAGGGAAAAATCTGCAAGACATCTGCCAAGCCGAGCCGCATCCGGAAGGTGTCTTCAAAGAACCCATCACGTATCCCAAACACGCCAACTGTGCAGACACTCCCGCTGTCCGAGGCAGCGCACCGCTGCGCTTGGCAAAAGGTCCGAGTTGCTTCTGGCATAATCGGTCGAGAAGTCAAAAGGAGCTAAAACCACGTTGCAGGCACGCAGATCACGGGGAGATCCCAGCCGCCCGCTACGCGGAGGACAAGCTTTACCCCAGATCTGCGCCATTGCACGTCGCCCCCAACGCGATTCTCCAGTCTTCACTAAAGCGCTGCATGTCCATCATCGTCTTCATTTCTGCCAGATTACCTATGTAGAGTGAGATTAACATCATAGCCCCCTTTGACCCGTTTGGCCCATCTTTCGTCCGATCTCCTCATCCCCTGATTAGAGCAACAAGGTGCTCTTGCCTTCGCATCGCAACCTCACTTCTTGAAAACGGCACTTCCGAGCCTCTCAATATCCCGCCCCTCCTGCGTGCCCCGTCCCGCCGCCTCGAGCAGTCTTCCCCACGCCTCGGCGTCCTTGAGCTTCACCGCCTCCTCTGCCGCCTTGACCCGCATCCCGCACTTCTCGTACATGGTGATGGTCGTCCCGGGCTCCAGACCCGTGCACTTGGGCACGAAGACCGCCGCCAGCCGCGGGTTGCCGGCTTGCAGCGTGAGGTTGAAGAACGGCTGTGGCGCTCGCTGTTAGCCTCATCCTTGTGTGCCGTACTGCTCGGCGCGGAGCCGCCAGGAACAGTGGCGCCGACCATCCACACCCGGGATGTGTGATGTGAAATGTGAAAGCTTACCTCCCACCCGATCGGGCTTCTTCTCGTCTTCGCCAGCTCTTCAATCTCGTTCCAGTCTCGCTTCGCAACGAGCGCGCGAAGCCTAGATAGTGAAGAGTACGGTTAGCCACTGCAGGTGCTGGACTGGGCAAAGGGTCCGTAAACCAAATAAAACCCAATCATGGTTACACAAAAGGGGGGGGGGGGGGGGGGAGAATGTCTGACCTGATCCACCAGGCAACCTTGTCCGGCACCTTGAACTCGCTCTGGATCTTGTTGGCGCGCTTGTGGTACCCGAGCCGGATGAGCTTGAACATGGTCTCGTTGACGCTGAGCCCTGTGAACGTGTCGGTGAGGTCGCGGTCAAAAGCCTCCTGCATCTTGAGCAGCGTCTGCGCCTCTTTGAGGGCGTGCACCTCGAACGCAGCTTCCCTCGAGTCGGAGAGCAGCTTCGCGGCGAGCGCGAGCTTGTCCGACGACGTGCGGGCATCGGGCTGGCGGAGCGACTCGCGGATGAAGACGCTGGCGCCATCGACGCGGCGGTCGTCCTGGTAGTACAGGTCTTTGAGGAGGGCATTGTCGCCTTCGCGGGCGGCGGAGGACTCGACGAGAGCGGTTGCCGCGGGGCGGGCGTTGATGGCCCGGAAGAAGGCAGCAAGTGGCAGCTTCTTCTTGAGCTGGAGGAGCACGGTATACATGAGATCCGTGTCGCCGCTCTCGATGGCCTTGTCGAGGGCGAGCTCGTCCTCCTCCATGCTGAGGAGCAGCGGCACCTGGCGCCCGCCGCGGGGCTCGTGGTTCAGGAGCTCGGTCGCGAGGCGACCTCGGCCTTCATCGTAGGCCGCGCGGGCGATTTCTTCAAAGGAGATGCCCGGCTTTCCGGAGAGGCGCTCGACGACCAGCCGGCAGATGGTATCGTCGTCTTCGGTTCCGGAGCGGACCTTGGCGGAGGCCCAGTGGACGTAGATGCGGTCGGTCGGGAGACGCAAGTACCCCGCGATCTTGAGCGCGAGGAGGTACTCGTGGCGGTTAATGAGCCTCTTGATGAGGCCCTCGGGAGTGAGGCGTTGGTACTGCTCGAACGAGAGCGGCAAGCCGACCTCGAAGAAGCGCACGGCGTTGAGCACACGCAGAATCTCGCACATGTCGACGAACTCGTCGCTGTTGTAGATGTCGAGCACCGACTTGCCGAAAGACGCGGCCTTGAGGAGCTGCTTTTGCCAATGGATGCTGAACTCGCGGCCCGCGGCCGTGACGCACGTGTCGACGGCTTCAGTGAGGTTGGCGCGGATCAGCTGGATGTAGTCGTCGGCCTTGGGCGACTGGAGCTCCAGCTGGCCGACGGCGTCGAGGAGGATTGAGGCCGCCGAGGACTCGGCGCGGGTGCCAAAGACCTCCTCCGTGGCGTGCGGGACGCGTTCTAGAAAGTCGCAGACGTCGTTTGTGATGAGTCTCGCGCCGTCGTGTTCTGCACATGGTCAGCTCTCCGTGGTTTCTAGACGTACTGCCAGTAAACATACCTGATATAACATGCACTCGTCCATCGTAGAAAAACTCTGCCGTTGCGGCGTCCGGGCCGATAATATGCACCTCATCCTCCCACGCAATCAGCGCGTCGGAACCGCACCACTCCACGTACTTTGGCGGGATCTTGGACTGCGAGTCATGCTCGACCAGCCTCTCCTGAAAATCACTCGAAATCACATGCGCCTTGCCCGTCTTCGTGTACAGCACAATCAGCCTTCCGTCGGGGGACACGCTGATATGGCTGAACGGCCCAAGATCCAGGAACCGATCCTCGCACTCGGCCGCGTCGGCGACGTACACCGTCTCCCCAATGCTCAACAGCACCTCCACGGATCGCGAGAGCGTGTGTTCTGGCGCCACAACGGCCCAGGCGTGGATCTCGCCCTGGTCGGTCGGCGGCACCGCCAGCAGCCGCGGCCTCGGCTCCGCGTACGACGTCACCGAGACGAAGGTGTCGTTGCCCAGGAGCGCGACCATCCCGGTCTCGTAGAAGCGGCACCCGACGACGCCCGACTCTTCGGCGCCGTTGCCCAGGGAAAACTGCGTGAACTCGCCCTGCAGGTCGTACACGCGCACCGTGCCGTCCGTCGTGACGACGAGGAGCTTCTCCTCGCCGCCGGCGACGCTAGCCCAGCCCAGTCCCTTGATCGAGCCAGAGCCCTGGTCCCATGGGATGCGGCGGAGGAGCTTGCCGGCGTACGAGTAGATGTCGATGCCGGGCTTCGATGAGGAGGCGCTGGCGCCGGGGTTGACGCGGTATGCCTGTATTTTCGTGTCATCTCGCAAGAGAGCGAGGGCTCCGCCGTAGGGGGCGCCGGCGACGACGTGGTTGTCAAGATCGAGGTCCTGGTCGAACACCTCGGTGTAGAGCTGGACCTTGCGGTACCACTTGTCGCCGACGTTCTCCCATCCTGCCGCGGGATGAGACGCTTCCATCATGTCATCTTCTCATTGCCGGGGGCCTTTATTCTTTCGATGTGTGCGATTGAGCCTTGCTTTCCGTGCTTCGAGCTTAATTTGTTAAAATTAAAGAACCTCGGGAGTCGCTGCTGCTGAGGTTGTTTGACGTATGTAGTTGAGACCGAGATGTGAGATGAGAGACGAGGTTGAGGCATGAGCTCCAATTCCCCCAAGCTGTCGCTACCTTGAGCTAGAGGTACGTACCCGAGGGGAGAGCTTGCGCCACGAATCAATTGAGCCTTGAGAGACCCGGGGCGCGGCTAATCCCCGGCCCATGGAACCTGCGTCATTGCACCCCCACCACGCCCGATAAGACAAAGCACCCATTGACCCCCAGAGCAGGTGATGCGACTGCGACAGCCTGAAGGAGTCGGGCGCCTGTTCATGTCTGGAATGTAACGCATGCGCCATTGTCCCCTTCACTGATCCGGTTGCACCTTTCACTACAAATTCACTTGATGAAACTTTGCCAGATGCCGAAATAAAAAACGCCAGGACGCAAGGCTGTTCTTGTTAGATGTGATCCGACACCGCCATCTCCAGATCCCCCCCCCCCACCCGCCGCCATCATGCCCGACTGGCGTTCCGAATACCTAGCCTCCATCAGAGAGCAGGAGAAGAACAACCCCGTTAATCTTGAGATCGTCCAACTCTGTAAGCCAAACCCCCCCCCTATTGCCTCTTCCTCTCTACATCCACGGTCGATCTGTTCCCTAACGCGCCAACCCCCAGGCTCCCAACTGTCCGATCGCGTCGCAGCCCTCGAAGCCGAAAAAGAGGTCCTCAGGTCCAAAATCTCGCCCGACAAAACCTCCTCCGAAAAGCCGAGCATCCATGCTGCCACCTCAAACGAGCCCAGCTCCGACCCAAGCGTCGCGCAGCTTCAGCTCCAGCTCGCCGAGGCCCTGCGGTCCAACGGCGCGCTAAAAGACCGCGCAAAGGCGGCTGAGGACGAGGTCCAGGCGCTCCGCACCAATAGCAAGGAGGACGCGAGGAAGCTCAGGAGCCTGACGGCCGACAACACGGCGCTGACGACGAAGCTGCGGGACCGGGAGCACGAGCTCCGCGAGAAGCGCAAGCTGGTCGAGGTAAGCCCGCGCGCGGGGGAGCGATACCCTGCGGATACGAAAAGCTGACTGGCGCTGCAGAACGTCCAAGACGAGATGATCACTATGAACCTCCAAATGTCCATGGCCGAGCAGGAGCGGGACAAGGTCAAGAAGGAGAACAAAGAGCTCGTCGACCGCTGGATGAAGAGGATGGCCCAGGAAGCCGAGGCCATGAACCTCGCAAACGAGCGTTGATGATGCCGTCTATTTCGTGTATGCCGCCGCGCTTCACGATGCTTCCTGCTATCTGCCCAGCCGGCATGCTCTATGGGGAGTATCAAAAAAATTCTACAGGTAATGAACCCAACGCTGTTTCCTCACTTATGCCAACATGCCTATGTTTTTTTTTTCCGGATTCCTTCCTCCACAATGTACAACTCACGACGCAGCCGAGCCTTTCTCTAACTCGTGCCGCAACCCTCCGCCCAAGCCCCTTGGGACATCATACGGTGCTGTGACAGATGCTGATGCAGTGCCTACCTAGTATTCTACTTCTTTGTTGAGATGCAGAAGTTGCCGCCGGCATTGGTCCAGCTGACGTACCCGCCCTCCGGGTACGTCAGGTGTTCGACCTCCAAGATATTGCTCGCGATGTCGTTGGCATTCCGTGTGCCCTGGTCGTTGACGAACGACTTGAGCGAAACAATCTTGCAGCCCTGCTTCAGGTCGAGGAACATGTTGACGAGCTCAGCGTTGAGCTGGGGGGTGAAGGCTTGGTTGTTGACGAGGATGACGTCGGCGCGCTTCATGGCTTCGTGGATGCGGGTGCTCTTGGTGAAGTCGCCTCGCTCGAGGTTGACTCGGCCAGGGAGCAGACCCCACATCTTGCAGCGGGCGCCAAACTCCTTTTCCTGCGCCTCAGCAAAGTCGCACGGGTTCTCCATCATTTCGCAGCCCCAGCTCTCGCAGCCAATCTCCAGCGCGGCCTGGAAAACGACGTTGCCGACGCCGGAGCCGAGGTCGACAAAGACTTGGTCCGACGTCATGCGTGTCCTCTCTTGGAGGATTTCGGAGATGAACTTATAGGTTAGCTCACCATAGACATTGTCGGTGCCGTTCTTGTACTGCTTAAGCTTCTCCACTTCCGGTGACACTGTACGATCGTACACTTGGGTGAGGATGAACTCGACCAGATCCCGCGGGATGCCGTGAATGTTGTCTAGGTTCTTGCGTATTGTGCCGTCGGCGGCAAGATCTCGGATCTTTTTGTTGGCATCCTTCAATGCCGACACGAAGCCGTGGAAGTCGTTGATATTTGAGGCCCTCTCGAGCCGCCGTATCAGTCCATTGTTCGGCTCCGTAAAATCCGTGGCTTGTTCTTCCGTCAGGTAGACATGCGCGACGAATCTGACCACCGTCTTGATGTCTTCCACCGCGTTGATGATGCCCTTCTCGGATATAAGCTCATAGCTAGGAAAACGTCAGTAATGCTGCATCTTGGTCGGTCGCGCGGTGGTGACTCACTCTTCCGCCCCGTAGTTGCTCGGGTACTGCAACCTCACCCTCACATCGTCCTCCTCCGTTGCGCCGAGCAAGCGCTTGGCCTTGGGGCACTTCTTGAGGTTACTGATGTCGACCGCATGGATCAGCCGGCTGAGGGGTCGCGCGTTGTCCTTGAAGGCGCTGGTGCGGGTCAGCACGCGCTGGGTGTCGACGAACTGGCCGTCCTTGGTGCGCTGTCGCTTGCGCGGCTCGAGGTTGATAAAGGCATCGTAGTTGTCGTCGCCGTCGGAGTCGTTATCGAACTTGGGCTGGGACGGCCCCGCGCTGCCGACCTTGCGCTTCCGCTCACTGCGCTTCTCGTCCGAGGATGAGGGGTAAGGCGAGGCACTCTGCTTGCGGGAGAGAAGCGATTTACCGTTGGGCTTGGGGGATGCGCGCGGGGAGGCCTTCGCGGACGAGGTGGACGAGGCTACGTGGGCGAGCTTGGGGCGGGGCTTCGGGGCGGCGACCTGGACTTTCTCGACGCGGATGGCGGCGGGCTTGGAGTTGAACTTGTTCTTCCCGCCGAGGATTGGCATGGCGGCGGAGGGCGACCGTTCGACGGTCGGTCGGGTTGCTGGAGAGGGAAAACAGGCGTTGCGCGCGTGACCTCGTGATAGGCAGTTGGGCCGTCTAATTTTAGGCTGCCGCGGGTCGGGCGGGAGGTTGAGAATGAAAATGAGCGTTAATGGCGGAAAATGCTAAGAGAGGCGAAAGCTAGGAGAGAGTGTGTCGTCAGCAGGACCTATCGCTTCGTGGCATGGGTCTCGGTGCACGACGGACGTGTAGTCGTAAATCGGAGTGGAGGAGGATCGGGACGGAGGGAGAAAGTGAGGGTTGGGGAAAGTGAGACGAGACGGACACGAGGCGATTTTTCGGGAGAGGACGTGGAAATGGGGCCGGGACGTGACTGGGAAAAGTGGAGTGGCACTTTGTGAACTGACCCAGGACCCCGAAAGTGAAATTTCCCGGGCGAAGAAGGAAGGAGTGGGAGGGCGCGCACCGAAGATTGGATTATTATGTAAGGCAGGAGGGAGGCGGGGGAGGAAAAACACGAGAGGACAGAGGGAAGGAAACATGCGAGAATGCCTTTCCTACCTAAAGTGGTCCCTGGGGACCCAGACGGAAATGCGCATGTTGCGATGGCCGTCCCATCTCCAGTGATGTTCCCTCCCGTCCGCCGTCCCTGTCGTCCCCGTTATCCCCATCATCCCCGTTGGCCACCCATACGGAACAGGCACAGCGCGCGTCGAACTCGCCTCGATGCAGCCTTGAAGGCTCGCATGGGGGGAGGAGGGGAGGACGGGTGCAGCGCTGCCTACATAGTACTCCAGTGAGTGGCCTGCTTCCTCGGTGCCGGCGTCCTGGATTGGCGACCCCACTTCCAGGGACCCCACTGTGGGTGCCGCGTCACCCGACCTCGACCTGCAGGAGCCGCCGCATGTGATTGGCTACCTGGCGCGTGAACAACTCTGGGGTCGTAACTTTTCAAGCTTTAGGCCCCGGCGTTGGCTGTCATCCAGTCTTCGTTTTCCACTACCGGTTTGTTTTTTTCGCGTTCGGGGAAGAAACCGTTGGGCGCATCGTCAAAGTCTCATTTAAGCTTGTCTCAGAGTGACGTTCAAGGGAGGATCTCGATATGTACCTTCTCGGGCGTCTTCAACGGCTATCATGTCGTTAGCTTCCGTCAGTGTCCGCAACATCACCGAAATAGCCTGCTGAATACCCAAGTGATCTGTCTCAAGGGAGACGGAGAACACAGAATGATGCGGATGATTCAACGTCGATGTCTCACAGCCCGTGCTTCTTTTGTTTCGATAAGTTGCCACTTGCAATACTTATTATAGTTTGCTCAATCAAATGTCATCTTACGCCATGTGACTCGAGCTGTCAAAACTGTTCCTGATTACATGCTAATAGCACAAAACTGTTCAAGATTCTCAATACTGATCTCTCTGTGAAAAAGAAGCAGATTAACGGAACCAACGACCCCGAACTAACAGCCTGTGAGCAATCACAACACCTGGATGATAGAATTGTCACCAGAACAAGCTCTTGGCAAAGTTCGCCGACAATGCAGTCACATCGCTGAACCAGCAATCAGGATGCCCTCTCGTCGTCGGTCAGCTTCCAATGCCAAACAACATAACCAGGATGGAAGTCAGGAAACTCAGCGCCCTCTGCCCCCGTCTCTTCGGTCTCGATCTTCACCTCGCGGTACTCCTCGCACCGAAAAGCAGCGTCAAATACCCCAACTTCCGCCGGATCCTGCGGGTGGTTTGGGAGGGAATAGTCGTCGGCGTGCATCAACTCCACGACGACACTCGTCTGCGCCATCAACTTCTCAAATGTGTCTTTGACGTGCGTAAATGCGAACCGAGCGGCTGGCTGGCCCCAGAGAACCCTGAACCAGAGAGAGTGACGCCCGTGATGTCCAGATTTGTGCTGGACAACGTCGTAGAGCTCTCCCATCTGGAGACCTACAGAGGCAGTATGAAGGCTTGGCTGAATCAGCGAGCTGGAGACTTGCTGGTCCTCTGCCGCTAGGCTTCGGATATCAAAGCACATGTATCCCAGTGAGGGAGGTGGGGGCTGAGAGACGAGCATCCGCCGCCAGCTTGCGCCGCGACGGGTGAACCGCCGTCGGGATTCTGCCAAGGCCTGTGCTAATTCTTCGTCAAGCTCAAGCGGCCTGACTTGGCTCCAGCCTCCCCAGTATTCTTGTTCGGCCTGGACCGGTTCTGGGCGGGTTGACCACGGAAGCTCGTAGAAGGAGTTTGCACGACGGTGATACGAGTACGTCGGCCCAAAGTCGAAGAAGCACTTGTCAAATTTCTCTGCGAGGAGAGGGTTGATGAGTCGCGCATCGTTTGTGGAAAGCGCGTATTCGCTTGGGATTTTTGGGAAGGCGGCCCCCTCGAGCCCGTGGATGGCTGCTCTGGACACATTGGACACCGGCTTGAAGAAGAGAGCTTGTTGGAGGACAGGAGATTCATCCATGAGAGCTTTCCAGGTCCTGCTCACGCGGCACGCTGAAACCAGCAGCGTCCTCATGTCGACTTGGACCAAGATGGCCTCCAGGAGCTCCGGAACGGCGAGGACCGTCTCCATGGCGCGGGAACTATGGAGTTCGGGCATGGTTTATCACGAGCACGGGATGAACTGACGTTGAACGATACTGCCAGAGTATGATGTAAGTGAGGAGATGAGCTTGGCTGTTGCCGGCTCGCGCGGGGTTCATACGCTCTCAAGCCTCCCCTCGTGGCGCGGGTAACAAGAACCGCGTGCTTCATTTGGAGAAGATGACTAAGCTTAGACCACGATGTGCGAGGGCGCATGCAGTTTCGGCCGATATCCAAGGAGTTCCTTCTCATATGATAAGGTTCATATTTGGGGTTTTCGGGAATTAGTGTGTCCACCAGAGTCGCAATTTTGGTATCTGTAAATATCAACAGCGGTTTCTGTGACCTGCCAATCGACCTGAGCAATATGCCAGTTTACGACGGCAGACTTGCAGGTTTCTAATATCTCAACGTACACTCTGCATTTACTCTTGTGGTACAGCGTAAGACCACGTGGCGGAAACACATCCTGTGCTGCTGCGTTGTTACATTAAGCAAGTTGGCTTCTCGCGGAATAAGTAGAGGCTTGCGGAACGTCAGCATGCACATACAGACGTAACCCACAGGGCTAAGTTGAGCTTCAGAATCCCACATCTAAGTCTATCTTCCTAGCGATCCCACGAATACGAGGACACACTCTCCAATATAAATCGTGATTACCAAATTCACGGCTACCTGCATTTCCAAGAGCGAGTCGAGAACAGCAAGAGCAAGCTATTGGTCACGCCTTGTGGTCAAATGCAACGCTCAAAACAACAGCAGCTCAACTAGCGCCTCGGTGCATTTCTCGTATTGTGACTATGTGCGTTTATGATTTCCTGTTTAGCAGCTTGTACGGTGTGGACTCCGTATTCGTGCGACGTTCGGCGCACAACACCGCGTTGTGCCTCTTGTTGAATAAATCACGACATTCCGCATGGCCGCTTATACAGAATTCATTAGACATCGATATGGTACACATATTCAGCATTCCGAGGCGGTAAATGCTTGTACTGCTACTAGCGTAGCCAACCTACGATGTCCGCATTGACTGTGAAACATGACCCTAACGGTCGGCAGCGAGTAAGACTTTGAGGCTTCAAAGGTCTCTCGAGTGTTAGTCCGGTAGCCTCCTCCTTATATACGATGCTGGCGGTTCTCCCTGTTTCCCAAACAGTTTCGTACTATGTGTGCTTGTTCGAGATTATGTACCCCGCGACTTACCACTCGTTCTCATCGAGACCCAAATGAGTTCGGAGCTAGAAAACCGCTTGTGGACTAACGCCTCAACACGCCGGTGGCTTGGGTCGCTGGCGACTGTTGGAGGGGACTTTTGGAGGCTCAATAGTAGTGTTTGAATCAACCGTGTTGATTCAAAACTCCGTCTACTCAGAAAACCCTCCACTGATTTGTACGTTGATATTTCGGAAAGTCATCCTAGTGAGCTCTACGAAGCCAAAATGATAGATAATGAAGCCAATGCTGAGTTTAATAAACAGTCGATACCTTAGATCATCTTATTAAAGAGATGAGAAGGAAGCCTTAGTGGATCTGTAGTTACAAGTCTGTTACTTCAAATACACCATCGCATGGACAACACACGGTCTTGAAGCGTGAGAATAGTAGGTATGGCATTTCTTGTTCTTGGACTTATCAATTATGTCAAATCACAGGCTTCCATACACTGCCATGGACATCATTGAGATTATTAACAAATGAGGAACAGATTGGTTCTCTGTATCTAGCAGCGTGAAACACACTTGAAGTCGTGAGGCAAGCTAACACAATTGACATAAGAGCAAATACTGTCATATTTAGTACAAGAAACAATGAGCTCAAGTTTCTCTATTCCATTCACAGAAAACGATCCGAAGTGGAAAGAAGGTGGTCAATTCAAAAATCCAGTGCGAGACCCATCAAGATCAGATTGAATCTTGTAGCCACCAGAAGCACCGTGTCACTATGTTATCTTGGTAAATGCCTTCTCGAGTATTGGATAACACTTCCCGTGGTCGGCTTGCTAAGTCTGCAACGTGTCAGAAGGCACAGTATATTGGTTATGATAGTCGCCTACGAATTTCTTCTTATTCTAAGTCTGCCTTTCCCCTTCCGAATCCATTATACTACAAGCTCACGCCGTACTCTATCAGTTAGTGAAAAACATACAGGGGTATAAATTGGAATGAAACAAAAAGCAGCCACATGTTGCTTTACTCAAAATCGAAAAGGTCAGCGACAGGACAGGGATGACGATTAATCCGTGCGTATACGACCCATGAACAGACATGGGCCAGCTCCGGGGAAGTTGTCTGACAGTTTTGTCATCACATTCGAGATCTAGACCTAAACCTCTATGCTGTGCTCCACGAGGAGCGCCATGGCTGAAGCTTCTAATGTCAGCACGCATGAAGTTAACGCAGTCAGATGCTCGCTCCAAGTACAGTGAGATTGGGCTGCTTACATCTCATACTATATGGATTTATGACATATAAATCAGGAATTCTCGGCACATTCGCATTAGTGGATCTCTATGGCGAATTAGAGGCTCTTTTTGTTCGTTGGATGACGGCACTAAAACTAGCGCGCGGATCACGATGTAACTAATGAAAATATTGAAAAGAAGATGCAATCATTCGTCCGCTCTTCTCGTTGATGCAGCATCGCCCATTTCCTGCTTGACCAATCATATGATTGCACCTCCCACAAGGCAGAGGTCCTTTTACATCTAAGCAGCAATTAGTATTGGTCAATTTCGATATTCAGCCATTGGATTAGGCCCAATTCGATGACGTACGAACCAACGCCTCTTCGCACAGATGCTCATGTCAGTAAGCCACTGCTACTACTGCACCCAAACAGTACCGGCAACCACTTTTGCTGTTACTTGGTGTTGGAAGATGCCTTGCAAGCTTTGTTTGCTGTATGTCTGCCTAAAACGGCGTCCCGTACAATATGGACATGGGCCAAAAGCCATGATTGACCGCTTCTCATACGATTCCGCGACGATGCCTAGCGTGAAGATGGCAATTGGTAAACAAACATGTTGCTCCGTAGCGAGTGGCGTTCTAGCGCAGTAATCCCAACTAAAACCCCAGGTAGAACACAGTTGTGCCGTTTCTTCCGCGCTTGGGCGCCGAGCTGAACTTCCTGGCAGATCCACATGGGCCACTTGTGAGAGCTATTGAGGGCCACAAGCAATCCTGTCCGGTGAACGAAAACCGGAGGTAGTAGCATGAACTATCTTTTCTTTTGATTCAATCCTTAGAGTCGAAGCGCTGATCTGTCCAGAACACGCTATTTGAAGGCACCAAAGCCGGGGTCACGGTGACTCTTTGTCTAATGTTTTTTTTCAAACTCAAGGCTAGACTTCATCTAGACATAAGCACCACCTCACCCCTTTGAGGCTGAAGATAAGCTCATAAGTTCGTGCCACGACATAAACTAGTCTCACATGGTGGAAGGCTATATATGAGAACACTCCCTCTCTTGCTCTCTGGACATGATCTGCTCGCCAGCCCATTTCTATCTAGCATCTTCGGCCTCTTCAACTCTCTTTACTACCTCAGGTCTCGATACTTCTCCTCAGTCATTTGTTATAGCTCCCTAACTCAACCTAATAGCCAACATGAAGATCGCTACCATTACTGGCGCCTTGGCCTTTGCCCTGTCCGCCGCTGCGGCCCCCGGCACCAACCTCCCTCCGCGCAACAGTGACGCGAAGTGCGCTTGCCCGACCAACACTGCCCAGCCCAATGGCAGCCTCGGCAAGTCTTTCGTCTCTACCAGCCTCCTCGTCCCCATCGCCAAGAGCAAGCCCAACTACGCCTTCCCGGCGACCAAGTGGGCGCAGGTGACCCCTAATGACATCTGCACCGTCTTCAACCTCGACCTGCCCGTCGCCCAGACCCAGGGCAAAGTGTGTAACCTTGTCTTCGACTTCCCGTCTTGGGAGAAGGCCCCCAACAAGTTCATCTTCAAGGGGCCAGGTAACTTCAAGTTCACCGGCTATGCTATTGGCGCCGGTGCTGTTGCCGGCCAGACGACGTATAATCATCAGCCCGCTGCCGGACCGAGCCCGCCCAAACCCCCGCCGACCATGACTCCCGGGCACAGCTATGTAAGTATTCTGCATTCAACTCATGTGCTATGACCTGCTGCGCCCAGAAGACTGACTTCAGTGTCTTCAGATCATCAACAGCGCCCCATGTGGCATCCCGGCTGATGTACCTGGCAGCGTGACCGTGTCAGGCAGCCTCTGCTCGCCCGACACAGCATTCTCCTTCTATCAGAGCAACGATGGCTGCCCACTTGGCTTCTTCGTTGTCCTGACCGATGCCTAAGTTGTTAGATCACTGATGCTGTTAGATCACTGATGCATTGGGAATCCTACGGAAGAATTCATGAGATATACAAGAAGCTGGGTCTAAATGAAGTGAATAGACGAAAAGACTCAGGAGGCGGCCAAGCCGACTTTATAACATGGACCGTTGCTGAAATTAAACTTGATTTTGTCAAGAATGCGTACGTAGATGGAAAACAATATTGTATCTATTTCTAATAATTAGTCATTTGCATCATACTTTTTGATATGCTTGAAATGCAATGTTTGGCCTAGGACTGGGATCCACGGTCCATCTCGGCCTCTTGCGCACTGCAGTTAGGTCGAAGCCGTCACAGAAGGTAAGATACGCGAAGTTGCAGCTGGCCCACTGGATTCAGTTCAAAGGGCCGGGTTTATTGGAGTTGTAAAACCCATGTTTCAAGGCTCCTACTTTACTCGACACGATTCATGCAATACAGCCTGTAGAGTTTCACTTTCTTTAGGGTTGCTGCTAAGCTTATTGTCTGACCAGAAGCATAGGCGTTCGGGCCAAGGCCCCAGTGGGGCAATTCCAGTGTTTAGTGTATAGACAGAACGAAGAGCTACCACATAACCAGTGCGTATTTCCCAACGCCGACGCCTGCATTCCTATGTGAAGCTCTGCAGTCAAATCCACCACCTCTGTATCCAGATCTCTTCTTGTATTCACCTCAGGCGCGCACATGCTTAGGGAAAAAGCTTTTGTAGCAGCTTAGACCCTTACATACTCTGGTACAGATGCCCGAAATAACAGCGTTATCCCACTTTATATTTAGTGAGTATCACACCACTCGCTACCAGGACCGTAGGAACAAGCAGTATTAATGAAATAGTCCCTGGCGCGAGTCTCCATAACGATACACTTTCCACTGATGCATTAGTTCTATATGCGAGTCTTAGTTTTGGGGAATCACATACTCGGCCATTTTCCATCCATCCACTGGCGGCCATCCCCTGGCAAGCAGCTCGCGTCGTGTCCTGGTTGGGGCCGCACCAACAAGAGAATAAAGACTGGGAATTGACGGCAGAAACCCTAATGTAGAGGTCAGTTGTTAATATAGCAGAGACAATAACCGCCTTTTCGAAAAGACATTGAGAGGTAAGGAGCAGAGAGGAAGTATTTTTGGAGATTTCTTACATAACTGTAAGGGTAAAGGCTCTAAGAGAAACCATTATAGCGATTGTTTTGGAAGACTTGGAGGGTAATCTCGTAAGTAGGATACTGTCGAGGCAAGTTTGTCAGTGAGCAAATAAGAAACCGGACTGTTATATATACCTGAAAGATGGAAGGACCGGGTTATAACCCCCTTTACTCTATTGCTTAGTTAAATTAAGTTTTATTTGTCCTTTTCATCTATGTCTGTTAAAGTAAGCTACCCAATTATTAGTCTCTAGCCGTACGCAACAAGCAGTATATTTAAGTTTCTTTGCACTCTCTCTCAGGTTTTAGTTGCTTGGCGTACGGTTACGAGCGAGTCAGGTTGACGAATCACAACGATCAGAGGAATTTGAGCGTACGATTATAGGCGAAATGACACAACCGAGACCGATCTTTGTACTCCCTGCAAGGCCCACCATCCTAACAAGGTACAAAAGCTGGTGTAAAGGGAGGCATTCGTTTTATGTGAGGTAAGTTTTGAGGTTCTAGAATGATATAAGAATGAATTGTAGAAATATATTCAGTGCTTCAAGCTGATTTTTAGCTGCCCTCGCACTGTGCTATACATGAAACAGAAAGAGGACAAATGCTACAATTTACTGGAAGCCGGTCTTGTTGGCCTCCAAAAGCCCCTTCCAAGACGTCGGCTTGAGTCCCACCTCGGTCAGGAGCTCCAAGCTACCCGTCAAATCTTTGCCAGCATAGTAGCCAGGATCCTCAATAAAGAGGTGACTCTCAAGCATCTCGTCAGCCATAAGACCTGGAATAAAACTCTTGTAAGTCTCGGCATCGACGCTAACAAAGCGGGCAGGCTTTCCGGTAACTTCTTGGAACTCAGAGATAATTCTGCTCGGAGTGTAGTAATCCGCAGCAGCCAGAATCTGGCGCCCGAAGACCTTGGCCTTGTTGCGGATGGCTGCCACGGCGTATTTACCTGTAAATGGCCGTTGGCATCTGTGATAGCTACACGAGGAGCCATCGGCATTGATCATCACAAGGCCTGACATACCAATATCAGACTCGGCGTTGATAAAGGAAATCTGGCACTGTCGCCGACAGGGTAAGTTAGAGTATAAACCCTATCTCCGCCCTTCTGGATCATGTGCAGAGCGGTGAAATTGTCCCTGAAGTAACCTGGCAGAATAAAGGTGCTCGGGATGCCCTTCGACCGGATACAGCGCTCAACCTCAGCTTCGTCGTTAAAATGAACAACATGCCTGAGACGGCCATTGGTAGTTTCTGTAACATGAAGCAGGGAAGAGTATATTATGTGCTTGACTCCTGCCTCAGCAGCAACATCCGCGACGTTCTTGCCCTGGAGTTGCTCCTCGCTAGTGCCACCAGTAAAGTTGCGGGTGGTTAGCAAGAAGACAGTATGGGAAACCTTGATGACCTCAGACAGAGAGGCTTTGGATGTCATCGGCCTTTTCTGTATCAGTTACTAGGGCTTGGAAGCTATGGGCAACGAACGGAACGCACCTCCACCACCTCAATACCCTTTGCTGGCTAGAACCTGGGCAGCAGGTTTAGAGACATCACGAGTGATGCCACGAATCCTGAGTTCTTTTGACAGAATGAGGATTGGCGAGGACTGCCTTTACTACAGAGCCTCCTTGCTTGCCTGTGACTCCAAAGACAGTCAAGGGTTTCAACATTTTGATGTAAGAAAGGAATGGATATTGGAAGTTTCGGGGTTTGATGTGTATTTCAACCTAGATGCAATAAATACAGAGAGGAAAGAAGATAGGATATCAGAAAGTCCTTCTCTGCTTTATATCTAGCATTACACGCTGGTGGGGTTTGCCTCTGGACTCCGTCCGCGCACTTTTTTTTCTTTCGCTAGCCATAGGTCTACGCAAGCATTGCATGAATCACGATCCAAAAATAATAGAGTGGATTGACCCATTTGAAAAGGCCTGATTTCAATATGGTGGCGTTTGCTGCAGTCTGCGGGAAAATTGGTGTGGTTCTTTTCGGTAAAGGGACTCGGTCGCTGTTCATCGGACACCGAACTGACAAATCACGACAGTCTTGACTCAACTAGCCGAGACAGTGCACGATCCAGACTAAACATTACCTCTCACTTTCGATTGTTATTAGCAAAAAAAGATGGGAACATTGTGCGTGCAACCGGGATACAAGATGATACATACTTAGTGACTACAGTCCATTTTCTAGAATTACCGAGATAGCTAAAAGCGAAACGAGGTTCATCAGTCGACTTCGCTGTCTATCCTTGGATGGCGTTACCAGATGCAATCTCGACACGGTTACCCCCAGAGCTCGTAATGCGATTGATTAAGGTGTAGTCGTAAGCTGCACCACATCTACAGATTTGAACGTTTTGGAGTCCTTCAATAAGCCGGCATCGCTAGAATTTTAGTTACGTCATAGACCTCTGGATTGGATGCTGCTTTAGCGGCGCTGGTCTCACCGAGGTCCTGATAGCCAAACATGTCGGCAGTACAATAGCTTTAGGTTTACCACGGGGCATAAACACTTTGAAAAGCTACGCTTTAGGAAGCAACACTTCACCATATGTAGCTTATATCCATAGCAAGCAACATAGACGCCGCGAAGGCCCCGATAGATCTCTTATCCTAATCCTTTGCATTCATTAAGCCTTGTGGTGGGCATTCTATTACAAGAAACCACGCACTTCCTTCTTGCCTTTTGTCTATGCACACATTATGTAACAACATTACGTTTCACACCTACTCGTTGCAGCTCTCTTTTCCCTTACTTTGCAAACTCACTCTCTGTCCTCAACCAGGTCTCAAAATCCTTCAATCCCGGATACTCCTTCTTCAGCTCTTGGATGTCCACGTTGTATCCAACGTCATAGAACCACTTGAACATCCATCCAAAGTCCTTCACCAACGACATGATAAGCCAGCAGAAAATCCTGTAAGTTCCAGCCAGCTCTCTGCCAGTGGTCTTTTTGAACACCGCAGCGAATTGATCGATTGTCAATTCGTCGCCGGCCAGTGCAATTCCACGGCCCTTGTACTTCTCTGGGTGGAGGAACGCCTCCGCGCCAATGTAACCAATGTCGCTGACTGCGACCAGTTGCAATGGTTTCTCCTTGACGGCCATCTTCCACGACGTGACGAAGACTCTTCCGAGAAAGTTGTCCATGAGATTCTCCATGAAAGCGACTGGCCGGAGTACGACCCATTCCATATCGGTACCCTTGGCCTTGTTTAAGAGGTGCTGCTCAATCTCATGCTTGTGGCTGAAGTGGGGAACGTTTGTCGGTTTGTCCGCACCGTGTCTATCGACGGATGTGTAGACAAAGAATTTGACGCCGGCCTTGAGCGATGCATCGATGAGACCCTTGCCTTGCCCCAGCTCGCCGCCTCCGCCCTGCCCGGGACCTATTGCTGACTGGTGCACACAATTTAGTCATAACATTCAAGATATCAGACAAAGTTGGAAACATACCTGGACACTAAAGACGCCCCAAATTGGGGCTTCCGCTGCCTCTTTGGCGGTCTTGAACAGCGCCGTCGGGTCGGCCAGGTTGCCCTGAACCAACCTAATCTTGGGTGACTTCTTTAAAAGTCGTTGTGCAGACGCGGAGTTTGCATCTCGTGTGACGGCAAGGATTTCTAAGTTGGCATTCTGTTCAACAAGGTGGTTGATGACAGCACCTCCTTGTTTCCCTGTTGAACCACAAACCAAGATAGCTCGTGACATTGTGAATAGTGTGTTATGTGGCTTATGAATATTGTTTTATGTGGGTAGTGAACGATGTTCGATAGTTGTCGACGTTGAATCTGATGGAAGGTCCAGAATTTTGTCGATTGACGATGTCGACGCGGGTCAAATATATGAGATCTCCATCCCGTTACGGACATTATCAGAATTTATGGTGATGCTTACGGCGCTGGAAGCGAAGCGCTTCGAAACATTACCAATCTGCGGTGTATGTTGCTCCGGTGTCTGTATGCCAGTGTGAGACTGACTAATCAGCGACGCGTTCCGGCCTCCGACTAAGAGCGAGCCCTGAATCGCCGATGTGGGCTCGGATATGGGTGCAACTATCTGGTCCAAATCCGGGCTGCACACTTGTAAACAATAGACCAATCTCATGCACGATCACCTTGGCGCTACGCTACCAAATTTCGGCTACTCAAAGCAACTTCTATTCTGATAGGGCAATCTTTGTAGCCCAGAATCCTCGAGCTCAAGAGCGACGTTTAGCAGGTCTCTGTGGTGGTCTCACTGCGCGTATCGCGCTCCGGCATTTTCCATCTGCGAATCCCCTCTGTTTCGTTTCCGTAATCGACATCCTCCTTCATAACTTACAAACCATTTTCTACGGCTGTCCAATCCCGTTTCATCACATCTCCCATCCTGAAACACGATGGGAAACCCGAAAGACTATCAACATGTCCCGGAGCGGGAGCGGGCGAGTTTTGGTTCCTGCTGAGTCATCACATTAATTTCATTGCTGGCATTTGATATTCGAAGGGAGCGACTATAATAGCAACCTCAATCGTTGGGGGTCGGTCGGACACGGCTGACATCACTTAGGTTTGACGACTGCGCCGCGAGGACACCTCCCTTATTGATGATTCTCAGGCAAATGATCGATAGCGCATGAAAAACAGAATAACAAAAACATGTAGCTCATCCCATTCAACCTTAACTCGAGAGCTAGTTGACATTTGACTTTCTTGAGTCTTCTTGCCCTTAAGCTTTCGGCAGAAGATCAGCGCAAATCGACGCTATGAATAGAATTTCGTTTGATGTCTCAGGGACGGAGGCTTGAACTATGTGGGGGACACTATTAGGCAAATATTGGGAGCCTTAACCCATTCCATCTGGCAGTAGCGATAAAACGCTGCTACACAAGATGCCCTCATTGCCGCCATCTCCTGTGCACCCCAAATCGTGAAAACGGTGAAGATGGATAATAATGGTACCAACAGGCTCCGGATTGTCGTTGTCGGTGGCGGCATCGCAGGTCTTGCTGCCGCCGCCGTCCTCCGCCAGCGCCACGACGTGACCATCTATGAACGCGATTCTGCCTCCGCTCCCGAGCGGGGGGCCGGCATCGGTCTTGGACCCAACGGAAGCAAGATGCTCAAGAAGGCGTTCCAGTTCTGTCCGGAAGACGTCAAAGCCACCGTGTGCCCCGGGTCGAGAACATACGACAAAGAGGGGAACCTGCTGCGGGAAATCACGGGTGTTACGGAGCCGTTTGGCAGTGAGTGGCTGCTAATGCACCGGGCGGATCTGCGTGATGTGCTCCTGAGGCTTGCGACGGGGGATGCGGCGAAGCTGGGGATTTCCGGACCGCCGGCGACGATTGTGGAAGGGGTCGAGGTTACGGGAGTTGATGTGGAGGCCGGGAAGGTAATGTTGAAGGACGGGAAGGAAATTGATGCCGATGTCATTGTTGGTAGGGCCCAACGTGATCTCGAGGAAACCCAATGCAGACTCTGACGATTTGCAGGAGCCGATGGCATTCACTCCTCCGTGCGGCAGGCCATAATGGGCGAGCCTGCACACTTCCTCTCGACGGGAGTCTCTCTCTACCGATTCACTTTCCCGCTCGAAAAGGCTCATGAGATACTCAAGGAGTACCCGCCGGCGATAGATCCGTCAAACGGCGGGTTCTTCAACATGATGACGGTCAACGACGAGACGAACCGCAACGTTATCTTTTATCCCTGCCGGAACCTTACCACGCTCAACGTTATCGCACGGATTCCGGACTCCATGCTTGCAGTCGAGAGCGTGACGTCCTGGAACGCGGAGGGGAGCTCAGAAGAGATGCTCGACCACTTTTTCGACTTTGCGCCGTGGATGCTGGAAATCATGAAGTGAGTTGCCCACCCTAAATAGCGTCAAGATCGAGAATCACTGACGAAATCGCGGAAAAGACACGCCGAAGACGTCCACCTCTACAAGGTCAAAGACACAGCCCCCCTACCGACCTACACTCGGGGCCGCGCCGTGGTGGTCGGTGACGCGGCGCATCCAATGACACCGTTCCAGGGCCAGGGCGCAACGCAGGCCGTCGAGGACGCTGAGGGCCTGCGACTTCTCCTCCATGAGAACGTCAATGCCGACAACATCAGCCACACGCTGCGGACGTGGGACTCTGTGCGGCGGCCGCGCGCGTCGCAGGTCCAGCTCAACTCGCGCCACGTCATCGACATGTCGGCGCAGGCGCAGCTGGACCGGATGAGGCTAAATTGGACGTACAGCGGTATCCACGCGGCGTTGAGGAATCGCTAGGTACCTAGTAGCTCCCAAAGTCTGGGGAGGAAGGTGATAGGATGGGTTAGGTGAGATGGCGGTAGGCAACCTGGGAAAAGGGTGCTAATTCCTAGATCTTGCTAGCGAATTCTTGGTCCATATTCCCCCCCACCAGTTCTAACCTTCACAGGTTGATGATTCATCAATCAAGACCAAGACATTGTTGAAAGACGCACCATTGTTGGAGCCCAAAGAATCCCATGCCGGGAAGCAAATTATTCAGATCTGCTGGTATGATGAACGGGCCTCCACACAAATTGGCCCAGAAATTTATATCATCTACATCATCGTTCTGTCATAGCTGAGCACCTCATCAGCATAACATCACTCGACGCTCGGGTAATACTCCCCCTCTCAGAGAGCCGCGAAATCGACAAAGCGTATCTATATGAATGGGTATATAACCAATTGTCTGCGGTACTCACGGAAAGGTTGTTGAGTATTAAGTGCCTGCCTAATCACCAGCATCCAAAATTAAACCCTGTCCCAGTCGACAGTATCGTAGTTAACCACTACAACTCCTGACGACCCGAGCACTCCAGTCACAATGTCCTCAATCAGAGCGCTCCGCCTTCAATCGGCCCTTCGGGCCTCCACACTCCGCCCCGTACAGCGTACTGTCCGCCGAACCTACGCCGTGAAGGAGCCGGCCCGGGATACGACATCGTACCACGGCGGCGACCAACCACCGCCGGCGGGCTCGAACGAGAAAGCCCCAACAACACCAGACCAATTGAGCAACAAGTGCGTCCCAACTACTCGTCCAGACCAACCCTGTAATGTAACAGCTTTCTGACAATGTTCACAGGGCAACAATTTTCATCGTCTCAGGCGTCGCAGTAACAGTCGGTGCCTTCTTCGCCTTCCTCCTGGGCGCTCCTGACCGCGCCGCCGGCGTTGTCGAGGACAGAACTCGCGGCGGCAATCGCTCGGCGCTGCCCGGCTACGGCTCCAAGCCGTCGAGTGAGCGACATCTGGAAGAGACAACGGGCCGGGACCCCTTACGGCAAAGCGGGTTGGGGGCTTGAAGAGCGAGCAGACGGATCCGAATCAGGCCAAGACGAGGAACTGAAGCGGGGCAAAGCCCATAAAAGCCATTTACGTTTAGCCATGTAGAACTAGAAACTCAAACTAGCGCCTTCGTGTCCGCAATTGTGCCAACACCGTCTTTGCACTTTGCGGTCCCTTCGTCAATTCACATCGTTTTCGTTCTCGCGTTTAAGTTCAGGGACCCCGCGTGCAAGCCGCTGTTGCCAAGACAGTAGAACCTTTCAATCAAACTGCCTCCCCGTATGTTCCTGCTAGTTTGCCTTGGGCAGCTAGATCCTTAATAGCGCTCTGTGAGGTCAAGTTTCCCCAGAAATCCCCAGAAATCTGCAGAAATCTGGGGAACATTCACATCCCGGAACTACATAGCGGGTGTTGTAGGTTTGGGGGTTGGAGGCACCTCCTCGTCGGTCTCGCTATCGCATTCGTAGCCGAGCACATGGTGGTGATGCTTCAAGTTCCGAACCGTCTCATCGATTGGCACAACTTTTAAAAGGCTCGGTATACCGGTTTTCTTGTACCATCGCATCTACAGAGTCTCCAATCAATTTCATCTCAATTGCGCATCGGTCCCAAGAGACATCGCAACACTCCGCCAGCCTCTCCTCAAGACTAGTTACCTTCCATCTCCAACACCCAATCAAAGATACCGTCACGAACCTCCACTTCCCCAGCAACACACCAAGATGTCTATCGACTACACCTCAAAAACAGTCCTGATAACTGGCGGGGCCTCGGGCCTGGGTTTCTCCTTAACAACCCACTTCCTCGCCGCAAACGCCACAGTCCTCGCCCTCGACGTCTCCGCCGACCTCTTGTCTTCGCTCCCCTCCAGGGTTCCCGAAGCCCACCACCCGCGCCTCCATCCGATTGAAGCAGACGTCAGCTCTTCCGATTCTGTGTCCGCCGCAATCTCGGCCTGGGTCGATGGCGGCGCTGGCCGGAGGCTCGACGTGCTCGTTAACAACGCCGGGATCTCGGACAAGATGGATCCCACCGGCGACTGCGACCTCGACACATGGAACCGCCAGCTCCTCATCAACACGACGGGGACCTTCATCACCTCCCAGCTCGCCGTCCGTCAATTCCTCAAGCAGGAACCCGTGGGAGGGCAGAGGGGCGTGATCCTAAACGTCATCAGTGCGGCGGGCTTGCACGGCGGGAGAGCGGGTGAGTCTTCAGCTCTTTCTCGCCCGGGAACGTGCCAGGATATTACATTGCTAATACTGCCTGCACAAGGCGTTGCATATACAGTGTCCAAGCACGGCGCGGTCGGCCTGACCAAGAGCACGGCGGCCTTCTACGGCCCCAAGGGCATCCGATGTCTGGCTATCATGCCGGGTCCGATGCCGACTAACATGGTCAGAGATGAGAACTATGTTAAGCAGTTTCATCAAGAGGGCTTAGCCATGGGTAACTCGCACAAGTAAACCAGGAATTGTCATTTGCTGACATGGCTTAGTCTCATCAACGTTCAACACGGTCCATGGTGACCCTGCGCAGACAGGCTGGAACTTTGGATGGTCACCTCTAGACCAAGTCTCCAAGACGGTGCTAAGCCTATGCGCCGACGGAATACATACAATCAATGGGGCACTTGTTCCGACAGATATGGGATGGACGACAATTTGAGATGACAATAAGCAGATCGTTATTATGGATAAACAAACACGAGTAGTAATCAGGGAAATTTCATGTCGAATAAAACCAATTAATTTCTGCTAAACAATTATTACGAAGGGACGCGTTATTAAGCTATGAAAGTTGTCCGTTGACCCAAACTCTCCACCCGGGTATAAGCGTTTTCGTCTGCCGACAACTCGTCACGCAATCTCCATCTCAATGACAAAGGAAAGTAAAATAGTTTCAAACTCTCTAGTAACCGCTAACATGAGCCGGGCTGGAAAGGGTGTTGACGTTGCCGTTGAGGCCACCGTTGGGGTGGGCATCGTACAGCGAAGATGAGTTGTTGTTCAGGTTGCCGTTCAAATCACCGTTGGCTTGACCGTGAGGAGCATACTGCCCCTGCTGGGTAGGCAGACCATGCTTCTTGCGCTCGATGCGGGGCGCATCAGGAATGTCGGTCGACTTGTTAGCCTTGCCGATCGAGAAGACAGGGCTCTCCCAGCGCTCTCCCTTACGGGCCAACTCCTTGTACTCGGTTGCCTTTGTGCTGATGCCACCAGGAAGGTTAATGTTGGGGAAGATGGAATCCTCCTTGGTGATGGCGTAATTGACCTTCTTGTCAGCAGCAACCTCCTGAGCCTTCTGCTTGGTCTGCAGAGCACGCTTCTGCATGGCAGTTGCGTAGCGGTTGTAGATGTTGGGGGTTCTCTCAGGATCAGAGCGCGCCTCATCGAGAGCGCGATCAGCTTCCTGCTTGACCTGGAAAAGAAGGCTGTCCAACTGAGCAGCCTCATCCTTGATGGCCTTCTCAACAGCCTTCTGGAGAGCAGGACGAAGAACCTTGAGCATGATGGGTTTGAAAAGGCTGAAGAGAAGCTTGTGCTTGGACTGCTTGAGCTTGATGCTCATGTTCTTGATGTCCACATCAACCTTATCAATCTTGAAGAAGTTCTGGCTATCCTTCTTATCCGCAGAAGAAAGCTTCAGCTTGAAGGAAAAGCCATCGCCTGCCAGGAGAATGTCCGCAACACCAGTGTCGGTGATGGAAGGGAAGCCCTGCTTACGCTTAACGTGGTAGCTGACGTCGCGCAGGTCGAGCTGAACACCAGCGACCTTGACCTCGAACGATTGCTTGTGCTTGCTGGCAATCTTCTTGCGTCCCCAAAGGAAGTAGTTCTCGCTGTTAACCTCGAGGACATTGGGCATGAAGTTGTCAGACTCGAGAACAAGGTTCTCGATTACGGCGTCGAACTGGGGGTCAGAGTACTCGATGCGCGGGATGGGCACGTAAGCCACATTCTCAAAGATGGAGGGAAGGATGACCTCTGAGAGATCCTTGAGAAGGTGGGGCTTGAAGGTAGGCTTGCCGTTCTCATCGTTGCCAAGGTCGGTGAACAACTTCTGAACAGCCTGGCCGAAGCGCTTGTTCTGGGGGTCCTGGTCGAACTGGTCAATCAAAAACTTGATCTCGTCGAAAACACGGTCGGTATGAGCGCGGTATTTGTTGCGGAGCAAGTAGCGACCATGGTCGTAGAGGTGGTTCCACTCCTGGTTGGAATCCTCGTCCAGAATGTATCCCTGCTCGAGGAGGCAGCGACGGACGTAGCGGTCCATAGCCTTGAACCAGTCCTTGAGCTCGCGGTCGTTGTCGGCATCACGGTAGATCTGCTGAATCGACTCAAAAAGGTCTTCGGTAGAAGTGCCGTTGGCGAAGCGCTCGATGAGGGTCTTGAGGTCGTTCTCGGCCTGGGCAAGACCTGCACGAGCATCTTTGACGGTGCCAGTTCCACCCTGAGCGATGGCGCGTGAGTGGCCAGCATACTCCTCGGCGAGGTTGAGAAGAGTCTCAATGGCCTGAGAATAATCGGGATGCTGCTGGCACTCAAGCACCATCTTCTTCAGGCGCCAGATGGTCTGCTCCTTGCGTTCTTGAGGCATCTTCTTGTTGAAGTACTCCTTGGCGCGGCGGCGATACTCCTCCTTGCGCTGGCGAGCCTGCTCCTTCGTTTCGTCGTCAACGTTCTCATTGTACTTCTTCTCGATTACGTTGCGAGCAGCGCTGATGCCACCCTGCGCATCCACACCAGAGTTGGTTCCCTGTTGTTGATCACGCGCGGCAGTCGCAGCCAAATCCTGGGGGTTCTGCGCTCCATTGGGGTGGGCAGCCTGAGTACCAGCTTTGGCGATGTCCCGAGCGTCATCGATGGGGGAACCCTTGTAGACACCCTGAGCCTGCTTCTTGAAGTTCTCCTTGGAGAAGTCGGGTGCATCGTGCCAGGTGTTGTCCTCAGCGGGGCGGTCAATTTCTTGAAGAGCCTCGCCCGAGGGGCGAACACGCTGAGCAGCGCTGGTGGCGGCATCGCCCGCCATGTCGCGGAGAAGGACAGTGGCATCCTTTACTATTTGCGAGTTAGGGCTTGTGGGAGGAATGTTTATGGGGACGGGGAATTAAACAACTTACGAAGCTTGCGGAACTGGCCGTTGGTGATGATCAGGGTCCCGAGAGTGCGGAGACCCTCCAGGGCCTTGTCGCCATGCTGCTGCGCAACCTCCTTGTTGATGGGAGCGCCGGGGACTTGTACCGCCTTGGGGTCGAATTGCTCGGTCTGCCAGATAAAGTCTTGGAGCAGGTTGCCCTGGTTCTTGGACAACAAAAGGTTCTTTGCTTGAATTACAACGTCACGAGCGTCGGCGACGAGCGCTCTGCCCTCAGCGGAAAGTTTCTCGGGAGGGTTGGACAGGGCCTTGGAGGCCAGGAAACTGTTCAGGGCGACATCGATTTGGTCATTCTGTGACGGGGATCACGTCAGTATCATGCAATAATGTGAGATTGCGGGCCAGGGATCAACCCAAAGCGCCAACGGGAGTGCCGCGTGGGCCCTGCCGCCATGCCGGCATCGACTTACCGATGGAACCTTGCCAGCCTGAAAAGCGGAGACGATTCCGTAGAGTTGAAGCTTGCGGTTGACATCGGCCTCCTTTTGCTTCAAGTCCGTCGGCTTGTTGACCTTTGCTGACATGATGGGGTATTTGTAGCTATCGCGATGAGACTGTTTTGTGAGTTCTATTCGGTGGTGACGGCGATGGTGGAAGTAGGGGTAGATTATTGGTACTGTTGTACAGGACGAAATAAGGGGAAAGTCGTTGGTATTGGGGGTATCACAGAGGAATTGGGTATAATGAGAATCGCAAAGATGAGGTTCCTGTTGAAAGAGGAAAAACAGGAAAAGGTATCGTATCGATGGGGAGAGAGAAGAGTCAGAAGGAAGGGACTCCGAGAAGGGGGTTGACTGCGAGGAGGTGTTTATACCTTCTTTCTCGTGGGTGTGCCCAGGCGCGAGGAGAGAAAAAGAGCTGCGTCAGAATGAAATTGGACCAGCGATTGGAAGGGAGGGAGGCAAGCAGGCGCGCGTGGCAGGCGTTCGTCTAGCAGTGGGAAAGAACCTGGTACATTCAAAGAAAATTCAAATTGGGAGAGGCAGGCGCACTGGAGCTTGGTCCTTCCTTCCCTTGCCTGCGCTGTGTATGTTTTTTTCCCTGGTCCTAGTCGTCGTGGTCGTGGAGCTCGGTGACGGTGACGTGAAGGAAGGGGGCAGGAATTTGATGTACTACGTCATCGGCCGATTTGGCAAGCAGGTACCTACCGCCTATCGGCCTGTGTGGGTGGTACCTTCCAGCATGTTCACCTCAGACTTCAAACCACAGAAACCTGTGGTGGGGGAAGGAGCCGGGGCCAACACAGCTGAACCTCCTGCCCGTGCTTTCCCTTCCCTGCTTGCTTTCAAAGTCCAGCCACTGTTCTCTGCTTCGCTTCGCTTGGAACGGCCGATGTTGGGGCGCGAGACGAGACTGAGAGTTCCAGCTGGCAGTGTCCTGGCATTTTGGTAGCACCAACTGGGCAGTCTCTTTGCACTAGGGGCCTGGGATTCGCACCCACTTCCCTAGCGGTTCCACTACTTTCGATGCTTTAGCACTGGGGCGCTCATTGCGTCGCACAGCGAATGTCAAGACACGCCCAACGCCGACGCAGTGAGCCTTCGTTTGCGCGGCGGGAAGACGGCTGTCTCGTGCGATGTGTGATGCAAAGACCTAAACACGGGTCTGGACTCCTACCAACGCGTATCGCCAGCATTGGCGGTTCCCATTGTTGGAATATGAGCCGATGTGCATGCGCTCGGGCGGTTGCTTCTCAGACAGACAACCGTTTCCCAGCCCCTCCCTCGTAAGGGAATCTCAGTCGCACCACGGATATCAGATCAGCTAGCAGAGTTTCGTGCCCAATGGCAGATGGCTTCATCAAGTTGACGGTACTCAGACGGTACGTATGCATCGTGTTGTCCCATACGATTGCCTCCTGGTAAGATTAAGATGGGCCGTCTGTACAGCGCAGTCGTTGGCGAAGAGGGTACGAACATGGCTTCTGTCGGAGCTAGCTCTCCGACTCATCTCAACTTTCACCACAGACAATCCTGATTCTTGGCTGGAAAAGTCTATTGTGAATCATCGGCGCATATGGTGGACCGTGCTGCCTTGTTCAGCTGTAGGTACTCTGCAGTGTGTCTGGTCCAGTTGATGATGTGCGCCAGGATGTGACGGGACGCAGTGAGCGTTGGTGTGCATGTCCGCCGGCCTTGTTCATCGCGGTGCTGTTGGTTTGTCCTGTCTCAGATAGCGTGGCTACACGTTGGATCGAGATAATTGGTAGGATACGACTCCAAAAGTACAAAGACACACAGTATTCCGTTGTTTCACCATCATTGCGACTCTGAACAATTTGCACCCTCAATGATGTGTTTTCAAGCATGTCGTCATGTCAACGTTGGCGCCGACTTGGAAGCACGCGACAAGTATCGCGCTATCTAAGGTCCAGTCCCTCTTTCTTCCGTTTACGCGCAAGGTACGCGGAAAGGGGACCCACCTCGGTTCTGGGTTCTCCTATCCTCCTCCCTCCTGCTCCTTCCCTGTGGGTGACAAACCAGCAGAAAAGGGAAAGGGCCAGGGATGAGAGGGACGATGAGAGAGACAGAGAGAGAAGGGGGGGTAAGAGAGACATGTCTCTGCGTCCCGACGATTCCTTTCTCATGGATTTTCCAGCGCCTCACGATGGCTTGGATGATTGTTTCCCTCCGCATTCTTATGCTTCTCGCTCAACGTAACCGTCCCCCCAGCCAGATGCATCCAAGGCCACGACACCAACGTCGTCTTCTTTGACTCTGGGACCCCCGACCACCAGCAGTCTCGGTCGCGAGCACACCCAGGTACGTACAAACCATGCATAACCCTGAATACCATATCCTCCGTCAGCCGGATCAATCCGCCCCTCGTCGAAGAATCCTCCCCCCACCGGCTCGGGGTCATCACGGCAATCGGAAGAAACTGATGCAAGGACCTGGCAAGCGCCGCATTCAACCAACCTGTGGCCTCATGGCCTTCTGCATTCTGCATTGGCAACCATTGGCACTTTGGCAACGGCATCACAGCCGTGCAGGGCACTCGGAACGAACGATCACATCCCTTTCTGTCACTTCAATGCTGTCAATTGCTCCCAATGCGTCACAAGGTGGATGCCGCTACGCGACTGACACGTAATCGCCTAGTCTAGATGTTGTTCAAGTCCGTGAGCTCCCCTCCCCTCCAATGCTTGGTTAGGCGTGGTTAGCTGCGCGTCGGGCTTTCATCCAGATCTGATTTCTTGTTCCCTCCCCGAGTCTCTTTCTATTTCAGATTTGCGTCCATCTACCGGACCTTAGTCCGCGCTGGTCGCTACACATGGCCTGGCGTCTAAATTCGCGATCGCCAACAGAACACACCACCAATCCCAGACACCACCAACGTGCGATCCATGACGTAAAGGTCTGGTCATTGGTGCGATGCACCCTACGGATATTACTGCTCCCTGTGACGCCATTCTCTGTGTTACAGCAAGCCACTGCATCACCAAACCATCAGCTCATTTCAATGTGCCTGCAATCTCCCTCCCAACCCGTCGAGGCCTTCTTTGCTCGACGGCTCGTTTGCTTTTCCTGCCGCCCAGGCTTCCAAGGTTCAGGCGCAGGCCAGCAATTGACCCGCCCAGAAATGCCATCTGATGCATCTCAAATCCCCCATCCCTCCATCCCTGGCAAGTGCCTTACTGGATTCATTCACGCAGTTGAAGAAAGGGGTGGACACACACTAACACCATAGGGAACTTGGCCAACTTTAACTTTTTTTTTATTCAATGGGGGCTATTCCCGGGGCAACTCTTCCTTGCTCCGGCATCTGGACCTTGTTACCCTTACTGTAGTATTAGGGTGTGACAGACGATTAAGTCGCATCTATCGATAACATTCTGAAATTGCATTGAGTTTGTCAGTGGCAAGAGGATTCGGGATTTTCAACCATCTACGTGTTAAGGTTCTCCCCGTACTGGTCCATCATAGCCAAAACAGCCTTGTCGAGCCATACACGTTCTGTTTCTCTCCGTAAAGGCAACTTTTCGCAGACCTCCATCAAAGCCTTGAACGCAATCTCGATTCCTGAAGTGCTTTCCATCACCGGCTCTAGGATAATGGATGCGTCCCTGCCTGGCCAAGCACGAGACCGAGCCCTATCAATAAGCTCCGCTCTGGGTGGCAATGCACAACCCAAGTCAATCTGCATGGGATCGATGACACATTCACATCCAAACCGCTGGAAGAACCAGTCTAACTTTGCAAGGTCAGTTCGTAATGGTATCGGCATGAGCGTCGCATTTTCCCATCCCATAATGGCGATCAGCTCACCGTCTTCGCCAACAAGAATGTTATCAGGTCGCGGATCTGGGTGAGATATCGTCACCGGCCACCCATTCATCCGTCCACCTTCGGTTGGCAGATGCCACTTGACGTTGGGCAACATCGCGAGACGCTTTGCCATTCTCTCAACAACAATATCAAGACTGGCTAAACGTTTCTGAACCCATTGGTCGTTTGTGTACTCGTCTTTCCAAATGGAGATGTAATCACCAAGATAGCCTTGCACCGACGAGTATGGCCCGTAAAGAGTCTTACGCCACAGTCTGTCAGCGCTATAAAAGTGAGGAGATACAATAGGGCCAGTATAGAACCTTTTCGTTTTCCAATTGATCCGCAGGCTGCCGATCAAGGTGTTGTCCTTCGGTACGCCAGAGGCGGTCACCTTGATCTTGGCCATGAAGTCACGAAGCTCCTTGCCGATATTTAAAAGGTCCTTGTCGCTCTGTGGGGGTGTCTCCTTGGGGAACGAAAACCCCTCCAACCCCGTGTCCGTAGACCCCTGGAGCGTGTACTCCTGGAAGGGAAAGCCGAACACGGGCTCGAACATCATCCACTCCAGGCCCAACGGGTTCCGGGGGTACGAATCAAACACCAATATTCTGGGAATCAACTTGGGTGACACCGTCGCCGCCCATACCATGGTTGCGACCTCGCTTTCGAGCTTGTCGTGCGGGCACACGGGCAGGCTGAACTTGAGCACAACCTTTTGCGGTAGCTTTCCGGGCTTCGCGTTCGGCACGAACTCGACGAGGAAAAGGTAGTTTGTCCGCCCCCGGCTCATTAGAGACACGTACTCGATGGTGGGGAAGGGGTAGACGCCATAGAAGTTGTACCAAGACAGCATGCGGTGGACGTCTTCCTCCGTGGGAACGTTGCCCCCGTTCCAGTCGGCGGCGTACTCGCCGTTCTGCAGCCGCGTCCAGCGGACATACTTGTCACGCGAGACCTGGTAGCTTTCCGTTGAGAGTGGGGTCTGGCTGGGGATGGTAGTGGTCGTGGACAGCGGGCTCGGGGAGGAACGCGGTCGGGGAGATCGGGGACGGTCTTTGCGAAGGAGGCCAAGGCGGTGTTGAGGCGGTGGGACACGCGGGCTGCTAGGGTTTCTGGAGGAAAGGCCTTGAAAGTTGCGGTGTTGGTCTTTCTTCCGAGACGGCGCTTCATGGAGTCCATTGTGGATCTGGTGGATTTAGTAAGGGCGGGAGAAGGGTTGCTTCGGGGTAAGAAAGTCAGTTTGGTGCTTGGTGACGTAGAAATTGGTATTCGCCAGGAAAAGAAGTTGTATACGACACGCTGTCGAGAGTCTTGTGCTATGTTTTGGTGTTCTTTTGCCTCTCTATTCTAGTCTGATACTATTTGGTTGTGCAGTTCCAGGCCCGATGTCTTATATCTTGAGCCCGAAGAGGCATGAACTGTCATTAAGGCAAGGCTGGCCAGCTAGAACTGTCTTTATCTTTCTTTGGATATGAGAACAAGTCATTGATCGATAACTCCGTGCACGGCACAACAAAGCTCATGAAGGAGTCCTGTCACGGGACATGTGCAAAACAAAGGCAGTGGTATGACTCCGCTACGTTCCTACACACATTCTGGGGGTTTCCAGTTCTCAGAAATACTTACGAAGACGTTGGTAGATGTGCTGAGTGGCCGGGTATGAGTCGTATTGAAGCTATGTGGTCTTTCGGAAAAGGATGCAAAAGGTTTATGAAGTGTTTAAAACGGGTAGGGTTGATAGGACTGAACCAAACTGGACCAGTGATGTCTACCTGTTTATCTTGGTTAAGAAAATAAGGATTAGGAAATTAGAGACTTATCAAAAGCTTTGGATGTGGCTTAAGGGTGGGCATTTCGAGACTTTGCTGAGCAAAATTCGGTCTAATTGCAAGACAGAGGTATGTTCGCAAGTAAACACTTTCCTTGCGAACCTCAATGGGATAACATTAAATGTATCAAGCAAAAGGCGGACTGCGTCTAACAATCTTTGTGGCCTTCAGTACTACACGCCGCATCAGAAAATCTGCTGGAACAGGAGGGGGCTTCGAGGCTGATGCATTTCGACGCTTCGATATAGCAGTCATCAATGTGTGTCTTGGACAATGTTTCTGTATTGGAGATAAGATTAATTGCAAACTTACCGGTTGCTCTCTAAGGCGCTACTGTCAATCTGAGGTTGGTATTGTCATGCTGCCTTAACTGAGGGTTTTCCAAGCCTTACTTTCTATTTATGAAAACATCATCTACTCAATTATGCTGGATAGTAACTGAAAGGCTCTATTAGATATATGTGTCTCTAGTCGATACTAAAATAGGTCTAAAGGTATCCTCAGGTCTTCCAAAAGAAGCCGATATTCGGATCTCGTGGTTATCTAAAAAAACCGGTCCTTTACCAGCGCATCATATCGACGGTGTTTTGGTCTAACAATGATCGTGGGAGCGACTTGAGGCGACCCAGTCCGAGATCTAACCAACCGCGTTCATTCTAGCTCTGCAGATGTCAGACAAGCTACTGGAGTCTTGCATTTCTCCAGCTCTAACAAATCCCTCATCACAGCTCAGGTCTTTCCTGTGGAATTCCAAACAGACCAGGCTTCTCTGGCCTGCAATCACCAAACTTGGGAAGCTCCCCTACCCGATCTGAACTCCTCTTTGAGGACTCTGCTCCTCGGATATAGAGTTTGTCCAGCTTTTCCCCGAGCTGGTCGTAACTAATCTTCGTCTCAAGCCAGTGCTGGTTCGTGACGTTCTCGTCGTAAACCCAGACATTGCAACCGTTGCAACCGTCCTCCCCGTGTAGGGTAATTGTGTTATAGCCATGGGTATTCCCATACCGAAAGCGCTCACCGAGGCCTTCGATGGCGTAGAGCATTGCGATTGGGTCGAAAGACCACCGCGGCTGATAGTATGTGTACAGAATGTACGCAGCCCTCACCGGGTCGGTCCTGGGCCCATCGGCCATGAGAGGCCCCCCTGAGAGAACAGAGGCTCCAAGCTCGAAACCGGCGTAGACAATAGGGGTCTTCCAATTGTGTACCACATGTGCGGTACTATATGGGTTGTCGCCCCAGAAGTTGAATTCATAGCCATCCGGATAGTCCCCACCCATGACAACGAGCTCTTTGACTTTGGTCTTCACCAGCTCGGGGCCTGTATGGTTAGAGTATGCATCGGCCGTTGAGTTTAAAAGATTGGAGAGATTGTGCAGAAACCCTATGGATGCAATGGTCACCGAGTTGTCCTCGGCATCGGCGAGCAGTTTGCGGTACAGCTCGACGGGGTCCCAGGCGTCGTCGGCGTCTGCGATGCTCTTTGGCCAGTGAGTTGCGAGTTTGCTCGCAAACTCTCCCAGACGCTTGGTCCAACTGTCAAAGAAAGGTGCATCGTTTAGCGGACGGCGAGCGCCGATGGGGACTTGGCCATGATCGTAATGATCGAGGATGGCCGAAGCGGCCAGGACCGAATATGAGGATTGTGAATTGATGTTCACTCCTAACAGGTTGACGTCTGGAGAGGTTGCCGCAAGGAGAAGCGCGCCGGCGTCACTAAAACTTGTTAGCACGATCGGGATTCCCTACATAATCTTATACAACGCCGCCTGATATCGGGAGAGTCCTACTCGCAGTCGCTGAATAAGTCAGTGTCAATGATGAGGTTTTTGCGGGCTGAGAGAGTGACAATATGGCAGGCCATCAGGACGAGGCATTTTGCCATGCCCAACATGGCAGGAAATTAGCGTGATCGACCGTTTAATAATAATTATATGAAGTAATTATGCTTCATGTACCGAGCATCAAACGCAGTCAGTCAGTCAATCGTTTTATTGTCCGATGTATACCACCGTATCGGCCTGTCCGCCTTTACTGTATGCAGTGAGATTGGTGAGTGGTGCACTACATACAATGTTAACCCCACCAGAGACGTTGGGAGAAGTGTGTCCCGAAGCTAATAGGCGGAACGATGGTCGTTGATGAGGAGAAAGGCACGTGAGGAAGCCTTAAGCCTGCTGGCACCACCTTCCCGACTGAGCTCCCAGCTGGCTGTACCATTGTACATGCCCGCCCTGCTCGCTCCAAAAGTCTAGCGAGCTTTAGTGGACATCAGGGACCACAACCCCACTAATGGCCGTACGTAGTGGATGTGAGCTGGAGGCGGGAATCCGTGCGCCTCTGGCTCCGCAATGTCTCGAAACATATTGTCTTCTCAGCCAAAAACACCACAAGACTTGTCCACAACAGCATACCTAGCTACGGCGGCCCGCACCATCCCCTGATCCAATAATCTTTACACAGTCTCTCGAACAACCATCTTCGATACTCTGGCACCAGGCCACCTTTGAGCCCCGGCGTGCATCTCACCGAGCGGCGAGCCCCAGATCCGTCAGCAAAACGATCATCAAGCAATGTCGATGACGCAGAAGCATGCTTCTCCTCAAGCTTGGCCCAGGGACATAACCAGCAGCTCCCTCGAACCGGATGAGTCAAATCCCATCTTTCAAGGTTACGGGCAGAACCCCCACACAACACGCCGCTAGGACCCCCCTTCATCAGTAATGCTTCTGCTGTTGGAGTGCAGATCGGCGTGCGTGCTGGCCGCTGGCTGGTCAGCAAGACCAATCATGGCCGCAGCCGCCATTCACCGGACAGATTGCGCCATTCGGGCTGAGTACGACGTGGAAAGCTGAACCATCCGATGAATCTGTGAACGTTTCACTTGAATCTGCAGACGTGTGCCACGCGCATGCTGTAGGTATTTCATAGCGCTGATCTCCCGCGAGGCTCCGTTCCTCGAGTCTCTGAAACCTTATTATGCGCTCCATCATCACCGAGGACGACAAGGTAGCTTAGGACTACCGTTTGTTTTCGCGTCGTAGTCTGGTATTCGTTTAATAGCGAGGATACTTGATCAACATGGGTGTCGATACAGATCCCACGAAGAACCTCGAGGCGACGCACGAGGTTGCCTCGCCTCATGATGCTGTTCGTGGGGGGAGTCTCGACATCCACGGAATCGAAGATGCCGCCATCATTCCCAAAGGCGCCTTGGATCCCGTCTATGAGGCCAAGGCCCGGGTGCTCAACCGCGCTGTACGTGCACCTTCCACAAGTTGATCCTGATAATTGGTCGCTGACTCGGCCCTATAGATACAAGACATCGGAATGGGATGGTACCAATGGCAGCTCTTCATCGTCGTCGGGTTCGGCTGGGCAAGCGACAACCTTTGGCCCATCGTGACGTCTCTGATCTTCACTCCAGTCACCAACGAGTTTGGCCCTTCTCGACCTCCTCTTCTTATGCTGGCACAAAACATTGGCCTTCTGGCAGGCGCCATGTTCTGGGGCTTCGGTTGCGACCTCTTCGGTCGGAAATGGGCCTTTAACCTCACCCTGGGCCTAACGGCGTTCTGGGGCCTGGTCGCAGCCGGGGCTCCTAACTTTGCTGGCATCGGCGTCTTTGCGGCTCTCTGGTCGTTTGGTGTCGGAGGCAATCTCCCCGTCGACTCGGCCATCTTTCTCGAATTCCTCCCAGGAACCCATCAGTACTTGTTGACGGTCTTATCCATCGACTGGGCAATAGCCCAAGTCATCGCGACCTTGATCGCATGGCCGCTTCTTGGTAACCTCACGTGCCAAGAGGGAGCGACTTGTACCAAGGCCAACAACATGGGATGGCGGTACTTCATGATCACGGTCGGCGGATTGACCCTGCTCATGTTCCTTATCCGTTTTCTACTCTTCACCATCTACGAGTCGCCAAAATACCTCATGGGAAAGGGGCGCGACGAAGACGCGGTCCGAATCGTCCACGAAGTCGCCAGGCGAAATGGCAAGATCACGTCTCTCTCAATCGAGGATCTCAAGGCATGCGAGCCGGAAGGGTATGTTGCGCGGACCGACGCTGCTACAGCCATCAAGAGGAACTTAGAGAAAGTCAATCTCAGCCGCATACGTGTCTTGTTCTCTACACGTCGCCTGGCTTTAAGTACCGGCACCATCATGGCCATTTGGGCGCTCATCGGCCTCGCCTACCCTCTTTATAACGCATTCATCCCATATATCCAGGCAACACGAGGCGCCGAGCTGGGTGACGGCAGCACCTACCTGACGTATCGCAACAGTCTGATCATTGCTGTGCTGGGCGTCCCTGGAGCATTACTTGGAGGCTGGCTGGTTGAGTTGCCAGCGCTGGGAAGAAAAGGCACGCTCGCTATCAGCACCGTCCTAACAGGAGTCTTTCTCTACTGCTCCACGACCGCGATGACTAGCAATGCGCTTCTAGGATGGAACTGTGCCTTCAACTTTTGCAGTAACGTCATGTACGCCGTCCTCTACGGTTTTACCCCGGAGTTGTTTCCAACGCCGCAGCGCGGGACCGGCAACGCGCTTACAGCGACTTGTAATCGCATTTTCGGTATCATGGCGGTAAGTGAGATTGTTATCCAGTTTCCAAGCCGGCGGGCACTGATCAAATTTTGTACAGCCCATCGTCGCCATGTTCGCCAACCTCAAGACGTCGGCGCCCGTCTATACCAGTGGTGCTCTGTTCATTGCCGCTGGACTCTTAGTGCTGATACTGCCCTTCGAATCGAGAGGGAAAGCAGCTCTGTGAGACTGCGTACCAATTGGGTTTCTAAACCTGCGAGATCACCCCTTAGATCAACATCTTTCATCAGTTATACCCAGTTCTGCGCTGCGCGAGACAAAAGAGCCATAGGGCTCGGTTTGCTTTTCCCAAATTTCGTCCAGCCTCTTCCAAACTCAAATCATAATTGACGTCGGTGTGATGCCGCTCCGGAGTTCGGCCTCTGCCCGCCATTTCGAGTAACGCGTATCTGTTGATCACTTGCAACTTGCACAGCCCGTGTCTTGGCGAGTGTGGTCGGGGAGCCTCAGTCCCGACCATCGGCATTTCAATTACAACCCGTGGATCCGTTTTTGTTCATCGGAGAGATTCGATACGTCAATTGCAAATGCAATATGTTGCTACGGGTCCCAAAGCCTTGGCGACATGGCCCGTTATCTGCGCCCACGGGGACCTCCCCCGCTTTCCCCTCACCAGGTCTCTCGAGCTGCCTCATGTAGTTTCGTTGCCAATGTTGACGCTGGCTCTGATGTAACCTTTGATAAACTCCGTGAGGACTCTCGCTGACGCTTGTTATCGGCTTGCCCTGCGATGTTGTTGGTATTACCAATTGCATGGTCCCAAATGAGATCAGCCAAGCCACCGGCCATGCCAGGAACAGCCCTCGGCCACGCGTTGAGGAGCCATTTTGTTGTACCCTGAGAGTTGGGATGCGATGGCGGGGAAGGATATAAAGTTTGAAAAACGCCGTTACGCCCACTGCTCTGTAAAGTTGATCGCCAGATTTCCAGTTCGGCTCTGTTCTGGTACTCAGTATTCTAGACGAACAGCACCATGGTGAACATATCTCGTCTAGGCCTACTTGGCCTATCCCTCCTTGCATCTGCTCAGGCGGCCAAGTATGGTTACAACCACGTAACCGTTCGCAAGGATAGTGATATTGTGGCTACGAACTTCAAGGACATTGAGGGCGTCGACTTGCTTTCACCAGCTTTCCTTACCCCGGACACGATTCCAGAGGGCTTTCCAGACGGCACAAAGGGCCCGACGGACGATAACCTCCTCGGTAAGCATGTTTGTTGTTTACTTCAAAGACGGCTACTAATGAGACATAGACTCCTTTGTCCAAGGCCTGGCTGACAAGAACGACTGGTTAACCTACAACAAGGCCAACTTCACGTCGGAGGAGGGTCGTCCGTTCCCCTACCTCCACCTCTCTTCCACCAAATTGTCCCGTAGGGTCTCGAATTCGACCGGTAAAGTCCGCGTCTGGGTCCAAGGTGCCGTGCATGGCAACGAGCCTGCCGGAGACCAATCCCTGTTGGCTCTGCTAGGCGCTCTGGACGCGAATCAGACATGGGCTGCCAGTCTCCTTGATAAGCTCGACATTGTCATTCTGCCGCGCTACAACCCCGACGGCGTTTCCTACTTCCAGCGCACGCTGGCCACCAACTACGACCCGAACCGTGACCACGTGAAGCTCGCCCGGAAGCAGACACGTGACATCAAGTCCCTGTTTGGCGAGTTCAACCCCCACGTCGCCATCGACATGCACGAGTACAGCGCCACGTCCCGCTACGGAAGCTATTACCACGCCGCCGACGGTCTTTTCTCGGCCGCCAAGAACCTCAACATCCACCCGGATATTCGAACGCTGTCTGAAGAGCTCTTCGCTAAGAACATTGGCACAGCAATGGAGTCCCGAGGCCTGCGCTGGGAGCCGTACGTGACGGGGTCTACAAGCACCAACCCCGGGTTCAAGCCCACCTTCGCCGAGGCCGGCTCGGACGCCAAGATCGGCCGCAACGCTATGGGCCTCACGCAATGCGTTACCTTCCTCATCGAGATGCGCGGTATCTTCCTCGCGGACCAGGCGTTCCAGCGTCGCACCGTCGCCGGTCTGACAATGGCCTCGAGCATTCTACAGACTGCGGCCGACAATGCCGAGACGGTGTACACGACCATCGAGTCTTCGATCGCCGACTTCAAGTCTTCGAACTCGGAGATCGTCGTCACTGACTCCTCGCCTCTAGTTCAGCGCACTTTCACCATGGTCAGCATCAACAACGGCTCCCTCACGCAGGTGCCCATCAACTTCCTCTCCACCACGCCCGTCACCGCGAACATCACCCGCGCCCGCCCGGAGGCTTACCTCATTCCCGTCGCCTGGGCCGATCTGGCCGAGCGTCTGAGAGTGTCTGGCCTGGAGGTGGAGACGCTCAGCGAGCCGTACAAGGGCACCGTCGAGGCTTACAACATTACTTCCGCAGTGTTCGAGACCGGATACTACGAGGGTGTCGTTCGCGCCGAGGTCGCTACATCGACGCTTACAAAGGAGGTGGACTTGCCTGCCGGCAGTTTCCTCGTGAGCACGAAGCAGAAGAACGCCGCGCTTGCATTCGTTGCCCTGGAGCCAGAGAACATTGACTCGTATGTCAGCTTCAATATTGTGCCTGTTGAGCAGGGTGATGAGTACCCGATCTACAGGGTTTTGGCCTGAGCCAGCCATAATAATGAATGATAATTTAGACAGTCTAATACATACACATGAACATATTGTTACATATTGTGAAATCAGTAGCACATTCCTACGTGATCAAAGTAACCCTCACGCAGGCACCCGATGACGCCACTCAATCCCTTTAACGTTGTCTCTCCCAGTCATGAACCGGATTGCGTTTTTCAAGAAAACAGCCAGCACCTCCATCTCCTCTTCGTCACGCGGTCCGTAGATCATCAAATACGAGTCGGCAAGGTGGAACCGGCCAGCCAACAGCGAGCCCCGCGGCAGGGAGAGGCGGTGGCGCTCGGCCCATCCTTTGGTGATTGCAAGCTTGGCATCCGCGGGGGAGAGGTACATGTGGATGGAGAGGTCGTGGTGGTGGTGACTGATCTCGCCCCGGGCCGTGTGAGAAGCCGTGGGAGGGGTAGACGAGGCCAGGGCCTGAGGGGAGACAAATATGGCTTGGTTGTTACGCTCGTAGAGGGAGAGCTTTGATTCCAAGAGGGTTGGGTTTTGGGTTACTGCGTTGACAAAGAGGTTTTGAATGAACTGCAGTGAGTCTGTTAGCTCATCAGAGGCTCAGAAGATCCATTTTGCAGCGGAGTGGTCGTTTTGTGAGACGCACCTCTCTCATCCGCTCCGGCGCATGCTGACTCAATTGGCGATGAGGCACGATGCCTCCCAACTCTGCTCGGCCCCCCTTCCTTTGCGGCAGCTCCTTGATCTCATCGTGAGCTCCATCGTCCGGGTAGTCGCCCGTGTAGGTCGCCGACGCCTTGGAGAGAGCGAACGGCCGGATGCCAAGGGTGACGAGAAGCCAGCCTCCAAAATTATGGGGCACACCACCGGGACCAAGAGCGATGTACGCTCGGTAGTCGCGGACGGCCCAAACGAGTATGGTTGTGGATACGGAGGTGAGTATGGCTGATAGGACGGGCCGGCGGAAGAGAGTAGCCAGCGGGAGGGGAAGGTTTTCCAGCCGGGATGCCATTTTCGCTGTGTTTTTTTTTTTTGTGGCAGGGATCGTGGTCAGTGTATTCGACCTGTGAGAGTCAGAATGAATAGGACGCCAAGAAGTAATTGGGGGTGCACCCAGGCGATATGCTCCGAGTTTTGTCGTAGATTGGAATGCCTGACGTGGGCTTGCTTCGGTCGAGGTTGGGGAAGAGCGCGCGGACGGTCCGGGAAGGTGGGGTTAGTCAGCCGCACTGGTGTGTGGATTGAGGCCGGTGCTCCGATCTTTCTGCGGGTTCACAATGCCGATGTTGGTGCGGGGTTGACGATGCTGCTGCGCAAAATGTAAACCCGGTCCGGTGTTTAGCACTGGCGAGTTGATAAGCACCAGACTGCCATCGTATGCGCAAGGCATCGTCAAGGCATTGTGCTGAAGTAGAAGCCTGACCCTTCGGAGATATGCGGTCGTCCCGTTTGGATGACGACAGAGAATCCGTTAATCCGTAAGTGGTTTTTCAAAGACAGCCTCTTATAAAACACAGAAATACAAAGATGTCGCATATTTTCATATTCCAAAGAGAAGAGACATAGACGCTTGATCCTAAAATGAAGGCTGGGTAACTGGAAGAGCTAAGGATTTAGGTTCGATCATTAGCATAGTCGGCGACCTTACAAGAATGTACATCTTTGCCCTTGACAAAAAAAAAAGGACGCAGATAGAGTGGTGGATGATTACGTGGTTGTTCTTCGTTGAGTCATGGATATCATGAAGATGAGCAGGAAGAGCTTACCGAAACCAAAATAGAGTGCGTACAATTATGGTGGGCTCTTGGCACACTCGGGATATCTCGCATTTTGCGGCCAGGCAACCCGTGACTGTAGAATGTCATGGCTCACATCTTTCAACTGTACGACCGCCACTCAAAAAAGTGTCCGAAGCCACTTCTGTGAAGTTGCACCCAGGCCATAAAGCGCTCACTGCACCCGATTTCAGCCCGTTTCTCGACTGGACGATGAGAAATGAAGTATTTGCCCATTTATGCCGGATAACTGAGCAAAACGATATGAACTAAGTCCAGACAGACCACCATGCTCATATTGAAGCAGAATGCTTTATCATAATCCCTTTTTCTTTATTAACTCATGTGAATACCCCTTCCTCTTTGCTACCTATGAATTTAGGCTGAAGTCAGTATGGCTTGGAAGTTTGACGAGGTGTCTCTGTTCATTAGTCAGGAACATGTATTATGTAGAGTCGACAGATTAAGGTGATACATGGGATTTGATTCTTGTGTAATAGTTGACTTGAATTAAGTTTATGATTGAATGTCGCAGGTTTGAATATTCTGTCAAATTATTTTAGCAGGAGTCAGGATGAATGATGCTTGTGTTTTATGAATTTGCATGAGTCTTGTGTGATCTCGTATTCTGTCATTACTCCAAGCAAAAACAGACTCGAAATTTGAGGTCGCATCAACGTTATTAAATCTTCTTTTATTGATATGGGTGTGTTCAAGAGACCTAGATATAGCAGAAATGGATGGTATACTATTGCATGAGTAATTAGGGAGACAAATACAAAGATATAACTAGCCTTCAGGTTGCTGGACCCTCCTCCCCTCTCAGTATCAATATCAATTCAAGTTCATTCAGCGAAATCAACTTTCCTAGTTCAAAGATCCAATATGTACATCGTCACAGTATTCATCCTCCTCCTTATTGCCTAGCTGGCTACAGCACGCACTTGCTGGGGCTCTTGGATTCACTGCACCTGTATGTTCTTACTACTTCGAGAAGAGGGTTTACTAACTCAACAAACAGACGGCGGAAGCGACTGCTACCACGATTGTACTGGCCATTTCACAAACTGCAAATGCCCTGGCACCTGGAATAATCTTGCGAACACGGGTGCAGGTTGCACAACCTTACCTTTAAACGACTATTACCCATGCTAAGGAACTTAATCTGGGGCGTTACAATGCTCTCAAGAGATCTGAAGTTATGGTGCCTGAGGCGTAGGCTGTCATGTAGAATCTTAGAGCTTTCCGTGGTATTACTGCAACACAAAGTGAAACACTGCCGTAATGACGGAACGCTATGTAAATCCAGCTGGTCTAGGAATCCGATTGTGAACCGTAACTATGATCTCTGGCTCATATGTCTTGAGTGAGAAATCCTACCACTTAGTTACTAGGTATTGGGTAACAAAGGTGCCAAAGACCTAGGCCACTCTTGTTTCTGGGGTACTCTGGCTGAAATACGAGCAGTTTTTACTAGAAGTTTGGAAAGAACGACTGAATTGGTGTATTAGCACTCATATTTAAGGCATGGTTTCGATAGCTTATATCGTGTTGACGCATGCGGCCACAAACTGGCTATCACTTTCTGGCAGGCCACCATCTGTCAATCTTTTTCATTCTTCTTTTCTTCTTAACAATGGCGGAAACGCCGAGAACAATGCGATTTTCTTAAAAGAGCACATAGGATGAAACAGAACATTGGAACATACGAAGAGAGCTTTGACGCTTTAAAACGTTCTGGCGAACGATTCCAAATGATGATAGGTTGGCCGCTGGCCTGTTGTCGGAAGACACAGTAGCTCGAAGCATGCGAGTGTGATGCAGGGTCTGAACGGATCAGAAGTGGACATATCTTGCTCAGTGGATACCAAATGCCCCAGTATTTGTAGTGTTCGCAATCATCCCCAAAGTAGCATCTGCCAAAATCACATGTCTGAGCGCGGACCTGCTGAACGAAGCGTGCCGACACTCCGAGGTGGAGCACCTGATTAAACGAACCTCTGGGGTGTGCTCACAAAAGTTTGCAGTTCCGGAATGTTGAACCGAATATGATTCAGCGTACGATCTTGAGTCCATTAATAACCTCCAAACGCGAGGAGCAATGGCAGAGTGTGCTCGAATTCCGATCTTTGCCACCTTGCAGACGTTATTCATGGCAAAGGAATGAAGTTTTGCGGGCTATTGCCGTCGTTGCGGTGATATAGACGTCGGAGGTCGAGGTCAATTCTCTAAGCGACTCCGATTGGTCGTCCCAGAACCAGTTGCTCGGAACGGACAATCACCAAGACCAAGAAACGTTGATGGGCTGGCACCACCTACGGATGAACGTTTCCGGTATCAATCTACCAGAAAAACTCTGCAGTCAGCAAGAGACCACCGCCGGAGCAGATACGGGAATCGGTGATCATGCCCGAGAAAAAGTGAGAAACAGACGTTAGCACAGAGCCCATTGCAGAGCAAAGTGGATGCGTGCTCGCCGCGCCGAGCGGCACTATTGATGTGTTCGGCGAATGAGAGGCCGGGCACACATCTAATCAGATGATCAGATATGATGTGATCCCGGTCCTGATGGAGCCCCCCCGCAAGTGTCTGCGGTGTTAAAATCCATTAACCTGCAGACCCCTAGTTACAAGAGTTGATCAGACAACTTTCTCAGGCGCGGAACCGCACGACACTGGGGTTTCAGCAGGGGCACACATAGGGAGTGCAGGTGACAGAGACATTGGCGCCGGGTTCTTCGGCTGAAGCCAATCTCGGCGGGAAGAGCCAGCCGAGCGGACAACCATAGCTCGCCGTGCTTCTCGGTATGTAAAGCGGTTGGCTGGCTGGGCGCCTAGCAAGCAGTGAGCATATATGGAGGGCTATACATCCCGCACTACCTCTCTCTCGGACTGCTTTCGGTTCAAGCCGCTCCTCACATCGCAAGCTGAGCAACTTGTGACCTTTCAACCATTTGGTCTTTCTCGATCTCTCTGTTAGAGACTGACCTCACCCCTTCTCAGACACTTATCAAGTTCGACCACCCAAGATCCTTTAGTTGAGATGGTCTACTCCGGGTTCATCGCAGTGTTCGCCAGCATGCTGCTGGGGAAGGTCATTGCTGATGACAAGATGGGACCGGCCGCTTTCCTCTGGTAAGACAGCCATTCTTGGAAAAAAAAAAAAAGAAACCCCTCACAACCGTACTGACGACGGTCGAGGCCCCCCGATCGTGAGTGGTCCGCCGATGTCGATAATACCGCTCCTTGCGGCTCCACTAATGGACCCGGTATTCGTACCGAGTTTCCTTTGGGTAAGTTGAATCATGTGTCCCAAATCCTCAAATCTCTCCCTCGATCTAAACCTGAAAACAACTAGTCAATGGTAAGCTCGCACTCGTCACACAAGAAACCACTCGCTCTGTCCACCTGAGTGTCTCCTATGAGAACGGTAAGTCACCCCCAAAAGCACACTATCACCAGTTCCATTTCTAGATGAGATCTGACGCCTTTCGCAGACCCCAAGTCCGCCTCCGACTTCGAGACCTTCCTTGGCCCCAGCGAGGTCGGCAGCCTCGACCTCGGTCATACCTGTGTGACGGTCCCTAACGCACCTGAAGGCACCGCGGCCGGCGCCAACGCCACCTACCGCATGCTCTACGTCTCCAACTTTGAAGACGACGAATCCAAGCGTAAAACGTTTTATGCCTGCGCCGATGTTGCCTTTGTCGATGTCTTCACAAACTCGATCCCCTGCTTCAACGCTACCGTCAGCGACCCCGAAGTCGACGTGGACAAGACAGTCAATGTCACCACTACCGACTCTGGCGGAAACACCCCCCACACTGCCGCCGACTTCATGGCTACCGACTCTGATAACGGTTCTTTGGGTCTTTCTGGCGGTGCTGTTGCTGGTGTCGTTATTGGTTCCATCGCTGGTGCCTCCCTCCTCGGCCTTGCTGCCTTCTTCCTGTGGCGCCGTAAGAACGCGAGCAAGAACACTATGGATAAGCCCATGCAGCAGCGCTGGGATGCTGAGAAGGCAGTCAGCGAGACTTCTTCGATTAACAGCCGTTCTCAAAACTAGACGCCTTTTGTCTTGGTTAAAGCGCCTCAGATCGTGTGTAGCACCCTGTCTCAGGTGGCCATCGTTTATGTGTGATGAGACAGGAGACGATCGATGCAGGTCATGATTATAGGAAGGGTAACATTGAAAGAGAATGACAGACTTTCTGCAACATGTTTCTTCAACTGAGTGTTTTTGATGGATGAACGTGCTTTTTGGTGGTTCTATCCAATGTGTTGGGCATGGGATGCTCTTTCTCTTAATGCAATAAAACCATATTGCCTCTTTCCTGCTTAGTAAACCCAAGCGACTGCCCCACGCAACCCGCTTTAATGCTTTCACCTCTAGGCAGCATCCCCAAGGCAACGAATCCACTGTTGAACTCCAACGGCTTCAGGTCAGCCAGACAAAATGGGTATAAGTCATGGTTGCACCCGGCGCATCAGAGATCGCGTCCACACCTAGAAAATCTTACAGAACCGGTCGCGCGTTTCGTCATAAACCTCTCTAATACCCCCTACTTCTCTTCTGAATTTCAGCAATCCACCGCGGTAGGACTTGCGCGTTCAGCTGCCCATCATGAGCCAACGCAAGCGACACCGGTCGCCCAATCCGATGGCGTTGGAAGAGGAAGAGAAGCAGTATGTGACCGGTGGTATGACTCTGGAGGAATTAAACGAGAAGTGGGTGATTTTGCTGCTATCCTAACCCTGAATACTCATACTTTATCAGATATCCCAACCGGCCGCGCAACCATTCGCAGACAATGCACTTTTCAGAGCTGTTCAAAAGTCTCTTCAATCCCCTCAATGAAAACAAAAAACAGCCAGCTGGGCGCGGCACTCCCCGCGCCAAGAAGGGACCACATGGCCCTACCAAGTTATCGCCGCAGGAGCAACGACGACATATCATCGAGCGGTTCATTTCCAGATGGAGGAACGATGTGGGGAATGACATCTATCCGGCCTTCCGACTGATTATGCCCGACAAAGATCGAGATCGTGGTAATTATGGGCTGAAGGAGAACGCCATAGGCAAGCTTCTCGTCAAGCTCATGAAGATCGACAAGAACTCGGACGACGGATACAACCTGCTTCACTGGAAGCTACCCGGCCACACTACTGCGTCGCGATTGGCTGGCGACTTTGCTGGCCGGTGCTTCGAGGTTCTTGCCAAGCGACCTATGCGAACAGATGTCGGCGACATGACAATCGCCGAGGTCAACGAGTTGCTGGACAAACTTGCCGCTTCGACGGGAGAGTTGGAGAACCTGGAGGTCTTCGAGATCTTCTACGAGCGCATGAACTCCGAAGAACTGATGTGGCTCATTCGCATCATCCTGAAGCAGATGAAGGTTGGAGCGACCGAGAGGACCTTTCTTGATCTGTGGCATCCGGACGGCGAGGCGCTCTTCAGCGTCTCATCAAGCTTGCGACGAGTCTGCTGGGAACTTTACGACCCCCAAGTCCGACTAGAACAGGAAGACACAGGTGTCTGCCTCATGGAGTGTTTCCAACCCCAACTTGCACAATTCCAAATGCCCTCCTCTTTCCAAAAGATGGTTGACTACCTTCAACCTACCGACGAAGATCCCGAATTTTGGATTGAAGAGAAGCTGGATGGCGAGCGCATGCAGATGCATGTCACAGAAGACTCGAGCGTCCCAGGCGGCTGGCGCTTTTGTTTCTGGTCCCGCAAAGCGAAAGATTACACGTATTTATACGGCAATGGCCTGAGAGATGAGAAGGGAGCCTTAACCCGCCACCTAGGAGATGCTTTTGCAACCGGAGTACGAAACCTCATCTTAGATGGAGAGATGATCACCTGGGATCCTGACGTCGATAAAATCATGCCGTTCGGGACCCTCAAAACAGCCGCATTGGCTGAGCAGAACAATCCATACAACAACTCCGGCCCCCGCCCGCTTTACCGCGTCTTTGACATCTTGCTGCTAAACGACAAGCCGCTGACCCAATACACGCTGCGAGACCGCCGCCTAGCTTTGTCCAAAGCGGTGAAGGGTGTCCACAGGAGGCTCGAGATTCATGAATACGAAGCCGCGACGTCGCCGGACGCTATAGAGCCACTTCTTCGAAAGGTTGTCGCTGAGGCGTCGGAAGGCCTGGTCCTCAAGAACCCGAGATCGATGTATAGACTCAACAGTCGAAACGACGACTGGCTGAAGGTAAAGCCCGAATACATGTCCGAGTTCGGCGAGTCGTTGGATTGCGTTGTTATTGGCGGCTACTACGGCTCAGGTCGCCGAGGCGGGGCCCTTTCCAGTTTCTTGTGCGGCCTCCGCGTCTGCGAAAACCACATCCAAGCCGGCGCCAACCCGGAGAAGTGTTTTAGCTTCTTCAAGGTGGGTGGCGGTTTCCGGGCAGAAGATTACGCCGAGATTCGTCACCGAACAGAGGGCAAATGGCTACAGTGGGACCCGAAAAAGCCGCCTGTGGAATACATCGAGCTCGCTGGCGGCGACCGACAGTTTGAGAGACCTGATGTATGGATCAGACCTCGCGACTCGGTTGTCGTGGAAGCGAAGGCAGCGAGCATCGGCAGCTCGGACCAGTTCTCGCTCGGCTTCACCCTTCGGTTTCCCCGTTTCCGCCGCTTGAGAACCGACAAGAACTGGGACGAAGGACTTAGTATCCAGGAGTTCCTGGACCTTCGCAAGCGGGTCGAGGAAGAAGCCAAGGAGAAGACCATGAGCGTCGAGAACCGCAAGCGAAAATCCGTCAAGCGTGTGAAGCGCGAGGTGGTGATCGCCGGGACCGAGAATATGCCTGCGCAGTTTGAGGGAGAGAAGTCGAAGCTTTTTGATGGCTTCGAGTTCTGCGTTCTGTCAGAGTCACTCAAGCCATTCAAGAAGACCAAGGCACAGCTTGAGACATTGATCAAGCAGAACGGGGGACAGGTCTCCCAGCGCGCGGTGCCTCGGTCAAACATGATACTGCTAGCCGATAAGAACGTTGTCAAAGTCGCAAGCTTACTCAAAGAAGGGAAAAACGATGGAGGCGTCGACATCATTAAACCAAAGTGGATACAAGACTGTCTTGAGCAAGCCGACGACTCCATGTTGCTGCCATATGAGGAGCGACACCTATTGCATGCAACAGAGGCGCTCAAGACGGTTGCGTTGCAAAACACAGACATGTATGGTGACAGTTTCGCCCGGGACATTAGCCTGGAGGAGCTCCGGGCGGTTCTCAAGGGCATGCCGAAGCGAGAGCCAGACACCGACCCTTTTAACAAGGCGCAGTTTGTGAACCAGCTGGAGGAGCGCGGCCATGGGATTGGTCAGCTGAAGGGATTCATGTTCCATCGGTGTGTCGTGCACCTGTATGACGCAAATGGAGACGGCGTGGGAGACGATGTCAAAGCCCTCAAGCTTAGGAACTATCTCATTTTCGGCGGTGCCCGGCTGGTCAGCAGTGCAGAGGATGACGCTACGCATATTGTGATCATAGGAACGGGAGATCAACGCAAGGATGCCGCAGAGTACTTTCGCCAAGAAGTTAGCAGTCGGCGGAAGGTTCCGCACATCATAACTGCAGAATGGATTGAGGACTGCTGGCGTGAGAAGACTCTGCTGGATGAGGAGAGATACACACGCATGTGAGGGGGCACCAGACAGTAATCCTGGCACAAGTAACGGTTGGCTTGAATAGAATGGCCCTTGTACCCAAGATCAATGCTATTGTATTCAACTCCAGCACCCGGTTCCGTCTATGAATGCTAAAAATCTTGCAATGACTATAATCAAGGTCTTTTCCCAATAGGAAGAACGTTCATTTGCCAATAGTAAGGAACAACCGGTCACCGACATCGCCCAGGCCAGGCTTCAGCATGCCGTTCGGCGTCAACTCGGCGTCGACGCCCGCGATCCAGATGTCTGTCGCGTCTGCCCACTCTTCCGCAGCGCGCTTTACGCCCTCGGCGGCACCGATGACTGCCAGGACGACGATGCGCTTGACGCCCCACTCGCGGAGGGTCTGTATGGCGGCGGCGCAGGTGCCGCCCGTCGCGATGACCGGGTCGAGGATGATGGCCAGATCGCTGGCGTCCGAGTTGGAGCCGTCGACAGCAAGCTGGTTGGGAAGGTTGTTGTAGTACTCGACCGGTTCGAGGGTCGAGGGCTCCCGGTAGAGGCCGAGGTGGTGGACGGGGACGGGGGTTGGAAGGATGGTTTGGACGGCTGGGGGCGTATTAGTGAGGATACACGGAAAAGGAAAGGTTGACAGTCTTACCTTCTACCATGCCGAGGCCTGAGCGCAAGATGGGAACGAGGCAGAGGCGGGAGGGTGTGATTTGGGTCGAGGTAAACTCGAAGCCCAGCGGTGTAGCGTCCTGGGGCCCTTGTCAATATCATGAACTGCCTGTATGGAATCGCTGGGGACACAATCGCACTTTGGGACCATCCGTCGTTTTTGTTGAGGCGGCGAGGGCCTCATATGCCACCATCAACGCGATATCGTTCACCAAAGACTTGACATCCCGCGCCGGTGTTGACTGGGATCGCAGCTGCGAGAGCTTCGCACGGAGACACGGGTGCTGGGAGACGTGGACGTTGGGAGGGAGCTGGGCTGTTGAGGAAGCCATGATTGGAAATTCGAGTATATTAGAACTGAACAACTTGAATTGTTACTACGGAAGAACAAAGGGAGGAAACGCAGTTAAAGGAAGAAGAGACGCGGCCCAAGAGAGGTTGGGAAGCGGGTTGGACGAGGAGGGGTCCAACTCCAACGTCCGTCCCCCTTGTCCTCCTGATCAGCGCCGGTACCTTGAGTGGGGCAGCGTGCATGCGGAGGAGCTATGATAAGATAAGACGGACGCCCGCCCGCCATTTAGCATTGGAGGGGCAGCGACCAAGGTCAACTCCGGCGTCCGGTGAGGCATCGGAGGTCGCCGCCCTGCAGCTCAGCTTGGGGCGTTACGCTGATAGCTAGCGTGCATGGGGCAGAAGGGACGAGAGATAGCAATCCGCTTATTAGAAACGTGTTCTTCTCAAATTGTTGTCTTCCTTCCACAAGTCGATTAGTGGTCCATGACATCTCCATCTAGACCAGCGCCTTGACACGACACCACCAGCATGGCATGTGGGATGTCACTCCTCGGTGTGCTCCGCCTTTCTCGGTGAGGAGAAACCCCACCAGGACGCCTTGACCATGGGTGCGCGATTCGCAGGGAGACCCGAGATAGCCGTACCTATCTACCGTCTGAATGGGGCCGGAAATGACGTCCCTCACAGCGCCAACCGCTTCCGGCAATGCGAAAACAAATTGTCTCGCCTTGCCAACATGTCGAAATGCCCGTTGACATGACGACTATCACCCAGCCGAAAGAAAGACGACGCCGCGGATCGAATCCTCCTCCAAACCGATCGTCATGACCTTGTACGAACCGAGCTTGCGAAACCATCACAGTCGGAAAACACGATGCAAAACGGCGACCTTCGCGGGGACGGCTTGGTCGCCAACCCTGGCGAGGGTGACAACCGCTTCGATGGCGAGCCAATGAACAACAATTCCAAGCGCAGAGGCACCTTCGGCATGCCCGCGTTGAAGGGGAGCGAAGAGAGCATCGACGCGCGACACGCCGGGTCGGTCGAGTACGACGTGCCGGAAGCCTACGAGAACCTCGACGAAACGGTTGCGGATCCCGTTGCTCACAGCCCGAGCGAGAGCCGGACAGATAAGGCCCCGAGTCTAGAGGGCCGCAGGCCATCAGACATTGAGATGCAGGATGGACGACGCGACGAGCAGGACGGGTCCGCTGAGACGCCGCCCCGGCCTGTGGCGCACCTCTCGAAGCTGGAGACGGAGCTGTACACCCTCTCGTATCTCGTCTTCTTCGCCATCTTCGGCACCCTCGCCCGTCTGGGCATCCAAGCCCTGACGACGTACCCCGGCGCGCCGGTGTCCTTTGGCGTTCTGTGGGCCAACGTGGGCGGGAGCCTGGTAATGGGGTTCCTGGCAGAGGACCGCAAGCTGTTCAAGCACGAATGGGGTACCGCGACGTACCACGACCAGATCCACAAGGCACGGCGGCAGCAACACGCGGACGGCAGCGCCGCGGTCGACCTTGCTGCCGCGAAGAAGGCGCATCTCGCGACCAAGAAGACGATACCCCTGTACATTGGCCTCGCCACGGGCTTTTGCGGTTCGTTCACGTCCTTCTCGTCCTTCATCCGCGACGTCTTTCTCGCGATGAGCAACGACCTCCCCGGCGCGGGCGGCGCAGTACCCGAGACGCGCAACGGCGGCTACTCCTTCATGGCCATGCTTGCCGTCATCCTGACCACCGTCTCCCTCTCCCTCTCCGCCCTGGTCGCCGGCGCTCACCTCGCAGCAGCGCTCGAACCCGTCACCCCATCCATTCCCTACCCCCTCAGCCGCAAGTTCCTGGACCGCGGCGCGGTCTTCCTCGGCTGGGGCTCCTGGCTCGGCGCAGTCCTGCTCGCCATCTTTCCGCCCCATGACGCCTGGCGCGGCCAGGCTGTGTTTTCCCTCGTCTTTGCGCCTCTGGGCTGCCTCGCGCGGTTCTACGCGAGCCTCTGGCTCAATTCGCGGGTGCCGGCATTCCCCGTTGGCACCTTTACGGTCAACATCACCGGTGTTGCCGTGTTGGGTATGTGCTGGGATCTGGGACACGCGGGACTTGGCGGGGTGGTTGGGTGTCAGGTGCTGCAGGGCGTTGAAGACGGCTTCTGCGGGTGTTTGACGACGGTATCGACGTGGGTTGCGGAGCTGACGGCGCTGAGAAGGCGGCATGCGTATGTGTATGGTGTGTCGAGTGTGGTGGTGGGTTTTGCGGTTTTGGTTGTCATCATGGGAGCGATGCGGTGGACAGATGGGTTTGGGCCGTTGATGTGTACACATTGATGTATAACCTAAACCAGAAGACGGGTCTTCAAGATCCCCGGTCTTCTACTGATAATACCACGATGCATGGGCATGTACCTTTGCAATCATTAACGAGATTAATAGACCTTTGAGTATCCTGGAGCGTGTCCCGCTGTCTATCTAGTGCTCTTCCTATGCTGCTTAGCGCCTTGATGGGCTCGATTTCATTGCTAAACCTTACGGTGTTCTCATTGCCTCCAAGCTTACAAGTCGGCGGATATAAACCAGCTTCTCATGGCAGATGATCTCAGCAACTCCTGCGCCGCAAATAGGTGTTGTATGTGTGTTAGGAGTTTCCATCCGAAGCACGAACAGAGGGAAATTGATGTGGTTGCGTTTAGTAGGAAGTTATTTGTTGGCCTCATTTCACTGTAGCGAAGATAGCATCGATCTGTCTTTAGTGCGCCTTTCGCATTGGATTATCACAGCCTAAGAACCTACTCTGCTTCGACTTCAGCTTCCACCCAGACAATTCGCCGTCTTTACGACGTCTGCTCCGCCTGGCCTCGTTTACGGCTCCTGCCTATCACACTATGCTTTCTAGCAGACGTAGACACACCGCAGCCCGCACTTCGCGCTAGGTTCTGGGCGAGGTTCAGCCGAGAGCAGCATCGACCTTCGCCAAAGGGCGCACCCAAGCTGTTTACCCAGATAGAATAAGAAGGCCACGGGGTTAGGGATTGGACCCGGTATCAGCGCATTCGGCGGGGTTTTAGTCAGAGGCCACATGAAAATAATCCATCGGAGATAATTGCAGGCGAATGCTACGGATTACGGGTTTGTCATATGCGTGCCAGACGAGTCGAGACCGCGAACCGAGAGTTGTCGGTTACACAGGAACCTGGAAACGATAATCCCGTGACCTGGAGATTGTCAATCTCGTAGTGTAAAGCCAAGAGAAACCAACAAAGTAAGACGGTAACAAATATGAAGTGCCACAGACATCGTGCCATAGTCACACAATTTGCGGTACGTGCCAAGCACAGTTTGTTGTGAACAAATGTATGAGTCGCTTACCGACCATCGGTGGATTTAGATCCTTTCCCCCACCTCGACACCAATCGACTGACAGTCAGTATGGCCCTGTGAGAAAATCGCCGAAAGCGGGACACATGAACACGTAGATAAACCCAACCAAGTAGCTTTGACAGTCGAAGAGCGGATTGTTGAGCTTTACATACCATCAAATATCGCAACTCGTTTTACTCGTCTCAAACGCCATGTCTCCAACAATCCCGCCAAAATGCACAGTCCTGGTAGTCGGTGGCGGACCCGGTGGGTCCTATGCCGCCTCTGCCCTGGCACGAGAGGGTATTGATGTTGTCGTCCTGGAAGGAGACAAGTTTCCCAGGTATTTTGTTCCTTTGAAGAGTATGCCAGTTGTTCTGTTCTCACATGGATGCTTTCAAGGTACCACATTGGCGAGAGTATGCTGGCGTCGATGCGTCATCTCCTCAGGTTCATAGACTTGGAGACCAAATTTGACGCTTATGGCTTCAACAAAAAAGCAAGGAACTATAACTGAGAGCTGGATGACTTGAGACGCTTGCGCTAACAAAATCGCAGCCTGGTGCTGCCTTCAAACTCAACAAGGACAAGCGAGCTGGATGTAAGCAGCAAAATCTACGAGTTCTTTCAGTGAAGGATGCTGAGCATTTCCAGATACCGATTTCCTGGCCGCTGGTGGCCCAGGCAATCATGCTTGGAATGTTGTAAGGGCCGAGGCTGACCAGCTCATGTTCCAGCATGCTGGTGAGAGCGGCGCAAATATCTTCGACGGCGTCAAGGTCAAATCGATTCGGTTCGAAGACGCCACTACAGTTCCTGAGGGCCAACCGAACCTCCTGCCTGGCCGTCCAGTCGCTGCGGTCTACGAGATTGCCGAGACCAAGCAGACAGGCGAGATAGCTTTCGATTACATCGTTGATGCCAGTGGCCGTATTGGTTTACTGAGTACAAAGTACATGAAGAACCGACGATACAACCAAGGTCTCAAGAACGTCGCCAACTGGGGCTACTGGAAGGGTTGCGGCAGATACTCCCCTGGCACGGACAGAGAAAACGCCCCGTTTTTCGAGGCCTTGAGAGGTATATTTGATAATCGTCGGACTTTGTTCTCGGTGTCAGATGCTGACGTATGCTAGATGAGAGTGGCTGGGCTTGGTTTATTCCCCTGCACAACGGTACGGCTTCCGTTGGTGTTGTCATGAACCAGAAACTGGCCGCGCATAAGAAACAGCACGGCGGCTTTGATTCCACCCAGTTCTACCACGAGAGCCTCAAACTTGCACCTGAGCTCCGCGCAGAGCTCATTAAAGATGGCGAGTTCGTTAGTGACGTCAAGTCGGCCTCAGACTACTCCTATAGTGCCTCATCTTATGCGTTTCCAAATGCCCGCATCGTCGGTGACGCAGGCTGTTTCATCGACCCTTTCTTCTCCTCGGGTGTCCACATCGCCCTTACGGGCGGTCTTTCAGCCGCCACCACCATAGCTGCATCAATTCGCGGCGACATCGAGGAGCCTGAAGCTGCCGAATGGCATACTAAGAAGGTTGCAGCCGCCTACACAAGGTTCCTTCTCGTGGTCCTCAGTGCCTATAGGCAAATGCGCTTCCAAGAGGATCCTGTCCTCAGCGACTTTGACGAAGACAACTTTGACCGTGCCTTTTCCTTTTTCAGGCCTAGTAAGTGCATAAGCCAACTAGAATCAAATTTCTCACCGATTCTAACTCAGGTGACAGTTATCCAAGGAACGGCAGATGCTGCCAATGGCAATCTTTCTCAAGAAGAACTCAACAAGACGCTCGAGTTCTGCGCACACGCCTTCGAGCCCGTGAACCCCGAAACGAACAAGGAGAAGGTCATGAAGGTTGTACAGGATGCCCCCGATGGCTCGGGCTACAATCCTGACCTTTCACCTGCGGAGCAGAATGCCGTCAAGCATATCCGTGCTAGAAAGATGATGCGTACTGAGGATACTTATAATATCAATACTTTTGGCACGGACTCAATCCTCGGATTTGTCCCCAATCTGGTCAGGGGTAGCTTGGGCTTGAAAAGATCGGTTATGAATGGCACGACGGAAGTAAGTGCATAAAATAACGGAGCCCTCTATCTATGAATTGATAGACCTGGTACGGCTGGCATATACATACGGCTCGCGCTCTACACTGCATATAACCCGTCATTGAACGGAGTACGTTAGCATGATTGAATGAGATTTGATTCTGTCTTTCTGATAGTTCTCTGAATAATAAATCTGCTATGCTTGAACCAAAGCCCTTGTGAAACCTGTAGTGGGAGGTCCTCATCAACACTGATATTGCTGGGTTTCTCGGTGCGAACCATGATGAACCTTCTCTGCATCAAAACTCTTGTCAGCCTGCAAAAGTCGGGCGTAAAGTCAGAGCTAAAGTCTCAGATCCACCACTAGAAAACCAGGCAGGTAAGTGTTTATGCAGCGGGGAGTCGAAGAGTCTAGTTTGAGTTTTGGAGAAAAGCAACCGTGACTGGGCTTGTTTTGAGAATAGATCAGAATTGAACAGGAGCGGCGAACATGTTGAACACGCCAATGGCGAGCAAAGAAAGACGTATGATTGGATACATGATGAAAATTGATTCATTCAAAGGCTAATCTTAGGTCAGTCCAACAAAAAAACAATCATTCCGTCGGGGGTTCGCCGCCGGACATATTTGTCCGAAATGTCACACAAATACAAGCACCAATACACCCACACACAACCATTAACTTCGGGTAGGCAGAAAGAGATGTCTTGGCAAGAATTCGCCATTGCAATACATCGCTCTAACTTCATTGGCTCATTCCCACAAACAATTGAAAGAGCCAAAGCGGGCTGCTAATTGCTGTTTGCTGATCGGCATATTCGGAAAATTCAATCGGTGGTGTGCGCCAGGAAAGCGCCGAAGAAAGAAACCCTCCGAAATCCCACTAATATACGGTCCACTTGCCAGTGAGGCAGAACCTCGGCGGTTAGATAAATCAAACGACTGGAACCTTGGAGAAGATCTGTCATTTTGGTACGATGCTAAGTCGAACCTCAGACTCTAGCCTCGATTACAAATTGGCATACAGGTGATGCTAGTAGGAGGTATGGTATAGTGGTTCTCCTAGTGTGACAAGAAGCTGACTCTTGTATTTGAGACACCCTCCAGACGAAGACGTTCAATGGCGTTGTCGTTCCCTCATCCTGAACACTTGGGTCACATCAGTCGGCACTTCCCGATCTTGTCATGTTATGAACCGTAGTCAGCTGTGTCTTGACCTGCCTCTGCGCTCCACATGATTTCGACAAAAGTTCGATTGAAATACAGTTCTTATAGCAGCCGTTCCCCGATCTCACAGCGAGAATTGGCCGCAAATTGCTTGGGTGAGTAGATAGTGATGAAGCGTAGATAGACGTGCCATAGAATCTGAAAGTAAAGCAAAATAAAAGTTAAATCAAATTAGGACGAAAACAGATAGTAGCTGTGATGAAGAGAGATTGTTTATTATTGACTTAGAAGTTCAACCAGCTGTGAGGCATTAGGCTTCCTAGGCTGACTAGGATTGTAACGACAGAAAAAATGATGCAAGAGGTCTAAGATGAGCGGACCAGCGGCAATGAAATAACAGGATTAAAGCTGGTTAAACTAGCTAACCGGGCAATCATACTCAAGGGAAAAAAAATAAGATGGAGGATCGTTTGAAAGAAACTGAAGAAACTCCCTGAGACAGTATCAACTCAACAGGCATAAAAAGATGCCTATAGTTGAGGTGAAAATATGATGAAATTTTGAAATCTTTGAAAAAAAAGTCAATGGTGAACATGACGAACTGGTGACGAACGGAGAGAAGGCGTTGGATTTACCTAGCCACAGAATGCGCTATAAAGCCAGTATAAAAGAAAAACCGTAGCTTGACGTCAAACATTTTGTATAGATCAAGAACGGGAACCACTAGCGCTCTCAAGTTCCTCTAGTAAGAACTCATAACCCGGACCGACTCCAACATTCCAGCCCTCACTTCCCGGGACCAGTCCGAGGTCGAATATGTGCCGGGCTCCCTGGACGGGAAGGAACCCGCTCCTTACGCCTTGCTGCTCTAAAGCTCGCGCAAACTCTAATCCCTTGCTGAAAGGCGCAATCTCGTCCTGGTCCCCAAACACCAAGTATGTCGGAGTGTGATAGTTGCCCTTGCGTACTTGGGAAAGCGGGCTAAAAGCGTCAGCACGCTTAGCGTCCGGATAGCGAAGCACCTCGCCGTCTTCTGGGAGTCCATTGAACAGCAGAGACATTCCTTTCTCTTCTTTGACAAGAGCGCGCACAAGCTCCGAGCGAGGGTCTCCGCGTATTATCCAGCCAAGCTTAGTGGTGTCAAGGCTATTGGGCGCGTGGCTAGTAGTCTTAGGAGGAAAGGATCAGAAAGAGTTTTTGAAGTTTGAGTACCAAAGTATCGAAGGCTTACAGGTTGATTGGAGAGGAGCCCACGAATCTTACTCAGTGGCATAGTTCGCTGTTCAATTTCATGACCCATTATTATCGGTGCTGGGTAGCCTATCTGTCATTACTCATACCTATCGAAGGAACTTGGAAACTTACCTTCTGGATTGTACTCTACTGGACAATAGAAGCTCAAGATCACTGAGGGGGGATGAAGGCCAGCTTGCCTCAGGGACCAAGATGTTGTCATGGCAAGCGTTCCGCCAGTGGACCAGCCAACAACTGCGTATCTCGATGTGTCAATATCAACTCCCTTGGCAGTCATGATGCTGGGTAGTTCTCTTAGCGCCCAATCACACGCATCTCGTATGTCAGTCATCGGGCCATCAACCACGTTAACTTGCGGGCAGAGACGATAGTCCACAGAAACTGGTAACAACCCATTTGCGAGGAGAAACTTGATCTGTGCGGGTCGGACAGCTTTCCGCGAAAGTGTGAGATGACCGCCGCCATGAATACACAGGGCTTCATCATAGAAGTATCAGTCACCGCTTCTCTTTACTGAAAGGAGGATAGAAGCTGCTTACCCACGGCCATCGGTCGAGGAGGCATTTCTGTTGGGATGTAGAGATCGGCTAGTATCTCGACTCCGTCAACTTGTTTGTAGACTGTTGTCTCCAATCGAAATCTAGTGCTTAGCGGACTCACTGGCCTTGCCCAGGAGCCACTCTGGCCATTTTCCATTTCGAAATTCGGATGATGGTTTAGCTCCAATGCTGTGCCCACATTTTCCCCAACAGTAACATCTCTTGTAGCATTTGAAAATTCAGGGGGTGTGTGATCACTTTCGGATTTGCTGCTTGTTGCCTGTTTCTCGGAATTGGGCACCGATCCTGAAGATTGCAAAAGGTTCACAAGGGACCCAACAGTATCCAGCAAGAGGTCTTCAGTCTGAACCCTGAGGCCCAGCTTTGACCCAATTTCATCTGTCAGTTCCATAGAAGCCAGCGAATCCAGGCCCATATCGCTCAAACTTTGGTCTTCCTTAATTTCTGACAGAGGGACTCCGGTATAGGAGGAGATGAGAGACTTCAGCTCGGTGATCTTGACAGATATCTGGTCTCTGCCTTTAGAGTCGAAAGGCGCCGGGTTCGCCATATTGGAGGTTATGCTAGTGCTGCTGACTATCACCTGTTGACCAAAGCTAGGCTCCGAGATGGCTGTGCTGTTGCTGAGAGGAATAGACTCTGTTGCAGTTGGGAGACCAAGGCCTGGATTAGCAGCCTTCAGGACCCGCTCCAACCTGGTGGCTTGAATCCGAACGAAACAAACATCTGTTGCAAAGGTCCTTAACTTGCCGTCTTCGGAGAAAACAAATATGGCACCACTGGATGTCTTATGATCAATGTTCGAGTACGCAGCATACACGTCCCAAGTCTGCTGTCTCAGAAAATCTGTGGGGGAAACCACCATCTTGCCGATGCTAGAAGCAACGTAGATCTCGTCCTCGGAGCTGGAACTGGCGTTGCAGTTGACAAGCAAGCCTAATACCTGAATAAATGTGTCCAGCGTGATGGCGTCACAAAAGTCGGTAACTGTGCTCTCTGGGTTCTCGAAAGTCGTTCTCGGAACTTTGATGTGTGCCAGAGATTCCTTATCTGACAATGTTATACTTGAGATTCCCTGGAGTAGACTGGCATATTCGACGACTTTAGAAAAGACAGAATAGGCAGTCGTTTTTTTGAGCCTCTCAGTATTAGGGTCTTTCTTTAGCGATTCCATTTTGTCCATCAGAAGCATTTCATATATCCGGAAGTCGGGTTTCGTCAAGCTCGAAACACTTAGTGCCCCTTTCGAGTGACCTTGCCTAAGGGAAGACTGGACAGCGTAGTTCCACACTCCTTCTTCAGCATCGGAAAGCTTGTTAAGAATGAGCTGCACATCGAGGTTGGGGTCGCAGCCGAGTGGCCGGTCGAACACTACTTTCTCGAATGTGAGAGTCTTGCCTCTAGCAGAAACACCCAGCTGCTCAATACCCATGATTGCAGCTTCCATATACACGGAAGCCGGGCACAATGGCTTCCGACGTACAGCATGGCCTTGTACAATCCTGTTATACCGTTCTGTGTCTGTATGGAGGCGAAACTGATGTGAAGAGCCGAGAGTCCCTGTATGGCTGACAAGACTTTTCGTCCTTCGGCTATCTGAAGTGTCTTTGCTGCCGTGCTTTGGTAATCTTGCAATTTTGCGTTCCTCTGTTGCGCGGTCCACATGCCCTAGCCAGTATTCTGGACGATCGAAGCTGTACGGAGGGAGGTATACGTGTTTTATGCCGCTCTCCTTGGCAGTTAGAAAGCTCCAGTGTGTAGCGGCAACGCCTTCGCGCCAAAGCTCCGAGACAGCTGTCGCTATAGATGAAACCGGTTGAAAGGTGTGTATATCAATGTTTGCAACGGCTCTCTTAGTCATGGCGACGACAGGCGTAGCCCACCCCGCTTCCAGCCAGACGCATGCATTGAGCCTCTGTTCCAACCGGCGAACCGCGTCGACAAAATGCACCGGATCCCTGGCGTGTTTGGCGAGATATTGCGTAGTTGACTTGTCGCCGAATGCAACCTGGTTCCGAGTACTTGTTTCCAAAGGAATGACAGGCTTCTTGAAATGAAGGGTATTCTCTAACTCTGCCAAACCCTGTAGGAGAGGCTGTGTGAAGCGAGAGTGGAAGCCATGGCTCACGTTCAGGCGCTGGAATCGGAGGCCCTGATATCTGTTGTCTCGCTGGATAATGTTTTCGGCAGCGGCAACTGATTCTTCTGTGCCAACAACAATGTGACTGTTGGTGCTGTTGTAGCAGGCAATCTCTAAGGCTCCTTGTGGGCTCGGAATTATTGTTTCGACAGCGTCCATGATGGAACGCACAGTCTCTAGGTCAGCGTGGATTGCCAACATGGTTCCACGCTCTGAGCCCCATCGGCTCTTGATCAGTTCGGCTCTTGTGAAGACAACCTTCAGTGTTTCAACAAGAGATAAAGTGCCTGAGACGGCCAACGCCGTGAGTTCGCCCAAGCTATGGCCAACAATGCTGGCAACCTCGAGACCGCCGTCAATCCAGCACTGCGCGCAAGCATACTGCACAGCAACAGTTCCGCATTGCAGAATCGTGGGGTCAGATATGGCCTCAGTCTGACTCAGAAAAGGCAATATGTCAGGACATCCAAAGCTTCTGAGTATATTATTGCAAGCCTGGATGTAATGCTCGAAGCGAGGGTTCTGTTGGCGGACGGAAGGATCAACGGCTATGGTTTTCCTACTTTGACCGGAAAATACAAGTACAACGTGCTTGATGTTCCCAGGCGTTACGTAAAAGTCCTGCAAACGGCAGTTCTGTAGTTGATGTATCAGCCCGGCGAGGTCAGTCGAGGTCCGTGACAACCGGACGTGGTGATGTTTCCGGCGCTCGCTCAGTGTGAAAGATAAATCGCCAAGCGTTAAATCCGGGGTCTGCTTCGTGATATGTGCAGCCAAAGCCCTGGCATATCTTTGTAAACTATCGATTGACGCCGCACTCAAGAGGATAGGGTACTCCAGGGCAGATGGATTGATGTTGTCATTGGACAGTTTGTTGTTTTTTCCATGCCATTCGGCGCATAGCAACGCTGAGTTACTCCCGGAAGCTCCGTAGCTGTTCACACAGGCAACCCGGGACACAGCATTCCATGGAATCAACTTTGTTGGGATGCGCATTCGTTCCTCATCCAGTGGAGGTATCTTGTGATTAAGACGTTTAAAGCCTTGCAGAGGCGGAATAGCGCGATTGCGGAGCATTGCGAGAACCTTGATAAGGCTTGCCACACCCGCAGCGGTCTCGCTGTGGCCAATGTTTGCCTTGAGAGAACCGATGTATAATGGGTTGGATCGTTGATCACCCCCAAAGACCTCACGTATGCTGGAGATCTCAATGGGGTCTCCCACCTGCGTGCCCGTTCCGTGGGCTTCGACATAAGTGACGAGGTCCGCCTTCATGCCTGCTTTTTGAAGTAGAGTTCTGTATAGCGCTTTCTGGCAAGCCCCATCAGGAACGGTGATACTGGGCGCGCCAATACCGCCTTGGTTTGTTGCTACGGATGGAATGACGCCAAATATGTGGTCTCCGTCTGAGACTGCCTTGCGGAGAGACTTCAAAACGACTAGGCCGACACCATCTGCCCGGCAGTAACCGTCTGCGGAGTCTTCAAATGGCTTGCACTGGCCAGTCTTGCTGAGGAAGTTAGCTTTTCCGAGATCGAAGAAATTGTTTATGCCGGTGATGATGTTCACGCCACCCGCCAAGGCGATAGGACACTCGCCGGCGCTAATGGCTCGACAAGCTCGGTGCACGGCAACGAGCGAGGCCGAGCATGCGGTATCAATGACCTCAGATGGGCCAGTCCAACCGAAATGATAGCTGATTTTGCCCGATAAGAAGGCCCTAATGGTACCCGTGGCGGTGAAAGCAGAAGGAGGGTAGGCGGCTGTGTTCTCGAGATACTCGGTGTAACTGGCTCCAATGAAACATCCGACAGGGTCCCCGCGGTCGCGTCTATGATGTCGAAGGTAACCACTCGAGTCCATAGCTTCGAAAGCCGTCTCTAGCAGAATTCGCTGCTGAGGGTCCATGTACATTGCTTCTCGGGGACTGATGCCGAAGAAGGTGTTGTCAAAGCCCTTTACACTGTCGATGAAGTTTCCGTAGAACTCCCGGGTTTTCATCCATTCTGGATCTTGATACGCCCTATATGATCCATGGATATCGAATCTATCGTTAGGAAGCTTCTCTGCTTTGCTTTGGCCTTGTGAGATAATATCCCAGAGCTCATCCAACGAGCTGGCACCAGGAAGCCGGCAGGCGGCACCAACGACTGCAATGGCGTCGTCTGGGAATCGGTCCAGATTGCTCGGAGCGATGCCAAGAGTTTGGTTAATATGCATATTTGACAGAACATGCACTTTTGAGATCTCGAGTCCGATTCGTTGGAACAACGGCACCGAAACAGCATCGCCGATACCGAATAGAGCGAGAGTGTGCCGCTTTTCCTCTGTCCGTTGGAGATCTATCGCGAGGTTTCGAAGAACTTGAGACCAATCGCATCGTGATGCCAGGACAGTGGTGATAATTTTCCGGCTTAGCTGGTGACTTCCCGCCATCAGTGACTCCCCAGTTTGGTTTGAACGGACAGGAACTCGGAGACGATCCGAGGTTGGAAACGAAAGTTGTTCAAACAAGTCGTAACACTGTTTTGCCAATGACTCGTTTTCTGGGTTGTGCAGATTGCTTCGGATATGCATCATCCTGGGTCGAAGTCCTTGCTTTTCTGCGTGAGCTTTGAGTGCGTCGACATCCTTTTCGGGTGTAATTATACATATTGTTCTCGGCTCCGTGATGGTCGAGATGATAGCCTGCCAGAGTTGGTATAACTTTCAGAGCCTTTGGGAAGGGGAATGGAAAGCCTACGGTAGGGAACTTGCGGAGAATCTCATGCGCATCATCCGGATTCCTCAAGGATATCTGTAAAGTATACGGCGCTGATCTCGACCAGTCTTGACTCAGGTCGCCGAAAGCCCCGATTCCAAGGGACAGACGGAGGCCTGTTACTGCATGCTGCATCAGTTCTTCTTCGTCCTTTGAGGACGCGACGATGATTGCACATAATAACCCAATGCAATAACCTTGGACACCTCCTGACTGGACACATCGCAGGAAATCTGAATGTGCCAAACCATTCTCCTTGAGGTAGCAAAGATATTGTACAACGTGAATTGTTGTTAGCAATGGCAGGGTGATGACGCCTGTCATATCCTGCTTAATTATATCCGATTCCCCAGTCTCGATCCAGTGCGGAAAGCTTAGAAGGAGTTGCGCCGTCGCCGCCTCTGGGCGAATAATTCCTCGACTCAAAGAGGCCAGCTCTTGCCATATCTCTGGAAGCTTAATAACTGCGTCCCTCAGCGGTTTGAGGAATGGTTCTTCAAGCAACTTGGTGCGTACGTACGCAAGATGTGTTGTCGGAGGTCGGCTACTTTGCGGGGAGAATATTGCTGCCGAGACGACATTTTTTGGCGCCGTCAACGTCATGTTGGGCTGACCCAATCTCAATTCGAAAAACTGCGGTGTCAAATGGAGTAGTGAAAAGTGAAATTGAGAAGAAGTTTCAAAAGATGACCAAAAAACACCGCAAACACATGAAGCAAGAGCTGTCCTTCTAGAGTCATGTTTATGATAATGGTGAATTCCGCCGAAAGACCCTGTAGCAGTCGGATAATTTCCTTGCCCAAGACCAGGGTGTCGGTGTATATCAGTCTAGTCGCTGCCAGATGACCACACAACAGGAGACGACCATACCTCCAGAATACACGGGCGGGCTCTAGAAGCACACAAAATCCTTTCATATGGAAGCCCCCCCTGTATTGAACTAGTTATCTTACGTGTACTGTTCATTGGAACCGGGCTAGTAGAAAGGTATCGCACGGAAGGAAACTTCCTTAAGTGTCTCATCGACCACGGCAGATTACCACAAATGCCAATCTACTTTGATGCACAATTGATAAACGTTGTTACCTAGATGTATGATGGGGTCTAGAATCTCTGGGCGATGATCCTAATTGGCCTACCCTAGGGAGGCGCTGGACGTCTTGCCCTATCCGATGGGACACTTTGGGAAGAAGACCTAAACACAGGTACTTGTAGTGAGGAGTAATCATGTCTGTGCTATTGAGTCGCTTTAGGCAAAGCGTTAGGCATGTGAGTAGATGATTCATTCTGTCCTTAGCTCTTTCTTCGTCATGTGATAATTACTGGTGCAGGTGTAAAGATGTATGCGATCGTGATGGTTTCGCAGATTATCCGAGTGTTCTGACGCCTGCTAACATTGCCAGCTGCGAGCTGAATAGTTTGATCGAATCAACTCCTTTTGCAGCCAACTTCGACATTTCTGTACCGTTGTGTTAATTGGATAAGGAGTCATGTACACTAAGCCTCTAAAAACATCCGGGTTGTCGTTTCTAAAGATCAAATGACAACGAAAAGCATGCCAATTCCGTTAAGTACAATATTTAAACCTCAGAGTTTATAAAGTTTACGACTAGAAATTCCACACTCGTCTCTGCCAACCACTTAAGATACTACTTGCTCAAGTACCCAACATTAAACCAGTATTTGACATAGGCTTGAACAGTGGCTTCATTGATAGCGCCCATGTCGCGTAAAGTATTGGACCGAGCCACTGTCACGTTTGTGCCCAAAACCACTTTCCCACAGGCAACAGCCTGAAAGAAATGCCTGAAAAATGGATAAAGCTTCTTGACAGGATATTGCTCGTCATCATGCTCAGGGCTTGCAACCTGGTCAAGCCATTCTTCAAACGGCACGGGTGTTTTGTTCAAATTCAAGCCCTTGCCGAAAGTTTCAACCATGCCGCTCCAAGACTGACGCGTGGGGTTGTCCAAGTGATGCACGATTGGAAGTTCCCCCGAGGAGAAGGTGATTTCTGAGACAACCGACGCTGCATCATCCACTGGAGTCCAAGAGAGGTCCTGTGGTGGAAATGGTTAGCATGCAGATATTGGTTGACGAAAGAATTTTTACTTACGCCAGGTAGTTGGGGAAGGTAGCCAATGCTCTGAGCAGACTTGAGCAGCATGGGAATCTGTTCGTTTGCGTTCCAAACCCCTGTAAGTTTGGCACCAGCAATCTGTCCGCAGCGAATAGAAGTAATCTCCAACTCGCCTGCATATGTCTGTGCTGCTTGCTCTAAAATCTTTTCACAGACGAGCTTTCCGTCAGCGTAGCCGATGCCGCATGCCGCATCCTCGGGAAATACAGGTGCTTCGGGAATAACCGATCCGGCGTTGCTCAATCCGACCCTGGCAACTGCAGCAATTGATGAAATGAAAATAAAGCGCCGCTTCGTGTTACTAGGTCCCTCTGCTGCAAACTCAATCAAGCTTCTAAGGAACTTGAACTGGTACTGGAATGAGCGCAGCCGAATGAGATAGTTCATTGGCCAAGCGGCGTGGATAACGTGAGTGACTCTCTCCTGCATGGCAGCGTAGACCATTGGCATGAGCCCCAAACGTTCAGCTGTTGGATCTACTTCGAGAGTGACAATTTTGGACCATTCTTCCTCGGTCAGTTCCAGGCCTCTCACTTTGAGGACTTTGCGGTCGAACGGTCCGCCACCTGGAGGAGGTGGTGCATTGGTTCCCTTGTCCTTTCTTATGAGACAAATAATACGCTTTACCCCCTTTCGTCGAGCCAGGTCCGCGAGGCAGTGTGATCCCAGGCTTCCCGAACTACCGGTCAAAAGCACCACAGCATTGTCAGAACTGCTGGGCTGCTTCTGCTGCGCGATGGCCTGACGGGGGCTGTACAGATCTGCAAGCTCTGTTGCCTCTTTGACAGCATCTTCAATCGAGTCTGCGTTGGTAGTTGATCTTTGGGTAATCGCAGCCGCCATGTCGCACACCGAAGGATTGAGGTATATGAACTGGGGTGGTATCATCTTGGCCACATTGACATCCCGTAGACCTTCCGTCTTTGAGGCCGCGGCAATAAGAACTCTGCGTAGCTGAAGAGCTTGTAGAGAGTCCACGCCCAGGTCAAAAACACTTTCGTCAGTTCCCCAGGTTGAGAGTGGTGCTTGAAGCCTCAGGTGCTCATGAATTAGGGCTTTGAGGTTTTCCTCCAGGTTATCAAGAGCCAGGGGTCCTGTGGCCTCGGTGGCAGCTTGAAGCAGCTTTTCATAGACAGCCTTGATCTCCTTTTCGAATAGTGCATATGTCTCCTTACGTGCAATGGAGCCCTTGTCGGTCCTGGGGATAACCTTATCACTTGGAACTAAGATGATGGCGTCAGGCGAGGGAATGCGTGCTGAGGTGTCCATCTTCTGTCCGGCCGCAGTAATGATGGGCCAGATCGTTTCACGGAAATTACCCCCATTCTGAGGAGTAAGAGCTCCCGCGGGCTCGACAATGACGCCTAGATTGAACTGGTTCTCTCCGAAGGCAATTGCGCACTTGACCATTGGCGCTTCAGACAACGTGGTTTCAAGAATCAGAGGGTTAACCTTCTCCCCAGTTGCTAGCACAATGACATCGTCGTCCCGGCCAACAGCAGCGAAATCAGTTTCAGGGTACTGCTCGTTCCGGACAAGCTGATCTGCGATCTCAAATCCTTCTGTGCCGACAAAGGGAAACACGGTAAGGCGGAACCTTCTCTCGCTGTCTCTGGGCTCTAGTTCGGTGACCTTGTATTTCATGTCGGTCCGTAGTCTGAAAAACTTCCAGTCGTAGGAGTCTGTGGGTGCAAAAGTCAGAGAGAGGGGACCTGTTTCCGTGGTACCGTAAAAGTTAAGGAGCTTCACTCCTCCTGCCGTCAATTTGTCACCGACGCCGGCGCTCAGCGCAGCACCACCGGTTCCCACAAAGTCCATGTGCGCCAACGCCTTGATACCCTCTTCATTTGGAAGGTCGGAAATAGCGTCGAGAAGAAATGGTACCGTCATCATGGACTTCGCATTGGTCTTCTTGACGAGCTCCACAATCGAGACGGCGTTTGGTATCCCGTCACTCACGGGATACAGAGTGGGTTTTCCGGCGGATAAAGAGAGACCAGGAGCAACGAGGCCGAAACCGTGAAACAGAGGGAGAGTGGATAGGTTCAAACCCTGTGCCTGCTCTTCGGTGTCAAACCCGTGGCAGTTGACCGCAAAAAGTAGTTGACGATGAGTAAGAGGAATGGGCTTTGGCAGTCCTGTTGTTCCCGACGAGTGGAGTAGCAAGATAATGCTATCAGGGTCCTCGGGTTTCTCAAAGGTAGGTACAGAAGAAGGATCCGCCTGCGGCTCGTAGAAGGCATCGTAGCGGCGACCGACGTGAGTTGATACGCCCTTGGATGCCAGGGCTGCTAGTGCTGGTTTCGCGAGCTCGCTAAGGCGCTGAGACACAATAAACGAGCTAGCCGAAGTCGCATCCATCAGTGCATTGATGGCGATTGGTGGAAGACGCGCAGAAAGAACAAGGGGCTAAGAAGATTATTAGCCTTGATCACTATAGAATCAATTGCCCAGAAACATTTTACACTTACAGGTACGCCCATGCTTATGAGAGCAAACTCATAGATCACCAAGCCAACATCGCTTTCCATGAATAGGGCCACGGGCGCCATCTTTGTTGAGGACTTGTTCCCAGCGACCCCCCGAATTGGGATGTTGTCCTTAAGCCAAGCCATACATCTAGACACAGCAACTTTAAACTCGGCATGTGTGATAGTGTCGAAGGGCTCAGTGGGCTTCGCCTGGATGCAAAACGGGTGAGAAGGATTGTGGACAGCGTTGAAGTCAATAAGCTCAGGGAGCGAATGAAAATGGCCCTCTAGCCTCTTTTCCGAGGCGAAGTTTACCGCGGGCTTGACAAACGGCCGGATTTGGCCATGGTTGACGCCATAGACGAAACTGGAAGCCATAGTTAAAGCTGAATCTTCATGGGGTGTTCGTTGATGGCTTGTATGCTGGTAACCCTTACGGGTTTAAGGCGATGAGCGATGTGGGTTGAGTGATATTGAAAATGGTACGTGGGGGAGCTATTGTACTTTGGAAGTGACTAGTCCTGTAGAATACTTCATCTTCATACAAACTGACTCGGTGTTTTTCCCACGGTTCCATCGGCGAATATTAAGCTTCGGGTAGATCGGCGCCTTGGCAGCTTTACTCGGCGGGTTTGCCTCTAGTTCTTTCTCAGTTGAAGAAGCAGGTTAATCTTTGAATATGAGATAATTTTGGGACATGGTAGGCTGTCTAGCTCCTATCATCTTTCCGGCATCCGTTGAATCCAGCACTTCGAGACTCGAAAAAACACCTTTTTGATTCAAGCTTTTGCCTTTCATCAAACCCACCAGAACGCCCGCCCATCATTGGTAGATACAAAAACATCTGAGCACATGGCGTCCAGATCGACCAAAGCCGCTAAGCGAGAAGCTTCTGAAAAGAGGCCCTTGGCCAGAGAACCAGTCCAATACACTGCGCCGACAAAAGGAATCCTGTCCAAAGTACCTTCGTCATGGGTGCCATACGGCGAGCTCATGCGTATCCATCAACCACACGGCATCTACATGATTTACTTCCCACACATCGTGGGCATCACGTACGCGTCCTCAGTACAGGACGTTCCGGTGACTCTCTCTACCTTGGGCCACCGCGCGATCGTCTTACTTATCTGGACCTTCTTCTGGCGTAGTGCCGGATGCGCATGGAACGATAACATAGACCAAGAATACGACCGCAAGACGGCGCGATGTCGAAACCGACCAATTGCACGCGGCGCCATTTCTACAACTGGAGGGCATGTTTTTGCGCTGATCCTGACGCTAGCTGCGTTCGTGCCGCTCAGCCTACTGCCTTACGAGTGTCCATTGGTCGGACTGGTCTCTGTAGCACTCGCGATGATTTACCCATTCGGGAAACGGTTCACTCATTTTCCCCAAGTCATACTCGGCTCGACTCTGGGATCTACGGTTGCTTTATCTGCCTACTCGGTTGGGTTGCCGGCTCTTTCTGCGCCGTACCTAATCCCAAGTTTGTGTCTCTCGACCACTGTCATGTTACTAGTGGTGTTCTACGATGTGGTCTACGCCAGGCAAGACACAGCCGACGACCTCAAGTCGGGCGTCAAGGGCATGGCCGTTCGCTTCAGAAACCATATTGAAGGCCTCCTCGCTGTGATCGCCATCTCAATTGCAGCACTCCTGACGGTTGTGGGGATTGTGATCGAGGCGAAGCAGTACTACTTCGTATTCTCCGTTGCTGGTCTTACCATTGGGCTGGTCTCGCTGGTTGCACTAACCCATTGGGATCTGCTACCTGGCTGGGCTGGCTCATCAGGCTGGTGCTACGCTCTTGCAATCGCAAACCTCATTAGTGGATTAGCCTTGGAATACGCGCTGCGTCCTCTCAACTAATGATCTCATACATATCGACAGAGAGAAATGGGGAGACAGAGGCCAGGCCTCCTATCCGATCACTGAATCAGGTACTGAATGGATAGTCACAGACCGAAGACCATTTGAAATAACCTATAAAGCCAAACAAATATTCATTCTCGCATATGTATCCTGCAATAAACGGCAGTCTTCATTGGCTACACCACAAATCAAACATCGAAGTCAGTCATCTTCCGTTGAAGAAGCTCCATCTTTCTCATTAACCACTGCTCACGGTTCCTCATGTCATCCAATGCCCTTCCAGAAAGATTTTCTTCTAGCATATTGTAGCCCGTGAAAGAATGTTCCCAGCACTGGGACTCACATGCGCCCGGTATCGTAGCCTGAGCAAAGCTTTCCGGCCTTGGGAGAACAAGAGCTCTGCGTAAACGGTTGAGAAGGTACGTGACAGTGTGAACAGTCAGCGATATCTCCATAAGGGAGCTGATAGGAGTGCTATTCCACTGTTTGGTATCGTGTGGGGCATGATTATGATGTTGATCCCAAAGGTTGTTGATTGTGATTTCGAATAGATGCAATATCTGAGTGTAACATCCAAGGAGGAGGAAAATAACGGCTGATTCGGGGACCCACTGGCCCCACGACTGGATTCCGAAATTCTCTTGGTTGTCCATTTTCGCAGATACGGGACTCAAAGCTGCGCCGACAGTATCTTCGCCATTTTGACTTGTTGCACGACGATGAGTGTTTCCAACTACCGGCGCCTTGCCTTGAGGGAGCGAGTCGTCCGTGACTTGAGGCATACTTTCTCGTACGGCCTCAATCAACTCACCAGAAAAGAACACAACCTCTTTCTGGAGCTGATACAAGCTTAAAAGAGGACCCGAGCTTGTTACTGATGAAACAAGTCTAGCATTGAGGTCCAGTAACCTCCGGTAACTAGCCGTGCTGCAAACACGAGGTGTCTGAGGCTTGGTCGGCATATGGTTTTCGGTTCCGGCTGCATGGCTTGCACCGTTATGATACTTTGCGTCAACCGTTGTCTTCTCTGCATGAGACATAAACATTTGCGTTTGATCTGCTCTGGACCGGTCCTCCATTATCTCGTCTATATTCCCAACCTGATTAGCCGGTTTCCCGGGAGAGGATATAGAGTTGGGCATGTTGGCTGGAAGGAAAAGCGTTGTGAAGTCAACATCTGCATCAGGCGCGATGCAAAACAGATCATAGGGCGTCTGGAAAACGCGTCAGTAGTGATCAACTCAAGGGGGGTAACGGGGCGTACCGTGCCCGAGGTCTGAGTGCTGACCGCAGACTGCCCGAAAGCGCTCGAATGGTGGTCTAGAGTTGTGTCTGAGACCAGGTCGGGTTCAATGTCATTAACAGTTTTTGGAGACCCATTACTAGCATGGGAGTCCGGTTGCAGACCCAGCGAATCGATGTGAGAACCCCCTGGAGATGGAACCCACGGCTGGTCCATTTCGCAATCGCTGGTGCCAGTGCCAAGTTCTGCATGGGCTGAAGCGAATTGAATGTCTGGGGGAGGAGATGTCGGCAAAGAGTCTGCTAGTTTTTTCCTCATGCCTTTGGACGGTCGACCGACTTTACCGCGCACGCTGACAATGCACGGTACCCCAGCTTTGCGACATCGCGAGCAAGCTCTATCGGTTTTGGACTCGACAGCATCAGTTGACCGCGGACAACGTAGCTTTTGCGAGTGACATCTGTCGCAAGCATAACGGAGGGGTTATACGAGTCTGCTAGAGCACCAGTCATATTGCATCAGGTGACGTAGGCAGTGACAGTGGCAGTCTTGAAGGTAAGGAGCGGGGCTGCGTGATATTTCGAGCCAACAAAAGGATGAGGCACAGTTGATGTTGTAAGAATCAGTTGCAGGATTAGCGATGCTTCTAATTGATTCATCGAGGTGCTCATCAGACTACTCTAAGTGCATTATTAAAATAATGAGAACTTTACCCTTCTGCGACTATAGTTTGCCTGGCTTCGCTACATAAATGTATTGATTCAGTCGCAGAGCTCCACGGCGATGCATCTTCCCGTTTAATCCTACCTTGGGCACATTACACTCGAGTCATGGGCCTGGGTCCTTGGATATTTCCACCCCATGGTCGTAGCTTCATCTACTGAGCTACCTGCAAGCCGGAGCCGAGAACCTCATCGGGCCCGACGTCCTGCCTCGAATGAGCTCTTGTTTGTTACTGTCGTATTCAATCCACTGTCAGATGTAGACATAAATTGGAGAAAGGATTCACGAGTACTAGAATGGGTGATCTACGTGTTCATCAGTTAAATGGTAATGCTAGCTGAACTTTGCATTCAGCGGATATGGCCTTCGAGTTTCCACGGTCGATGTGCATTATTCAACCGACGAAGTAAATCCATTGGAGCCGTCATATGGCTAGTCATGTCTTACATGTCTTTGATATCACTCGCGTTGTGCGGAAAGATCGGACTTTGGTTCCGCTGGATTAGTTCGTTACTGATTTTAGTTTTCACCTAGTAGAAGCTGGTCCAATGTCGACCCGGTATAACGCGTTTGCCCCTTTACCTGTAGTGGCGAACGATATAGCCGAATACGTACTTAACGAGATGTGGATAAGCGGTGTGTTCTCGTATGAACGAGTCATACAAAATACATTAAGGAGGCAACCAAACCATGGGTATTTCTGGAGACTTTCAGCACAGAATCCGACACCGAATTGCTCCACCACGGCACGCGATGCTTACCACTAGTTTGAAGTACTTGCCAGGATTGGCCATACCGGGCTACAAGGAGGGCTTGAGTAGCAACCGAGGTGGGGGCGTGGGTGGGGGAAGGGGGTGTGGGCATCAAACACTCTTCCTCAGGACCAGGCCATCGTACACATCTTTGCACGTGTTCTTTGTTCTTATCATAGTGTCAAGCTGACTTTGAATACGTAGACAAGGTTACATTAGTTTCTTTGCACGGAATCCTTGTAAGAGGCGATAGCGTCTATGGAATAACTTATCAGACTTCACGCAACCAGCCTGAAATCGGCCTCGAGGTGGGCAGATCCGCTTGCTGACTCGACAGAGTACAGCTGGCAATCATACTTGATAACCCGGCGGGAAACCTCTACTACTCAGCAACTCCGCCATATCCACGAGAAGTCAAGGAGTAGTTGTTAGAAAGCTCTGTTTCTTCGTGCATTGATAACGGGTGTTTGACAAGACTGCCATAGGTGACCAACAAGCATGAGAATATGACGATTGGCATGCTTCAATAGTTTTGAGCTTCACAATCTGTGATTCCTTATGATTTCTCTTGATCTTTGATTATGAGACATTGACTGTATTTCAATTTGAAACATTCCTGCAGTGTTACATCAATCAGTCACACAATCACTCCCAACGATCAAACAGTCCTCTGTTTTTTAACATAGCCATCAATATTCAGTGCCATGCCGTGATCAAACGAAAGTGCTGCGACTCACGCGAGCCGTCGTCAGTCCAATCTACGTTCTTGAACCCTGCACTCTCCAGTTTTGCCTTCCAATCGTTCTCGTGGGCCAGAGCGTATGTACGGCCGTCCGTGAACCGCCACCAGCCGTCGAGCAGGCCGAAAACGCAATCCAGCCAGCCCAGAGGCCGTGTAAGCTCTAAGAGACAGAGCATACCGTCTTCTTTGCGGATCAACTTCTCAATATTCGTACAGGACTGTTGGAGGTTCTGGGTTGCATGGATACAGTTTGAAGATACGACGAGATGATACGACTGCAGCATATCTGCCGGAGGCGGCTTCTCTATGTCTAGAGCCATGAACTCCATGTTGGCTTCGACTCGCTGTCGGCCATAGATAGTGCTAAGCTTCTTTCTAGAGCCATTAACAAGCGCGAGAGAAATGTCTGTGAATGTGTAGGTGAACTCGACGTCGCACTCCAAGAGCTGGTCCAAGATTCGCCGGGTTGTCGCACCAGTGCCAGCTCCGATTTCTAATATTCGGAGCCTTTCGGTGCCACCCCTTCGGAACTGATGGTTCGAAAATAGCCCAAGAAGCATCTCACCAAGCATCTTGTTGCCTGTGGAAAACATGGGCGAGCTGACATAGACGTCTTCCAGCAGGTTAAGGGCTGCCTTGTCTTGGAAGAGCAACTGCAGTGGATCTGCACGGCCGGACAGGCAGTCCGCCAGCCGGGGAGCTGTTACGTTAAGAAGCTGATGGTCTGGTTGGTAACCTGGGTGCTCGACCAGAATATCGTGGTACAGCTCTGCTGAAGGCCTGGCTGGTGCCAATGGGGCGTCTGTCCTGTGACGGCACAATTGTCCATCCGGCGGAGAGATGATTCCTGCCTCTTCCAATATCTCGTGGAGCCTACATACCAGCTTTTGATGTTTGGGCAGATACGAAAAGGTGGGAAACGGGTCGCCCGTTTGTAGTGACTTCACGTCACAGCCCAAAGCCCCAAAAGCCTCCAGGATATAGGTCGATACCAGTAGACTCTGCTTCTGGTGAACGCTAGGATAGAAACCTGCGAATCCAGTCTGCTGGGCAAAGACACTGGTTTCTTTCTTGACACGACTGAACTCACGAACAGCCAACGAGAGGAAATTGGAAGGGTCTTGAGTGAGGACAGAACCTGGTTCTATGATAGGCGCGGTGCTGGCAGAAATGTGATGTATTCCATGGATTCCGTTTGAAGTCGTTGCATTCAAGGGGTTGCCTGTTGATGCCTTGAGCTTCAGATGGGTGGAGGGGTCTTGTGGCAAAACCATGCCACAGAGGTCTGAGAAGGTCGTTCTTTCGTCGATATCCTGAAGTTTTGGGCTTTTCCCAAACAGCTTTTCCAGGTCCGATCGAATCTGAATGGCGACCAAGGAGTCCAACCCAATGTCTCCCAAGGGCATGTTGGGCGGGATCCCGTTGGAGCATTCCAAATGCTCTGCGAGCAAGTCATATAAAGCAGCGATATTCTGGTCATGCTCAGACGTAGCAAGGCTCGTTGAAGAAGCGGGTGGTTTGGGCGAAACGCTCAAAGAGTCCTTCGTGTCGTCGGTCGAGCTCAGCTGAGATAGGCTTGTAGTGGAGCCATATGGGGGGGCTAGAGCCGAATGGAGTCCAAACTGTGTATTGTTGTTGGAGAAACCAGGGTGTAGATAGTCCACAACGCCGAGAGTGGCCTCTTCGGCGTTATCGAGGCCGGCAGGGCTGTTCATGAATGACAAATGAGGCGCAACACCCCAACTACCCAACTGGAGCAGCTTGTCCATACCTCGCAGTTCATTCTCGGCTTTGGATGGCTCAGTGGTGTTGATTTCCTCCAGAACCTTTTGCACAGATTTGACAGGAATCTGTCTAAGTCTGGCGCCGATGATGGAAAGAGACAACGTTTTGTCACGCGCATTGAAGACGAGGATGTCGCAAACGACTGTTTTGTCGTGACCTCGTTCCAAAGTTGAGAGAACTTTCCAGGGGCCTTCGGGATGTGATTCTGGGTTTCTTGAAGGGGCATGCGGAACAATCTTATCAAATCCACCACAAATGTAGAGGTGGTCATCCGCAAGGTCTCCTAGACTGCCGGCGTGCATCTCTGCTACAAGCAAGAAATTGTCGAAGAGGGGCGGACTCAATGCTGCTCCCGTGCGGCACTGAGACACGACGGGAAGATCCTCAACATGGGCCACAGCCTCCAGCCCTCGAGATGCTATGAGCCGGATTCCAAAATACTTGTCATCGTAACTAGCCACTCGACTCATGAGCTTCTTCACGTAAGCACCCTGCACGATGGAGCCATTGCGATCCTCACGCAGCTCATCACAGCGGTCGTACAGACGACGAAGAAGTGTTTGCCCGCCACCGAAGTGGAGACTCTCTTGTGCCTGAAGTCTGATGGTTCCCGATGCTTGGAGTCTGGAAGACTTGCTTGAATCGTGATCTAGTGAGTGACTTTCTACCATGAAATCCCATGAAGTTGCTGTGTGCCTTCGCAGGGTCAGCCGGAGGCGTTTTTGGAGATCAAGGCCGAAAGGTGCGTGCAGCTTCATATGGCTCAGCTCTACCGGCACGGAGGAAAGGCCTGCAGACTCATCGTGCGTCGGAAGAAGCCTGAATGCGCGGGCAGCCGACTCCGCGTATACTGAACCAGGTGCCAGAATGTGGCCAAAAACGCTCCTCCCTCGCACGAAGAGAGCATACTCGTCGCTGTGCTGATTGATTGAAAACTCAAATGCGGTCTCATCTTTGGGACCCGTACTTCCAACCAGGGAAACCAAGTCTACTGACTCCCGCGGTGATGGAAGCTGGACCCGCTTCTCACACTCTGCTACTGAATGCCTGTCAATGTACGGCAGCCAATGTTGAGTCTTTTCGAATTGGTACGAAGGCAGGTTCATCGGCATACAAGAGTGTCGCTGGGAAGCGTGGTAGAGCCAGAACTGCACTTGTACCCTTTCATTCCACAACCCGAGGATGGTGTCGGCGAGAGAAGAGACTGGTTCCGTGCTGTGGAGTTGCGCCGCGTAGAAAGTGTGGGATAGCTTGCGGCGTGATGATTGGCTCTCAAGAGCACGGCGGGCCATAGTGATAGCGGCGGATCCAGAGCCAACCTCCAGCCAGACACAGGAGCCTAGTCGTTGTTCGACCCTGGAGAGGGCATCAACGAAGTAAACTGGCTCGCGAGACTGTCGCCCGACCAGTTGAGGCGTAACAGTGTCCCAGCTGCCTGCGGACTCGGAGCAGGGCTCTATAGGGATGTCAACAGGGCGGAAGTTGAGTTCCCGAAGGAGCCGGTAGTATTCCGGCAGAATGTCATCGACCAGTTTTGAGTGGAATGCATGCGTAACCGCCAGTCGCCTAGTAGAAACGCCCTTGGAGGTTGCGGCCTGCTCAAACGCGCTAATGGCCGTTTCAGTCCCGGCAACAACTTGGTGCAAAGGAGCATTATAGCATGCGATCTCGACCTTGTCACCTTCTGGCGCCGACTGTGCGATGTTTTGTACAGTGGCGGCATCTGCATCTACGCTAAGCATGCGGCCTCGTTCCGTACTCCATTTAGTCTGTATCAGCGAGGCACGACCAGAAACCATCTTCAAAGCGTCTTGGAGGCTGATCACGCCACTGACACAGAGAGCCGTGAGCTGACCTAGACTATGGCCTACCATGGTCTTGATCTTGAGACCAGCGTCGATCCACGCCGTGGCAACAGAATACTGCAAAGCAAACTGCATACAGTGGAGATCGACAAGGTCTTCGACGGGCTCCGTGTCGAAAATGCGAGGGAACAGGGAGTGGAGACCAAGAGCTTGCAAAGTGCGATTGCAGCGATCCAGGTGGCGCCGTAGCAAACTGAAGCCGAGATATGCATCGCGGTTGAGATGGGCACGGCGGCCTGTCTGACCAGAAAAGAGCAAAACCACGGGCTTCGGACCACTTTTTGTATTCTGGGTAGCTTCTGTGTTGCCATTTTTGTCGCTCCTTTGAACCAGCGTTTCTAGATGGGCTCTGAGCTCGGCTGCTGATGCGACCGAAAACATGGTGCGGTGGGCGAGAGAGTGATTCTGGCGCTGGGCGAGATGGAAGGCGAAGCTAGGAAGATGCTCGTCGCCGAACCCTCCGGGGTAATTTTCAATGAAGTGGGAGAGAGCACGACCGCAACGGATCAGAGCGACGGCGGTGTTGGCGGCTAAAATGATTGGAAACCTGTGAGCTATAGGCGAGGTCGAGATGACCCGATGGGGACGCATTGGAGGCTGACAGACAACCATGGCTGCGTTGGCGCCCGACGCGCCGTAGTTGTTAACTAGAGCCACTCGGTACGGCTCATTCCAGGGCACCGTCTCTACACTGATCTCCATATTGTCCTCCTCGAGCGACGGGATAGCTGGATTCAGAACGGAGAAGTTGGCTTGGGGCGTAATGAGCCGGTGCTCCAACATCAGAAGGACTTTAGTAAGCGATGCTATCCCAGAAGCTGCCTCGCCATGGCCGAAATTCCCCTTTATCGAGCCGAAGCGGATTGCTGGCGACCCGGCCCGTTTATCTTTGCCAAAGACGCTCCTAATGCTTTGACATTCGACCGGGTCTCCTTTCTGGGTGCCAGTACCGTGCGCTTCAACGTACGACACATCACGCGGATCGAGATTCGCCAAACGGAGAACGTTACGGTATAGGGTGCTCTGGGACTCGGAAGATGGCAGTGTAATGGACCGGCTGCCTTTGCTGTTGTTGACGGCCGAGGCTGCTAGGACGCCGAGGATGCGGTCATTGTCAGCTACAGCTGCCGAAAGTCTCTTTAGCAAGACGAAGCCTCCTCCCTGTCCTCGGCGGTAGCCGTCAGCAGCAGTGTCAAAGGGACGACACTGACCCGTCGGGCTCAGAAACGATGCCCCAGCGAGGTTTTGATGTGCCCGTCCCTCCGCTGTCGTTAAGTTCACGCCGCCGGCTAGGGCCATGGCACAATCGCCTGATTGAACTGCCTTATAAGCGGTGTTGATAGCCACGCCAGATGACGAACATGCCGTGTCAATGACCATGGACGGGCCAGTGAGACCAAAAAAGTGGCTGATGCGGCCGCCTGCGAAGGAACGCGCGGTCCCTGTGAATGAGAAGGCGCTTGGCGGCCGGGCGTTGACATGGTCTTCGTAATCGCATGATGACATGCCGAGGTAACAACCAATATTGTCTGTCCAGGAAGACGACGGACTAAAGTACCCGGCAGATTCCAACGCCTCGTACGCAAGATGAAGAGCGAGTCGTTGCTGCGGGTCCATATACTCTGCCTCGCGAGGTGATTTGCGGAAAAGACCGCAGTCGAAGGAGTCCGCATCAAGGAGAGAATCTCCCGTCTTCTTCCCGCGCAGGATCGTGTCCCAAAACTTTTCCGGTGTCTCAGCGTCGGGAAATCGGCAGGAAAGACCGATCACGGCGACAGCATCTTCGGGATAACCGCACCGCGTCGTTCCGTGGGCAGTTGGTTGCAGGACTTTGATTGAGGTGCCTGCGAGGACAGACCGGGGGATGCACTCCACTGGACCTAATTGAACCAGTCTTTGAGGCGAATTTTCCACCCGCTCAGACTTGGATCCTAACGTTTCAGTCACGGCTGACACCGCTCTACTCATGGTCGTGTACCAGTCGGCCATGTCGGTCAAGATGGACCGTAGTACTGTTTTGTGGAGGGGGCCCTCGTCCGTCACAACCTCTCCGTTGATGTTCTGCCTCAGCGGCACCAGCGGGCGTCGTTCCTGTGGAAATTGTAGCATCGGTGTAGAGTCGCAGAGCTGAATAAGCGTCTGCAGCGCGTTTGTGTGACCCGAATAGTGGAAGCGACCCTTAAGGTCTATTTCCTTGGCCATGGCCCCCTTCTCCTCGAGGTGGCGCATTAGGGACGTGGCGTCGCTCTTGGGAGCAGTAATGGTTGCGCTTGCAATGTCCATGCGGACGCCTATGTAAGCCTATTGATACATTAGCTATGACCTCTTGCCTTTAGTGTTGCTGGAGCGACTCGGCGTTGTTCCGAGCATTCTAACGCACCTTTTGGTAAATGTCGAGCATCTCTTTGAACGGTTGGTAGCAGGTTTCTCCTGGGCTACCACTTCCATCATTCATACTCCGTAACCAGCGGGCACTTATACAGACGGCCGGGTCTACGGAGTCCATCTGGTCGAGGTCCACGAACGCTGCGGTGCACAGAGCCAATCTCACGGCAACGGCGCCGAGCTCAGCTGCTTCCGTCAAGTTTCTGGCGCATGCCAGCGCGCTGGCAGAGAGGAGTCCGACACACAGTCCCTGGATGCCACCGGCGCGAAGGCTTTCCAGGTTCTTGGTATGTGCGTCAGATTCTCCATTCCAGTTCTCCTCCCCTCCCGAATCGTGGTAACCCACATAGGTGGCATACTCAGCGAGGTGGGAAAGAACTGTCAACACAGCTAGTCGGGAGTTTCTTGAGCTCTGATCTGACGCCAAGAGAGCTGAGGAGTTGCCGTTGGCCATCCATTCTGCAAGAGCCTGGAGCAACGGAGCCACACAGACACGTTTGAGAGAGGGTTCTGTTGCTACAAGCAGTGGCCAAATTTCCGGAAGCTCAGTGACGGCTTGCCTCAGCTCTTGCAGTTGGGCAGTGTGAACGAGTCTGGCCCGAATTCTAGAAAGAGTCGCAGCATCTGGGTTCGAAATCAAAGAACCACACACTATCAAAGAAGGCAGCTCGGTAGGCATTGCTTCGATCAGCTGCCCATAGATGATCAAACAAAGAGTAACAACAAGTAAGACTGATGAAATGACGTGGAAGAATTATGATGTACGTTCTCAAAGTGTACTCGCTGTTTGAATAGAGGATGGATAACAAAAATTGCATGCGACTCCAAGCACCTATCTAATTGTCAGGCCATGAGGGGAGTTATCAGCATGGCCTAGCTACGAGTTCCCCGTCATATCTGTTGTGGATTCCTTCGAAGTTGAGGGTCTCTGTGTACTCGCAATTCCAATGCGGACGCCATTCTAAGAACTACCGAATCAGATCGAAAGTTGGCCCAGGGTCTGGTCGACTTTGAAAGAGCAAGGAATCTGGAGCATGGACTCTAGTCAGGTACTCCATCGTTTCATGAAATCAAGGCACACCATACCGAATAAGGATAAAAGGCCCCGTATATAATCAGACCCCGATTGATACCTATCTCTGACCCCTACACTTGGGAGTATTTCATATAGGTTGCCCGAATATTCACCCCCCTAGCTCACCTGCATGGCCATTGCTGAGGTGGGGATTGGTGCTAGACCAAGAGTGAGGCTAAAGGATATTCCGGCTCTCCGGGGTATACTTGGGTCGGTATGCGTGAAGTGTGGTTGGGCGGGGTTCTCTATGGCCGGACACTGCTTGTAGCATGCTGTGCTCGTTCAAGCAATGGGAGGTTAATTCGGTGGAATACCAGGGTTCGCGGACCCCTGGATCCATCGGTCCTGGTCAGAGTACCAGATCTCTTGCTCTGTGACAGCTAGGGTCCACAGTACCGCACAATGAACCGCACACGTGGTCCAAATAATGAAATACCCATGCCTGATAGCACCTGGACAATCCCATATGTAATACACACGTGCGCCTATACGATCGTCTGATGAGGCTGTGAGCATTAAACGTACCGGGCAGTATCGTGAGTCGTGTCGTTTAGAGTTCATATTTCACCGAGTCGTGACTTGAATCGAAAGCCCTACCTACTGCAACATCCACCTTTGTTCCTAAAGCGCCGTCTCCTAAACTATCGACTCGGTTAAACTTCCCGGGCAATGCGTTGCATCGGCCCACTCAACAGCAAGAGGTGCCTAATGTCTATCAGCCCCCCGATAGACATGCGCGCTCGGAATATACCGCGCGGCTCTTCTCAAGAACCCATGATACGGCCAAAGCTAGATAAAGTACGGAAAGAGTGATACGCGGCCCTAAATGAGATACTTTTTAGTTCAAGACGTTACAACACCCATCCATATCATGAGCTACCCCGCTTGGGCTATCGGCACACCATGCATGGATATCAGGGTAAGCCAGGGGCACTAGAGTGCCATAGCACCTGACTACACCTCTCCCGGAGCGAGGCAATGATGTGAAGTACAGACACGTTGAGTAGTTGCATGACACGGCTTCTTACTTGCACCCAACATACCGACTTCAGCGTACAAGCTTACCAGACCACATTGCTTCCAATCAGTCTGTCTGAGTAGGGATTTTCGAAACTAGCTGTATCCATAGCGGATACCTATCTTATCACGCATCACCTTCTCGAATCCGAGTCGTTCGCTAAAGCCTTCTGGAAACCAGCGGGTGTATCTGGGCTGTTCTACGACATTAACTTCAATCACAATGCCACATCACCTAAGCATTCGGAGGGTTTTAGAAAATGCCGTTGTGCATGCTGCCAAGTTAGTGGAACAGGCTGTTTCTAGAGTGGGTCTGTATTATTTAGCAGCGAACCGACTGGCGGCGAGAGGGCTAGTGAACATTAATTATGCGACGTCGTGTCTGGGCAGAGCATCTCCCAATAGCCCCACTCCGCTCCCCAGGTCCAAAACGCAACAGAGAGAAAGTTGCCTACTTTAGATAACAAGACTGTTATTCATCGAATCTCCCTTCTACTCATCGTCTTTGTCGTTTTACCAATCATCAGTTTCTTACCGTCATCCACACACACACACACACACACGCACACGCACACCATGGCACAGCAATCTGTTACCCAGCAGATTGATGGCCTGCTTGCGCAGGTCAAAGCGCTCGATCTCTCATCCTTGAGTGCTTCGGATCGGGCCAAGGCCCAGCAATCCGTCCTTGATGTTTTGTCAAACGTTGAAACACCTTACGAGCACCTGCTTAGATTATCCGGATCTGTAAGCATCTTTCCCCGATCATAGCAAGCCTACTGGACTTTGGCTAACCATCTGAAAGCATCTGCATCTTGCTTGTCTTCGCCTTGGAGCAGACGTGTCACTTTTCACGACTTTGGCTGAGAGCAAAGAACCCTTGACGGTCAACTATCTCGGTGAAAAGCTTAACGTCTCCCCCGACCTTCTTGGTGAGTGCACGCATTGCAGTAGCTACTGCACACTGCACCGTCGCAAACTCGATATTGCCCCTCTCCCAATTTTGCTCTGAAACTGACTAAGATATGCCGCTAAGGCCGCGTATTACGATTCCTGGCCTCTGTGGGGACAGTAAAGGAGACGGCCGTGGACACGTTCGCTCCTGACAAGACTAGTCACGCTATGGCCAGCCTGGGTCTGGGTTCTGGAGTGCATCTCCTGTACGTCGCTATTACCCTCTCTTCCAACGCAATGTCGTGACCACTTACACGATGAAAAGATTTGACATTCACGACCGGACGTATCAGGCCTTGCCGGACGCCGTTGCGGAGCTTGGATACAAGGATGTTGATGACATCCACAATGGCATCTTCCAAAAGGCATTTGGAACGGACCTTTCCTGCTATGAGTATCTCGTTCACCACCCCAAGCTTCAAGGGTATATGCAGGATGCCATGAAGCTCCAGCCGCCTGACGGCGACTGGCTGGCAGCGTTGCCCGTTAAAGACGAGGTTGAGACTTGGCAGGCCTCGAACCCCGACAGGGTTCTGTTCGTTGACATTGGTGGAGGCATGGGTCACCAATGTATCAGATTCCGTGAGAGGTACCCGGATATTCCGGGCCGTGTCATTGTGCAAGACATGCCTATCACGATTGGCCGCATTCCCAAGCCGATGCCTTTCGCTGTTGAGCCCATGGCACACACCTTTGATGACCCCCAACCAATCAAGAGTAAGTTGCCTGACCCGCACACTCTGAATCCGGGATCACATAATAGATCATGGAATGCTTACACATCGGTCCATAGATGCCAAGTACTATTACATGCGAAACGTTCTTCATGGCCTACCCGACGATCACTCTGTCTCGGTGCTGAAGAACATCGCTTCGGCGATGGACGCCGACTCGCGCCTCGTCATTGACGATCTCGTTGTTCCGGACGAGGGCGCTTGCAGACAAGCCTGTCAATTGGACTTCATCATGATGGCATCAATCGCTGGGAAGAAGCGGACAAAGGCCCAATGGTACAAGCTGCTGGAAGCTGCTGGTTTTAAGATCACTGGCATCCACACTTACACCTGGCCACTCCAGGACTCTTTGATCATTGCTTCACCTGTCCATTTGGGCTAGGCGTTTGGAAGGCGGGCACTTACAACCTTTTAGATGCATGTGCTGTAACGTACACATACATGGCTTGTTGGAGATAATAGTATCAAGTCATTTTGAGTTTATATTGAGTCCTTTCATAGTTCGTCTCAAGGTGGTTAGACTGTGAGACACCCCTGTATATGCAGAGGCAGTTCAGCCCATAGCGTATTTCGATCAATTACATTCACTTATTCATGGATACCGTAGATCAGACATCACTGTGAAGGCGTACTAGGAGCCTAATCACTGTTTACCTTGCCGTTGAAGATACTTCTGCCACTGAGCTGCTTTACATTTTTTCCCTGCATTTTATATTCTACCACACGCCATCAAGGCTCAATCAAAGCAGTTGCTTTTTTGCATCTGTTTCAGCTGGTGAGTGTAAGCACTCTTTCCCAGATTGATGTCCTGCAGCATCGGCGGGCTCGTTCCCCAACAGCGACTACAGTGTTTGGAAATCTTATCTTTCTGGTAGCTTTGGCCCATCCAAGGGCCCACATGAGCTCCCATCCCGAGACTCCACACAGAACGCCACCTAAGGACTCGAAACCCAACACCATGGCCTTGGATCGAGGTGCAAAACGGAGCTTACCCCGAAGAGTTCTACACTCAATGAATGCAGTTCTGTTGCTGACGTTGATCTCGCACGGAGCTTTCCGCTGAGCGGAGGTGATGTGTCCGTAGAGCCATTATCTTTTGGTGCCTCGTTAGGAATTATGCCGACAGACTCCGAGCGTTGACGCGTTGACCGAAGATATTTTAGGTTAGAAACTTTTTCCGAGGCGTTGTAGTTTCGTCAGATACCTTTGTCCAGGACACGTTGTGAAAGTTAGGCGCACAGATTCAAATGACAACATGCCGCGGAAGCGGTTAGGCATCATAGACGCAAGCGCCACCCACCAAATGACGGCGCTTCCGCCACCATCCCTTGTTTCCATCTACGAACCTTTCATTACTCAATTGTTTATCCTGAATTTCGTTTGTCCCTTTTCTTCTGCATCTAAAGTAAACGCAAGTTACACACAAATAAGGTAAATGACAACAAGTAAAGCACCTGACTGCGGCCATGCAACAGTAGATCATAGAAATATGCCCAAAAGTAATTCAATCAACACTACTTGACATCCCTATTTTCAAACACAACAAATATGCTTATGGTGTTTCGAGGTGGCGAATGCGCTTGACTAACATGCCTCTGCTCCTTTCAAAACTCATAGCGGTAACCGGAACCGAGACGCCCAACCAGATTGAACCAATCGGCAACCCACGCCAGCAAGGTGAAAATCCATGTCGAGTGACCCAGTCGTGCGTAGTCCTGCAAGTTGAAGACGCGCCCCTTGAACTTCAGACCCGGAACCTCCCTTTCCAAGGCCATCGGGTTGCTCATATACCAGGTGAACCGCGTCCCCATTGATGTCAGTGCCTTGTTGAAGACGTAGTTGATGAGGAAATATGCGATAGAGCCGGGTGCATCAAAACACGCCTCGCCGTGGGCTCCGCCCGCGCGGACGTGGTTGACAATCCGTCGCAGGATGCCCTGAAGCTCCTCGCGGGTCAGGTAAGGGGTCAACCCCTCGAAGATGACGAATACTGGCCTGTCGGCGGGAATCTTGTACTCTTTCAGCCAGGCGTCGTCGTGGATGTTGGGATCTAGCAGACGGTATTCGCCCTTCCCCGGGTTCGGATTCTCCATAACCTGACGCCGCAGCTTGGTGGCCTCCGGCAGGTCCGCGTCGATCCACACCCTACCTTCACCTTGCCATTTGATGCGGTGGCATCTGGCGTCCATGCCACAAGCCAAATGAATCACCGTCGCCGGGCCGGGGTTTCGCTCCAAGAACTCCTCGCAACAAATGTCCAGGACACGGGCGCGGGTAGCCACGAGCCGCGCGAAAGTGGTGTTTGATTTTTCCAGGTCGGTGCGTGAGAAGTCATATCCCTGGTCACGAATCCGGGAGACAACCTCGAGAGTCTGTCTGTCATTGAGGATCGGGTTTGGGGATTCGGCGTCTTTGGCGCGGGCAAAGAGGGTGATGAGAAGGGTTTCCTCCGCGCCTGTCAAATTAATTTTGCCCTTGTCGAAGGTGGCGACCGGAGCGGGGAAAGACATTCTGGCTCAATGGTTGTGAGGTTCGTTGTTACTAGTAATTGGGAAAGTGCTGCCACGTTGACTAAATCATCCAGATGGTTCATTCGAGCAAAGAGGAGATGCTGCGCGGGGTTCCAGTGCAGTTCGACATACACACTCCAGATGTCTGTCGTCGCTGTGCATTCGTTCGGTCTTCGCAAAAGTATCAAGATAAAGCCAGGTCACCGCATACTTCCGGCATCCGTTTGGTGAATGGCCCAGACCCAGACAGTTATCGTCCTTGTTCGGCTAGCATCGTTGCATGCGAAAAAGTTGCGATTTTTCTCGTGGGTCAGAACGAGCATGTGCGTTGCGTTGCAATCTCCCCTGATCCGGGACATTGATGCAGGCCAAGCTGCTGCTCGTGGAGTTGCACGTCCAACAATCTTGGCCAAAGCTTGGACCTTGATGGGCGCCTGGTCTATGCACCAATCCCCTAGAGCCAATATCCACAACATCATTCATCCCTAGCACCCCTATCAGTGGACTCCACTTGGCTTCCATGTACTACTATGTAGTATGTATGTATGCCTTTGCTCCAGATACTACCTTGTCTGTGCCCTGACCGTCTTGGAGACCCCTACCCCGGTAGTCGGCGGGTAGAATCCGGAGGTGTCACTCCTGATGGCGTGGCGTGACCCATAAGATACCATGTACCGACAGGAACCGTTCGGCCCGAGCGTGCGTGAGTCATGCTCTCAGCGCGCCGAATGCTGAAGCATCTTTTGCAAAACCCACCCTATTTACCTCACTTACCGGTACTGTACTATGTAGATACGCGCGCACACACACCCCTCGGCCAGCTCCACCCCTCCCCCTTGTACGAACCTGAAAGCTTGTCTTGTGGTGTCTGCAGTACTCCACACTAGTACTGGATCGCGTCAATCCCTTAGGTGTCTGTCTGCTTGGGTCCTGGGTTTTGGGCCCATATAATGGTACCCCCTCCTTTAAATCCCGAAACTCATGGTCTTCTCTTAATCCGCCGATCTTCTTAGCCTTTTAAACCGCCGAACTCATTGTCCATCTGGCTCAGTTAGTCGTTGTTTCTACCACTTGACCGAGTCAGATGCGGGCAGGATTATCTCGTCTCCTGTTTACTTTGAGACTGCGGGTGGCGGGGTCCACCTTGAGAGAGTTTTGGGAAATGCAGACGCAGCCTCTCAAGTCCCCGCTGTATGGAGGTACTGAAGGATTGTGCGGTATCAATGAATCATTAAGCCTTTGAGGGTTATCCACAGCGACATCGTAAAAGCATGCTCCTAGTTGAGTTTTGTTCATCGACGATTAGACCGCGTCCGCCGACCTCAGCGAGTCAACGAGATTGTTCCCCTTGGCTGTAGAGCCCATTCCTTAGCATACCTCTCTTCTCTAGACGCTCAACAGACCGGACCAATCATGTCTCAACCCCCTTTCAAAGTAATCATTGTGGGGGGCTCCATCACAGGCCTCACGCTTGCACACAGTCTGCACAAGATAGGAGTGGACTTCATCGTCCTCGAAAAGCGAGGCAGCGTCACCCCACAAGAGGGCGCATCTGTAGGTATCTTACCTAACGGAGCCCGCGTGCTCGAACAACTCGGTCTCTACGCCGTGATCGAGCAAGTCACCGCGCCTCTGGGGGCTACTCACATCCACTTCCCCGATGGTTTCCAATTTACGAGCCTCTATCCAAAGTCGATGCTAGAAAAGTAAGAACACGATCCAATCTTCAATTGCTGAAGCTTTTGCATTTTCTGACTGGCCGCAACTCAAGTTTCGGATACCCGGTTGCGTTTTTGGAAAGACGCAAGCTGCTCGAGGTCTTGTATAATGCCTTGCCAGACAAAACAAAGGTCCTGGTCAACAAAGCCGTATCCGAGATTGAGCAACATAACGAAACAAAATCAGCCGGCGTCCGTGTCCGCACGATTAACGGAGAAGTGTACGAGGCTGACCTCGTTGTCGGTGCCGATGGTGTGCACAGTCGAACCCGGAGCGAAATGTGGCGTATGGCCTGCCCGTCGGGAGAAACCGAAGACGTGAAGAGCGAGAAAGACAGTAAGCGCTGGTTCTTCATTATTCATTTCCTGCAGGACGCGCGTAGCTAACCGTTGATTATAGGGATGTCTGCCGAGTATTCCTGTGTTTTTGGCATTTCTCGTGGGGCATCCGGACTTAAAGAAGGAGAACAAGTCATGCGCATCTATGATGGACGAACGCTAGTGGTGATTCCATCCAAGGACGATGTCGTGTTCTGGTTCCTGGCTCGCAAGCTCGACCGCAAATACAAGTACAGCGAGGCGCCTCGCTTTACCCTTGAGGACGCCGCCGCCGAATGCTCAGAGTTGGCCGATGCCCCACTTGGTGGTGGTGTCCACTTCCAGGACGTGTGGCGCATGCGACAGACCTTCAACATGGTTGTCCTGGAAGAGAACTTGTTGCAGACGTGGTCTTCTGGTCGGGTGTTGTGCATTGGCGACAGCATTCACAAGGTGATCATCCCTTTCCTCCCCTGTCTTGTCGATGAAACTTCTATCTCGCGTTCCTACATACTAATAACCATGTTTTAGATGACGGTCAATCTAGGACAAGGCGCAAACTGCGCCATCGAAGACGTTGCTGTTCTGACGAATCTGCTTAACGAATGCTTGAAGGACAAAGCAGGCACAAAGCCATCAGGCCAAGAGCTAGATGCACTCTTGAGTCGCTTCAATCGCATGCACCTATCCAGAGTGTCGCAAATCTACAACACGTCTTGGCTCGTCGCAAGAGTGCATGCGAGGGATGGATTCGTTCGGAAAATTATTGGAAGGTACATAATGCCTTACTTCGGGAACCTCTTCGAAAGCCGACCGTTCAACATGATTGCAAACGCGGCAGCTTTGGAGTTCCTGCCCTTGCCACGGGACACTTTTCCGGGGTGGGAAAAGTACAAAAGCACAGTTGGTAAGAGTGGGTCATTGACAGTCGTATCACGGTCCTTATTGCTGCTTGTGGTATTGGCCATTGCGACAGCCCTTAAATGGAGATCTTGACAGGAAATGCGCAGCGTCGGACTAGAGTTGCTAGGAGGACTTTCTTTGCTCTCGCATTTAGGTAAGCATAGAGGGGGAGAAGGGGCATTGGACCTTGCTTGTCGAGAATAAAATCAACTCCTGTATTAGAATAATCGATTCGCCTCTCTCAATCAACGAGCAATTTGATCAGTACTGTCTAATCAGGTCCTATAGAAGCCACTTCTCATAGTTGAGTGTGAAGAAGAAACATAGAAGTTTTCTACTCTTTAAGTCACTGTAGAAGCTGTATGACGGGTTGATCAGTTGATAGACCCTGTTGAGACTCTTCTGGGCGACTTCATGCTCATAGCACGCCATTATGTCAATTTTAGCAGTTTAAACTTTGGTTACCTACCAAATCACTCTTTTAAAGTACTATTTCTTCATCCAAATCTAATACTTCGTGAGAAATTGGTGGTCTACGGGTCTGATGGTTTCTCCACTTTCTTCCTAGTTCTCATCTTCGAAAGCAACTGTTGGTTTCGCAAGAGATTGAATACTAGTACAAGTGATAGCATTGAGCAAGAAAAATTGGTCATAATTGCTAGTTGTTGTTCGATATAGAGGGGATGTCTGACTATTTGGCCAGCGGCCAGATGAGGCGGGATATGTCCCTCGTGGTGGCTGAGCAGACTTCCCCACCTTGCTGGCCCGCGCCTCCGATCTCCTATTGGCTCACAATTGCCCCTTTCCCAAAAGACACAATTGACAAACAAGAAACTTGAGAAGAGCATACAAAGAGAAACGACTCCTTAATCTGAAAAGAACAACATGTATTGTTTAGATCTATCTGATCAGAGGCTCGGTGTAAGTAACGGTTGTGATGTCATGGTGTTGAATAGATGGCGATCCTCAATACTAGACTCTCTGAGTCATCATTAAGGCTGATTGATGTCTCGTCAAGCACAGGTGATGCTGACAGGGTTTCCCTTTGTGACGCAGATGGGGGGAAGAAAAGGCCCAAATGCTTGGCACCAATCACTTCTTCAACTTCTCGGCTGCCTTGGTTTCTTGTTCAAAGCGACGGACATACCACAAGCAGATACCATAAGAACCGTCCAGGATCAAGAAAATGGTAACGAACCAAATGTAGAGGGGAGAACCCATGAACTCGTGGTCCTCCCTCCAGTATGTGTACCGGAGAATATCCTGAGGGACGAGGACCAGGGATCCGACAAACCTGGAGAACCTATAAGGGCACGGCACAAGCTGGTTAGATACTAGGTTTCCTCTGGTACGGGGTAAGGGCAAGATTGCTATTGGACATACCAAAGAGAATAGGAGGCGCCCCGCGAATGCCCTCGGCTCAGCAACTGGCATAAGCCTCCAACGCTCAGCAGCAGCTGGCAGGCATACGCACTCAGAGCCTGGCCGAGTGCGGGTCCAATCTGCATGGCTAGAGCCGTGTGGCCGGAAGCGAAGCCGGCAACGGCGAAAAAGAAGATCAGACGAAGATTCCGCTGCACTAAAGGCGCGTGCGCCCACTCCCTGTGGGCGTTCTTGACGGCAGTGTACATGACGCCGCAATTCAGCAGCAAGCCAGAGAAGTGAACCCATTTCTCCAGGTTGCTACCGAACGCATACAAGATAGCGTAGGTCAATTCCCAGGCGAAATTGCAACACAGCGGCAACATGGCCATGGCGTAAGTCTGGTCCTTTAGTGACTTACGGATCATGCCGACGTAGTTGGTGGTCCAACCAACGCCCATGATCAGCTTACAGATGTCGGCAATCCAGGCGACATCGTGGTATGCCTGGGGCGCTCGAGAAATGTCGACAATATCCATGACTTTGGGGGCGAGGGGAGACTGGTCGGTTGGATGTGGGAGGGAATGATTGAAGAGAAAACGAGGAGAGACAGCTATACGCTACACGAAAGAAGATGTTTGTTTGGTGTGTCTGGAACCCGACCTGCGCGTCTGACCATTTTTCTACCAGGGCGGGATGAGAAATGCGCCGTCCTCCGTCCCGTACTGTGAGACCGCCATAGGTGGGTACTCCCCATAATGTTTGTGTTGTTTGTAAAGGCATCAACACAGTGGAGGTCCGAAAGCGAGTCAGACTCCTCAGCGTCTCGGCACTGACATAGCATCAACGACGCCATTCATGAGGGAGGAGACATGCGATCTCCTCGGTCTCCGGCACAGTATCTTGCACCTTGCAAAGTCGGGGCCGGGATATTGAGTAGTTTATTTGCACGACTGATTTCTGGATATACTGTTTGGGCTTGGCTTGACTCAGCCAGTGTGCATTGTTAGTGGCCGGTGGGATAACTGTGCCCGCTTGTACCCGAACGAGGCGGTGCATTGCTGGGGTTGGGCTATCCATAGACCTTCTGCTCTTGAACCAGCAAGGGGAAAACAAAGAGGAAAAAAGAGGAGAGAGAGAAGTGTGAAAAAAAAAGAGGAGAAACAAACCCCGGCCAAATAATAGTATGTGCATCATGCGATTATGTCACTTCGGCTGACTTGATAGTCTCAATCCCAGCCTGGCTGTGGGTTGTGATTGAAATAAACTACAGGCGTTGCGGCCACTTGCCTAGTTTCATTTTTCGGGAGGCGGCCAAGCGACGAAAAGCTCCCGGAATGCCGGGTTTGGCGCAAGTGCCACAGTACAATCTACCTACCCCACTGATTACTATGCACACACCGGGCACTCCAGATGAACTGTGGGCTTGTGCATAGCGGGGCTTTTGGAGCTTGGTTTATGACATATGCAGGGTACAACTTAGACCCGGGGTGACGTATGCACGTGGTAAAGTGCCAAGCCACTACCACCTGCTCCCCTTAATCCGGTAAACTTCCTAAACCGGACATGGCCACCCACATGTGATCTTTTTAACCCACCACGCTGGTCCATCCGTGATCCACTGCAATGAGACCTCCATTCACCGTATTCCAGCCTGGTCCCGAGGCCAGCGAAAGGCATATTCCCGCCACGTCGTCAACCTTGCAGGGTTGTGGTTTGACGCCGGAAAATATCTCCCCCAGCTTTTGGCGCCCCTCCTCATGGCACCCGTTGCGAAACGCCTCGTTCAAGTGGGTTCCACCGATGATTCCTATCATCAGTGCGTTGCAGCGAATGCCTCGGGGGCCGTAGAATGCCGCCGTGCTCTTTGTCAGGCCGATCAAGCCGTGCTTGCTTGCTGTATACGCCGTGCCTTTTCGGGATGTTAGCGTCTGCAAATCGATACGACTGACCGATACGTCGAGGAATATGCTGGGGGCGTCTGTCGGGATGCTCACCTGCTAGCCAGCCGGCCTTTGACGCACCCGAAGCGATATTTATGATACAGCCGCTAGTTTCCGGCTTGGTCAACATGCTGCGCACCGCCAGCTTGCTCAGAAGGAGCGGAGCCGTCAAGTTCACTGCCATCACCTTGTCCCACAGGTCGAGTTCAACATCACCAACCGGATCGAAGCGATCCATGATGGCTGCGTTGTTGACGAGTATGTCCAACGTGCCAAAATTTTCTGCTATCTTGTCGAACAGTTCTTGCACCTGACTCTGGTCGGTGATGTCCGTCTTGACAGCGGTGAGGCGACCTGCCCCTCCGAGCTCGGCTGCTGCTTTTTGGATCCGTTCTTCGTTGTTGTCACAGATGACCACGTTGGAGCCTGCAGCAAGAAATGCGGCCGCAATGGCCCTCCCCAGACCGCCGGCCCCGCCTGTTACGAGGCACGTTTTCTTGGACAGGTCAACGGGCTGTGCTTGTGAGCTCGACATTGCGACGAGGCGATGCTCCAGGTATAGTGATGCAAAGAGTGTGGTGGAGAAAGACAGTGGCAGCTGTTCCTAATATTCACCGAAACAAAAAGATCTCGTCACCGGCAGCTCCAGTTGAAGATGGTCGCCTTTCTTTTCGAGAGCGACGCCCTGGAGTGACACTTATACTTTGAGACGAGGTCCCTACACCCCCTGGAATGGCGATGCGGTTGTGCCCGGGACACATGAACTCGCGGTACTGCACGCCGACACCTGCAACATCCGTTCTGTCCTATAGCTTATCAAATCACACATTTGATAGTACAACTGATACAGGTACCCTATCAATATCCTGGTCAGTTTGCCCCAGTAGCCGTCGTCAGCTTTCGGTGCATTCCACCCAGATGCTCTGAATCGTGCTGACCAGTAACCCCTACATATTCCACGCAGGGATATACCATCTTTACCGAACGCGCCGGCACTTGCGCAGCAGCATGCAGCAAGGGAGAAAGGTGTGGGGGCTGGGGGATAAGACTTATCTCGGAATCCAAAACCCCTCGCTTCCATGAAGAAAGCGGGGCCTTAAACCGCGCGCCAGTCTCGCGGGATCCATAGACCACAGCGCTTCACACCGACAGGGCCCGGCAATGGCGTATCCACCGCCGGCATACTTTGTGTGGCCAGTGAGGTCCAACAAGGCCGGCTTGCTTGATTGATCGATTTCGTCAACCAAGAGCAGGCTTGTTGATTGCGACATTTTTCTTGCGGAATAAAACGCACTTGCGTCTGCCTCTAGGGCGCAAAGACCCTCGCAAGGTATCTTTGAAGCTGTTGACTACATGCATCACTTTTGAATTCACATACTTACTCTATTCTGTCTCATTTCAGCCTGGTTGAACTATTACAGCGACCGGAACCATGCCACTCACTTCGACGGACAGGCAATTGGTCCGCCAACTTCTGAAACTATCCCGGTTCGACAGATACAACCCTCTCTTTACAACCTTTGCTGGAGGTGAGTAGTCATCGTCCCCTCGCCCGCGTTAAGGTGGTCTAGACGCTAAGAGTTTTCCATGGCAGTGTGGTCCACGTTGCTGGCCGGAGGTGCCAGAATCGCCGAGCACCGCGCGAACACGTCTGCTGCCTTTGTATTCCAACAATGCGCATTAGTCTTTGTTGCTGCGTACCTGTTCTGTGGCGCAGGCATGGTTTGGAACGATTGGATTGATCGTGACATCGATGCCCACGTAGCCCGAACAAAGGAACGTCCATTGGCATCAGGAAAAGTCACTACCACGGAAGCCATGTGGTGGATGATGCTGCAGGTGGCCATGTGCTGGGGCGTGCTTGATGTGATGTTGGACAGCAAGGACGTGTAAGTGATTGAGTCGCTCTGTTTTATCATCAACGTTCAATCAGACTCACAACCTTTTTCGGCAGATTGAAACATATGATACCCGTCGCCCTAGCCTCCATTCTGTACCCGTTCGGGAAACGACCGTTGGCTCGAAAGCTGCGCATCTACCCGCAATACATATTGGCATTCACTATCGCTTGGCCCGCAGTAATAGGGCGCGCCGCCATTTATGGCCAGTACGAATCTTTCGCCGAGAGCGTTCGTCACTGCCTTCCACTCTGCACTATGGTCTACTTCTGGACCATCTATCTCAACACAGCATACAGTTACCAGGACGTGGTCGACGATCGGAAGCTGGGTGTAAACTCTTTCTACAACATTGCAGGAAAACACATTCACCTGTTGCTTATCGCCCTCGTCACTCCCATTCTAGTATGCCTGCCCATTTACCTCATCGAGTTGCACTCTATCTGGCTGTGGGTAAGTTGGATGGGGGTTTGGACCGCATCCTTGGTGCTGCAACTGGTTCAGTTTGACCCGAAGCAGCCTGCCAGCGGCGGATCAGTCCACAAGAGCAACTTCGTTTTGGGCATCTGGACGATCCTTGCGTGCGTGGTCCAGGTTTTCCTCACAAGCAACATGTGATAAGATTGTATCTACAATACACATACTTTGGCCACAGTGGACTACCATGAAGTTAGATGGAGCACTAAGGCCTACCTCAAAGCTGAGACCCTAACGCGGAACATCTCAAATTGTTTCAACTGGACTTCTTTGCCCTTTTCAGTTGTCCATTAATTGGCATGGCTTGCAAGAAGATCAACACATCGAAACCTACTCTGCGGCAACAAATAAGTGACGTAACGAAGATTAAATGTTATGCATCCTTACTTAATTTTTTAAGATACATTGGTATAGAGGCTCCAAAGGCCAAGACTTGTCACAATGTCCTCATGTGAGTCGACTCTGCCTGGATAGACCGCCTTCACTTTTCACGCGACCTCGCCTAGCTTTATCAGCAGCCCCTGACTTTATGAGCGACCTCTCAGTAAAATGCACCTAGAGAATAAAGCTACTTTCAACCTTGTGACCCTACTGCATACGGCAGGCTCTCAGCGATACTTCTCCTTTGATCGCCACTTTTACCCCGCACGTCACTCTGTGCATAGTAAACAGTTCCGTTTACATTTCTAGTTGGCTCTACCCCGCACCTGTTTGGATTGATGTTATTTATACTGAATGAGATAATATGCATTGTAAAGAAATATGAACCTCTTTATCTATGGAATCACATGCCTGAAGAAGACTATCTTGGCACTCAACCCGACAGACGCCATAACATGTGAGGGCTACTATCAGTCCACCGCGCATACGACAAACATGATCAAGCGATCATAGACTAGTATCATTATACCAGCCAGATGACGAGAGTTAGTTATCTTGTTGTTGCATTGAAGAGGAAGAATCGAGGCAGCCTAGTTCCGACGTAGCGATGCTTTGCCTCCTAGATTACATCTAGAGCGCCAGTGTTCTGGACAGCGGTTGCCGTTATGTTCCACAGGTTGCGCGCAATGACGTCATCCCACGCCTTTGGCGACGGCGTTTTGATAGTTCCCGGCCCGTCCAGGTATTTCCCTTTCCACCGCTCACTGTCTCTCTTTACCTCCTCGGCGGTTGCGGCAAACAGAGTGGCGTCAGCTCCCTTCGCCGGTTCGGTGAACAGGAGCCAGACCAGCGGCCGTACAACAAAAGGCACCACGTCAGCTGCTCCTTCCGTTCGTATGGTCCCTGGGTTGACAGACAGCGAGGTGATGCCGACCCCGTCCTCATCCATGCGGCGCTGCAATTCCTTTGCGAAAAGGATATTAGCAAGCTTTGATGTCCCGTATCTTTTGCTCTGGGCGAGGCACGAATCCTCCCACCCAGGACTGGCGCAGGGATCGTCCAGATCTTTCAGACTGTTGAAATAATTCTGCCGCGAGTTGTTACGCTCCCCGGACGACGACAACTGGAGCAAAAGAAAGGAAATGCGTCAGCGACTGCCCTCAATCTACCGCGATGCCTCACAACGTATCGGGGTACCTACAGTAACAACTCGCACGTCGGATCCTTTCTGCGCTGCCGTTGCTTTGAGAAGAGGCAGCAAGCCGTATGTGAGAGTCCAGTGACCAATGTGACTTTTAATCGATTAGCGGTTGGCTACTATTCAAGACGCCTCTGGGGTATTCCAACTTCACTGCCATTGTCATCTCGAATCCATCTGCAGTTCGGACATAATTGTACGGGTCAAGTCCAGCATTGTTCACTGCGTACTTGTCAGCGATGATGCCTAATCTTCGTATCATTGGCACGTATGTAATTACCGAGTATGTCTAACCGGTCCGTCTTTGCTAGAATCTCACGTGCTGCGCCAGCTACTTGGGTTTGGTTGGACAGATCTAATGGTAACCAGACCACGTTATCCTCAGGGATGGATGGATTCTCGTTGAGGAGACGCTTGATGGCCTCATTTGCGCGATGTTCTGATCGGGCCGCCAGGTATACCTTGGCGCCCTTTGCTGCTAATTGTCTGACTGTATGGTAGCCAATCCCGGCACTGCATGAGTTAGTTCCTAGCCGTGCCAGTTTCTTTGGGTCGTTGCCCGAGGGTGAATATTTACTTACTTGCCTCCAGTCACTACAGCAACCTTGCCATGGAGGTCCGGTATTAGGGATGAGTCCCATTCACCGTTCCCGAATCCACTAAGGCTTCGCTTAAAGAACAGAACGCCCAACGGTACGTAGAGAAAGGTGCCAAAAAGCAGGTCTATTGCTCGGATAAAGAGCCGACGAATCCATGCTACAGCCATGGTGAGATTGCCTGTTGCTGAACAAACAAGTTGAGTGCTCCCAGTGCTGATGGATGTCACTGTCGACTTTTGTTGGATGAGATGGACACGGGCCCACTTGAAGGCGCCACTTCGACTTGAGTTGTTGAACTTTTTCTGCGCCCATTACAAAAGGCCACCGTTCGACACATTGGCAATTTAGTTCCTAGGTTATCTTTCATGGTCCACGGAGCTGACTCACGACCGGGATTGCGGAGGGAACCGGAAGACTGGTGCTTGTCCAAGCTCTGACATCAAGATTGGCAGGCCGGACAAGCGGGTCAAGCTTCCGATGCGCTGAGCACACATATTAGGATAGTGGCCAACCAAATTCTGATTGATTACATGTAACGCGGTGGAACCATTTTCTGGACACCTATATTAGCCCTGCAAACACTTCTATCTCCAGCAATGATGTCTGGCCAGATGTGTCACTGGCTTATTGCAAGTAGTCACACGTGAATCACCCATGCAATGGGAAACTCGCCTCGAGTGCAATGAGAACCTTCAAACATGGTAGCGCCAATTATCTGTCCCAGTCATGCTCCACTTCTCGTTTAATCTTCAGCGAGTTGCACAGCAAGTTGCTGCAACGGAGAGTCATTGCGATGTACTGTGGGCTGGTCAGTAATTGCGCCGATACAGCGGTAAAGCCAAAGTGACCCTGGTTCCCTGGCCCAGCGGGTGTATGGTGGAGATACAACCAGTATGCTAGACGGCTGGAACTTCGGACAATAACGTACTCTAGCATGACCGAACTCACCGTACTCTGTGCACTGCCAAGTGCTCCAACTAGTTTATGTGTCTCTGTTCAAGTGGAGATGCGCCATTAGGTTTACGAAATCCAAAAGGGGAGGGGTGTTTGTTTAAAAGATCATCCTGACTTAGGAAACTGTAACTTTGCGGATCCGAATAACGGCGGTTGGATCAACATGGCCGGGTCGCCGCGTCACTCTGAGACACCTAGCTTAGCGTAGCCGTTGTACATAGCGTGCTGATAGACCAAACCTTATGGCTGGTAATGTAGATGGGTCCGGGGTCTAGACTACAGAATCTCTCCACTCTATGGATATGCATTGTATGACCGTCAGCCTACTTTGTCTAGCTTTCGGCCTTTCAACTGTTAACTAAGAACATGTATCTCCAGTGTCGGGTAAACAAGTTTGATCCGATGTCTAACCTTCAACTTGATTGTCAACTTGTTGAACAACTTTATAAGTGAAGATGGGGATTTGTTTTTTAACGCTGGGTAAGACCCGCTGAGAACACGTACCGTGACCGACACGACTTGCGATACTGTTCGACACGTTTATTGCACAACTCAAAACTTCATCATACGAAAATGCAGGCGCACGTGGGTGTCACATGCGATTTCCCTCCACACGCCCTTGTTATTTCTGGGCAAAGCAAGGAAGGCTAACAAGCGCGATGGACACGGGTAGAATGGGCGGGATGTCCTGATAGGCCCAATGTCACTGACAGAACTACCAGGGTAGAGAGACATACCTGTATTGCGTCTCCTGAGACGGATCCCCACAGTTGATACTATATATTGTCTTTCATTGCCCCACTTCCGAGGTGAATTACCATTCCAGTACTGACTCGAACACCTCGAGCTGGAAATTTCTGCAATCCCTGCTACGCGGCACAAGATTATTGAATTAAAGGTGTAGTCGTGGCATTCCCTCGGTCAAACGGATGATTGCTCAATCCTTGTCCGCCCCCTTCACACAGCCGATCTCTCCCGACTAATAAATCCAAGTATGCAGCTTGTGCTTATCCGTGCCCACACCCTGCTATTCCCCAAGTTTTTCCAGCGTGTCGGAAAGCTGGCTCTGAAGACTAAGCGGGCGCATCGAATCACAACTTAGAGATATTTACCGAGTAGGCAAGATACTGCTGATACCCGTACACTCTCCAGCTGCGCACTAATATGGGTCTCTATCAACAAGGATACTCACTGGCATCAAGCAGACTGAGGCCCACCATGTCTCTCTCTCAGTGACCATCGCCTGTTTTCCCAATTCCCTGACTGAATCGTTTCTGTAGCAAGATAGCATGACGTTTCAATCGGCTACGATCACTTGGTAAAATCAGCCGAACAACATGACCAATGATTTACTAGAAAAAGCCAGCCACAACCGAGTCCGGGTCACTTAGCAACTTTCTCCCACATCAGATAATAGCACAACATGACGCCTCAAGAATTAGTACGTTCGACGGCCCACGCTCGGTTGGTGGACTCGTTGTCTCGAGACAGCAAACAAGAAGAAGTATGTTGGCCATTTCGATACTGATACCGTATCCCGTAATAATTGGGAGCACACACAGTGTTGGTCGGTACTGACGAAGAGCAATTTTCGAAGATCATCCGCGCTCCACTCGACTATCTTCTCAACTTGCCAGGCAAAGATGTGAGAAGCAAGTTGATGTCAGCGTTCAACCAGTGGCTTCGTATCCCCGAGGAAAAGCTTGAGGTTGTCAAGCGTATTATTATGCTGCTTCACAATGCATCCCTGCTGTATGTTGCCAGTCTTGAGAGCGCAAGAGACGCGATCACTGACCATTCTCTGTAGACTTGACGACATCCAAGACTCCTCTACCCTCCGTCGTGGTTTGCCTGTCTCCCATAGCATCTTTGGCGTTGCTCAGACCATCAATGCCGCCAACTATGCTTTCTTCCTGGCTCAACAAGAGATCCCCAAGTTGGGAGACCCACGTGCGTTTGAGATCTTCACCGAAGAATTGCTCAACCTGCATCAAGGGCAGGGCATGGATATATATTGGAGAGATGCTTCAATCTGTCCAACAGAAGAGGAGTACTTCCAAATGGTCTCAAACAAAACCGGTGGTTTGTTCAGACTGGCAGTAAGACTTATGCAGTTGGCAAGCACGAGTGACCGGTGAGTAATGCGATCAAGCATAAGGAAAGAAAGAGACAAAAGATACAGGATGAAAGACTAACAACAAACCCTTTGTCCTCAACAGAGACTATGTACCCCTTGTAAATGTGCTGGGACTCATTTTCCAGGTTCGCGATGATTACCTCAACTTGCAGAGTGCTGCCTACACCAAAAACAAAGGGTTCGGAGAGGACCTGACCGAGGGGAAGTACTCATTCCCGATAATCCACAGCATACGCTCGAATCCGTCAAACATTCAGTTATCCAGCATTCTCAAGCAACGGACAACTGATGTGGATGTCAAACTCTTTGCAGTTTCGTACATCGAGTCAACAGGCTCTTTCGAGCATTGCCGACGAACGCTAGCACAGTTAACAGCTGAGGCTAGGGCGCTGTCAGAAAGCATGGATGATGAATCATCCCAAGGCTCTGCTGTAGTAAATAAAATTTTGGAAATGGTAGGGCTTGACGGCGATGAGGTACCAAAATGAGGGGTCGGGGGTCCTGAATTGGAAATGAATCTTGCTAGGTCCTGGTCCTGTAGACGGGAATGGCAATAGACCTTGTTCAATATAGTCAACCTGCATCGGGGTTTACAACTGGGTAAACATGATTTGTCCAGGCATGTGTAGTTGGCGTTCCATATAATCACTAAAACAGACAACCCAGTCCGGGGGTTCAAGTTGTTGGTTGCTAGATTCTCAGGCATTACTTGGCAATTGGGCAGCAAAACCCCAACCAACTTGAATCAAAGGCCATGCAACTCATATGGTTACACATTTTGTAGGTGAAGCAAAGCTCTAGCGCAATCAAATCTGTTGCATACAACTTCCAAGGCTTGGCATCTCGTCTCTCCAGCCAATTTTTACTCATTGTAGCAGCTTCATTTTGGAGGGCTCAGTGAATTCATTGATAATTTCTACGTCAGCTTTAGGAATATCGATGCGTACAAGAGTGCTTTGGGGACGCTTGGTTCCGCGTAAATGAGGACAAGAATTCCATTGGAGCAGCAAACCAGGAACTTGACGAAACGAGCTGGAACTGGGCAGACTATGACTAGCTCTGGGGGTCCAGGTACGTGTATATCATCGACAGCCTGCGGAACTAGCTTAACCAAGGTGAAATGAAATCATCCTGATGGATGATGTATTCACTTGGTTCGATCCGTTATGCGCTAATGTCTAGTGCCACTCTCTCACTTGGCGGATCTCGTACCGGTGTTTTTGTAGACTATCTCTTCTAATGATATTTCATTCGGAACTAAATGTGGCATGTAGGCTGATTGAAACTCCAAGATCATCAGCGTTTTAGGATCGGGCTGCGCAGGCAGTGAAGCCTTAAGACCCCAGCAGGAAGGCCGGTGTGTCTGTACTATACACATATAACGCCACTCTGCAGGGCCTTTATGGACCGTTCGCATTGCAGCCAACCCAATACCCGTTCCATTATAGGGGAAGGGAAAGTGCCCAAGCGCATGCCGTTCGTGTATCACCCTATTTTATAGTGCATCTAGTGAAATGCCATGCTTTGTTGCATACAAACCCAAAAACCTGTCAGTTGTGGTTTGAAAACCCGCCATAGTTCAACTCGGGCCGGTATTATTTGACAAAAGTCCGTCCGAAGGTCTGCTTTTAGACTTTCTGACTATAAGTTATCGCAATGATCAGGTAATATACGCATGATCAGACTTTGGTATTAAAGGAACTTAAACTTATCAAGACCCGCATCAAATCTTGCCAGAAGTCTTCAGCGCCGATTTCAATTTGATAAAACATCTCATGTGGGCTATGAAATTAATTCTGAGGTATCCCATTGGGTGCTGTATACGTTGAAAGCTTCTGCTATACAAAGCCTTTCAAGTAGAGTGCAAGCTAGATAGACTAGGAACAGTTGCTAGGAACTGTATGTACTGCAAAGTAAAAAGATGTAGGACGAGGATTCGAAATCATGTGCGGCACACACCAGACCGGGGTAGCGGTTGTAGTACCAGGCGCTGCCATAGCCTCCGGCCGTGTCGAAGATGACAATATCATCTCCAGTCAGGCCGCCGGCTTAAATTAGATGAACCACGGCCAGCGAGTCATTGTGACCGGCGCTAATGATGAATATTATGACGTTTTAGCCGTCTGAGAAAAGCTGGTCACGATTAGAGCCTCGTGGCTTACCTAGCGACCCTTTGAAAGATTGCTGCAATCGTCTTTGAGTTCGAGAAACTGGGCCATGCCCTTGAGATGAATGCGCTTATCCGGTTCCTCGGCATAGTTGAGGTCAACGTTGGGGGCGAAGACAGTTATGATAGCTCTTGTTGCGTATTCACACCCTACGATGGATTGTTCAAGAAAATGGATTCGCTAGTAGCCAGGAAGATCCTACCCACCTCTACGTCTTGGCGCACAGTGCACATATTCTTATCTACCCCATAGCAACTTGCTGCCTTAAAAGAATCCTATTTCCCGGTCGTATGACTGCTCGGAAGACAGCATCTGATGCATACACCCAGTTCAGAAGCTCCTCCTCCCTGGGTGGACCACACGTACAATGCTGTATCAAACGAGGCAAAAGAGACACGCCCCAAGTTAACAGGTCACCCGGGTTGTTCCTGTGGAGGAGTACAATACACCGTAGAGCTGATCCGTTTAATGTGCTATATGTACTTGAATAGCGCGCAGTTCTTTGGAGACTGGGCCCACAGCCCCTGCAGTGGGACTTGCTTTCCCGGCCCGCAACTTTGCATGCCCCCAGCGGTTGCTAAAGGGATTGTTTCGCCTATCAATGACACCCCCTGGTGTGGGGTGACCCTACCTTGGTGTGGGGTGATATTACCCTGGCATGGACACCCCAAGGGGTACTTCTACTTGAGTCGTGCGTTGTTCGATATTCTGAAGGCTGTGCATATTTGGCATCGGGCCACTCATGACTCGGAATGATCTCTGAAACCTACGATGATTATTGAGCACGTGTGTGGGGAAGGGCGATAAAGACGATTTTCTGGTTCTTACGAGATAGGAGTTCGGCCAATATCTGCGCGGGTGGGCGCATCGGCTGATAGTCATAACTGTGGTTGCCCTTAACTCCGTTACAAGGCATATCAGCAGTAGCCGACATGATAGTTAGAAGGACTCGCCGAAGAATTAAAACGGGCTCCTTTAGATGTTATGTCTTTTCACCAATGATGGCATACTACTTAACTGCAGAGAAGAGTAGATCCTGTCACTGATACGGCGCGCGAAACGCAACCTGTGTCCAAACCATCCATCTCTTTTATCCAAGATGGATGCTACTACCAAGCTGCACGGTCTAGTACCTCAATTCGCATCTCTTCCTCCAGTCGGTCTTTATACGGTCATTCAGTTGATTCTCGTTGGGGTCAGTCCCTTCTTCAAAAGAGTACAAGCTTAACAACAGGGCTGAGATTGACTGACGCCTTCTATCCAGGTGCTCGCATTCATTTTTCCCGTGCTTGTCTACAATTACTTCCTTCACCCGGTTTCCCACGTCAAAGGGCCTGTCCTCGCAGGTATTTTGCCGGTGAGTGTAAACTTCGTCTAACAGATGGTCTTAAAGCAACAGCAAACCAGCCTGAACTTGGCTGACGTCTGTTGCCTTGCGTCTTGAATAGATATGGATCGTGCGGGCCGTGGCTGGCCATCGTCTCAATAGCGACATCAAGGCGTTACACAGAAGATACGGTATGCAGCCGCTGAATTATCAAAGCTTAGGAAGTCGACTAACGTTTTTTTTTTCTTCCACTTCTCCAAGGCCCCGTCGTTCGAGTTGCCCCCAATGAGCTTTCATTCGCCACGGATTCTGCATTGAAAGCGGTCCATAACCCTGGACCAAGGGGAAGCCTCTTTACCAAGAAGGGAACATCTGAAGAGATGATCTTCCGTCTGGTCTTCCCCGCAACGAACCTGCTCACAGTCCAAGACGATGCCGCTCACAAAACTCTTAGAAAGGCGCTTCAGCCGGCCTTCACGGCAAAGGCTTTGAGGGACCAGGAGGAAATCACCCAGTTTCACGTTCAAGCAACTTTGGATGCGCTGGCGGTGGCGGCGGCGAAGGCACCCGAGACCCCTATTAGCATCACCCGAGAGTTGGGTAAGATGATTTGGGGCATCGTGGGACATCTCAGCTTCGGCCAGCCTTTGTCTACAGAGCAACTAGGTAAAGATTGCAGTGCTTACATGGGAAGATACAAGCGATATAAACGCGGGCTGATACGACGCTACCAGATATTTACGAACATCAAAAGGACGTATATGCCCAGGTCGCGCCGATCATGGAGTTATTCCAACACCTGGCCTCGGTTCCGATTATCGGATCCATCATCATCTTCTCCGTCATCACGTGTAGAAAGTTGGTAGGCGCAAATCAACATATCCTCGGGAAAAAGGAGCTTGAAAGGTACGTTCATCATTCCTCCGTAGCAAGCCGGAGAACGTACAGTAGCAATGACCAGGATTGAATAAACTAAGCAAAGAATAGCCATATCGAAAGCAAGCGCAGCGGAAAAGACTTTCTATCAGCAATTTTGTCTGCCCAAGACGCTGCGCACTTGACACCTGAAGAGCTATACAGCAACATGACACTGCTTTTGTAAGATGAGCTTTAGTTGCACGACTATTGGATTCCCACTTCTCGCTACTTTTCTTATCCTCTCTTCTGCTTCTTTCCTACAGGATGCTGACTATCTACGTCACATAGAATGGGCGGATACGACAGTAGCTATGTGACACTGTCAGCAGTGTTCTATCATCTCCTCTCGAAACCTGATGCGTACAAACGCCTACAATCCTCCTTGCGCCGTGACTTCGCGTCCGTCGATGATATCACCTGTCTCGCTGTCCTACAGCAGCCTTTGCTGGATGCTTGCATCAACGAAACCCTCCGTCTCGTTCCCCCTATCAATGGCCATGGTAGTCACCGTGTTGCAGCACAGGGCACTACCATCGAGGGCGTCTGGGTACCAGCCGGCACACTCGTCAGCGCCGATTTCTACACTATTCACCGCGACCCCAAGTTCTGGGCTTTCCCGGATGAGTACCACCCCGAGCGTTGGCTTGAAGAGTCAAATGGACCGGGAACTCCGTTCGCTAAAGATGTTCGCAACAACTGGAAACCTTTCTCTGTTGGTTCTCGTGCTTGTATCGGTCGCGAGATGGCGTTACAATCAATCCGGTTGTCTGTGGCTAAGATTGTTTATATGTTTGATCTGACCCTCGAAGACCGCGACATGGTTTGGGATCGAGATGTAGGAAGCCATTTCATGTGGCATGGCTTTAACATCCGCGTCAAGGTCGCCAAGGCTTGAAGAGGTAGTCATTTGCTATGCAGAGGGAAGAGAGAAAAGGAATGGGAGGTTGTCTGCCTTCTCTCTGTTAATGTATGAGAATACATACACGTCTGTTTACTCATTAAGGAAACAATCCGGGCTGTTACTTATCCAGTCTATATGTTGTGTACTGTGCAATAAGAATGAGATGAGGGTGATATAGTTTCATTAACTGACTGTATGGATAGATCTTACTCATCAAAGAGCAACGTGGGCTATACCTGACGACCTGCCAGCTCATGAGGACTTTAAGAGATCTCAACATCAATGCTTCATAGCCAAGAAACATGCTACCAAGCACCACTGTTCCCTTGAGGAAAGAAGGATAGCGAAAGAAGCAATCTTTATACAGCCACAACAACTTCATTTAATTGAGAGTATAATCATCATTTACGCGTGCAGGTCGTAAACTGGGAGCGCCGTTGGTGTAATTGTTCTGCATGTTGCCTTCTCATACGCGACCACGGCTGCAATACTACTGGTCTAGGTTAAAGATGAAATTGTAAGAACCGGAGTTCTGTAGCGTGGTGTTAGACACCAGGACGCTGACACAGAGTTTGGTCATGCTGGTGAAACATACCTTCAATTGTGCTAAAGACACAACTCCAGTGCCCGCGTACGTACACGTGTAGTGGTTGCAGGCCAAGGTTGGAGCGGAGCGGCATGCGGATTGTAGATCCTAGCTCGAGTTGCACCCCACGATGCGACTTTCTGTTTGTCCAAGGATATTGACGAACAAGGTGCAGAAGCTTAGAAGTGTACACATTTACATAGACTCCACAGAACCAAATGAACTAATACTACACCTAGGAGTGGGCTCGACCACGAAATTGGTTCACACTAGGGCTTGGAAGACGCGTGCTGGATTGCGTGGCTCATGACTCGAGCAAACCAGTTATTTGATAGCAGGACTGTGTTGATTAAGGAACATCAATATCCAGTTTTCAAGATTCTTAGAACAAAGCATAATTTATGTACTCATAGTCGCACTCGATCTGGACCTGTTTTGTCTCTGGTTTTAAAGGGAATTGACCTTCTTGATGTGAACGTTTGATGCACCAAGCTGCTGGCCAAGGTGAATACTACCATTGCCATAGAAGGGTATGGCGTGAGCAATAAATATGACCGGTGGTGGGTACCTCAAGATGCGATTGGAGCAGATCGATAAGGAGGCTGGTCGACGGGGCTGACGCCAAAGCAGAGACACGAGTCAAGAAATTCGCCGAAGACTAAATTCGCCGAAGAGGATCGCAAAGGCTCTGGCTCAATTCTTACCAGTCTTATTCGTTTTGGATTTGTGTGCTTACTGTGGGGGCTGACTAAATTATGTGATTGCAGCGGCGTTCTCTCTAATGTGCTTGCAGTAGTAAAATCAGCTGTGAGCAGAGGCTGGTCAAGCTCGTAGAGTCAAGGGTGACTTCATCAGAAGGAACAAGAAAGAGATCATCGCCACATCGTGGCGAATAGAAGGAATAACCTATGGGCGTTGGAGGAAGAATGAGACAGGGAGGAAAAGTCCCTTTAACGAAATTGAGTAGAAGAAAATCTAAACATTCTCCGAACTGAGGATCAGTCTTTTATGTCATCTTGTTACTACCCAACCAAGGCATTACCCGCTAATACAAGTTCCGTTACCACTAAGTTCTCAATATTCACAAGCTAACATTCTAGCAGCATGAAATAGATATAGCTATCTTCTTGGAAACCACTCTTTGAAAGGTCTAAGTGTCATTTTGCTCTTTCTCCTCGCTCTTGATCTGCGCAACAAACTCTTGATCTTCCGTAATACCCAGTGCTTCACGGCAGATTGTGTCACAACCACCGTGACCTTGACAATCACAATGGGTTCCACTACAAAGCGCCCAGTAATCGGTTTTCAGAGAACCATAGCGGTCGCAGCTGGTATTGTAGTTGCTACATGTCCTAAGAGATCGAGACTGCTGCAATTCAGAAAGCAGACCTGCCTCCACCGGATCTGAAAAGCAGGGTTGGGAGACGTCGAAGTGTCGACCGGCACCGTAAGAACACTACTGGCAAACAGGGGAAGGAGAACAATTGCTTAAGGAATCTACATATATTGTAATCCATCAATAATAAGAGTCATGTTGGATGTTCCACCTTCATTGCGTCGGGTAAAAGTCAAGTGGTAGGTGTCTGTATATGCCTCAAAGGAGTTGAATTCATACAGAGAACATGCCTGCATATGAGTTCGAGATGCGAGCTTGACAGCAACCTAGGTATCTCTGTTCGATATCAATGCTTTTTGATGTTTATGAGAAGCCCAAAAGCCCGATTTCGAAAGAAATTCGCATCATATCTTCTATACGATCATTAAACGCATTTCGCTATTTCCATAATAGGCGGGTCTTCTTCTATGCCACCACATGCAAGTTTTCCGCAGTCTTTTACAACTTCGGAAGCTCAAGTGACTAAGAATCCTCGGCGCCGAGACAAATCGTACAGCATCTTAAGGAGTTGCAGGTTCATTGAGTTGGGAACCCAACAACTAACACTGATGTTGCAAAGACTCGTGCAGCAGTTCGCGCATCTCCCGTCATACGATGTAGTTGACGGAGCGCATGTTGCCCCCGCAATTGTAGACCTGTTACTGGATTAAGTGAATATGATATGATTCCGGTCATCGAATCATGCCTAGGTTTCCATATCAGGATGCAATGCGTATGCGGTTGGTGGTGACTTGTGGAAAATGGAAAACCGCTGCCTCCATGTCGGCGCTCGACCAAGATTCCAATACGGGATCAATCTCAACGGAAGAAGTGTCAGCATTCGGGCAGAAAACAGGGCTTCGTTTTCAGATCAAGGGGTCTCAAGCATCACCCCTCTTATCAAAGTCACTATGTGATCGTATTCCTTGGTATTTTCGCAGCTAGTTATGCTACTTGGCTATACTATGTCGAGGCAACCTCCATAGTAGCTTTGAAGTTCAGAAACTCCTTGGTTTGCGCGCACTTTGGCTAACGGCATAGAGGAGTTCCACAGCCCGTCTTGGGTCTTTTTTTTCTTGGTCGAGGAAATGGCGACAACTCCGAGCTTCTGAACCGTTATGAAGGCTCGAAATAAGAAGGTTGTGCAGCTGTCTTGATCGACGTGGCTCGTAGATGCCGCATCTTGACGATGGCGAGAATTGCGCGCACTTACTTGCAAATACGCTACATCGTTGCATCCAAATGGAAGCACGTTCTTCAAGTCAGTTATTCAAGTGGTTGACGCTTGACCATACATAGCAGGCAACATTGTGAGAGAAGCTAGAAAACCGGTGATATCGTGAGCGTGAGGCCAAGGAGGCCGCCAAAGCCTTGGCACCATGAGGGGGTGACTGAAGTCCATATTAAGAACTCTTGGCGGGAGAGGAGAGCCAAGAGTTAAAGGACAACAATGGCGTTCACAACGGGCGCTCATCGCAGAGCAGGTTGTCATCCTTCCCTGACCGAACCCCATTTTGGAAAAGACTCCTCGCCCTGGTCTACTTGATGGATCGAAACTGCCGGTGATGACAAGACGTTGCCCAGATGACAAATATTGCCTGGCTCACGCATCAAAAACACTACAAGATTCAAGGCCCCAGTGTTAGTGCAGGCGCTGTGAAATAAGCTTTCGCCGTATCTTGGGGCTTCCTTTCGGCACCTGTCGCCGTCCATTCAGCGTCGCTCTGGGAGGATACAGTGGCTGTGGATGCCGTGTGGGGATTGCAGGTACGTACTTGGCATCTGCATCCAAACATGGAAGGCAGTCGTTTGTCTCGATTGGCATCTTCTCTCGCCATCTGTTTCTTGATTGAAAAACCAACAGGTCGTTTCTGCCGAACGCCATCGACAGTCGGAACAAACTTCAAGAATAACAGAGGGACAGACCATGTGTTCGAATCATTGGCTCTCGTCGCCTCGAATTGGGCCTGCGCCATTTACCACACCAGTGCCAAGACACACGAAAAGCATAAGAAGGCGCAGTCTCGCCCTTTATGCCAAGAACACAACCACTGCCAAGACGTGGAAGCATCGCCGTCAGCACGCTTGAGGAGGACGGACGAAACACACAGTATTTCCTTTGACGACCATGAGATTGGGGTTGGGCCCTCTTTGCGATCGACCTCCTGCCTCGCTGCAGCATCAAGCACAGCCTCCCATCCAAGTTCACCCATGTCCTTTGCGGCGCCTAATCGAGCCTCGACCTCTCCACGTCACGCTCGAGTCCGCCATTGCGCCCAAACCGTTTACATCACCGAGCTCATAGACCGTCTTGTAATGGGCATCCAGCCGAGGAGCGATCCGGAGCATTGTCCTAGTTGAGACTGTCTAGCCTAGACTGCAAAGCTTAATCGAAGCCCGCCAGCTAGCGACGAACCGGCCTCAAGTTTGAGTGGCAACATTTCGTTCCTTTCGTCTGGTGTCTAGTCAAGGGCACGATCCCGATGGCGTGGCGGCAGGCGTTGGCGGTATTTGGCATGTTTGGGACCTCAGGCGGAGGGTCAGGTGAACAGCCATTATGGAGTGCTGCGTTGTCTCTGCTACATCCCAACCCTTCCTTGTGCTAACCATTCGTCGTGGCCATATCGAGATCCATCCGTGCGACAGTGCAACATTTCCCGCCCAGGAGCTAGACCTAGTACCAAATCTTCTAGTGAACTCTGGGTGAACATCTGGGGAGGAAGTCGGTCGGGGAAGGTAACCCCGTGCGGCCGTCAACGCCAAATGCCAAGACCACCGTAGTGGTATCGCCCTTCCATGGATCAGAGCAAGCTAACACTGGACCCTTTCCAATATGGATAGTCAACAGATTGGCCAGCCAAGAAGTGTGTCTTTTCCTTTGCGATACTGCAGCGGTGAAACCCACGTGGATTCAGATTCGGTTTCTTATTCGACATCTCCAGCTGCCTAGTTAGATCTTCAACTCGGCCAACATTGTACATATAATTGGAATAGAAACCGTGTTTTTGCCAAATGATGGTGAAAAAGTAGCAATCGACGATTTTCTCTGCCTGTCCATCACCAAAGAAGGTCGGTCGAAAGAGGCTCGTAGTCCTCAATACAGACTTGGTGTGGTATTCCCCTGCCCTCTTACATTCGCGAGTGCATTCCTCGTAATAACGATTGACTTTGGTTTAGGTCGAAGCTGACTATAGAAAAGGCTTTGGGAGGCAATTCGTCATGGCAATTCTCAAAGACTTCCGCGAAAGGCTCAAATCCTTCAGCCCGAAGGAGAGGAGGGCCATCTTCTTCTACATCTGCGGCATCATGCTATACAAATTCGGCCTGGAGGCGTTCAACGGTTCCATCACTGCACTGGCGACCAACCGATACGACTACGAGAGCGACACCAACGGTACCCCCTCGCGCACCTTTGAGCGTCTCGGTTTGCTCCAGGGGCTGAACCAGGCGACACAGTGTGTCGGCTCCATTCTCATCGCCCCCCTCATTAAGCACTACCCAACTAAGAACGTATTGTCGTCTGCCATCCTGCTTTTCGGCCTGATGACGGCAATACTACTTGTCCTCGATGCCGCGACTGGCGGCACCTTTGTCCCGGAAGCCTACCGCAAGAAGCACCCCAAGGACGAGTGGTCCTACTATGGCGACTATAACAATGACGCCATCATCCCCATCTACACCGTCACAGGTATCGCCTATGGCATGGTCGAGCTAATCCGACGTGTCATCCCCCGAGACATCGTCGGAGGCAACGTCCAGAAGCTCCGTCAGATGGACAGTCTGGTGCACATCTTTTACGAAGTCGCTGGTACCTCAGGCGCTTTCGTCACCGCCCTCGTTTTGATCCCCAACCTCGGCAACAACCGATCTTTCGTCATCACTCCGATCTGCTTCTCGTTTGCCGCCATCCTGTGGTTCTTCGTCGTTGACGGAAGCTACGAGCGCAACGCACTTGCCCGAGCCGAGGCACGCAAGAGCAATTACTTTGTTGCCATCGGCAAAGGCTTTCTCCTCTTCTTCGAGTCTATCTGGGTCGGCGCCAAGATCCTCTTCACATCGACACGATTTGTCTGGCTCGTCCCGGCATACGGCGTCGCTCTTTACGGCCACCGATACCTCGAGAACGGCGTTGCGCCCCAGGTTGCGCGTCGCTACCTCGGCAATTCGGCTTGGTCGCAGATCATGGTGGGAGGCTCCAACTTTGGCGAACTCCTCGGCGCCCTCTTCGTCTTCCTGTTTACGAATGTCATCAAGACGCCCATCCCCTGGTTGCGACTGGATGCCCTCATGCTGTTGATTGTCTGGTATATCCCCTATTGGTACCCGCCCTCGGGTCAGGTCGGTCAGGCTTGGATCGTTGCTGCTACGTTCCTCCCGGTATCCTTTGGATGGGCTGCTGGCGACGTGTCTCTCGCTGCTTTCATTCAGGCCTCACTGGCACGTCTCGAAAGCAAGGAGCATCGGGTATCTCCCCTCGGTGCCGTCATGGCCTTCTTGTACTCGTTCTACATTGTCACCTACGCGATCGCCGGCACCTTCCTGGGACGGTACCTCGACGGTGTCTACAACCGCACCGGCTCCGTGCGTGAGGCGCTGGTAAACACGGCGGGAGTTCACTTCACTATCATCATGGTTGTTGTTTTCGCGTCGACGTTCATTCCCAAGGGTTCCCACGCTTTCAACCCGGAAATGCTGGATGACACAAAGCTTGACGAAGATGTTGAGGAGTCTCCGTCGCCGTCAGAGAAGGACATGGTGGATGATCCCAAGCTAAATGAGAAGGCACCCGCCATTGTTGTTTGATTGTTGCGTGTGGCCAAATATGCTCTTTGCTTTTCGTATAATCCGGGCCATGTGGTCTGATCCGAGATCCCTTGTGCTTATTGGGGACTAATTCCATAGGGTATTTGTCGGATCGCCTGAGAAGAAGTTGGACAGCGTAGCCATGATGAAAACCCGAGCATCGCATGCGACTGACGAGCTGTGTCCGGGCTCCAACATCCTAAGACTAGTCTCGGGTAGTGTAGTAGCAGGGAACTATTGAAATCATTTTCGAAAGGTCTTGTAATTGAACCATTGTGTGGATTCCTGAAAATGTGATATTGGTAACTACCAAACAAAACGCACAACCCATTAGCCATTGACAGCTAGAACATAATCGAACACGAATCTCAAACTATCCACAACCGAGGTCGTATCCACCTCCAGTTGCCAGTCTGTGATTATCCTTCAGAATAGAGCTGATTCTTCCTTGACCTAACGGTAGCTTGAATTCCACTTGAACCGACGAAGGACGTCTAGCCAAACCATCTTTCCCGACACTCACCAAAAGGGACATTCAAGCCCACGGCTGATCCTCTGGGTGACGCGAGACCGGACTGAACCGCAAGCCCATCTGATTCAAATACACTCCAAAGTCATCTTCTTTCTTGATATGTCGCGGCAAGATCCAACCCCCGGCCACGGGGTTGAAGAACTTGACTCTCACGCCCGGGCTCTCATGTACATTCGCCGGCTCCCACTCGACTCCTGGGCCAGGCGCCTCTTTGGAAATCCACTGCCCCCTCTTTCGCATGTCCTTCTTGACAGTCTGGTACCATTTCTTCCTCTTCGCGAAGCCGACCCGCTCGCAAGACGGGTCGTGCTTGTCGCGGAGGTCCCGTTCGGTGTCCGCGTCGTCGGCGGCTTCGGCGACCGCGAGCTCCAATATCTTCTGCTTGAGGGCGCGGGTGGAGCTGAGGGTGCGGCGGAGAGCTTTACGATGGTACCAGAGGGCTTGGTGGCGGGTGAGGGCGGCGCGGTAATCTACCAGATGGCGGTAGATCCGTGAGGCGGGGCGGAGAGTTCGGGAGGCGTCGGCGTAGAAGGCGTGGTAGAGGGTATCGCGGATCTCGCGGTGACGAAGGTGGAGGGTGCCGCGAGCAATGCAGAGGTCGATGTGTTTTGGAGACTTGAAGGAAATGTCAGATACACATCCACAAGACGATGAGGAGGAAAGAGGTGTTCGAATAGGCGGATGGTGGTTGGTATCTCCATACCTATATTTGCGGAGCCAAAGAGAAGTACCAGGGACAATGGAGAGTAGACTTACCGCGTTCTTGGGAGCTTTGCACCCTTCTTTTCGGTATTGATCCTCAAAGCCTTGCATCTGGTGATACAGAGCCTTTGCGTTGGCCTTGGTGAAGGGCTTTGAGTGGACGCGTTGTCGGCGCCGAGGGCTAGCAGGACCATCCCCGGTTATGTTATGCGTAAGATCCCTCTGTTTCTTGCGATCCGGAGACATACGGGCTCCCAGGATGCCTGAAGGGAGTCCGTGTTTGCCTACCATTGTTGGGACTTGGACAAAGAAAGGGACTCGGCCGTCTTGTTGAAAATCCCAGAATTGGGTAGGAGGGTGGAGCTGTATTGTTTGTAAGTGCGGCATGTGAATCTTTTCTTTGAACTAGCAAAGAATTAGATAATCCTTGGACGCCAGCAGCAAACTTCCGGTTGTTAGGTGTTAGTGTGAACACCAAGTTGATGAGTCAGGATGAAAGGCAGTAAATGTGTTTTCATCTGGTCTGGATTGCGGTTTTATCCATCTCCATCAGAGTCTACAGGCCTGAAGGCGAACACGAAATGATTTAAGCTGAGGTATTGAGATCACAGGCCTCAGCTTGCATTGAGTAGGATTGACCTTCAGTCACTGGCAGTTATTCTCTTTTCTTTGTCCTTGCATATCTTGGATTATCTGAGGATCGAGAGCTAAAAATGACTTTGACTCTCAGCATATGCCAAGTGGTCCTAACGCCTAAGGGTTTTTAAGTCATAGTTTGGGTGATAATTCTGCTGGGACACCACGACAGACCAATTCAAATATTATACGGCATGGAACGCGACCCTGGTAATCTCTTTTAATAAGGTGGGCAGGTGACAGCGCAGCATCTGGCTTCATACGATCCAAAGATCCATATCAGTTCTCAGATATTGGTTCCAGGTAGTTGTCACGATCTTCCAAATTTGCCAACGACCACACTTGGGGTGGCTGGTCTGCTGTCAGACTTCACGAGACAGGTCACTCCTTCCTCCTTCTGCAGTGCCCGTGTCTCCTGTTCAATCCTTGACTTCCTGCTGTCTATCAACATCTCTTTCCCGATACTCATCTGTTTTGCCTCGCAGTTTCCATCATAGGTATGCTAGGCTCGCCTGTCGTCCACCCTCCCCCACTCGACCAACCTTGATCAACAAACGATCTCCCCGACCCTTAAACCTCTCTTGTTTTTGAATGTCAACGCCCCAAAAAGACCGGGAGCGCAAAAAATACTAAAAAATAATTGAAGCTTTCGTCCAGGAAATATTCACTCACCGCTCCATACCCGCGCAAAGACTCCATTCAGCTCGCCACACAAAACGCTGTCACCGGAGCCCAACCACGATGTCGCTCTCATTCGACCTAACGGTGTGGGAAAGCGAGGAGTACTACAAGTTCTGGAAAGCTAAGCAAGAAAGACTGGCCGATGAGGCTAAACGGACCATGACGAAGAGGACTCTAGACTTTTTCGAAGAGGCGCTTGAAGTAGCCAGACTCCCCTATCCGAATCCCTTCTTGCCTTACCAAGCCTCATGCTAACTTCTGACTAGCGCTTCAGCGCCGAAGACTCGCTGGCACGCATCTTTCCAAAAACCCAACAGATTTACACCGAATCCGAAAACAAGGACGAAAAAGCCTCTACAGGCGCGGCCGATCGAGACCTTCCAAACATTCCCAGGCGGTCCGGGAGAGAGTCCAGTTCCTCATGGACGCATTTCAGCAAAGAACAAGGGAGGTGGGGACCGAGTACTCTAGAAGTAACCCGACAGCGAAAGAAGAGATTGCTGTTCACATAAAGGAGCTTCGGGAAGAGTTCTTCAAGAAAGTCACGCATGTTCACGATCAAGAGTCCTTCTAGACAGAACAGGTTTCGTTGGGATGCAATTAAAGATAAGATTCGATGCGACTTAAGCATGCATTAGAGGTGGTTCAGGAAGGCTATCAAGCTTGGGAAGTAGATAGTATTCAATATGGATATGACAGAGGTTTGCTCTGTGGCAGGCAAAACGAATACGATAATGAGAAACAATAATAGGCTTCGAGAGATCCTTCGATCGTTCTCTCGTAATTCCACCCATCGTTACTTTAGTGGACGCGTTTCCTTCGCGAACCGTTGATTGACGATACTCACCTCGTGCTTGCCGGTCTGTCTCTGTACATTGCCTGGAAGAACAAGTACCTCGGGTAGGTATGGCAACTGCAACAAAGTTATGGATGGCGTACCTATAGAGGACTTCTGCTGAGGCATTTCTTTGAGCGAGGTGGAAAAATTGCCATCTACCTCGGAAACATCGGAATTGTAGGGCTGGGAGCGAAATGACACTTGAAGAACCGAAAGCGTCGATGAGAAGCCTCATTCAGGTAATCTAGCGACGACTCCTGACACAAATTTAGTGATAATCTTGCATTGTCTACGGGCTGATATCACTGCTGCTCTCCTCTTCTTTGCCACAACTGATTAACGAAGTTCGGCTTCTCCCCTAAGCTTCCTCTCTTGTCTTTTTATTTATGCGACGAGGTCCACAATCCACCCCAAGCCGTACGTAAAAGTGCATGATTGTCTGCTGCCACGATACCGTTTCTTAACGATGCATCATCCCTCAAGCCGCTGGGGCGGAATCACCGTCCTTCCTGTCAGGCTCATGCTCGTAGTTCTCGATCCACTCGATGACCCGCGCAAGCAGCCCTTCGATTCCCGTGAGAAACTTGTCAAAACCTTGTTCGATTTCCTCGAGTGCCTTAGCCGTCGTCTCGTCCGACGTGTTCTTGCGAAGGTCCTGGACGGCGGCCTGGGAGTTGATAGCTGTGGTGCGCATGGCAAAGATCTGGGTCTTGTACTCCAGGACAAGCTTGTACTCCTCCGGGGTCTTGGCGGTCTCGACGACCTCGGCAATGTTCATGGAGCTGAGGGCCGACGCAAGAATCTCGCATGTCTTCATGGCTTCCTTGAGACTCGTGTTGACCGGGGTGTCCTGATAGGGGAGTGTTAGGATCTGGCGCGAGAGAATGCCAGATGCAGGGGGTAAGATAACTGTGTACCTCGGGACCCGGCTCAGGTGCTTTGTCCATCTCGAACTCGCGTATATTATTCGTTTTGGATGCCAGAAAAGCTTTAAATTATCTCGGTGTCAATCAAGGACTAATGACGTTGCTGTGTGAGCATGGTTGGAGACTTCGAGATTGGTAAGATGAAGTTGGAAGCTCACCGACGAAGGCCGTCGGACAGGGACGAATGCTGCTGACGGAAGGGATCTTTGAACTTTCCTTTCCAGAGTTCCCGGTTCTTGTTCTGCGACTTCTTTCCTCTGGCGTCTAATAAGCTTGCTTGAAAACAAGCGGGAAGCTGGGAACAATGGTCATGCACTTCGTTGCTGTTGCTGTCGACTACTGCCATATGGAGGCAAGCATGGCCATAGGTAATGCAGTTGCGATGCACGAATGGCAAGAGGGACTAGTTGGCTTGTACGGCCCAACCCATGAGAAGAAGAAACCAAAAACGTGCAGATTGGCATATCTCGCTAGCATAGCGCGGCAAATCTTGCTCACCTAGGTAGGATCCCACAGCGCTGACAGATTCTTGTTGATTCCAACCTTTACAGTTGCATTGGATTTTTCCACACAAAAATGCTTGACTTATCCACCATCTTAGGTTTAAATTCCTTGCACAGTCTCTACATATTGGATATCATCCATGCCGATGTTGAAACAATGGCACTTATCTGCCGTGGATCTCTGTCGAAAGTTCTTCACTTTGCATTCAGACTTGGACAGATCCTCTTTGAATCCAGTGGTAGCTTTTCATCGTCGAAAGGGTAAACTCGGGCCCCCACTAAACGCCGCTCCTTCGGTGTCTTAATCATGACCGTCTATCGACATTTTGGTATTCCAAGCTAGTCCACTCATATTATATCTAGCCTTTGGTCTACGATGATCTCGATGCCTTTGACAGACTTGGTGGCAGCCTATGGGCAGACCTGAGTTTCTCAACCTCATTGATTGTCGTGGTCCAAGCAGCAATATAGATCTTCATCTTGGCAACAGCTCTGAGGGCTTCAGTGTCCATTTGGGTATCATCCTTGTTCTGCCATCTTTCAAACACCTCAGAGAGCTTCTGCCTGACGGTTTCCGAGTCAATCGCCATAACTCCACGCTGGGCTTTCAATTCCTCGATCACAATGGCGTAAAACCCGAACATTGGCTTTAACACAGTCGGACGCAATAAAATCAGCCAACTCTCTCAGGAACAGTGACTTCAATGGAGATGGCAGGAAATTAGGGGAGCATGATCTTTTACCTCGTGTGGCACCTTGTAGTCAGCTGGCAGCTCCATGAACTGGCCCACTATCTTGAGTATTTCTATGCACTTTGGCAAGGCGCACGGGTAAGGATCAATGTGCCAATCCTGTTGCATCATCAGGACAAATATTTCAAAGGCCAAGTCACTAAAAAAAGGCGAATAGGTGGTTGGCTTACAGTCATTTGTGAGGGATCGGGGCACGCATTTTTCTTTTCCTCCGCTGCGCTGTTCTTGGGGTTGTTAAGAGGCATTTTACAGCAGAAAGCGCCGGGTTGTGATGTAATTCGTCAGTCTGAACTGGAGGTTGAAACGCCCGGAATTGATAACAGACACGATCTCAAGTGATTTAAGAAAATTTGATACAACTAAAAAAGTTTCACTTGAATCTCCTTCAAACTTCATGATCTGGCCTATACCTTTTGTCAACACTGTACCATTACGAATTCAGCGCGATACCTCCTGAAAGTCTTTGCTATGCTTTGCTGTGCTACCAGCCATTTTCTCTTTTCGTCATTGCTTGATGTGACAGCATTGTTGTGTCTTTTCCTCGATTTTCTTTATTATGCGTCATTCCTTTGAACAATCTAGGTGTGCTAGGGCATAACTTGCATTTGCCAGTCAAATATAGTCTACCTGGCTCACCTTGCATCTGGGAACAAGTGAAACACAGGTGAACACTCAACTTTGCTACCATTCTTGGTCGTACAGGTTAGAACTAAGTGCGTTTCTTGGGCCGGTTTGGGCACAAAGGAGATCAAGCAGCTCGTACCGCTTGATTGACTCACACCTATTCCAACCACGATTTCGCTTCTAGAAGAACACTGAACGTGTGCTCAGTAGAAGGACGTTTCTGGTTTTGTGTACATGTTAGCATGATTCTTGGGAATAGATCATGAAAGGACTCATTGTCCCTACCTAGAGGCCCTTGAGCGATCTACAACTTTCTCTTCGAAACAAGACAACGACTGGAGAAATGTTTGCTCTCTATACTATTAATCCATGATTTCTTTATCTTCCTTGACAATTTCTCTTTAAGGCCTTTTTAGAAAACTCTGTGTTGGCCCGAAACCAAGACCAGCTTCCAACTTGGTACCAATCAGGGCATATTTGTTTCCCAAACCCTGTGCCCAACTACCAAGCCCATAATTCAGCTTCACAGGAAGCAGGCCAAGAATCCACGACAGTGCATCAATCCCGACGTAATCGAGTTTAGATCGTGGAAGCCAAAGAAAAAAGCAAAGAAGCGACTAACGGCCCAAAAGCATTTCTGACGTGCTCGATCAGATTGTGTCCATAATTGATCATAAGGCATGAGAGCTCGCGGACTGCGTAGGTCTGGCGCAAATATTCAGCGACCAATCGAAAAGACAGAACCATTTCATGACGGTAAGGAGCGAATAAGGCAATGCGTTGGTGACAATTGTCCAGATGGCGTGGGTGTCAATGATATGATTGTTATTGCTGCTCCTTTTGCCGCTGTTGTCGATTGTGATCATTCTGTTGCTGTGAACAGAACTGTCGCCAGAAGTAGGTCCATCGGAAGCGATGTTGCTATTACCAAAACAGTTCATATTGGTGTCATTGACAATACCGATGCCGGAGTTACCCAGGGTGCTGTTCTCATTGTTACCAAAAACATTACCAATGCACGCCAAGGTGTCATTGAGGACGTACCAGTCGATGTTGTTCACCATATCGGAAGTTGCAGGGAGATTTGGGACAAATGTTTTCGTCAAGGGAGCCTCGGAGTCATCATCAATGTTGTCGTCATCGTCGTAGCCGGCCTGGCGGCGTGTCTCTTGCAGTTGCATAATACAACTAAGTAAATATGTTTCCATTGAAGCGACAGCTTCGCCATAGGAGCGGAAGGGATACCTTCTTGCCTCTTCGACTCCGCCGTTGTGCGTCGCGGCCGCGACGCGTTACAAGGACTCCATTGGATTCGGACATTGTTCGTCTCAAGTTGGTGGGCTTGCTTAGTGTGGCTTCTCAACGTAATGAATGACAGAAAGTAACCAGCTTATTATTTTGATGGAAGTCTAAAGCATGAGTGAGGAAAGAATTTGCTTTTGACATTCGGTTATTTTCGTAGGCAAGTCCGAAAGAGGGAGGGCGCGGGCTGGAAGGTACTTAAGGTGGAAGCTGAGACGAAGGAAGGAGCGTGTCTTTGCTTGGCTGGTTGGGCATCAACTCGGATAGTTCAAAGAGAGACCACCCCAACACCGAGTCAAACGAGAGACGGGGAAACTAGAGACATAATTCTTCTAAATCAGAAAAGCCGCGTTGGTCTGGCTTGACTTGATAAATCCACAGGTCCAAGGTCTGCAGGTTTTCTATGCAAGTCGGGCCATTTTGTTACTCTGTCTGTCCACGATATAGCAAGTTGATACATATGCAGCGGTTATCTGGGGTAAGATTCGTCCAGAAGTTACTTCTAATGGTCGACAACGGGGACATAAAATCAAAACAATGGCTAGAGACGACCAGAATGGCACAGAACGGGACAGCACAGAATACCGGAGGGTATCCAGAAATACGACAGTGTGGCACGGGCAAGAGATTTCTGAATGGCCTCAGTAATCTTCAATTATCACTAAGATACAGGTGTAAGTTTTGGACGCACTGATCTGTTTCCCAAACTTTTCCCTCCAACAGTGTCAATCTCAACTACAACTTGTTGTGATTGAATGCGAAGGTAACCTCATGACGATTTTTCCATGCCTTTCTTTACTCCTCGTCCAACTCAGGGTAATGGCGGTAGATTCCCTCAGAGTACTTCTGTCTACGATCGCTGGCGAGGTAGTCTTTGATCTTGGGACGCTCCTTGACCGCGTCGTAGAGCTCGAAGAGAGCCTTGTAATTGCCGCTTCCCTCAAGGCGCTGGAGAGCATGGGGGAAGGCAAACTTGACGCCGTCGATGCACTGCAACAAAAATCAACATCGGGTGGCACCATAACCAATCTTATGGTACGACTCACCTGGAATACCACTAAGTCTGCGTACGTCAATGACTCTCCATAGAGCCAAGGTCCCTCGCCACTGGCCTTGCTCTTCAAAACCCGCTCAAAGTAGCCGAAGAATTTGGGTAGTCGATTTGCGATGTAATCCTTCGCCCGGCGCTTGCTCTCCTCCTTCTGGTCCTCATAGTATAACCCCGTCGCGATAGGGTGGTGTGTGTCGTGGGCCTCATTGCTCAATCCATCCAGGGCCGTCAGCGCCAGCGCATTAACGCGGTAGATACCGTCATCATCTTCGGTAATCTTGGGTGCCAGACCCAATCGAGGACCGAGGTACAGTAGGATGTTTGGTGTCTGACTGATGAGAAGATCACCGTGCTTCAGGATCGGCGGTGCTAGCGGCGGCGGGTTGAGCTCGTCGCCAAGATTCTTGTCGTCGATCTGGGCCAGCACGGTCTTGATGCCGTCTTCGATGTGCGCGGTGTCGATGTATTCAGCACCCGCCTCCTCGAGGAGAAGCCGAATATGCTCGCCTCGTCCGGGAAGGCCGGGCCAATAGATGAGCTCATAGGGAACGTCCTTGGAGGACCTTTGACGCTTTGCGCTCGGGGTGTCAGCCATGGTGACAAGTATTGATGTGTTTGGGGATAAAATGGGATGTCAATTGATACAATGGTGAGATGAATGAGGGGTCGGGAATGGCGGTGTGGAACAGCAAGGCTAGAGGTACAAGTGGTTAAGTATGGCTGATGGTTGAGCATGAAGTCATAGGGTTTCGCTCAGGTCATTCTGCCGCCAGGGGTAACACGGCGGGGTGGTGGGGCTTTTGCATCCGATGGCGGGGCAGCACGGCACCGTGATGAACGGCTGGCCCGAAGTCCGTCTCCCGCAATCCAGAGCACCCACTGGGCAAAGAATGATATCAGTTTGTATCGAAATAACGACGCTCGGTGAGACACTAAAGTATATACAGGTATTAGAAACTATCCTAACTTCCGGAAGACTCGATTCACGAAAAGCCGGCGGACCTTTGCCAAAAGCGGCGGAAACCTTTAGAACTCATCTCAAGGAAGACCTCACGCATGCGATATTATTTACCTCCGTAATACAGCCCCAACAAACACTCTGCAAAGATCTGAAGGCCATTCACATCGCAAAAGGAAGCTTTACGCTCGCCGTTACAATAGCATGAGCAGGCTTGACGACCAGTTTGACCTTTTACTTTGATTAATGGGTTATAAGTTCTGACTGTGAAAATATGCCATAGATGACCTAGGAAGCCTATCCTGTCAAGCTCGCTGGTAACCTTTCCAGACTATCAGCAATTTTTGCTGAGATGAAAGTCTTGTCGATTTTGGAGGCGATGAGAGTTTTCACGCCCTGGATGGTCAAACAAAATATCAGGTCAAACCGAAATCATACAGGAGGGGAGCATAGCAAGTTATCTCTATTTGTATTCAAAGTGTTGATCATGTGATGCTCAGTGTCTCGGTTGGCAATAACCGATGCGCCCACTTCTGAACCTTGCGCTCGTTGACATTGGGTCTTCAAAAAATGGGTTTAAATCAAGAACAGCACTATAATGAGTTTGTAGCCAGGTTATTTCTCAGGACGTTTGCTTAGGGTGCTTCAGAAACCATGGGCCAGTGATGGTTGAGAAAGACTGTAAGGCTAGGTATTGGTCCTATTCAAGTATTACGGTCTTGCTACTCTGGGCTACGCCCGTCGACAATCCGTCAAGGCCATGTTCTCCAGAAATGCAAGGTGATTTGGAGATGCCAATATGATCCTGAAAATTAACCTGACCCATCACAGCTCCACGTCTTGGTATCTTGTAAGAATTCTCATAAACCCTTATCATATTTGTGTACTTGAACTAGCATTATTCGACTTCTTATGATGATTCACAGCCTTTTTGCTATGAAGCTGGATACAATGTGATGTGACTGACTGTCTGGTGCTGCCGCTCGGTTTTGAGCTGTGTCAGTTGGTTTCTCTATTTAATCCCAGGTTTCCCTTAAAGCGGCTCGGGTTGGCAGGCAGGTCGCTTCAACTCCTTATTTAAGGTTTTTTTGTACTGTTTCAAGCAGGGTCCACTACACATGACATAGCACAGTTACTAGAACCAAGTATACCGTCAAACACAAAGCTTATGAACGACTATGAACAAAAGACCGAAAAAAGGAGAGCGGAGTAGGTCTCAACCCTATGATGCCAAGATACGAGCCAACTTAGACTGAATTAATAACTCAGTGCATATCCTAGCAGTTGCAGTTCGGTTCCCGAAAGATGCGAAATGGCGAGTATGTCCCCGAGGCCGGGATTTGCGGTACGCAACACGCAGCGCGGCACGGACCTTTGGAGTCCGGCGGGCATCCGCGGATGGCCGACTAGACTTCATTTGACAGACGCCCCTTCATTATAATAAGCCATGAAAGGCGAATGTGGTTGATTACTGGATAGAGGTGTCCAAGAGACAACAACAACAACAACAACAACAGCTCACGAAGGCCACCTGTTTCGGCCACTGCATTCAAGATGACTACCCTCGAGGTCACCGAGCCAGGGATGCTCAAATTGGGCATCTTTGAGAAGCTGGATGCGACGCATCGCCTGTTCGGCATTGTGGCCGCAGCCACCGCCATTGCACTATACGCTCTCTATCGATACCTCCTCCCGAACCCCATTCCAGGAATTCCGTACAATCCATCAGCACTTGCATCTGTATTTGGCGATATTCCAGCTATGGTCAAAAACTGCAACGGCAGCCCTATGCGCTGGATGGCGGCTCAAGGTCATCGCTATTCCAGCCCCATCTTTCAGCTCTTTGTAACGCCCTTTGGGAAACCCTCAGTGGTTGTCACCGACTTTCGTGAAGCACAAGACATCCTCATGCGCCGGAAAGAGTTCGACCGGTCCGATTTTTCGATCGATCTTTTGGGTGGCGAAATCCCACACTTTCAAATCAACCTCAAAACAGGGCCAGAATGGAAGGGCCACCGACGACTGTTGCAAGATTTGATGACACCAGTGTTCCTGAATGGCGTTGCGGCACCCAACATTTACACGAGCGCAGTCCATCTTGTGGAATTGTGGAAAGCGAAGGCGCGTATCGCAGATGGAAGACCCTTCTCGGCAGAAAAAGACATCTATTTCACCGCACTGGATGCGGTTTTGGATTTCGGATTCGGTGACAGCTGCCTTCATCGGGCATTGACTCCGCAACTCAAACTGCTCCGATCGACAGAAGAGCAGCCGGCTCACGACCGTGTTGGTCTTGCTGGTACTGTAGAGTTTGCTGTTGTCCAGCCTCACGAGTCTATCGAAGCTATTTTGGCGGCCGATGAGGTCATCCAAGATGTCGCGAACTCGGGTTTCATGAAACTTACGTGGTGGTGGAAAGGCCTCCAGCCACGGCAAAGGAAGCTCAAGAACATGCGAGCTGAGTTTGTCAGAGAGCAAACTGCCCATGCCATTGAAAAACTTCACAAAGATGCGGACGAGGAGAACGAATCCTGGGTCAAATCTGCCGTCGAGCTGATCATTCAGCGGGAGCGCAAATTTGCCAAAAAGGAAGGCCGCGACCCGGTCTATTGGTCACCAGTCATGAAAGATGAAGTAAGTTCCTCCACCAGTTAGTTCTCTTATCCAACCACTAAACTGACGGTCCAAGCTTCTCGGCTTTATCGTGGCTGGCCACGACACCACCAGCACTACCCTTTGCTGGGGTGTAAAGTATCTGGCCGATTGCCAACGCGCGCAGAATAAGCTTCGCCAACACCTGCGGGCCGCACACGCCGATGCGCTTGCTGAAAAACGTGCCCCCTCGCATAATGAAATCAGCAAGGCCAAAATCCCCTACCTTGACGCCGTCATTGAAGAGATCTTGCGGCTGGCTCACACTGCCCCAGTTATTGATCGGCAATGCACCCAAGATACGGTGGTTCTTGGGCACCACATTCCAGAGGGTACAATAGTACTCATGCCTAATGTCGGCCCCAGCTTCACGTCGCCTCCAATTGAAATCGACGAGAAGCTGCGTGGTGAGACGTCCCAGTTGGCGGCCAAAGAACGGGGCATCCGTTCGTGGCCTGTGGGCGACATGGAAGCGTTTCGGCCAGAACGGTGGCTGGTGTCTGATCAGGAGACTGGGGAAGAAGCTTACAATGGTACTGCCGGGCCGACGATCCCGTTCGGATTAGGCACAAGGGGCTGCTTTGGACGCAAGTTGGCGTACCTAGAGCTGAAGCTTCTAGTAACCATGATCATCTGGAACTTCGAGTTGCTGCCGTGCCCTCAAGAGATCTCAACCTACGGACCCATCGAAGGCATTACGTCCAGGCCAGAACAATGTTATGTTAGACTGGGTCAGGTAATTCTTTGAGCTGGTAGATCCAGTCCGTCAACGGCTTTATAGCATTGCACAACACCTAGACATCATATCAGCTTTGTGGTCACAGTCAACAGAAGAGCGATGCCTGAGAAATCAGACTACTAATTACTGTAATAAAAAACCATCCTGTCGAGGTGGGACTTCAAGTTAGAAGTTAATGAATGGGTGGACATAAAATAAAGTCCGAGAACATATAAATCAATACCATGGGAAAGCAAGGCTGATCACATTCTTGAAAGCACGAGGGAACAAATGAAAGCAAGAAAGGATAATGAAATTGAAGAAATGTCCAGAGAATGCATGGTGAAAGATTACACCAAAGGAAACACCATGATGGCCATATAACTCTCAACAGTGAAGACAGAGAAGGGTTGACTCTATCTGACAATCTTTCCAGTGGTAGCGTTGAAAAGCAGGAAACATTAAAAGCAGGAAATATTGGACCGTTTTGTGACTTTTCATGATGCAACTCCAAAAAAAACTCCATGAAATCCAATGTGACTGATTATCCTAATTGACGGAGCATGTCTCATGTGACTCTTCTCAAAGATTGCGGAACACATGTGGAGGGTTTCTTGCGGGAATAATTCCTCCAGGGAAACAACACACCCACTTCGACTAATTGGAGACTGGTGGTGCAGAAAGGTACAAATAGACTCGTTATTGTTAAATAAGTGTCGATGGAAGAATCCGATCGCGCCTATCTATCCAAGTCCGTAATAGAGGAAAATACAGCTTTTGTGTTAGTGAGTCCTTTCCATATCAACATACCAAGAAGCCGTGCTGTGGTCAGTTATTGATAGGAACTGAGATCGCTGTCCGCGGATTGCGGTTTCGCGCTCCATGACTTCAGGCACCTGGCTTCCTGCTCATCAATATCCCGGCACGACTAGCATTGTATCCCCAAACTAAGTTCATGAGTCATGCAATCCGCCATAAACCCCCTACATGAACAAGTAGGAGATATGGTGCATCGTTGCTCATGGTTTCTTTGTATCTACTGCCAGGTTCGCTGTACGCGACCGCACTGGATGGTTGTGTTGAAATACCTCGCGTGCAGCATCGGATAACAGGGTCAGCTTATGTTTATGAGTTTTCAAGACAAGAACCATATAAAATATCATTGTAAGTTCGAAATGGAGGATGTCGTACTCATGTTGGGGAGGCTTTTGCTCTCGCAAGTCGCACAGTTAAGTCGCAGAACCGATCTCCGTATTTCCCTCCATCTGGGAATTTATAACCACCTGCTACTTAAGAGAATAGCTACTAGCAGTCTTTGAATTATATTCTATTTTAAACCTTCAAGCCGCAACAGTAGCGATTTTGTATCCTGGCTGGGTGACATAAGTGCTGAGAACATCTTCGGCTCCTGAGTGGTCACACATGTACTTAGGGGTGCCTGTCTGCACCGTAGCAACGAAATGGGTCAGCCGGCCCTGAATACCAATAAATGCAACCCAATAAGAGATACCAGAAGCATTGTTTGGGAAAATAATAGTCGCATTGTAAAATGGGACAGAGCAGGGTGTTGTAGATAGACACGGTTCACGTCATCCCTTCAAAAATAACTATTAATGTCATCAGATGAAGCCAAAGAGCGTGAAGATCATAACACTCGCCGTTGCAGTGAGCTAGCTCGCCCTCTTTATTGTCGATAATGTCGAACTCATAGATGAGCGTGTAGTTAGTCAACGTCCGGGCGAAGGCATTAGTGATCTCGACTTCATGGGCCTCCGAGCGGTCAATCATGGGGACAGCGGCGGCCACAAAGGCCGCAGACAAGATGGTGGAAAAGAGCATTTTCTTGTTGTGATCTTCTTTGGAAATTTAAGGAGTTATGGTGTGAATATAAGGAAAGGGTAATGTCGAATGGGTATTTGGTTGTGTTTGGCACACCTTGGACTGCTCTATATATATTGGATGTTTATCTTCTGTCCACGTGATTCTCTACCAAACCTACATCTAGACAAACTGACTCCATTTTACCACTCTTTGCAAATACGAAATTGCAACGTGCCTAGGGAAACGTGTTTTACGTTACAAGAGTGAAATTAGTTCGTAAAGAGGCAAGCCAGGAAATTCAAAATGGAAGTTTTGCGACCCGCTGGAACCACCATCATTCATGGTCCACCCACGAATAAGTACAATAGATGATGCCTGAAAAGGAAGATGAAGTTTTGATAATGGGGCAGGAGATAGGTCCCACATCCCTTCTGGCAGCCCTCTCAGAGTCGCTGAGGAAAAGGGCTGCCATAACAAGGGTGTTAAAACGGGGGACGACACACAGAACCCGAAATAATCACCAACGGAAAAACAAACCAACAAGACTCATAATGTATGTGCGAAAGCGGCTAGCTATTGGTTAGGCTGTTTTTGTACTGCACCTTCAGTCAGCCTTATGCAGTTCCATTAGGGGTTTTTCTTTTCTAGTCTAAAACTGCGAGACACCAGTATGGTGTCAGAGGCTGGAGTCGTACAGAGTAACGAGGTCGGCGATGGGCACAGGTAGGGGTGGGTGTTGACTGTTATTCTAATTTGCCTTTTCCCCTAGGTCTGCTGTAGCTGCTCCTTATATGCCCCCTAGGTCCCCCCCCTTTGACCGAGCCTAGTTCCCCTGGCTATAATACTAATTCCGCGGCGTTGTGCTACTGCCTTTCTCTAACGTTGGTCTCAATGACTAACCTTTGTTGTCGAAGTCTGCGTTGGCCGCCTGGCTAGAATCCCTTTATAATCCCTTGACTATGTGCCGGTGCCCCCCCCCTCCTCTGGGCGCCTGACATATGGACCGTTTTTGTCTATCCGACTATCAACTACAATCAGTTCAAGAGTCCATGCAACAAGATCCAGAACAGGAAGACCTTAGGACACGATAAGAACACGTTCAAGTTGTCTGCCTCGCTTAATGATTACGTTATGCCGTATTCATTTGTTATACTTCCATTTCTTTCTTTTCGGTTAGTAGGTATTGTAACCAATAGAAAAATTTAAGTAAGCACATTCTGGCCTCCAATTTCATGTTGCTTACAAATGAATTCTAAGCCACCAATTTCTTAATGATAAAATGCTCGCAGGTCGGCCTCAAACAGAACTCGGGCAACTTGTCAAGCAAATTTCCTCATCAATGTCGTGATGCATCGAACTTACAACATAGAAATTTTGAATTGTCCAGGTCTTACCTTGGGTCAAGATGAGAAGGCAACTCTACAAGATTCTCTGTGTAAATTGGGCACTTTATGCCTAAGCCCTCTCCCCAAGTATCAGGTTTTCGACAAAACATCTCCTCGCGCTCTAGATGACAAGCTCATCGTCATAACACGGGACAAGGGTGAACCAGTTGCTTTCCTCTCCACCATTTGGTTGCCTATTACAGGACTGAAGAAGCCACTGCTTCATTCTGGCTTGACGGTCATAAACCCAGCTTATCGCAAATCTGGAATTAATCTCGATATGTTTGCGAATCTCTTCATCCACCTCATCAAGGATTACCCTGAAGGCTTTTGGATGTCGACACTAGCCTCAGTCATAAGCTCCCTTGTTAACATGTCGAAATACACAACCCAAGTTTTTCCGTCTCCCGAATGGTCCAGCCATCACCCCTCTGGTCACCCTTCGAAACATCACCTCGCCATAGCCAGAGAAATCAGCGCAGAACACCGAGATAAGATGCTCATATCGCCAAGCGCAATCTTTGATGAGGAGCTTTTCGTATTCAGGGGATCAAATGACTCTGAGGAAGGGAGAGTGTTTCGGAAGGACGTAGATGACAAATGGTACTGGCACCGCGATCAAGAGGCGAGCAAGTTTTTCAGGAAGTTATTAAGACAAGACAGGGGCGACGAAATCCTCCAAATTTCTTTCGTAGATCCGAAACATCTTGCAAGGCATATGAAGAGTCAAAGATTTGCCGACAAGTACAGCGTGATAGCTGCAAAGGTAACATCTTTCCCAGTTGTGATATCCTACTTTACTTTGCTCACATCTCGTATAGCTATAGGAGCGTGCTACTTCTCACAGAATACTGACATATGTATTCCAAAATTCTATATGGCATTGGACGAACGTCCCCTAAACGCGGTACAGCGAGCTTTGTGATTTAATCTCTTCCCCAGTCTAGTTATCTCTCTACTTGAACATAACCAGCTACACCAACCTTGAATCACTTACAGAGCTAAGCATTGGCCAATATATATTGAAAAATGTTTCTGAAATCCGCGAGATTCGACCTTAAACCTTATTTTGACCAATGTGATTCTGGTGGTGACATCGAGTCTTTTCGAAACAATCGGTATTTATCTTTTGAAACCTCTTATGTGATAATCAAAGGTGGCTAAGTTTGATGGTGTGGGACTTGAGAAAGCTCACATCCTTTCGAGGACCCTAACACATGTGGAACCTGGATGAGATTCGAATCGATTTTCATTCATTTGTTCTTCACTTGAGTGATAACCCACAAAATAAGATCTCTTGACTATAGTCTCTCGTCGCTATGCAGATCGACTGTTCGCGTTACAGAGACTGCGGTAAAGGTAGGCTTGGAAATACTCATGGTTACTCAAATGGGCATGTACCCATTAGAACCATGGGCGGGTATGGATAGCCCATGGGTAGGAAGGGAAGTAATAGGGATGGGTATTTGATATGGGACCAACCTATGGGTAGTATGAGTTTACCCATACCACCCATGGATGAGTTTACATCTAGTCCATATCTACCAAAAATACCCGCAAATGTTTAGCTACGAAGACATCACTTATAGAACAAGTGTATTGCAATTGAGATTGCTACATTTATAAAATCTAACAGCATAAATTACAAATCAACGCCTAAAATCAAACTCTGAGAATCTTTACGTCTTTTTTGTTACCCTTTAGCCTTTGGTCTGGCTTACCTCTAATACCTCGCAAATTGAGAAATACCCATGCCGACTTGGGCAACTGGTAACTCTACTAGAGTAAACACACACTACTTGGCCCGTTTTTGTGGGTGTCCACTTATTGACTCTAGGTAAAGGCTACTCTGGAATATCACTTATTCAGTTTGATCAGACAGCGATGCCCACTAGGGACCATCAGGAAGTGCAACGCTGGTTCCATATCTTTGTTACACATTCCCTCTAAATTAGACACTGTGGCATTCGGAAATGCTTTGAAGAATCTCGCAGTGATCAGGCGAAGCTCAATTCGCGCCAAGTGTCGGCCTAAGCAGGCTTTGTGGGAAGTTAGCGATGAATCGGGCCAAAATGATGTAGGGAACATGGGAAAAAACCTACTTCGGGCGCCTCCTCCAAATGGCATGGTACAATCTTTCATCTCCTGTGTAGTATGCTCCCACCTCTCGGGATTGAAGCGGTACGGGTCTGGGAAAGCATGCTCGTCGCGGTGCAGACTGTAGGCTTGCGTCGTGACCGTGAAGCCGCCGGGGATGAACTGTCCGGCAAGCTCAGCACCGCCGGGCGGGACCAGACGAGGGAGTCCACAGGGTAGAGCTGTGTAGAGCCGCAAAGTCTCGTTGACGATCCAATTCACGTAAGTCAACTCCTTCAGCTCGTCATAGCTGTAGTCATCTGGAAGTGTGTCAAGTTCCTTCAACAACTTGGCCTTGATTTCGGGAATACTGCAAACAGCCCACACAAGGTAAATCATGGAATTGGCCGTGGTATCACTGCCTCCAACGATGAAAACCTGGGCGTTGTCACGGATCTCGATCGGTGTCCACGTTTCTTCCTCTCCAGCGTTGTAGAGTTTTGAGAATACAGTCGGGTGGGGGTCGGAGCCGGTCTCTTCCACGCGCTTAGCATGACGATCCAGCGCGCCCTGAGCGTAGTCAAAAGTTCGATATTGAATAGCAGTAGCATCCTTGAAGACGGGGATTGGCAGATAGAGTGAGAGCCAAGAGATTGTGGGAAACATAGACCGAAGGCCACCGACGAAGCCCAAGCTGACGAAGTCATCGACAGAACGATTCCTCTAAACCAAACAAAGGCAATTAGTCCACCACCCCATAGCTCCTAGGAACCAAGATAACGCACCTCGCCGTTTTCCAGATTTCCGAAAGACTCGCCGAAAGCCAAGTCGCCAATGACGTCAAAGGAGAGAAACATGAACCACTTGGCGATATCGGCTGCTCCGCGGACCTTGTTCTCATCGCGGATGCGGTCGATTGCAAAGCGTACTTTACCATCGATGCGGGGTAGAAATGTCTTCAGGCCAGTCTCTGACATGGGATTAGACAGTAGGCGCTTGTACTTTCGATGGATCTCCGGACGTATCTCGTTAAAGACACTCGAGGAGTCGGTGATCAAGAGGGAGTAGAAGGGAGACTTGAGGAAGCCGGTCTTAACGCTATGTATGCGTTGGCATGTTGCCGGGTCAGAAATGTCGACCTCATGTGGGCTGTATCGCACCACCGGGCCATATTTCGCGTGCAGCTCGTGAATCCAGTCGGGATGATGCGCAATGATGACTTTGAAAGTCGACGGAAGTGTCGTAAATCGTGTATACCACGGCCCTGGGATATTAGACAGCGGATTCGTGACACCGGCATAAATGTACTGTATCGCGCCTTGTTAGCCCAATCAATATTCGAGTGTATGTGCCTAGCAAATGCATACCGCAGCCAGTGCGACGAATAGAAGGGTGCCGCCCAGGTACAAAGTATTTATCGTTAAGAAATCCATTTTAACACAATAAATCGCAATAGCAGATGCCATACATGCGTAAGAAGTACCTTGTTCTTTTTATACGTTACGAAGTTGCATCACTCCATTTGCAGTTGTCGGAATCCCCCAACTGAACTGCGTAGCCAAAATGGCCGGTAATGAATCGTAGTATACGACGTGAAACCACACTGAAGCGACATGTGTGTGTCTCCAGTGGTATTGGGACGACAAATGGACCAGTCATGACACAGACGGAAGAGTTCGCGTTTCGGTCAAGGGGCTAAACGAGGGAGCTATGGCTTCCACGATGTGCAGAGAGTCTGCATGGACCATCTGCTAGGCGGGTACCCCCACCATATGGGCAGGCGGGATGGCCTTGCAACAAGTCAACGTAGCATGCCCCCGCAAGAAACAACCCTTGTTTGAGAGGGCATGGAAGAGGCAACACCGTCGGCGTTTTCACAAGTGCACGCGGCCAGAGTACGGATTGAAGTTGCCTCGGCCGAACAACTGGAGTTGTCCGGTATGAGGTTGATGTTGACCAGAGCATCACAAAGGAGGGTTATGTGTACATCCCATTTGCCTTCGGTTGGAAAAGGCCGACTTTTCTATCCAAGGCGCAAGCAGGTGGAAGATAGTCCCTGTCCTATGCTTTTGTTGAAGCAGGCAACATGGCAGCCTTACCCAGAAAAATGAGGTAGTCTAGGCGAACATCGGATACATACCCGGGCTAGGCACCCTGTTATTTGGGATTCGGTTTAAGCTCACCCACATAAGCAGGTGCTACAACCCACTCATACGTACAACGCAAAACATATCAAAAACTATTTTCGTTGAGATTTAATTTTAATGTAAGCGTCAAGTGCAAGAGCACTAGAGAAAATCAGTACCTTTAGACTATACTTTTAGACTAATCAACTTTAATTGCTAAATGATCTATTTTTTACTTTGCTTAAGTTACAATTAAAATATCTTTCATGGTGTGTTTTAGTGTGCTTTGGTGTTGCACGTATGGGTAGTTTGTAGGTATAGGTAGTGAAGGAATTCTCGAACCTAAGAAAGCGAGTACGTGGCACAGGTACTTTTTTCTTGAGCATGAGGATTCAAAGAGTGGGAATTGGTAAGGTAATAGCTACCTGCCATCATCAGCTTAACTATATTTACGCACATCTACTCCGGTATACAAGGTTCAAAGCTCAGACGTGATGTGCAGGATCCCACGAAACATTGATCCACATCCGCAAGCTGTACCTTAACGCGAGATTCAGCCGTGGCCTTGCACTCCGAAGAATTAGGACGAATCCGGCAACCATTGGATCCGATCCAGCCGGAGATAGGGGAAGATGAATGCCCTTTCGCTGCGATCACAGTTGCATGAAAATAGGCATTAGAGATGCGCAGTTAACTACTGGAAGTCCAGATACGAAAGAAAAAAAAAGATTGGATGGATATATCCTACCGGGTGCCAACGGACCCTGATTCCGGCGAGGGCGGAGTCACTCAATCGAATTCGGCGCCTGAGTATTTCAATCCAACAAAGAATTCAGGACCTTCAGTTTTGGGAGTAGAAGAGGATGCCACAACGACAAGGCCCATCGGCATTCGGTGGGCTACCCCCGGTAACAGGGATGAAACGCGAGGCCGCTCATTATCTATCGGCCTGCACGGAGTCGCCCGGGTGTCCCGGACATATCCAGCCTTCGTGTAGTAGATGGAAGCAGTCTGCTGCTAAAAGTCTATATGTATAACGGCAAATTGGCGGAATCGGAGCACCGGTAGCAATTGCGATCATTGTAACAGCCCCTTTGGTAATTTTGACTCACAGTAGTGACTCAATTTCTTAACAGTGAGACAACTGTGAGTTTCCGCTGCCACTGTGTTTTCGTGCTATAGCCAAAACGAGTAACCTCATCATGCCTACGGTAGTTTTACCAAATCTCAAAAAGAACGCCATTTGCACCAGCCTGCTCGTCAAAATGAATACGGTCGCCTACAATTGATATCGGGCGCATGGCTGAGACGGACGGATCTGACCACTTTCAAAGTCACGTGCATACGAACCCTCGAGGCAGGATAATGCTGGAGTTCAGGATGCTGACAGGTGTGTAGGCGAGGACCAGGAAGAGTCCGCTCAATTGAATCCATCAAAATTGAAGCTTCGACGTGTCACTTGTCACCCTACTTCGCTGCCGAACATCGCAATGCCGGGCCCCAAGGTTAAGGTCGCTCACGGGACGCAGTCTGGCCCTCAGGCATAGGCATCCTCCGCCTCCGCCTTGACTGAACTCTGAACTCTAATCATACCTCAAAACGCTCGGCTCCTCATGTTCTACCAAACATGAGAGTCTGAAAGCTATGAACTGGGTTATTATGACGTTAATGTTAACTTCATCGTCCTAAGTATTCTTCTGAAGTTCACCCGAATTCAAGTAGGAAATCAAAGAAATCAACAGTCAGTTATTCTTTAGAGACTGACCGTCTTCCTCTGGGAGGCCTTATGTCCGTTCATATGGATTATAACTTAGGCACCGTTAAGTCGCTCCTGCTAGTCCATCTCCCGAAGCTTCGAAACCATGCCGCAGTTCAAACAGGCGAGTGGGAACTTAGTCGGGCTTAATCAGTCGGTAGACGGATGGCGTGACTGACTTTTAGGTGACTGACTTTTGGGTGCGTCAAGTGATGAGGTGCCTATGCCATTGCGTACACACATCAACCATCTCAACTGGAGGGGTGCAAGTGATATCTCGGCTATTGTATCACCGACGTCAACAGCTCTAAGCAAGCGCTAGATAGTTGAAATAATGCCTGATAAGGCATTTAATATCGCTGCGCCGTAATTTAACGCTGATTGTTTCCGTCTGTGTCTTTTCTTCTTTTTTCTCTGTTGAATTACAGCTATGCTAGATATCTGTAGTAAGCCTGTGGCTTACGCCAAATTCCTTGTCTATTCAAAACTCCTTCGTGCATTTGATTGGGCAAGTACTTTCCAGCAGAGTCGACCAACACTTGCCATTGGCATACCCCGCACATAAGGGTCCTGACACAATTTCGCTGTCGATCGAGTAGCCAAATGGCATAGCCAACTTTTGTGATCGCGACGATTTGAGCAGGGTATATTTTGGGCTGCTTACAACACAGCACGCGCAATGTCTCCAACTGATTACACGTGTAATCCCCGTTTTCAGCTGTGAAAGGAAAGCTGGGTGACCCCATAGTCACAACTTCCCCAGAGCCGGTGGTGTGCGGATCTTCGACATGGGTCAGGGATATGCTGATAACCCAAAGGACTGGAGGCCAACAGAAAACCACTTCATCTCCCGCATCTTATCCTTATCTACTTCACTGTACATTTCCTCTCCTTTTCTTTCCCTGGTTTCTTTCCATATTTTTCTCTCAATGCGGTTGCAGTGTCTGAACAAAGCTCACTAATGTGAGTAAGTCGAAGGAAGTGAGGTTAGCCCATTATACGAGTCAATAGTACACTAGTACGGCTAACACCATCAAGACCTTGGAGCACGCCATTGCCACCTCCAAGTCTTCTCAGGCGATAACCCCAACATCGTGCAGTGGATGCTCCGCAAGCACCACTAAGAACCCTCCAAAAATCGAATTCTAGGCTTGTCTCCGTCTTCAAGAATGTCTCTGTCTGCAAAACCAACGCGTCAACCCCGTTGAGCCTATCTCATCAACACCGAGCCATGCCTGTCATGCAGCCACATACCCCACCCGCACCGCCTTTTTGGACGAAACTCGCAGCTAATGTAACTTGAACGCGCGGGATATCGGTCAACTCCCGGCAGGGTCATGCACATTGAAGCTTGTCACTGACAACTCTGTTCATATGATCTCTCCGCGGATGATGCTCGTTCTAGCGATGTCGGGGGAATCCCGACATCCGGTTTTGCCCAGCGAGCGGGACTCTTCCCACATTTACTGGCTTGGCATATGAATGATTCGCATGGCACAAGCCCGCGATGCTCTGGCGCAATCGATAATGTGGGAGGATTTTCTAACGTGCAGGGGTTCACGGCTGACGGCAGGCAAAACTCGTGCAGATATCACTTGGACCCTTCCCGAGCATCTGGAAGAGATTTGGAAGGCTCAGTCACTCCATTTCAAAGTCTTGCAGGATACGCCTGGAAATTTCTTTCGGCAAGACATTGAAGACTCGCAAGCTGCACAGCTTGCCTGCGGCGGACCAAAGATGGCTGATAACACGGTCCCTAGGAAGAAGTGGTGGAAAATCCAATGGTATTCCGACGATGATACCCCCGAGGAGCGGAAGTTCATCATCAAATTGGACCTCATCGTGGTTCCCTACGCTGTCCTGGCCTATTGGGTCAAGTATATTGGTATGATATCGGCCACCCAACCTTTCGAGGACTACAAAGCATAAACTAATCTTCTACCACAGATCAGGCAAACTTGAGTAGGTCTAATTCTCCTGCATCCACCCCATCCATTGAAGATCAATGATCCTGACCAGAACAGACAACGCCTATGTCGGAGGCATGAAGGAAGAGCTGGGTTTCGAAGGCAACGAGCTTGTCGAACTTCAGACTATGTATACTGTCGGTGCTGTGGTCGGCATGATCCCTTTCATGTTCCTGTTTACGTACATTCCTATGTACTGGACGATTCCTGCTATGGATATTCTTTGGGGTCTCTTCACACTGTTGCAATACCGCGCCCATTCTTTCGCAGAGTTGGCAGCGTACCGCTTCCTGGTCGGCTTCTTCGAGGTATGCTATGTTCCACTGCTGATTTCTGCAGTTGAATCTTTTGCTGACGGGCTGTCTCAGGCTGCCTTCTTTCCGGCTATGCACTACGTCTTTGGTGAGCACAATTTGTCTTCAATTCTCTGCAGGCTCTGCGCGTGGAAACTTTCTCGTCCTAACTTAACTCCAGGCTCTTGGTACCGAGGTCACGAAATTGCACGTAGAGGCGGCATCTTCTACACTGGTCTCAATCTCGGAACTCTCACAGCAGGCCTGATCGCAGCAGGTGCCTCACACCGCCTTGAAGGTGTCAACGGGATGTCTGGTTGGCGCTGGATGTACATTATTTGTGCCATCATCACCATCCCCGTCGGCATCCTTGGCTATTTCCTCCTCCCCGGCACCGTCGAGCAGCCGAACCGCTGGATCCTCAATGACCACGACCTCAAGATCGCCAAAGCTCGCCTCGAGCGCGGTGGTCACGTCACGCGCGGAAAGTTTAAGCTTGGACATCTCAAGCAGATATTCCTCAGCCCGCAGTTCTGGACCGTCGTGCTTGTTGATGTGCTCTTCTGGAACGCCGGTATCCATAAGAGCACGGGTAGCTTTCTCCTGTGGATCAAAAGCTTGGGCCGCTATAGCCCAGCGCAGATCAACGAGATGGGAACCATTGCGCCGGCTTTGGGTATTCTGTACAACATCGTGGCATGCTTCTTGTCCGACCTCGTGCTGGGACCGGCGTGGGCTATCACATTCTCTTCGCTCTGGAACGTAACGGGTCTAATCATGCTCGTGGTCTGGGATATTCCGGAGGGTGGCAAGTGGTTCGCATTCTCAACCATGTATTGGTCTAACGCGCTCTCGAGTGTGTTACACGGCTGGGTCAATACGATTCTCCGAGACTCTCCCGAGCAGCGTTCATTTACCTTGGTCATGATTACCATCATTGCCCAGTCATCAACGGCATGGACGCCTTTGTTGACCTTTCCAACTGTCGAATCTCCGAGCTACCCAAAAGGTTTCTCGTTCTGCCTAGGCTGTGCCGTAGCACTGATTGCTGCAACTCATGTTCTAAATATTTACATCAAGCGCAAGGAGTAAGTCAGCTCTTCATCCGAGTAAGGTGCACTACTAAAACATGAAACATCAGGGCAGCAAAGCTTGCACATCCTGAGAATGGAAGTGATCAGGAAGAAGACTATACGCACAGCACCTCCCCTACATCCGAGACTGGAAAGACAGTCAATAACAATGTTGCACCAGTGACCAACACGTCTGAGGAGTCCATCGCCCGTCATTGAGGCACGGAATCTTCCTCTAATTTTCAGGGGTGTTAATAGGGAGCAGTCTGTCAGGGTCATTATAAAGTTGCTGATTTCTCAATCACGGAGGACATGAATCTAGGCGAATTGATACTTCTGGCTTTCTCATAGGCTGCCGACCATTAGACCAAGGCCTTTTACCAAGCTATGAAATTCCTCTACTCTGTTTACAAAGTCTGCAAGAGTTGCAAATTGAGTGGGTCCCTTCCTAGGGGCCAAACCAGAAGCTTGCATGGTGAATTGCTGATGGACTGCGTGTAAGGATCTTGATCGTCTGGCCTTTTGTTTGTCGCAAAGTTGCAGAAATTCTCAGGGATACAGTGACATGACTCGGACAAGACTTTGCACAAGTTCCTCAATACCGATGAGCTGTGGCTGAGATAGGTCTCGACTCTGAGTTGACTTGTTCCAGCTCCGGGCCAAATCTTTGATGAGGAAGGACCCGTGGCGGAGTCATACTTACCGCCCGTTGGTGCAAGAAAAGCAGTCAATGTTGGTGTACAATCTTGGCATATTCAGTAGCACGCTTGACTGTCCCATTTTACCCAAGTTAGCTTGAGTCCGAGTCTCTTTATAGAAGCAGGGCAAGAGACTTCTATTTTGTGACCAAACTTGACTTCATTTAGAAGTATTCGAAGTCGCATGATGGTCCCGTTGAATCATTAAGCAAGCTGCGCGTTCTCGATATCATGGTTCAGTTTTGTGAAATGCAGTACCAGAAATCATACTCGGACACTGCAGTTAGGCTCACTCGGCGTTCCGGACCATATCAATCATAGGCAGTTTCAAGAATTTTAGCCTCCAGGTCAGTAAAAGAGGGCCAAAAATTGCTTTTGCTCAGTCATCTAAGTATCTCCTCGCACTCAGTGACTGCATCTGTAACTCGCTAGTCAAAGTCTGTTAGGAAATTCGCGTCAAAAGAATAAGCTTAATCATACATTGAACCAGGCATATCCATATCAAGGGTGTTATGGGCTGGAAAATGAGAGGATTGTTTGATTTCTCAATATCTCATGAGTTGTCATGTTCCATCACCTTGAATACTTGGGAGGATCGGTCGACGAAACAGAAGCATACTGGGTAAATAATTGACCGGCTGCTGGCACGGAGAGTCAAGTTACCATTCTTGTCAAACGTTGTAGACTTTTCACCAGGCACTATTCAAATTTGTGGCTGTTTCCAACTGCTTTGAAAGGCATTTTAGATCCAAATGCTTCATAGAATGCCATAGAATGAGACGTGGAAATTCGAATCTGAAGGAGAGTATGAAGATACGAGAGGGATGGTTTGAATATCCGCTATACTATTGGACAGGAACAGAAAACGAACTCAGCATTAGATAAGAGCAAGTATTCACATCAAGTTTATACTGTATATTGTCTGCCGGCAGTTTACAAGTAGCAGACAAGCTGCCACAAATCACAAACAACCACGTTCTTTCTATGTCTGGTCCGCTTTGCGGGCAATCGTTTGTCTTTGTTTCACGAACCCTCATTTTTCAGGCTGTCGATCGGGTGCTGCCACCAAGGTCACTTTCCTCCATCGACTCGGTTTCTGCAACGTAGCACTGTCACCAATATCAAAGCAAAACCCCCATAATTCGAAGAGAGTTTGCTGCAACTTTTGCCAATGAAGTGTTCACTGACAGGATGCTCCGAGCCGTGACAGTGTCGCCTGACCAGCCCGATGCGACGATCACCCCGAAGTGATACCGACAGCGTCGAATACAAAGACCGCGCAGGATTGTGGGGTTAGCGCCGGCTTACCGGTCGGAGGGGGCTACTAGGTAGGTGCCGGCCCAGTGACCGAGGGCTGCTGACTGGCTCCATCATGACGCAGCGAAGCTCTTTGCTAATGAGATGAACTAGATGAATCATGGGGTTTCCCCATGATGCGCATTGTCTGAATTTTCCATTACGTCCAGTCTTCTTATCCCTTTTTTGCACTGTAACCCGGATGCCACGCACGCAGCACGCATCTAGCCCAACCCAAAACACATCCACACACCCAAATTGTTCCCTCCAGGATCACGGTCCCCTTGCACTTTTACTCCCGACCAATCAGACTCTGACATGCGACCAGCGTAGGGAGTTGTCCGCGTTGGTTTAAGCGCCTCTCAACCCGCACTAAAGCCGTGTTGGCAAGGTGTCATTGAGCTTTTCCACCTGCCCTTTTTCTTCCCGACGTGGGCGAATAGCCAGCGAGAGAACGATTATCTGGTCTACTGGTTCATGGGTTCCCTGAAACTCGCTTTGCTTGGACAGAGCCAACATCATCTGCCAAGTGGTTTGCGCCCAAGACTGCTAACGAACCTCCTTCTCCTAAGGGAAAGTGGGCGAAAAGACACCTGTTATAAGCGCATCTGGTCATAATAGCTACCTCGTGCAATCTACAGGACGTGCCATGCGCCATCTCTTCTTCGACTGCAACTTTTCCTCGTCAGGGCGAAGACGGCTAATGTAGCCAGTGCAGGTGTCTAGATCTTGCAGCTGCTCCACTTGATTGCACAACTGCCGCTAGCGTAGTGGCGTTCAAGTAGTTACCGTGTTCCTGGTCTTTGCTGCCCCATCGCACAAGGTCACAAATATATCTCGCCTAAGGTCTCTTGATAAGTCTTGGAGAACTTCTGCAAAATCACTGGATGTCAGGAAACCTGACCTCACTTGGCCAAAACGGGTAGAACGGGAGAGTCAATGTACATATTGATTCAAGCGAAAGTCTAGACCTTCGGATCATCTGAATTTTCCTGCGGTTCTCTCCAGGATTAAGGGGTCGCCAAAATCACTTCCCGCGTGGCAATTCAAGGGTCGAAGACGACGCAAATTCAACCCCACCAACCAGAGCCACGAAAAACGCATTGGGTCGCGCCGCCGGTACCGAACACTCACTATCACCATGGCTCCCTTCTGCGGTCGTGGGGTCCTTCTTTAGAGCCTGCTATCTCCTGCCCCGATTGGTAGACGCCCGAAATGAAACCAAGCCTCTGTCGAGGTGTCTCCCGAGGGGGTAAACGCCCCCAAGCCTCTAATGTCTTCTTGGACAGAGTCTGATCGGAACGACTGATAATGCTGCCGGTCGATTGGCTACCCGTACCCAGTCTTAATCTTTCTTTTCCTTACGCCATGCACGTTTTTCAAGCAAGCCACAAATCTTTGCTCTGCTTATGCGACCGCCTCGCTTCGCAGTATTGACAGTGCCAACCACAAGATCTAGATTGGCCGGGCCGTAAGCACAGCGCAAGGGGTTCAACATATTGGGTTCACCTCGCATAGTCGCCGTCTGGCTCCCGCAATGAAGGAGTAATCTGTCTCATAGAAGCACGCCGCCGCGTACTCGCCCACGTGCTGCAAAATTCCCGTGGACTTGGACGTATCTGTCTCTTCAGGATACCATCTGATACCCTGGGCACCAGCTCCAGGTCTTGTGTGACGCTAGATGACTAAAATATAGGGAGGCAGGTTATATGAACCAGACTACCATCCGCCCTCCATGGAGCTCGCCTTCTCTACTGAAGATTGGACACAGCTCTGAGACTGGGGGTCTTGTCAATTTTAAAAAGAGGAAAGGGACGAACAGTCATCCTCCCTACCCCCGTCAGCAGGAAGACATCTTGCTTTGAACGCGCTGGTTTCGACTTAACTTGCAGATTCTGTTGGGTATTCCGCTGAAGCGACCGTCTTGATGACAAGGGCCAAGCGTAACCCTAGCCCAACGCGGCACTCATCGTTACATCTACAATCCCTTTTCTTCAATGCGTTTCTGTATATATAGGGTAGGCCCCGTGATGGATGCTTCCGTCCTGCTCCCATGGTCTCTTCGCCCATCCTCGTGCAACTTCCCCGACAGCATCCAGCATCGTGATCTTGTGACCCCAAGACATGCCGTTCCTTCAACAATAACACCAAACATCATTCTTTCTTTATAACCCTTCTTCATCACAGTCCCTTCTGTATCAGTTGGGATTCTCTATACCAAATCTTATTCCCTCCTTGAGTCTCTTCGAACAGACAGAACACACAACACCACACGTTCCTTAATTAGCTCTTGAAGCTTAGTCTCAAACCCGCTACCGCAACTATGCACACCAAGTCTCTCTTTATGACCCTCCTCATTCTCCCGGCTGTTTTGGCCTGGGACTCCCCTGACTACTCGGGCTTCACACGTCTTTGGCAGGATAGCTTCGCCGGCGCCGCGGGCACGGGCGTTAACGAAGGTAACTGGAACATCATTACTAACCTGCACGTCAACAACGAGATCCAGGATTACACAACCTCGCGCTCGAACTTACAGATCTCGGGTGGCGGCACCGTTCAAATCGTCCCGCAGAAGGACGTCAGTGGGCGCTGGACCTCCGGACGCGTCGAGTCCAAGTACACCTTCACCCCGGCCGCTGGCCGCATCACCTTCGCCGAGGGCCAGATCCGCTTCGGCGACAATGCGGTCGCCAACAAGAAGGGCATCTGGCCCGCTTTCTGGATCCTCGGTGCCTCAATACGCAACGGCGTCGCCTGGCCGCGCTGCGGCGAGCTCGACATCCTTGAGACCGTCAACGGGCAGTTGACCGGGTACGGCACGGTGCACTGCGACACCACGCCCGGCGGCGCGTGCAACGAGCCCAACGGTATCGGCAGCTCGATCGGCATCCCCGACCAAGGATGGCATAACTGGCGCATGCAGTGGGACCGACGGTCAAACAACTGGCAGACGGAGACGATCACTTGGTACCGTGATGGGCAGCAGTTTCATCAGATCAGCGGTGCGAGGATCGGAAGTGAGGGGATCTGGAACACCTTGGCCCGCGCTCCTTTGTATTTCATCTTGAACGTTGCTGTCGGCGGCAACTGGGTGAGTTTACACGGGTCAACTCTTGGAGGTCAAGTTATGCTAACAAGACGTAGCCTGGAAACCCAGACGGGTCCACCATCGGCGGATGGGGAAGCATGATGGAGACCGCCTACGTCGCCGTCTACCAATCTCAGTAGTGACCATCGCCATCACTTTTGATCACCACTCTAGGTTATTGCTTATTGCTTCTCCTGCAACTGCGTCCTTCACTGCACATATATGTTGAGCATATTTAGATACCCCTTGTCGACTACATAGCCTGTCAACAATCACACTCGTTGGATAGTCACAGACACTGCCAGACTATAAGAGACATGAGGAAATTTCTTACGGCCTAATGGATCGTGAAGAAAAAAACATTGTGATCGATGCCTTCTCTTTTTTACGTCTTAATCGTAATGTTCATGATAAGTGATACACATGCTACAAGACAACCAATAACCTTAACTTTCTCGGTTGTGTAAATTTAGTCGTAGAACACCAAGCATCTGACCTCAATGCTCTGCCGACCCTTGGCATCCGCAGGCGTGTTCGGGTCAACAAAGGCAGTGTGGGGCGTGTAGTCCGCGACCCCTGGCTTTCCTCCGGGTCGTCCTTGGCTCCTTGAGTCGAAGCACTTAATGAACATTGCCTCGTCGGGCGTCATATCCTTGGCGTAGTAGAGTTTGTGCTTGTCGCTCGGCGCAACAGAATAGGTTTCACCTGGACCATTGTCAACAAGTTCAGAGACGCCTGCAACGACTCGACTGGACCAACTTACCCTTCACTTCATAGCCCTCTGTTGACTGCGCCAGACTTGGATCCGGAAGCACCTCCTTGCCCCGGTCATCATCGTCTGCATCCGTTCTCTTAGGATACAACAAGTCCACTGCAATGAGGTCCTTTGGCTCGGTAGACCGCCAGTCAATGACCGCCAACGGGAAGTCACTCGCCGGGTGTCCGATCGGTCTCCACACATTGATGATTTGATACCTCCCTTTTAACAACTCCTCCGCCTCGTCCCCGGGACGTGCCTCCGCACTCGCACCTCCGCCGCGCCGGGAGTCTGGTCGACGTGCACCTGCTGCACCGGCTGTCTCGGGCTGTCCTTAACCCTCCTTCGGATTGTGTGGTCAAAGATGACAACCTTCTTCACGCCGGGCAACTTCTCCCGCAACAGCGCCTCTACCTCAGCATAGTACCCGCTCCGCACTGCCGCGTCGTCGGTGAACTCCTTTTCCTTTGCCGGGCAATTGTACACGGCAAACCCGGACACGTCAGTACCGAAGTCCTCGCCGGCGTCGCGGATATTAGCAACAGATCGCCGCCGCTCAGTGCGGCTGAAGGAGGTGACGTCCGTGTCAACTTTGGCCCAAGGCTTGCTCCCTGCACCACCGAGCGTCGCCGGATCCAGGTAGCGAAAGTTTCCAGTCGTCATTGTCGTGAGGGGTCTGCTGTGAACGAAGCGGGGAACGCTGGTGTTTCTGATAATGGGTTTGAGAGTTGATGCGAGGATTGGAGTTCGTCGTAGGATTATGCTCATAATAGTGCAGACTCAAGTTCAAATGCAGGGTTGATGGTTAGGTCTTCAATCCATGCGGGGCGGTCGAGGAGGAGGGGCTTTAAAAGGCGTGGATGGCGCGAATGACACTACTGTCTGATTGCATCACCGCCGGGCCAGTGGCCATTAGTCATTCAGCATTTCTAAGCCGCTTCTGCGAGCATCGGAGACCCACTGCCGGGTCGGCATCTATTGTGGGGGCTGATTTCAAATCGCCGACACGCCGTCGCCCGATTTGCTGCCGGCCGGGATGGCGAACACACTCCGACCAATCGCCGACTGCTCGTAGACTTTGTGTTGGTGAAATCAAAATGCGATGTAATCGCATTTTGGCCTTTCGTGTGTGCTATCGAGCCCGCCAAGGTCTCAACCATCACTATACGCGGCTCACCAAGGTGGGGTCTGAGCGTATACGGAAATCTAAATCATTGTTTGAGGGGTTGCAATGGAGATTGAACTCTCTTGGCCCGTCATGGCGAGATTGTGTTCACAGGAATAATGGCTACTCTCGGTGATTTGGCTGCCGAAAATACAAAGCAGTCTGAATAGTGAAGTGTGAAAATTACCATGAGGCGCACAATGATCCAACAGCAAAAAACAGCAGCTTGAGGCAAGCTTATTGTTCCGAAACCGAGAATCGAACTCGGGGCTATGCCTAACCTCTCACAAGATGAGAGGGCATCATGTTGGCCACTACACCATATCGGATATTTGGTTGATTTTTAAGCGGGCAGGCAAAGCTGTGAATTCTAGAGTGGGGTTGGAAGCCCCGGTCACTTCCCTGCGGTAGCGACAACATTCAACGCTCGACCCTTAAATGCAGAACCGGTAGGATGAGAAGTCTGAGCATAGAAAGACCTCACAATTAGGATTTTAGGAAAATTAAAGCAATAGTCGATAGTCCGATCTTAATTCTGCTGAACGGAAAATCAGTATTGATTGTTGCCATATGCGGCTGCAACTACTAAATGTTTCTCGAATTCTCAACCCGGCAGGGCCACTGTTTCAAGTCATCAAATGCCTGGGGCGGCATCCGATGCATGGATGCAACTAATAGCTTGTTTCAATGAATTTAGCTATATGACACAGTCGCCAGAATCATCTGACTGTCACTAAAACATTTAGCCGACAACAAGGCTATGCTGTTATTGTCGTTCCGCATTGAACTACCCATTCGAGCAAAGCATGATCATTCTCTTCCAAGGAGGTAACATGATACTTGCGTTTGAATATAGCTCTTGCTCTCAATCAGGATCCGCATCATGGTTTTTGTCTTGCCCAAAGACCAAAATCCACATGGTGCGGTTATCTTAGAACCCTTGCATATTTCCTCGCTATGGAGAGACCTCAATTTTGCCTCACACGACGGGCTGGTTTGTTATTTGCATGCGAAAAAGAAATAGTGAGCTTCACCACTGATTAAGTCACAAAGCAAATGCAGGCTATAGCCAACCGGACCTCGCTCGAATTTTCAATCTCTACTTATCAAGCTCTACGTCCGAACTGCGATGCAGATGGCATCGTTTGCGAGCTCATCTTCCTGATTCAAACTACCAAATCGCGACTATGGGAAGCGACCTTCCGCACTTGCCCTTTGGGTGGATATTGATCCTGACACTCAGGCTTGACCGAATCAAGTCAACCCACGGTGGTCACAAGGGCATCCCGTAAGCAGCGAAGGATGCGGTGTTATCGACGCAGTCATCCAGAAAGATGTGTGGAAACGAAAAAACACCCCATATTTGATACGTCGGCCTTGATTCTTGCAGCTTGCGTAGGGTTATTTAAAGGTTATATCATTTCATTTGGAAGGTAGAGAGTGACAAGCAATTGCTAAAACTTGTCGAATTCATTATCCAGGTGCCCATCATGATCAAGTCTCTAACTGTCATTGCACTTCTGTCTGCCTTGGTCGTTGCCGGAGACTTCAGCCGAAGCTGCAAAGATGAACACGTTAACCCCGGGACTGAAACCCTAACAGCGAACTGCAACGCCGGTGACGGCAAGGGCACAATCAAACCGACTGCCCTCGATCTGAATGAGTGTTTCGCTTATAGCGGCAATAAAATTGTGGTACGTGAGATTTCCGTCGTAACCAACAATATGGAACTATTACAGCCTTGAACGTCCGAAATATGAAGAGTCACGGGCAGTCATCCAGACTGACATTGTATTGACTTGTAGCGGAGTGACCATGGCAACTTCGGTCAATTTTGCGACGGTTGCCATTATTATGAGATCCCTGATCCCATATGGTATCCGAGCTTGGGCTTGACCAGAGCAAGGCTAAACTGTACATGCAACGGCGCTTCAGAGGAAACTGCGGTCGATCTTGGTAAGTCAAATTTGTATGCCTAGAGTTTACGGTCATTGCCCTTTGATTACCGAATACATCTCCATAAAATCACGACTATTAACATCTTGCAGATGAGTCAGTGGACAACACTTATGGGACTTTGAGGTGCTATTAACCATGGAGAGTCCCATCAACCAAGCCATATGTGTCACCGAATGCTGCCAGATATTCTAGTAGGTATTTGCTTGGATACATGCGATCTACTTTCCAACAACGACACAAAGACCAGTAGCTCGATTAGATTGTGATAATGACGCGGAGAACGAATGAAAGAAACTATGAGTAAATTATTCAAAAATCGATAAATTCCTAGTGCTGACTACACGTTGTGCCTCAGCCCATAGCCGCGACTGACCGGGAATACAAGTTTTTCTTGTTGTTTGGCAACTTTTTAGTATGGAATTTAGTATGGAATCTTGAAACCTGTTTGAGGAAAGCAAACCAGTGTCCTTGATATCAACTCGCCCAACGTCACCAACATTTACTAGAGGAATCGAGTTTGATAATGAGGATTCTCACGTATGTCCTTGGGTGCTCTCGCCATTACCACTGTCGACGTTATACAGAGGTTTCCATTGTAAACATGTACATTCACTGGTTCGAATCTATTATGAGATTAGATGGATTTGTACCTAGGTAGCTTGATTATAATCTCTTTACGTCGCATTTCGCGAATGAGTAGATCATTCTATGATGGTGAGTTTTATAGAATGAGAGAACAAGTCTAACAGCGACAGCCAACACGTTGACCTGACTAATCAAGACGTCTCGTTTCAGTATCACTGACCTCTTGAGGGGCCAGTTCGCGCCTAAAGACAGAATACAATGATATGGAGCTGAGCAAAGATGAGCAAAAGCTAGGCGGAGCCTAGTGTGGAACAAGCTGTATGTGTTGAGGTGAGACAAGCTTGAGCAGGCCAGAGTTTCTTTCGAATCGAAGTAGTGGTATGTTACAATGCTAGCTTGGCATTCGGTCGCAGCTCGTCTGCCTGCGAAAAATTGCCATAGCTGAACAGCCCGTCTCTCTATGACTCAAGCAAGAACACAAACAAGTTGAAGTATTTGTGTATACCTTTCACCCAAGTGCAGGATGTACCTCTTTCACAGACAGCACCATTCTTTGCACACAACAAAAGAATCGATACCGTCAACAAGCCTTTTGATCGCCACACCCAAAAGCCAAAAGAATGACCAACGCGGGGCTCGAACCCGCAGCCTTCAGATAACCACAACTCTATGAAGAGAATATAGAAGTCTGACGCGCTACCATTGCGCCAGCCGGCCAGGATTGAGAGGAATGGGAAGATCTCTCGGGTGGAGTTGACGGCGAGCGACGGAAATGCAATTATGTTTGCTTGGTGCGGCGCCAGGATGGATCCTTTCGACTCACCGCGACCATATGGTTCACAACCACGAAAACTGGAGGTAGCAGCGTTTGCTACTAGTGGGGGTCCCTGACGCAATGATTCGTTGCTGGGATCATCTGTGTTGTTGAGGGCCTGCAGCGGTTTTTTTTTTTCTTTCCCTCTCGTGCTGCAGCAAATGCAGCTCTGACCAAGGCAAGCCCCAAAACCCGGGCGTGGTGATCCATCAAACTTGGAACAGGTTAGTTGGAGCTAGACAATGGGGCTGAGCGGGTTCCATGTGGGCGTCATTCAAGGAACCTACCGGTACCGTAGGAAAAGAAAGCGAAGAAAATTCTTCAGCAAATTTCTCCCTTTTCAGAGGCCCAGAAAGTCCCCATTAAGCGGAGCAAGGGACGACTGAACAGCATGAGGATCCAAGGCGCCGGATCCTTGCGGAGCCTCCGCTCTTCCGTCTTACACGGAGTCAGACATTGCAGAACTTTGTCAATCAGGGACTCGCAAGTAGAATACATAGTACCGACGGGCTCGGGGCTCCGCTGGCGTTGAGCACACCCCGAAGATGGTGTGCCGAAGTTTGTAGCCTTCCAGCACACCTCTTCGATTCCGTCCTCTACGTCTGCACGCCCTTCGAGAAACCCATGCCGCCTCCCGGCAGCGCTTCGGTAGCTCGTCCCACAGAATCACGTAACGGAAATTCATCCTCCGTCGGCGACTGCACGCAGCACCCCCGGGGGCGCTCAACACGCCCCCCAGAACCGGCAGCCCCCGATCCCGATCCCAGCGCTCTCGATCTGCGCCTGCGAACGCGAACCATCGGAAGGGTCTCGAAATATGCGAGAACCATCCAAAACGGCCGGCTCCGACGCCCCCTCGTCTTGGTGGTTTGGCCCAGGCGCTGGCGTTCCACGTTCGTGACACGGCTTCTGGCATGACTTCGGCCTGATGTGACTCAGTGCGAGATCTCGACCAACCTCCCGTTCCTAGGCCCGTTCCTCTTACCTAAGTGATGCACTCCCGGAATGCCATCCGAAGGCGTTGTGTGCTGTGTTGTGACGGCTGGGCCGCGACGCAGACCGGGCCGGTGCACCCGGTCACACGCCTGCAGCCACTTGCACCACTGGCACGCACAGAAGCCTGTCCACGACAACGCTTGCGGCTCACTCACCGCAGGCTATCGTGAAAAATATCGGCGTCACCCAGGTCAAGGCGATGGCGCCAAACTTGGGCCACAAGATGGTTCCCTCAAAGAACATAGCCATCCATCACCGGGAATATTTGCTCAGTGAGGCCGCGCATGCCGTTTCAACAGCGTGGAAATGCTGTCATTACGCAATCACTCTTTGCTATATGCCTCAACTTACTCGTCAAGCTCAAGCTCTCCAGCTTTGAGGCCATTGTCACCGGTACTAAACCTCCCGAATCTGGATCTTGACCTTGGAGGTCTATCCCAAGCTCAAACCCAAGACTCGAGGGGATCCGCCGCCGACGTGGACGTTCTAGACCTCCAACCCTCCACGTCTTTCGATCCCGCGGGTAAAGTCTCCAACTTCTCCAAGCACCACCCCTCAACTTGGGGTTTCCATCATGTAATTGTTGGCCAAGATCAACTTATTAGCCTCGTCGGAACCCATGAACCGCTTAGTCCTTCGGGACTTTCCCGTCCCAATAAAAAAACCTTACCACAGGCGCTTACCGCCTGGTGATTCACAACGTGGGATGAGCCGCAAGGTACGCAGAGGTGAAGTCCCTCTTTGCCCACCCAAGGGTCTTGACTCGGGATTTCACATGCCATCCCGCGCTTAGTCTGGCGCTGGTGTGTTTAGTGAGGGGCATTTTGCGACGTTTGGTTTTGGGGTTGTTGTCTCCATCACTAGTATCACTCGACATTCTGCAGCTGATGCGCCTCAACGGAGATCTTAGCTTCCCTAACGCATAGATCCACTCCTTGTTGAGTGACTATGTGAAGCTAGAAGTCACGACAAAGGCAAAGGGACGTTGGTAGATTGTGCAATTGATTAATCTTTGTGTTTAGATTGTATCGTCGTCAATTGAGCTAGCTACTGAGAAGCCAATTCGACGGGAAGTGGCGTTTCATCGTCATCCATCCGTCAGCTCTTTGCGAATCTCCGGAAAACGCCTTGCAATGCGAACCAAGCCTCTTTTCTTATGGCCATCTCACTTATGATGCCATGTTTCTCCTCGTCATCCAATTTCAAATGGTTCCAGAAAATGAGCTGAGACAATAGTCTTTTTCCGCCAATAATAATAAACATCAAAAGAACAAGAAAGGCCCGGTTCGTAAACCAAGGGGGTATAATGCGCGTAATTCCAAAAAAAAAATCCCTAGAAATCAAAACTTTTGTGTTCCCTTTCCTCCTTTTTCTTTCCAATTATTGTAAGTTTCGATTAAGCTTTCTTCGTTCGCCTCTAGAATCATGGCGATGTGATGGATCCCTCCCTGCTATGCGCAGTGCCGTTGTGCGCCTGTCCGTCGAGGTGCTCGAGGCTGACGTAGTCGACCGGGGCCGGCTCCTCGGGGTAGGCGGGCGGCGAGGGGGGAACGTCCTGGTAGACGGGCGGCGCCTCGTTGTCCCAGCTGACGCCGAGGCCGGGGCACTCGGTGAGCATGACGTGGTAGTGCATCCTCAGGATGCGTCCGGTGCCCGTCTGGGTTGCGAGGTGGGGCTTGCCGACGGGCGCCCACTCCTTGGAGACAACCATCTCAATCATGAGGGCGTGGGTGACCTCGGTGCCGTCGAGGGACTTCATGTCGCAGGCGTAGCGGGGGCCGTGGCTGTGCTTGCTGGCGAGGACGCCGTAGTCGAACTCGAACTCGACGTGGCCGTCGGTGCTGTTGTAGTCCGACTTCCAGCCGTCGTGCATGTACTTCTCGCCGAGGACGCGGGTCTCGGTGCGGGGGACGCCCTTTTGCTGGTTCGTGGCGGTGCCGCCGGGCGTGTGCTTGTCGCAGGCGGGCGCCACCGTCTTGATCGTCTCCTCGAGCTTCCACGTCACCTTCTTGAGCTTCCAGAACTCGATCGTCTTGTTGGTGTTGTTTGCGCTCGTCAGGCCGTCGAGGCGGAACGAGACGTTGTGGGTGCCGGCCGGGTGGATGACCTGGTTGTAGTGGGCGCTGGCCTTGATGTTGGTGGGGGGAAGACGCGGACCGAGTGGTGGGGGAACTCGGGCTGCGGCAGAGAGCGCTTGACGTCAAAGTTCTGCTCAAACTTGATGGGCGTCTGCGAGCCGGGCGTGCCCTTGACGAGGGTGGCCTCGGCCTTGAACTCGTAGGCGATGGAGGTGATGGGGGTGTCCATGGAGGCGGGGAGGTGGCCCTCGAGGAGGATGGAGAAGGGGAACTGGTGGACGCCCTTCTTCAGCGTCGTCGGGTGGGTGAGGAACGTCCAGCGCTTGAGCTCGGTGTACTGGTTGGAGCACTCGTTGCAATGGTTGGTGAAGGGGCGCTTGTGCTGGACGTGGATGTTGAGCTTGGCCTCAAAGGCCTCGACCTGCAGCTGTTCGTCCTTGACGTCGAACCGCATCTGGCCCGACACCAGGGCGCCGGTGGAGGTCTCTGCATCGCCAAAGAAGACGATGGGCGGGCTCTCAATCTTCCAGTCCAGGCTGGCGTGGGAGTTTTCGTGCGAGTCCTTGCTGGAGCGGCCGAAGGGCAAAGAGAGGCGGTGGTGGTGGTGCTTCTTCTCCTTCAGGTGCTCGATGGGCTCTGCTGCGAACATGTTGTGGTAAGGGATGTGCTCGCCGTCATCTGATGAGTAAGAAGAGTGGCGGTCGAGGGGCAACCTGCGCAACAGCCCCTGGTCTTGGATGTTGTTGCTGCTGTTGTTGTTCTTGTTATGGTGCTGGTTGTGTTGTGACTGGTGGCGGATGGTCTTGAGGTTTGCAATGGCAGAGACGCTGAAGTTCTCGGTCGAGTTGCGCAGGAAGTTTGCTACGCGGTGGGGCATGGCTGGATGCGGTGTGTGGCGCGTCTTCCCCGGATTTCGAGGGCGTCTTTGGTTGCAGTCTTCCTTTTTTTTCTTGAGCCTTGGCTGAGATGGGCGACACCTTAGACAGGGGTAAATGGCTGGGTGGAGGGGGCGGATGAACCGCAGAATAAGTAGGGTGGTGTGACGTTCTTCTTTTTTCAGGGTGCAGGATCGCCCAGGGGAAATATGGGCTCTGTCAAGAGGAAAATGACAAAATGAGTCGATTCGCCGGATCCCGAAGGATGGGCGAGCTTGATGCGGGCGGGCGCAGGGCCTTTTTGGCCGAGGGGCCGTAGAAAGGGCGAAGCCAACAGGGCTAGGGGGCAGTGAATGCGGGATGTGTAAGTGAGAGTGATGGGCTGATGTGCGGATTACGGCAGAGGTCTGCTGATGTGTCCCTGACTGATGACTGATGACTGATGAGAGGAATGTAGTGGGTGGTTCTGACGGTAACAGACGATGATGCCCGGGGCCCTGTCTTCTCTTTGTACTTGACTGACGAGAGACGAAGAGTGTGGGGAGCAAAGGGGGCTTGTGTTCAAGAGACTATTCTCGAACCCTTGCAAGCAGTCCAGGTGATGTGGTGGTAGGGGCACAAGGTCCAGTCCAGAGTTGGGGTTTTTGGTCCTTTGCCTGTTTGGGTTTCTTTGGCGTCGAGCAGCCAAGAACGAAGCTTGTTTTGGCTGGGTTGTGGTGGTGGTGGACGGGATCTGCTTCCGCTATGTGCGCCGAGGGGAGAGCAGAAGAGACGAGACGACTGCGACTGCTACAGGGTCAAAGCGACAGGAGCAAAGATGCGGGGTGGCTTTGGGCGCTTCTTTTCCTTTGCGCGTGCTGGTTTTTTGGGGTTGGGGTTGGTGGTGTTCAGCCAAAGCCTGATGCGGCTTAGTCCTGGTTTGGTGGGATGTGTGTGTGTGTAGGTGTGTGGGTGTGGCGGGTTGAGCAAATAATGTCGTCTTTTGGTCGTCGTTCTCTCGTTCGCAAAGAGGCGAATTGGGTTTGTTTATGAGAAAACGAAAGGGTATGAGAACTCGGTCGATCGGGAGCCGAGGGCGAGGTTCGAAGGAGATCGATGATGAAATGGAGTTTTGCGATTGCGATGACTCCTTTGGCTAGGTGCCCTTTTTTTTTCCCTCCCGTTTTCCCTCGTGTAAGTCGTTGGTCGAACCGGGGGTCAGGTAAGGCAACGGGAAAAGTGTGCTAATTTGAGGTGCAGCTGCAGCGGTGCGCTTAACGGCGGGCTGTCGAGGTTGGATGAGATGCAGCCGAGTTGCGGATGTGACTGGGGTTCTCCAGAAGATGCGGGAAGCCTTCTTGGTGTTAGTTCCGTATAAGGACGGAAGTTCGTGAAAGTTCGTTGAGGCGATTGTCAAGTTGAGAGGGGGAGAGCAACGAGATTAGAAGAAGAGGATGTGGTCACGGCTCAGTTTTGTAATAACAGCTCCCTTTCCTCACAACAGGACTCAAGCAGGACCGTCGCGTTATTATGTCTTGCCAGCTCGTGATGGTCAAGCTTTTCATAGGGTAATTATGTGTCATGAATTTGAGGGTACCTGGCGACACATGCTCCGCTCCAGCGTTTTGACACGGCCCAGCCCAGCAGCGGCGTCGAGCTCATCAGCCATGCATCACCCCAACTGCGACCGGCCTGACAGAGAGGAGTGACAGAGTGACGGAGTGACAGAGTACATGGGGGTGTGTACCGCCTGGGACCCAGCAACCGGGAGGTGCATGGGAGTGAATGAACCAGAGGGAGTTGGAAGAAATGGAAGAAAAAAAAAGGTGAAAAAAACCAGAGCCTGGACCAACTCCACTTGGATGGATCCCTCGCCAAGTCGAGTCACATACATGCTCCATTCGTGCCAGGCGTGGTTGTACACTACACTAGGTACATTGCCTTTGCGCGCCAGCACCATGAACATGACCAACGCCAACCAGCAAAAACCCGAGCCTAGGTGCCCACACGGGCTCGGTTCGACTGGCTGAGAGGCACGGGTATTGAGCCGAGCTGGGCTTTTGCTGCTGTTGCAACTCTTGCCAGGCATGGCGTACACTACTCCATGTATGCGCGCCCGGCACACCTCCTGTCCATGGGTCGAGCTGCTGGTGCCGCCTGACCCTTTCTCCCTTGCCTTGGACAAGGACTCGCTCTTCTCCTTTCGAGAGCCTCGCCTGAGCCATGACACCGCAACCTGTGCCCTGGCGGCCCACGTGTACGTGCAGACTGCGCTGTTTTGGGGGATGTGCTTGCGGCGGTCAGATAAAACCCGGTACGTATCCCGCGGCTGGATCACCGTCAGCAAATGTCCCGCTCGAAGGAAAAGGCCCCTCCCAGGCCAGCGAGGTGGTCCTTGTGGAAGCCGTACCTGGCGCTCCCCAGGGAACAGCCAGCCTCTGCCTCGCTGTGTCGCCGTGTCGCCGCCATCGCGATGTACACTACACCACGACCCTAAAACTAGTGCCCGATCGCCCACAATTGCGCAACGCCAGGGGCACGGCGTCGCAATGGATGATGGAACGGAGGGGAAACTCCCTCGCTGACGGAACGTCGAGTCTGTGACTCTGCCGTGCTCAACTCGCTGGAGACAAGACACGTGTAGCAGACGACTGGAAACACGCGATATGGAGCCCAGAAGGGTTCACGCAGGTACAGCGAGTTACAGCACTCGGGCGGAGTACGTGGACGGCCGGCCTCACGATGTTTGATGTTTGGTGAGCCGTTGCGACAAGGTCGGCGACGTCGGGCTTCGCGGCAGGGAGCCGCCTGTCCATCCGGGTTGTTTCTGCTAATGTCCAGCGGGCAGTCTAATAAGGCAATCAAATCCAGATCCAGGGTCGAGAGGCGATGCCAGCATCTCCCAGATTTATCATGGCCCTCCAGCAACGTCAGATCGGCCGGTCCCTGAAACCTAATACTATGCACCTACACCACACCACAACATGGGCTGGTGGGAACGACGAGGTACCGGTACAACGGGGATTGACAGTAGTCAGCCGCCGCCGGCAGCGCCCTGGGAATGACACCATGGGCCCTGGGTGTGAGGTTGGCCGATGGGTAAATCCCCCAAAGTCCAGAGACCCCAAACCGCATTCTGGCCCATCAGGTGCAGTCGCGCAATGCCATGTGGTACGATCCTACTAGCACCGCACCGCCTGCTCACCGCGACGCGGAGACTTTTCTGAAGACTTCCAAGACACGAGGCTCTTTACAGCGGTGGCAGTAGCAAGGAGCCATCGGGCTGCAGTTGAATTGTAGAATACGGCGGGCGCATCTTCAAAGTAAGGCCACCTCAATGCGCCCGCCAGCAGAAGCAGGCGGGCGAACCGCCAGCAGCCTGTGTTATTATGCTGGAGAAGTCGAGCACACGGCCCACGAGGCATGTGCCCCCACCCCGGGTGCCCAGCCGGTGACATATCCATCATGACACTCGACGACGACAGACTCGTGCGATGAAGGAGCACAACGACGCGAGTACCAAGAACCACAGATGGGCCGATTGTTTGAGAGCTGGTTCATGCGCTTGCAAACTGGCATCGTTCAGTAGTTCCTCCGGTCTTGTTGTCTGTGAATGACTTGCATGGTGGCGTCGGCCCATTGACACAACCAGCGCGGCCGGTGTAAGTCGCCCGTCCCTGCGAGCCGACACTGACGCCCACGCGCAACGAGGACGAGGCTACGGCTCCTCATCGCATCTTTGGGGCCACCGTGCAACGGCCGTCACCGTTCGAGCCACGTGCGCATCGCGGTCGTTTGAACCCTTCGTGTTGCAAACCTCCAGGGGTGAGCGAGAGATGCGAGAGATGCGAGATCCCACCTCGATCATACCACTCACTGCGTCTGCGTCCCGGGCCATGCCGCCGCCGCCGCCGCCGCCGCACCAATGGCCGAGAATATTACCCGAAGCGGTGCACGTTTCTCTTCACACAAGGTTCCGGGCTTCCATGGTTGATCCAGCGCTTGCTTGACCGACGGAACACACCGTTCTTCTCTCTTCTGCGCTGGCTCGGCTCTGAGCAGACTGTAGGTCGTGAGCCGAGCCGCTCTCCACTATCAAAAGTTCATTCCCATTGCGTCCCCGTAACGGAATGAGATCCCGGTCGTCATCGTCGTCGCGCTACTATGTAGTGTAGGTACACTACTCTTTGGGCTGTTGGCCTGCCAAGATCGAGTCATCGTCTTCCGTGATGGGGCTCCTCTGGAAAATTTCCCCGACCCTCCCTCCCTCCGCGAGGGAGATGGCGTGCGAATGCCGTCCTCTGCCATGAGAACGTGCTCTCCGCCATCAAACACATCGTGGGCGCGTGTGGCTTGCCCGCCAACATCTACCTGCTGGGGAAAAAAAAAGAACAAAAACGGGGAAACCCCCAACGGTAAGGGGACGGGGAACATGGTGACGGGGCCACGGCCGTCTCCGCTTCCAAGGCCATCCGACCACTCATGGCGTTTCTCTTACGTAGGGACAGGGTCACCTGCTCTTCCATTTTCGACCGAGTCTCTTCCAAGCTGCAATTTTGTTCGAATTTTTCAGCCCGAGGGCTTTCATTTCGACGACCACAACGTCTCCAACAGGCCAGGGCCCTGGTTCCCTGCCTGCGCAGCCGCGCTCCTGGGCGGCGCTCAGTTCGTTCTTTGTCCCCTCCCAGCGCTGAATGGGGACTCCAAGGAGCTGCCGGAGTGGGACTCCGGCGGGCAGGGTCGTTTCTTGAAGCCTCACGCCGCCCGGCGCCGCATCTCCAAAAGGAAGGACGGCTCCTCTCGTAGAAGATGAAAATTTTCTTCCAGAACCCCGTGGGTAACGATCGACCCTGGTTCATTGTTTGGCGATATCCACCGCTGCCCACACATGTCACTGCCACGGCTGCAGACTGGAGCAAAAGCTGGAGCAGGGAGGCCGGGCTGGAGAAATTTCTGACTCCCCCGTTTTCCATGAACGGAAACAAAAAGTCATGGGTCAAAGGAACGAGACCCAACCGTTCCA